AAAATATCCGATATATATCGACTCGAATATTGCCTCGTACGATATATTATCGATATAACCCGATATTATATCGAAAATATCGGAGCCGAAGCCTGTTCGTACATTAGACGCCGTGAAGAAAAGAGGGTGTTGTGATGATTCAGGAACATTTCTTATTCTCTTCAGAGAATGACACAGTTATATTTCTATACTAAATGGCAGTAAAGTGATTATGCTGTATTGATTCAGTGACAGAGCTCCATAACGCTCTTCTCTCTCTATAAAAACGTCATCTCTTCTTAAGAAACTTCATTTCACTTCACCATCAGAACAGCATTCGAACCCGTTTGACACCTAGTCTAACTATCTGTATCTAGCTCCAGAGCGAACCAACTTGTCTTCACAATAGGAACATCTCAACCTACGAAGTTGCACTAAAGCTACCTAGAAAGATCTTTGCTTGGATATTCTGGCAGAGAATGAACATCCCAGCCCCTCAATGCATGTGTCAGCCAAACCCGCAAGCATGCAGAGCGGTCATGAGAGGGTTACGTTCCCAAGTTTTTGCATCGCAACTTATGACGCCATGTCCTATGTGTGAGGTACGTCTTATGTTTACCCCGTGACTAGTGTCTCGTAAATGCTTGTCTATTGTTGTTTCGCTATGCTCATAGACAAGCGATAAGCTTCCGGATGCAAACTTCTTACCATGGGACCAGGGGCACCTATGCGATGGTATGACGCTTGATAGAATAATTTTGGGAGATATTTAAGATAATGGGCTTGGTACGTAAATGAAAGTAGAAAGGTGGTTGCTGGCAACCCTTTGAGGAATCATGTGAACTTCTTGGTATGCCCAAACGTTGTGAGCTGTGCTCCATGTAATTCGGTCTTCTTATTCATGCTTAATCTTATTCATGCTTAATCTCTGCAATACTCCACATTCGCGGTGACTATAGATCAATACCACATGTATAGACAAGTCCCTTCCTGAAAGACATTATGTGCTCTTACAAATTATCACCTTAGCCGCTTAGAACTAGTACCTTTTTCTTTAACAGACCCATTTGAAATCTTGTATGTTCTCTTAATAGAGAGAATATTCAAGAGTAGTTCACAACTAAGCAAACCCATTTCTTCTTGTAGTGAAGATTCGCTATAAGAAAGGGGTGGATCGGGAGGGTAAGGGGCTCGCTTAGCCGTCGTCAAGCTGTCACGAGGCACTGGAGAACATTTCTGACGGTCTTCTCACCAAAGTCTCACATTGATCTCGTTACATTCCTCGGAAATTTATTTCAAAGATACAAGACAATCCCAAAATTTTTGGAGGTCCTTCATATCACCTGACACTCGGCTGCCGAAACCGAAATCCCGGCTTCGTTTCAATCAAATTGACACCTATCCACATTTTCATCAACCCAGAACATTTCGATCCGTCATCATCCCATCTTGGATTCCTTCACATTCATTCCGTCTTGGAACATTCGTTATGCTCCCCGAACGAGAAGATATGCCGGCGCTAGTGCGCAACAATCCACGAATAGGGATTACTACCCCACAATCCTTTGACACATCTCCCGCGGGGCTGACCATGCTTATCCACACGTTCATCCACACTCTCGTCAGGCACAAAGCCTGCTATCATTTATATTGTTCTGGTTTCATCCATCTTGGCAAAATTAATTTTGGCAATTGGTGGGAACAAAAATGCGAATGTTTCTGGAAAGATTCGATGATGGGATTCGGGATATATATCCGCGAGCTCCCCGAATATCCCCAAGAATTTTGCCTTTTTGATCCTTTGTTGTTCGCCATATATAGAGCTTGTTTGTTCTGTCGTTTAGATCTCCCGATCAATTGCATTCGTTCCTACATTATTTCATACTTCTTACAATGAAATCTGTTGCCATTGTTCCCACGCTGGCAGTCGCTGCGTTTGCTGCTCCAGCTAAAGACATCGAGAAGAGAGCTACCCCTCATGTCTACCTAGCTGGAGATTCGACGATGGCTCTCGGAGGAGGAGGAACTTCAACTCAAGGTTTGTTTCACTCTGAACTCTCCATAGGCTCATGCTGATGTCTTCTAGGTTGGGGCGTCTACCTTCCATACTCTCTCAAAGATGTTACAGTAGTAAACGACGCAGTAGCTGGTCGCTCCGCACGCTCGTACACGGACGAAGGTCGATTCACGACCCTGGTAAATACTGTAGCGTCTGGAGACTGGGTCATCATCGAATTCGGACATAATGATGGCGGTTCGCTCTCTCCTACGGACAATGGCCGGAGCGACTGTGTGGGCTCAGGAAGTGAAACCTGCACCACAGCTGCGGGTGTTGTGGTACAAACGTACGTCACGTACCTGACCAACGCAGCAAAAGCGCTGTTGGCGAAAGGCGCAAAAGTCATCATCAGCTCTCCCACACCGGACAATACGTGTGAGAGTGGGACTTGCTCTTATACCCCGAGTCGATTCACGGCGTACTGCAAAGACGTTGTCGAGAATGCGGGAAATGGAGCCAGCTTTGTGGATCATGGACAATATGTTGCGAATGAGTTCAACGCTCTAGGTGCCACGGTTGTGAATAGTTATTATCCCAAGGATCACACTCATACCAGTCCTATTGGAGCGAATGTCGTAGCAGCGGCCTTCATGAAGGGGCTGATGTGCAATAATGATCCGTTGGCGACATACTCGAAGAATACTACTGCGAGCATCGCTGGAAGTTGTATATAAGATGTCGTTGGCACAGAGAACTCACGAGCTGATGGTTTTTGGAAAATGGAAGGAAAAGAGCTATTTTCCTGACTTCTTTGTACATATTTGGATCCGCAAGAGGGAATTGTAAATACGAGATCAAGCATATTGCAGATTCAAGCCTCCATGTAGCCGGAGCGTCCCCCTCGACGCCTCCGCAACGTTTATGCAACGACCTTCCGGCAACGCTGCCGCAACGTCGCCTCGACGTTTTTCAACAACGTTGCCGCAACGCTGCCAGGAAGTTCCCCAAACTGCGATGTGCAACAAAAATGTACCTCTCAAATTGAATGTTCAGCCCAGGAATCCGGTTCGCTTCCATCACCGAGCTGTCCGGAACATTCAAAACATCCGAATTCAAGCTGACCCGAGGGATCCGGACTGCGAAACAGAGCTTTCTGTTGCACATCGCAGTTCCGAAGCGGCATTTATTCAATCAATTTGATTCGGAATGTGAGATGTTTGTTGCATGTCGCAGCTTTTCCCGGGGTGCGATGACCGAGAGCGAATTCCGAGTATCCGGCTCCGGAGGGCGAAGTCCTTCTCCGGATTTGGGAACGAGTGCGCATCCTAGATTCGGGTTTTTTTATGGAACATTCTATATAACGCTGTACTTATGTAAAAATCCACTTATTATTTGGCTGTGACATGCTTCCGCATGGGCCCGGACTTCGTCGCTCTCAAGGGGAAGGCTTCTGAGAGATGCTGTACGGCCAGCAAAGGCCGTACAGCAAAAGAGGATGTAGTAGCAAGAACTTTTTGCTCAGGAGTGGCAGCAAAGCTGGATTCTATTGTGGTGGGAAGCGTTGATACTTCTTGGGGCTTCATACTTTGACTCGAAAGTGATTTGCTTGCGAGGCTGAACTTGCATTCCCTCCCAACTCGTCCTCTCTACTTCCACAAGGCTCTAGATTCACCGCCCAATTAGATTACACCTTTAGCATTATTTACTTTAACTCTATAGATTCTAATTAGCATTTTTTTGGTAGCAAGCCCGGTTAGGCCCACAAAGGGCCAAACGACTGACCGGGTTTGACGGTGACTCGCCACCCTTCCTCCTTATTACATACGCCATTCCGTCCGCCACCGCGAACAATGCCATGCGCTTGGGCGCCCGAGCACGCAGTACTTCGGTACTGTGTTCCCGGGCGTTTTGTCTTTTTTTAATATCACACAAGCTTGTGACAAAAAGTTTGGTCGGAGGCTAGGACTTAATCTTCGTATAAGACAAGAAGTTATGCTTGTAGACCCTCTTCGGGCAATAGCTGCGATTCGAGCTTCTGAGGTATATCAAGAGTCATGGAACTTGAAGGTTCTGCATGAATTTCCCTCTCCTCTAAAGTCATAAGGTAGAGTTGAAGCGAGCAGATTGGATACGAGAGCTGGAATTTGTTACGACCGAGTGGGAGCCTGTTCGAGCCATTCCGAAAGATTTATCCAGGAAAGATATTTCATCCGAGATTCAGGCTGGGAACAAATGCAAGAGAAATATTTATTCGTGTGGGTGATCGCGGAGCCGGATAGCAGATAAACCGCCGTTAGAGAAGTAGCTATGAAGCATCAGAATGGCCTAGAAGCAACCAAAAGCTGCTTCCGGAGGAATTGTTGTTGGATGGTAGGATAGAGAACAAAAATCCCTGTGCTATAACTCCGGGACATCCATTCTTCACGTTTATTCCTAACACGTTAAGTCGACGTCGGAGCTCTTCTCTTTCGACTCATTCTCGGCACATCTAAAAGCACTCTATTATTATTTTCCATAGCATAGATTTTGTTGTTCATCTACTTTCATAATGTGAAGTTCCATGCTACTTTTTAGAATGATTCAATCCACAATCATTCAGCGTCTCCAACTTCCCAGCCACTCCTCAGCCGGGGGGTGTGGCTGAGCTGGCTAACCTGAATCGGTTGGCGAGGAGTAGGAAGGCTAAGCTTCCGGATTTTTTGGCGAGGCTAAGGAAGGCTGGCATGTATTTTAGCGAGGAGTAGAAAGGCTGATAAGGCTCGGATTAATTAGCACTACCGAGGGTCTTAACCGAGATTACTACCCCTTATTTATCTTTAAAGCCGATGAATTTTAATCTCCGAATACACCTTAGCCCGGCCTTAGCCAGCCACCCCCTTAGGCTGAGCTAGCGGATCAATTTCTATTGGCGAGGAGAAGGAAGGCGGAGGTTAAAAAATCGCTGGCGAGGAGAAAGGCGGTGGCGGGCTGAGGAAGGCTGTTTATTGGCTGGGCAGCTGGAGACGCTGCTTGAATCATTAACACTCCTATCACTCACGCTATCTTGCCCTCATCCAACGTAGCCGAATTGCTTGAAAGCTGAGCTTTCAAGTGATCTAAAGCTCTATGCAAAATATCCCTAACCACGGCATCTTTCCTGTAAGTGTACTGCATCATTGACTCTCCAGCCAGCTTGCTTGCCTCACTACTCTCTTTCTTGATCTTCGCATACAGTTCTCTGTCCTCTGAATTTCCTATCAACCACTCCTTGAGAATGCGATGTCGCTCTACCTCCGGAGATGCAGGTGGCCAAACATGCACGTTCGCGAACATGGGCTCAGAAGCGGTAAAGAACCTGTGGCTATACCACTTGGGCTCCCGCAAGTTGAACTGGAAGCCTTGGGCTTCCAGCGCGGGAATGTAGGCGCTCTCGTCATTGATGTCTGGAACTACGACGTCGATGTCAATGATCGCTTTCGCGGGAAGCCCAGGGACCGAGGTTGATCCTACGTGGGAGACAGAAACGAGGTGATTTGTTCCAGGTTCCGCTCTGCTGGGTGATGGTGGCCCAAGAGCAGCAACGATACGTGAGGCGAAGAGATCATAGCTGGAGGGCCAGGTGGGATCCGGGTCGACGATATCCAGACTGGGCTTGACTTTGCGGAATGAAATACGTTCAACGTCGTCATCGTTGTCGGGCTGATGTCTCAGAAGTTCTTCGATGGAGACTCCGTTCGACATTGTAGTAGGAGTTCAAATGAGAGTGTTTCGAGAGAAGTTGTACAAATCTGTTGCGATCGAGTGTACGAGCTCGCCAACACTGGCTTAAAAGATCTCTAGGTGGTCACGTGGAGCTGGTGAGAACTAAACTCAATCGGGTTCGGTGAAGACGGGGAGCCAAGAATGGAAGTTGATAAGACATCTCGACAGCTTAGAGATGTTGGCTATGTTAGAGGCAGTTACGATTTGCATGATTCTGGCTCTAAACATCACAGACTCGCGCCACCAGCTCTATTGCAATAAAAGGAGACGGGAGATCACCGTAACCCCTGGCTCAACCGGCAGTCGAATCTCCTCATGCCGTCAGCCTCGCTCTTAGGAGGCAAGACGACGTCCAAATATAAAATAAGCGAAGCCCACGACAAAACCTAAAATTTAAATCGCGATCAAGTCGAACCTTCACTTCGATATTCTCAAGTGAAGAAGGCGTTATTGATTGTTTCATACAAAAGATCACGCAGGATTACATCAGAAGTATTCATTTTTTGAAGTTAAACCACTTTGAAGCAAGTCAATCACTAAAGCGAGTGAGGGGTCCATGGTGTTCGGTTGCGCACGGCACCCTCCTTTCTCTAATCCCAGCCCAAGAAAGCGGGGAAACAATGCATAAACCAAAGCAGAAGGATTTACGAGGACCCTTGACCAATCGATGGACGATTTGAGGCAACACCGCATCTTTGATATCACTTCCTTATCGTTTGTGCCCGACTAGCAATAAAGCCTAATCTCAAAGTTATCAATGAGGCTGCAGAGCCTCCTTCCTCTTTTCTTTTCTCCATTCTTCTTCTGTCCTAAAATATCAAGATAACAGCAAATAAAACGATGACTTACTCGTTGATTGCAATTACCCTGGGGCTGGCAGCTCTTGCATTTTTTCAACTCAGTAAGATTGGTCGGAGGCCTAAGGATTACCCTCCAGGACCTCCGACCCTCCCTTTGATCGGAAATCTCCATCAGATGCCTGGTAAGAATGGGCACCTTCAGTTTCAGAAGTGGGCGCAGGAGTACGGGTAAGATAACTTGCGATTGCTAGTCAGATGATATTGTCTTAACTTGGATTGTGCTTAGTCCGGTGTACTCCCTTATCCTCGGCACCAAAGTTATGATTGTTCTTTCCTCCGACCAGTCTATCAAAGACCTCTTGGATAAGCGGAGTAACATTTACTCCTCTCGTCCTGAGATGTATCTCGGTCAGATCGTTAGTGGTTACCTACGAGTTCTTTTAATGGTGCGATCAACCTTAGGTTTCCAACTGAGTGATACCAATTGACGTGCTTCAGGAGTATGGCGATACGTGGAGAATGATCAGAAAGATGATCCACAACATATTGAACATCAAAGCTGCCAAGTCATACGTTCCCTACCAGGATCTCGAGAACAAGCAGATGCTCCTAGGGCTTCTTGAACAACCTGAATTGTTTGTAGGGCACATCCGTCGCTATACCAATTCTCTTACGACGCAGATGGTTTTCGGGTTTCGAACCATCAGTATCGATGATCCCAAATTGATTCAATTATTTCATGTAAGTGTAGTCACTCGGACACAACTATGTGATGCTGACATGCAAGGTGTCAGGGCTTCGAAAAATTCTGCGAAGTTACTGCCACGACTACTGCAGCATTGCTCGATCTCTTTCCGATCCTGAAAGTTCTCCCGGATTTCATGCTCCCCCTCCGCGCATACTCGAAGGAGCTTCACAAGAGAGAACGGGAACTTTATGTTGGGCATTGGATGAACGTCAAGGAGAAAATCAAAACCGGTGTTGCGAAGGTATGGCTTGCTGGAAAACAGTAATGACCCGTGACTGACCAAAAACTATCTCAGCCCTGCTTCTGTGTCGACTTGGTCAAAGCCCAAGATGTTGAGGGGTTTTCCGATGCTTTAGCAGGATATATTTCCGGTTCACTCCTTGAGGCCGGCTCTGACACTACAGCTGCCACCCTTATCGGTTTTGTCCAGGCCATGGTCGTGTTTCCCGGGGTTCAAAGAAAGGCACAAGAGGAAATAGATCGCGTTTGCGGCGAAAGGTATCCAACCATGGACGATGAGCGAGACTTGCAGTATATCCGAGGCTGTGTCAAAGAAAGCATGCGCTGGATGCCAACAGATATTCTCGGTGTACCACACGCGGTCATCAAGGACGACGAGTACATGGGGTACAAAATTCCCAAAGGTGCGGGTGTAATGTGGAATGTCTGGTATGCTCTCTAGTTTTGAAAAGAATTTAAGGTATGGTACTGAACTGAATCTTTCAGGGCCATCCATATGGACCCCAAGCGCCACCTTAATCCTCGCGCTTTCGATCCTTCTCGCTACGCCAACGACTTTCAAACTGCATCCGAAGCTGCCTCGAACTCTGACGCCTCGAAACGTGATCATTTCGTCTTCGGTGCCGGTCGTCGCCTCTGCCAGGGCATGCATATTGCTGAACGCTCGCTCTTCCTAGGGATTTCACGTATGCTATGGGCTTTCAATTTTGAGAAGGCTCGTGATGAGGAGGGCAAAGAGATCATTCCCGACATTGATAAGTTGACAGAAGGCTTGTTTGTCTTTCCACAACCTTTCCCAGCAAAGATCTCGCCGAGGAGTGAGAAGCATGCCAGGAAGATTAGAGAAGAGTGGGCCAGCGCACAGGAGTTGTTGGATGAGCAGAAGCAATGGAAGGAGGTTCCCAAGGGGATGGTGTTTAGCACCTATACCCCAGATATTGAGGCAAAACATTAAGGGCTTTGAGGAAGTTCAGATGGAAGTGACTTGAAGAAAAGACTTTTCGGAGATCCAGCTGGCATATGTTGATGACACCCCTATCTAAGCGAGCCTGATATTTTTGAAGTTCTCCTTCAAAGTCATCATACGCTATGATACGGGTCGGTTCCCAAGGCAGAACAGAAATCATCCAGAAGAATGAATACGATCGGTGTTCAAATTAGCCAGAGCTAGGATGAAAAGAGGAAGTTAGTAAAGCTTTTGTTGCATGTCGCATTTTTCAACACTTATAATTGAATCTCATAAGTACAACTCATAATCGCAACTCGGACTTTTAGTTCATAGTTCATATGTCACCCCACTAGTGCCTTGCAATATCTGTAACTGAGCTCATAAATACCGCTCATAAGCACATGCAGCTCATGATTGTACCTTCTAGTCAGACACTTTTGAACTACGGTAGTTGAACTACCGTTCGTAATCTAAGTTGAACTTTTGTGCTGTGGCATATAACACTTAGATGATCAATAACCACATTTTAAACTTATTTATCATTCGAAATACTCTATTGACCTCGCTTATAGACCAGATCAAAGACCTTCAACGTGTGGAAGTGAATTTGATAGGTCACGTGCTGTAGGCCATATTGCCTTGTCTATCTTCTCAGTTTCACGACTCCTAAACACGCTTTCCTTTCATTTGCAGAATGTTTGATCTGGGGTTTGAAGACATACTTGGTAACCGTCTTTCGTGGGTACATCCCATCTTGTGTAGTTTGCCAAGTTAAAGTACTTCTTCCTTATCACGACCTGACTCATGTAACCCTCTGAAGGGAGGTCTTCAATGAGGGAATTCGCTGCTCCACTCACATTTCTCCCTTATCTGCTATGATATCTGATACTTCCTTGGCGTGATATGAACCATAGTGCTGTACCTCCAGCTTTCTAGCTCTTGCGAAAAGTATACTTCGAAGATTTGGTTATGGAACCCATTGAGATGGCCAATGAGGGGCCTCCTTGAGAGCTGACATACTTTTGGGATATTTGTTGCTGGGAGACACAAGGCTATAGGCTTTAGAATAGCATTGGAGAAGGAATACCAAGTCTCCATGGTATGTGGATTGGTCAACATGGCAAGGTCCTGAAGCGGGACTCAATTGGCAGCAACTCAAACCGCTCCATCTTTTTCTGCTGAACAAGCACCCAAGCTCGATCAAAAGCAGCATCATCTAGACCTGTTTAGCGAGAACTTCCCTGATGGGTAGCGCCGTCTCATGTACGGGATGTATTCTGGTTACAACGAGATCATGACTTGAGCGGGCATGAAATTGTCGTAAATTTCTAGGAAGACATATTGTTTAAATCTCACTGGCTGTGCAGAGAATGCTTATCTCAAGATATCGACCATGTATCTTGCGTCGAAGTCCCTAGCCACACACCCACCTACAAAATTGCGCTTCACAAAACCTGCTTCGAGTGCTTCTGAGCCACAGATCCGCAGGACTAACACTCCTTGGATTCGTGATGCTATTCTTTCAGTTGGTTGTTGGAATCCTTACGATCGCAGCCTCGTTGAGAGAATATGAGCAGCTTTTCTCATTTCCGGCCTCAAAGGTTTGATAGGCTCTAAAGAAGCCAGATGGCTCTCGCTACTGGCCGTGCTAACGCCTCCAACATTTCGGGAACGAATTGTCTTTCGGCTTGTTCCCCCTTTCCGTTATCGAGGTGATTTCCGTCGCGACGATGCGTCAGCACCGGGAAGAGCAAGGGAACAAGCCACTTCGTTGCCCGACAACAGTCACTCGCGAATTAGGTGTGGCACACTCTTGAATTGCAGTTATACCTGAGAACATCATCACTGTGGAAGTAATCACTAGATTAGAACCGCGTAATTCATAAAAATCGACCTAGAAGGAACGTTGCTGGGCGCAAAGGAACCACTGAAATGATAGCTACCCAAAGCAGCTCTCAATTGCGAACCGTATCAAGAAAAGGTTCTAATTTGCTAGTGAGTTAGAATTATGCCTAACAGTCAGCCTTGGTAGGGTCTGCCTTGGTGGAGGCGATGTTGAGCATGTTTTGAGCTTGCGTGGACATCATTCATATGTCGATGAACAACTTCGAGTTCTTCCGACCAAAACGGAGCTTCTTCATATCACTCTAGGCTTCTCGGAAATGAAATATATCACATTCCGACATTGAAGTCTCTCTGCCTTGAGGGTAGTCCTGCCGCCTCTGTCGCTAGATCTCTTGGCCAACCGATATGGCGGATTTGTCCGGCTATCAACTTTGGATGCTGCAGCCCAATTGGACAACCGAGATCTGTCAAGCCGCTGCACCAATCTTCGTTAATGTCACAATCAATGGCCAAGACCCGAGAGATCTTAGCATACGTGGAGTCGCTAGCTTTCTCCAGCTTTTGCCTTCCCCTTTCAATGTCTCGACCGAGGGCGACTTATGCGAGTGGTGGACAAACACTTGGACATATGACTCTGAGGTCAACAACACAGCTTTTGTGAATAACATCGGTATGTGTTGCAGCTCAGAGGTGTGTTCGAATGTCGATTGGGGCGGTAATCCTGATATCGCCGGGATTGGAGTAAGTCATTATCAAGGTTTGTCCGAGAGAACACGATGCTGATGTTACCAACAGTTGATGGTCGTTTACTATTGGCTACTCGGCCTAACACTGTTTTTTGCAATAGCTCTGCTCATACCTTTTGGAAGGACCCTGTTACAGTTTGCACCCACGAAACCATCTTCATTCACACAGCAGCAGACCCAAGACCAGACTGAGTCCAGCGAAGAAGAATCCGGCAGAAGCATCAGTGAGAGATTCTTTGATGCTTTTGTTGGGACCATTACCCCTTTATTTGACTTGTGCTTGACCTTCACCATCACAGCCGAAGTGTCAACGCTAGCATTCCACAGCCAGGCCGTGTCTCGATACGAAATGGTGATCTCGGAACTATTATGTGTGTTTACGAGCTCCGCATGCATATTGATATGGATTTTCCAGTTCGGAATCGCTAGATTCAGATTCCCAAGGTTCTGTTTCTACCTGCTTACTTGGCCGTTATTGATAGCAATTATTGCAGTCCATAATACGATGAAAGTGCGTGGGATGAAAAACCTGGTGATGGAGTGTCTTGATGATAGAATGGGTCGGTATACGGAGAACCCAGGAAGAGATTACACACTTTTTTCTGCTTGGGGTCTTGTTTCGGCTTTGCAGGTTCTTGTGGTATTGGAAATGGTGGATCTAAAGTCAGTGAAGCGAAGGTCCTTTCAGCTATTGATCAGGGTGGGCGGACGCCTGGTATTGACTACTCCCATCCTGTGTTGTGCAATTATGATATGGTGCGTCTCTGAGATGTCGGCGTTGCGAGAGAAGATGAAGGAGATGGCAGGCTCAGAGTACGATGAGAATTCATGGGGCTTCGGACAGGTTTTTGTACTAGCAATCTGGTTCTCGATAATCCTATCTTTTGTTTACTTTCTTTTCTGTGAGCTGTCCAATCTGACGTCTCGAAAACAAAGGAGAATGCTAAGGGCTTCATAGGCAAACCCGAAGACGGCTTTGAAAGCCATTTGCCAGAGAACTGGATGGCGGTTCGAAGATCCCTTCACGTTTGCACTAACTGCAAATGCGAAACCTGCCAATGTCCCAAATATCAAGATCAAGTCGACAAAGCAAGTTCCGTTCGGGTCCGAGCACAGGCCAATGCCAATGATCACCTTCTGACAAAGGGGTACACCGTCGAAACTTCAGAGCATGTAGACGAAAAAGAGAAGGCATCGTGCTGCTGATCACATGATCTTTATGTATATCAAGGAGGAAGCAGAGAAGAAAAGGGTACGCTATGGCTTTTATTGGAACGATCAACATAATCTCCTATCGAAAAGTGGTTAACCAAACTCGGGTTCGAAAATGTGTAGATTTCTAAGACAGAATTCCATTTATGTTAGACTTGGTTTATTGGATTCTTTGTTGCTTGAAAATTGCATCTACGAATGTATCTCATATTCAAAGCTCTACTATGTGCGATTAGGCCCAATCAGATTCTCTGCACACCACACCATCCCAGTGGCAACCGACATGCAGTAAAGCTGAAGATGTCTTTACTCGCTCGAAATCGAGAAACTTACAACGCTCACCGTCAATCTAAAGAGCTCGTAACCAGACATTTCGAGTTGTCACGTGATAGTATGCCTTCCGCTGAGCCGCGGAATTCTTAATCAAATGATCGCTTTGAGGATGAAACGAGAATAAAATGTTTTATTTATTAACACTCAAAAGTGGGCAGTTGTGACCGGCGGAACTTGAAAGCAGACCAGGAGCGCAAGTACTGAGATCATGTGACTCGGATAATCCTCCATGTTGAACTTTATGATGAGGTTCGGACATGATGAGACGGAAGGGAGTATGGAGGAGCAGTTTGAGTGTGAGAGGGGATGGCGAAGGAAAAGGACGAAAGCGGGACTTGAGCGGGAGCAGTGATGCAAAGCCAAAAGCGAGTCGGAAAGAGATGGAGAAGAGAAGAGCGGTGAGGGGTTGTGACTCACTCAATAACGGAACGAGCGGAGAGCATGAACGATAATGTGTTGTCTAAGTGACTCACATAAGTTCTTCCCAACCAACAATGCCAAGCCTCCTCCGCTCCGGGTATCTTTTCCTCCCCTCATTTCATTCAGGCAACCACACTGCCCAACCGAATCACGTTCCTCACCTCATCATCAATCAACGGTCCCTGATACTCCTTTCGTCCCCTAATCCAATACCAAATAACGCTAAAGATGATGACACCTCCAGTAACCAAGACGCTGTAGTTCATTGTCGATGCCGAGACAGGAGTTGCTGGAGGCCATACACTCCAGAAGATCACGAAGATCATGTAAAGGCATGCGTAGAGGTTGTTGATGATCCCCAGGATGCCGGGGATGCGGAATGGGCCCCAGGCTAGTTGGATTTGGGCGACTTCGATGGCGACGTCTGGGATCGTTGTTGAAGTGTTTGGATCTTCTGAGGGTTTCATCTTTTCATCTCCGATATGACCATCTGCGCCATCATGGCTCGGTTCTGGGAGGTCTTGAGTTGCAGCCGGAATGTGAAGGGTTTTTGATGCCACATGTCCTTTGATTCGGTGGTAGAGTAGGAATGCTGATGGTAGGAAGTACGAGCCGTAGAAGCCAGTAATAGTCAAAGAGATGACATCGTTGAAAGCTGTTGGAGAACCAATGTAAATGAGGGTCAGCAAAGCAGCAAACAGTGTGACGGCTCCAACGGCAATGATAGGCACTTTTGTTCTCTTGTCCACTTTCATCAGGTAATGTGAGAACGGTGTTCCTCGATCTCGAGCGAAGGACCAAGTCATCCGTGATGCTGTTGTAGTGATGCCAATAGCACAAGACCAAGTCAGCGCAAGAACCACTGCTGTCATCACAGTAGCGCCGGCGATGCTGCCAACGCTATCATAAAAGATTTGAATGAAAGGAAATCCAGTGGCCGTGCCGACTACGGTTGTCAAATCGCCGATGCAGAATAGAACTGTAAGCATCATGGCGAATCCAAGAATGCCATTGATAATCATACTGCCGCAGATAGCTCGTGGGATATTGATTGCTGCATTTGAGACTACGAAGACATCAGCGTCACGTGAACATATGGAAGTGATTGTCCGTACTTTCTTCAGCCATATGGACTGTGGCATCCGCACCAACAAAGGTTGCAACATTTCCAAGAAATCCCACGCAGTACGAGAGTCCCTGGGTTGGCCAGTTTCCTTCATTTAAACTCGTCGTGAACACGAAGGATGCAGTCTGATGAGTTGAGTACGTCCAAAGCAGAGCCATGATGGTAATGAAACCAGCAACATGAAAGACCAAGATGAAGATCTCGAACTTCGGAAGCGTTCCGGGAATGACCGTGTTGATCAAGATAGCCACCGCAATGACAAGCCAAGTAAGCAAAGTACCTTGATACTCCTTAGGCACATAAGTATCTGGATAGTCGAGAATAATCAGACCCTGGATGATAGTGCCTGCAAAGACGGACTCTGTAGCTATCGTAGCAATCCAAGCAAGACTGGTAAGCCACCCAATGATATAACTTGAGAACTTTTTATACCGAGTTGGCGCGAGAATATATACCTACGCACGAATAAGACTCCGGATTATGAGTGAGGACTTCCATGACAAACCCAATAGTATTGGCCACCAGCAATTGGAGCCATTGACGCCAATTCAGAGATCACTGTATAGACTGATAATGTTGACAGCCAAGCAATAAGAAAGCCATATACAAGACCAGCAGGCCCTCCGTTGTCCAGCCCTTGGCTGAAGATTGCAAGAACGGTCTCCCACGTGATCAGCTCACACATTGCAAAACCGAAGATTGAGAGAAGTCCGAAGCGTCGCTTGAGGACCTGTTTTTTCCCTAGCAAGGCAAGAACATCGCTGTCGACAGTTTGTCCATTGTTGCGATCGGCTGGGACATCCATAGCGACTGACTTGGGGGAAGCAATCACGATGGTAGAAGGTACGATGACATGTGGTATACAGTTGCTTTTGAAATCGATCAATTGGTACAATGCTGTCGTCGACGTTACATGTGGTGAAGGAGAAATAAACAAGAGGTTGGGCTTGAAAATTTGTCACGACTGCAAAGATAAGCTAGATCCTCGGCCGAAATCTTAGTCTTTGACATGGGGATGTTGCTGACATCCCACAACATCATGTCGATCTGCCAAGGAAGGTGCGAGGGGGTGCAAATTGTAAGCTGGAGATTTGGAATCTGCCATTAGATCACAAATGGGTCAAGGAAATTGAAGCTATTCAGACAATATGACATAATAAGATAAGCCATGCCAATGATAGTTTTGAGGGAGGAGCAGGCTGAAAGGCTAGGGCTAGGCATTCAGGGAGGCTCGGTTGATAGCGTTGAGCTAGCGGCCGATTATCAAACTTTCATCCTCGGATCTCCATCTCCATCCTTCACCATCATATCTCGGTGTCCCATTGGGTACAATCCTCTCAATTGATGTTTCAAGATGCATCTTCTCACTTTGCTGCAAAATGCATTGCCTCATTGATTCGCTTTGTGAGGTCTAATGCAAGTAGCAAGTGGGTCCGCAAGAGCGCAATCCTGGGGAGAGTTCGAAGACGTCCGCGACTCCATTCGCACGATTTATGGCAAACAGTGTTCCGAAAATTGCATTCATACATAGTCAGGAACAAAATACGCAGTGCAATGTTCACTGCGATTTCTTTCACTCCATCTTTCCCAACTGTTCATTTCATCATATTATAGCACATCATGTGACAAGGTCATGTGATTGCACAAGCAGGCAGCCTTGCGATCTACCCCACCTTGGCCGGAAAGTCTCCGAAAGGTGAGGCGAACTGACCCCGCATATAACAGTACTTCATATCTCTAACCAACAGAATAAATGAAAGAGTCATACTTTGCATGATACGAAGCCGTGCAGTCTAGGCAGACTCGGGAGCCTGCACCTTTGCTACGCCGCTTCCCGCCAATGACTCCAACGCCACAGGCAGCCATGTCTCCACTTATGCTCGGGGAAAGATACATAAATCTGGTATCTATGCTGGGCGTTCTGTAGGACTTTCTTATACGTCTGCCTTGGTATCCACTTATCGACCAATACGAACCACCATGTCTACCACAAAGAAGGTGATTTGTCCAAATTCAAGTTCTACCTGTCCTCGAATACTTACTTGTACCAGAAGATTCTTCGCAAGAGAAAGGCAGAAGCTGAACCAGAGCCAAGTACACCTGACAAGATGATGCTCTTCAAGAGAACTCGAAGCATTGCTGCTTCGAAGCCCTCGGCAAATGACGTTGATCTTCCAACTCCTCCTGAATCGACAGCCGACAATGCCAGCGATATTCTCGCAGCAGCCTTCTCCGGCAAAGACCCAGAATTTGGAACCAGCGCCAGTGTTAAAGTCTTCTACGAAGGAAAGAACAGCAACCCCAATCACTACAATTGGGTCGAGACCCCGCCAAAGCAGCTTAACGAGAAGATTGCCCGAGCCAACAATCGTGTCGCCATCAAGATCTTTAAGATCAAGGACCTTGAGCAACCTACGATCTCCGGGAAGACTCCACTCAAAATTCATGAGATTGAGATCCAGAGTGCCATACTTGTCGCTGCCTTGAAAGACATCGTCAAAGATGAAGGCATGTACCTCGAGACTACAGAATCTGCGAAATTTCAGCAGCCATTCAAGCCACTCTTCTTCTGCTACGACAAGATCATGGCACTGTACGACAAAACGAAGTCTGGAGGAGTTTTGAAGCAACATCTGAAGCTTCTTGTACAGGTCATGGATGAGATGTTCGGCAGTTTCATGTCGCATTTGAAGTCTCTCAATGCCAGCGGACTCATCTCTTACAAGCTGGCTTGGACATATTTCCGAAAGGACGCAATGCTCTTCTGCCCTTCCAAGGACAGTGAGCGGATTTTCCGTGTGGTCGCCACTCAATACGTGACCCATCCGTGCCCTCATATGTTGATCAGTTGTGAGGAGATCGGATTTGATGGGGAGACATTTGCTTGGAGGGCAACTTCACAGCAGATCCCTTGCTTTGGTGGCAACCTTCCTGTCACTGAGCTACCTGTCTATCCTCTTGAGTTCCACGATGACCCTGAGGCTGTGAAAGAGCGCTTAACGGTCCGAGCCAAGAAGGCATTGGACTACCAAGAGCTCACTTACTGTGAATACACTGGTGTGGGTCTCCTCAAGACCCAATGTGGCTTCCAGAGACACAACGTAAGTGTAGTTGTCTGAATGAAGCATTGTCCCAACTCACACGTGTGACAGGTCAACAGTCGCATCTTGATTGATTACTTCGGATACAAGAAGCATTTCGAAGGACTTGCCAGAACCGACACGAACACCTCACGTCGCAATCGCCATCACAATAATAACAACAATAACAACCGAGCCCTTCCCAATGGGGAGATAGCACCAGAGGAGAACACATATGTTCAGACTCTACCCCTCGAAAAGCAGCAACAGAACAAGAAAGAGATGCTAAGCAAGAGATACGACGACCTCGTCTACGTCTCCCCTCTCCTCGAAGGCTTCGCATTGAAGAACAAGCAATGGCGTACGCTCCCCCACTCCCCACTCATCTCACCTACTCCACACTAACAAACATCAAGTCAACTTCTACGTCGACGACATCAAACCCGTAGTCTGGAACGACGAAGCATACGGCCACCTCGTCTACCCCGAAGAACAAAAAGACCTCGTCCTAACCTTCGTCGACAACCACCAACGCCTCAAAGCCCGCGTCGACGACGTCATCATGGGCAAAGGTCAAGGCCTCATCCTGCTGTTATCCGGTCCTCCTGGCACAGGCAAAACCCTCACGGCAGAAGCAGTAGCTGATAAAACCCGTCGTCCGCTGTACTACCTCCAAGCCGAGGATCTAGGAACAGATGCCGCGCGTCTGGGCCCGAAGATCAAGAAGGTGTTTGAGATGGCTACGGAGTGGGACGCTGTTATTTTGCTTGACGAAGCGGATGTTTTCATGGCTGAGCGTGACCCGGGAGATATTGCGCGCAATGAACTTGTTTCTATCTTCTTGCGGGAGTTGGAGTATTTCAAGGGTATCATTTTCTTGACGACCAACCTTTACAGCACGATTGACGCAGCGTTCCGGTCTCGCGTTAATATTCATTTGGTGTTTAAGTCTCTGCCGGCTTCTTCGCGCTTGGTGCTTTGGGAGAAATTCTTGAGTCGGTTGCCGGGTGAGGATGTGGTAGCTGAGTTGGAGGAGGGTGACATGGGGGAGTTGGCCAAGTGGGAGTTGAATGGGAGGGAGATTAAGAATGCGATTAAGACGGTGAGGACTTGGTGTGTTTGTAAGGGGTTCGAGATGAATTTGGCCAGGTTGGAGGCTGGAATTAAGGTCACTGCTCCGTCATCTGCGAAGGTGGAGGAGGTTGAGGAGGGTGAGTTGGTGTAATGGATGTAAGTGTAGGTTGACTCTTTCATGTTCTTGTATTGGGGCTGTTGCAAATTCTATACTGAGTCAATAGTCACTTTTCTTTCCAATTCCAGAGAATATCCTCGTTTTCAGGCCTAATACCGCTCACAACCCTTTTAGATACTCTTTGGGGTGACACCTAGAGTGAAAAGTTGCCTGACATCACCTAGCTTCAACATTTTAGTACATAATTCACTCTAGGCTTCGACCCAGTCTCTCATTGCTGTGTCGAAGTCTCTAGTCAGAGAGCATACATTGATGCCTATGTCAACGACCCGTCGCTCCTCTGGACAGTGATACTTGACAGCAAGTGCACATCAACTGTAAAGTCCTTGTTGACAACGAAATTACAAGCGAACCAAGCCGATCCCAGAATTTGATTTCAAGGAAAGCCACCTGATCAGCTCAGCCTTTGGCAGATCCAGCGCATTTTGCGCGTTTCGCGCAATTCGCGTCCTCCCTCTTCCGAAACTTGATATTCCTAGCATTTCTAAAATTGGCTGACACGATTATCTAGAACACCAGTACATAGACAATGTGAGCGTGGCTCATCCATGGCTGAAGCCCCGTCCTACAAGGTTCACGACATCAGAATAGCAAGAAATCAATGAGACAAACAATACATTTGAACAGAACTATTCTAACATCTGCTTAGTGAGTGACTGTACAAACATCAACTTCGAATGTACGATCCGTAGGCGTCAAGATCTCCCCCAAAGCCTTCGTGGTGTCCTTCGAAGCCTTCTGTAACTCGTACCTGCCCAGCTCAAGTATGCAGCTGTCGATAGCGTTCGACGTTCTTCTTCCTCAGTGTACAGTACGCCAGCTACGCGAGCGGGCCACTCCGAAATCGGCTTGGTGAATAGTTCTACGAAGGTGGAGTCGACTTGGTCCTTTTCAACAACAGCATCAACGAAGGTGAGCGTATCGAGAGCCTTGAAATCAAGGAGGCGCTCAATGAAATGGCATGTTGCGTGCATTGTGAAGAAACGAGGTCGAGTGGGATCTCTCTCCCTCACAATGTAGTTAGGGAGAGAGATCCACTCGTTCTCGTCGTTTTCGAGCATGCTTGCGCAGGTCTTGACCAGGTGGTCGTTGACATTCTTCAAGAAGAATGTTGATGTCTCTCTCCTACAGATCTTGCATGTCCTTAAACTTCTTCAAAGGGTAGGCAATCCGGCGAAGCTTGTTAAGAAGAGTAGGATCTCTCTCCCTGACAATGTAGTTAGGCCACTGAATGATACTAGGTATCATTCCACCAGCAAAGAGAGGGAGAAACTTATACTCGTCATCGGTGAGGCAAAGGAGGGAATCACAGGTGATTGACCACTCATTCTCATCGTTGATGTCTCTCTCCTACAGATCTTGCATGTCCTTCAACTTCTTCAACAGGTATGCAAGCTGACGAAGCTTCCTAAGCAGAGTTGATCGATACCATACATGATCTTGTCGGCGAAGAATTCAAGGCTGTTGATGAAGAGGATGTCGGTTTCGGGATCGAATAAGCTGCCACTAATTTCAAATCGGACAATGCGCCATATGGCATTGTTTGCAAACCGGATCACTTGGGTGTGATATCCGAAGTAACAGCACAAGGCGGTACAAGCACGTGACGATTCTCAGGGGCCAGCTGTTGAAAATATTGGCTGTGATAAGCATGTTAGCTGGGGTCGAACATCTATGTCTTCGGAATTGACAAGGCAGGAGCGACTGAAAGAAGATGCGAACGAAAGAATTGTGCTCGTCCGGTAACGTCTGGATGTTGACAACGACAAAAACTAACAAGAGAAACAAGCAAATTCACATGTAATCTCGAGCACAAAACAGTCTACAAAATGCATTTCACAAGCATGATTTGATATTGGGACAGGGTGCCAGGCTGACATGACAGGGACGCACTCACCAAGAGCCATGAAATACAGGACAAAGTCCAGAAAGGAGTTCTGCTTAGGCGTCAGCGGATTCTATCTCAATTTATACTGGCAAACTCGGCCAGATTAGCAGATCTCACGAGTGAGACTAACCGTAATTAGAAATCTCTGTCAGGGAATCTGTGAGGTGAACGCAGAACTTATCAGAGACTGAGGACATTATCCAGAAGCAACCATCAAAGGTTCGAAAATACTAGGTTTCAGGACCGTGACTATGCAAAATTACAGTATCGGACTTTCGAGCAGCAATCATCGAGTGAGAACATTTACAATGTAGTTTATTTTCATGGTCATGCAGAACAGCCTTAATGACGGAATGCTGGTGAGTGTATCATGGACTCTGGGGAAAGCATAGCCAGTCCGTAAGATGTACGTTTCCAGGAGCGTAGTTTCTGAGAGCAAATGTGTGAGTCGAAGTTGAGGGAATAGTGGTACCTGCTGATTGGCCGGTGACGTGGGTCATCGTGGGTCCTGAGGCGAGGGGCAGAAGAGGCTGCTTCGCTCCTCCCACGAAATTTTCCAGAGCAGAATTGAATCAACTTGCTTCCATCAGCATCTCTATTTCCATCAACCACTCAATTCTGAACATCACTACCACTGATAACGAGCTGCTCTGGACGTGGCGTGACTTCCATGATTCAATCTCCTTGAGCTTCCTCGCTGTGGTAAGCTCCTTTCAGCGTGTTGACTCGACTCGGGCGCCGGTTCTGTGGCTCCATCTGCTGACAGACTCAAGTTGGAGGCGGACCATCGATCGCATTTCATTGAAAAGAGACTTGATTTGGGCTTCGGTGAGCAACTCTCCATCCAGGGCTTGCCAATTCTTCGTGAATGCTGGTTTGTGCAAGGACTCGAATCCCTTCTGTTCGTCGATCGATCTCTCCCATGGCAACCTAGCTAACATCCGTGGCACTGCAGCATGCGCATATCCAGCTGTGCACTCATCAGAAAACCTTCACATTGTAACGGAAGCTCTGCGCTTCTCACCTTGCGCCATGCCGATCACTCTGTGCAAGGCCTGTAGGAGAGAGACATCAAGGTAAGCATCGAACGGGACCCTGCCCAGTTCATCCTTGGCTGTAAAATCGGTAAATGATTTCGAACAGGCACGAGCTGGACGAGGAATGATGGAACCACATCAGCAAATATCTGCGCAGCCATCGTTCAATGATTTCCAACAAGGACGAGCTGGACGAGGAAACGGTGCTCGAGCCCGAAGATACGATGTAGAGGATATTCCAAAGTTCCATAGCCCACCACGCAATCGTGGTCGCGCACCCTCTCCCCAGACCTTCATGCCCCCACAATTCGGACCTAAGTCACCATTGCGTGCACCTGATTCCCACAACAAGTCCATGCCGAGTGTACCGCGTCAAGAGGACATCAACGACTGGGATGATGTGTGGACGCCCACAGTGAGTGGAGCATGTTTGGGAAGAGACCTCGCTGACAAAGACCAGTTACTATGAGGGCCACGAGTTCCAGATTGCGACACGCCCCATCCGCATCCTAAGGCTTCTCGAAGCGGAGACGCCACCATCTGGAGATGAATACATCTGAGTATAAGATCTGCAGGAGAGAGACATCAAGGATGAGCGCACTGGGCGCCACAGTCGATCCGGCTCTACAGGCTTTGAGTACCGTCCCATTCCCGTCTCTTACAGTCAACGGCGCAGCCGCAGCCCGCGCCAATGCTGCCGGTTCCGCAAGCCAATCCTCTTCGACCCAAACAGCAAGTGTCCCTCGTTCCGACAAGTCTAAGACATCAAGAAAGCGCAAGGCTGAAGCCCTAGAGGAGCCCGAGACCATTTGCAAGATCTGTAGGAGAAAGACATCAACAGCCAACCCTCTTCGACCCAAACAGCAAGTATCCCTCGTTCCGACAAGCCTAAGACATCAAGAAAGCGCAAGGCTGAAGCCCTGGAGGAGCCTGAGACCGGTCCAACAGCCCGGATGGCAGACCTGACTATTGATGATATCATTGTCAGTTATCCCCGACACTCAATCAAGTTCTGGGTCATGCTTCAGACGAGAAGACGAAGACTATCGTGGACGAAAGTCTATGTGGTTTCTGACCAGTCCATCTTCTGATGGTAACGCGGCTTGGCAACGCGCCTTTGATGAGGACAAGAGACTCTCTGCTCTATTTGCTAAGCGTAATGGCGCTGATTCCATTATGATTCAAGCTCTCTTCCATGCTAAGGTCAAGAACGCTTGGAATTTGGCCGCTGACCCTGACGGTCCACCTCCCTTGATCACTCTAGATACTTTCGGTATCACCCAAGGCGTACACGTGGCTCTTGCTCAATATACTGATGACAATCTTGGCTTCCAAGGTATGGGGTTATTATCATCTTGTCGCGCCGTGGCTAACCCAATGCAGTCGATCCGGCTCTGATGGCGGAGTATTAAGACAAACTTCCAAATAGACTTCTTGAAAGGGCATCTGGTAGCCCAAGCAAGTAACCGCACGGTTACGAACCCGACAAATCCCTTTTCCGACCCCGCAACAGACAAGTCTCTCCCAGCGCTCCCGCATCATACCACATCTTCGACTCCCGGACCGGCACCATTGCCCCCTTCTCTTCAAGTCGGCGGCCATGGACAAAGTCAGCGACCAAGAAATTCACTGGTTCGCAATAACACGCCATCCGTCAAGGATCTCGCTCGTGACTTTGAAAGAGATCCAAGCCGGGGAGGATGAGATCGAATGGGCAAGAGCGGTCTACTTCTTGAAGACCCGTACAGATATGTAGCCGAACAGAGTCGTGAATAGACGCAGTCCTTCCCCTCGGCGATCTCAGAGCTCTCGGTCAAACTCAGCTCGCTCGGCCAGAAAACTCTCACTTAACCACCGATTTACTCGATAACTGTGTCGCCGCCCCTCAGACGAGGACTTGGATCATCTCCGTGCAAAACTGTCAAGTAGTAATCTGCCCCAGGCTGGAGTACTTAGGCCTAGTTTCATGAAAGCGATCCCGACTGTAGATGCCACCAATAGGATCTTTGTTTCTGGCGCTCCCAATCCCAACTGTGCAGGACAAGTCAATAAAGGAGAGGATGAGACTGTGCGCAAAACTTCGGGAGCTTAGATCGATTCCTATCAGGACACGATCCTCGTGTCTGTAGAAAGATACATAGAAGAGTATGTCGAAGACGGGTCTTGTTGGGGTCGGCCCTACTTATGTCGGTCATGCTAGCTACTCTCGCCAGTAGCTAATACGATATCCTGGAAGTGCCGACGGAGAAGGAGCTTGATTGTCATGTCTTTGATTTTAATGCCAGTCTCGAGGCTAGAGCTAATGATCGTTGTCGGTGTTTGAGTGCTCTCCTCGGGCCCGGCTTCTCAAGAATGAGCTTCAGCTTTGTGCTATCTGGCTAGTGGTCCCAGATCTTAAACCCTTACCCGGTACGCAGAAGCGTCGTTCAAGTCCGCAAACCAGGTGGACGCAATACGGAGTTTCGGTCTAGCCGACGGAACAGCAGGGGCGGGACGCATGACTGCATTACGCAGAGGCTGAGGACAGGCTTTCAAAGCCTCGGAGCCTCAGAGCCTGATTAACGATGATGGCAACTTCAACCTTCTTCAAGCTGCTCATGAGTTCGGCACAGCAAGCCTACTTCTCCACGTCAACTGGTTAACTCATCAGCACGCAGCTGGCTGCGCTACCCATATTCTCGTTACCTGTCCTTGCATCTTGGGTCCTTGGTAGCTCTGTGGACCTGAAGGATATCTCGGCTCATTTTCCGCCGTCTTTTGTTAGACGGTTGTCCCACCTGCGGGGTCTGCACGTCCGGGGATGATTTCTGCGCCTGGCTATGATCTCTTCCTTTGAATAATGAAGACTTCCATCACGGTGCTTCGTTTGCTCGCCACGAATCGTGCAACCCAGAGGAGCTCTAGGAGTCAACAACTACGGTGTTCAACATCTCGATGAGACGGAGGAATATATTCCAGGTTCCTCGGGGTGCGGAGTTGTCGAGTTGATGCACTCCCTCCGCCTTATCTTGACAAAGAGCCAGGAGAGAGGTGGTGTGATCGGTGTAGGACTTGGACGCTCGATCTTGTAGTCCTTGTCGCAACACCCACAACTAGCCTGACACACCAGGTCTCGAAGCAATCGTCCAGATGGCATATTTATCCAGCTGTCGAATCTCTTTCCTTGCGAGGCGTATACCTGACAATGAGTACGTCGAGCGTGTTCCACTTCCGAAAGGGGGAACCGTGCAGCTGCAGACACAGCTGGCTCAGCCGCTGAGGTCAAAGCTTCAAACTCCCATGACGTTCAAGCCCGGCTTTGCTCACCACGTGGGGTAGTCGTAGAAGTATGATTCAACCAGAAGATCGCAGCTCAAGAAGCAAGTCGAATATCATAGTCGTCGAAGCCGTCATCTCCTAAAGGGAAGCTCGGTTGAGCCGGACTCCTGTATCGTCTACATCTTCGAGTCACCAGCTGACGAGGTAGGATCGTCCGTGGAGGATTGCCGCAAGATCAGGAATGATGACTGACGTTCAGTAATACCACATTTGCGCGTTCGAAACCACTGCTATGCTAGCCTGGATCGCAGAGACCAACCACGGGCCAAGCTCCTGTCAAACTTGCCAGAGTGTCAGAGAAAATCGCTCTGTATAGCTCTCTTGTTTGGAGCCGGGGAGACGTTCTTCTTGTGTTTGACTCAGCTGCTGTGTATTGACCACCCATTCTCGAAGTCGGAAGTTGCATCGACCATATCTTCTTGTTCATTTGCTGTGTGCGCACATGAGAAGATGCATCTCGATTTAGAAGGATTTCTCCGAAGCCGCCAGCGAAGTGGAGATTGTCGACAGAATCGACGCGGGAGCCATGTTCTTAGTTCATGTCGGATCAGAAGCTCCATTGATACACTCTTTGCGTATAGCTAAGGTCGCCACCTTAGAGGATGAAGGTTTGGTATTGTTAAACCAACTTTGTCGTGATCCATTCCAGCATTGAGTGTGGGTGAACCAAGATCAAGGAGGCGGCTGTTGAAGAAGTCCAGCTTTGGGACTGAAGCCTCAAGACCATTGCACAAAGTGTGGCAAAATTGGGCAAGGAAAGGTAACCTGCGACTAGCTTTCTTGCGCAAGACCGACTTCGAAGTGGTGTGGTTCCAAGGCTGCCAACATCAATGGAAGAGACACGATGCGGAGAAGGGGGAAGTTAAAGCCATGTTTCCAGAGGTTCCGCTTCGATGATGGAGTTCCGCAGTGCTGCGATAGAGAGCCAGCATCGAATGATTGTTACCGGGGATGATTTTGGACTGGGGCCCTTTCCGGATCTTGGAGGGCAAGCCCACCAGGCCGGTTTCCAAGCTTCCATGCATAGATTCGATTGCTCCCGATAAAGCCTTCGAGAGAAGGGTGCTTGGCGGGAGGCCAAGCACCAGCCACTGCTCCATTCCTTATCTTAGACAATGTCCCTTGACGGAGTCTAACGAGATGTATCCTCCATGCAAGTTCCTTGCTGAGCGACCAATTTTCACCAATGAAAATTGGCACGCTTGTGCACGTGTTCTACGGAACAAGGAGGAAATTTCTACAGCATGATGTCTCTTGAGACACAAAGTCCGGGATGGCAACTAGTATATGCCGATGCAAGATATCGCGCGAACAGCGGTGCTCACTTACAGACCCCTGTTCGTCCCAGAGCCCATGCCTCAGAAAGCTTGGTGAACAATGATTCTCCTTCAGCCATCCACGAGAAAGTGCTTCAAGAAAGAAGGTGGTGCCAAACACCAGTCGGCGCGTCTTACTCTTGCAGAGTGTGAAGCCTTGAACAACTATCGCCGCGTTCATGGAGGACGACTTTACAACCGTACAGCCAATAAGATTTCTAAGGAGCAACGGAGAAATCTAGCGAAAAGTATGAGCGTTCTTTGGCAAAGCGAATAGAGTCGGGAAGCTCGGTCGCTAGGTAGGTGCTCGGTTGAGAATGTGCAAGCGTTATGTTGACTTCAAAGTCTCGAGATTGCTGTATGGGTCCCTTTAACTTCGCTTCGGCTTATGAACTGCGTCTTTGACACATTCTGCCCTTTATTTTCAGGTTGCCCGGGTGTTCTTTCGTGGCAAGAGACCTCTGGCAGGGTAAACTGCAAGCATCGAGACTGTAGGCTACAAGAACCTGGCAGGTCATCTTGGCCTTTAAGTTATAAGCAGGATGGATGATGAGACATCGTGCAGTAAGCGGCGTATGGGGGAGGCTGAGAAGCTGAAGTTGACGCTATGGCACTCGAGGTATCGGAGCTTGAGTGTACGCAAGTTGAGAAGGCAAATATCGAGAGGGCGAAATTGGATGCCAAGAGGAAGGCTGGGCAGCAAGCTCTTCGAGTCTACATCTCCAAGCAAGTCGCCACTGTTCTTTAAGGGACCTCCTTCGAACTTATCTCCACGAAACTTATCCACATTTCGACATTTGCTTTTGTTCATCCACGGCGCGTAGGTGGTCTTGTCCTCGGTCGTAGAAAGGGCCGATATCTCCTCCTGTCGTCTTTCCAGGTTTCGGACAAGAGCTCAGGAAACCGCTTGCTTTCTCAACCGTGGAACGTCCACTGTTCGAGAGACAAGACACCATGCCAACAAGAGCCGATCGTCTAGCTTTGAACATTGGGGAGTTGTTGCTCAAGGGATTGTAAAGGTGAGAAGTCCATGTCCTCCTGGTATGTAGAAATCGCTCACAAGATCTAGATAATTCAATAGAACTTTCAAGATTCTTCTTCGTCTGTTCGTTCATCGTGTGAATGTGTGGTATGTGACATCGTCGCCGGTCGATAGGAGGGCGCTGGGAGAGTTCTGCGCGAGATGCCAGTACTTTGGTCTCCAAGTTTGGAGAACTTTTCAAGATCAGCGGAAGATCATAATGCATTGAGAAGAAAGCACGACTCACTTGTGGGATAATGTGATCAGATTCAAGAGATTTGGCCCTTCGCTGACCAAGGAATATGCTGAGCCATCACAGATATGCCTCGTAGTTGTTGCATGACAAGTAGTCACCCATATCCTTGTGCTATTCTTTCCTTGTGTGTATTTTTCTTTGGCTTTTCGACCCTTCAAGTTTGCTTGTCGTCGTAGCGGGCGTGCCGGCAGTTCTTCGAAGTTTCGGCCAGAACAATACTTGCGATACAACTACAGAGTGGAAATCTATATATATTACCGGTAGATGATCAGCTTCCGGGTCAGACTCAAGCGGCGAATTGAATGGGGATGACTTACAGTACCAGATGTTGTCAACATCGCAGCTTGCCTAGGCACAGTAGTTCCTTGACGCAACGATTGTGAATCTATCAAGTGATCACGTCAGCAGAATGCTCAGGATTGTCTCTTCATACATACTTATCAGGATGTGGGACATTCCTCCAGAAGGCCGAATTAGGAAGAACAGTCATGGGTATATATAGGGGTGAAGCTGGAGACGAAAGACACCGGCACGGAATTCGACTTATGCTTCTAAGACGAAAGGAGATTTGCTGTCGTTGTTATGTGATTCGGCACTGCATAGCAAGGAGGAAGATTGGAGGAGAGGTGATCATTATTCGCTCGGATCGCACTATCTTATTCACCCAATGCAGTCGCATATGCAACCATCCAGCAGCTTTCAGAGTCAGCAATCAGTATTAGGAAGAGACGAGGAGAGAGAACTCACAAAACGCTATGTCCGCCGTCAAGAACTTGTCTGAGCCTTCAGACTTTGCAAAAGATCATCATCTTTAAGAGGTCTTGGAATCATTGCGGAAGAATCCTGCGATCAAGAAGGCCAACTCGAGGGACTGCTTCTCGTTGAGACGAGGATCGCAAAACGAAGTGTAGTTGAGTGACAGATCATCATCCATCAGGTTCTCGCTACCGCCAGTACACTCAGTAACAGCATCGCCAGTCATCTCGAGATGAACACCACCGAGATGGCTTCCAAGTTCGCGATGGAGAGCAAGAGTTTGTTGCAATTCGGACAGGATGTCTCCAAATTGACGGGTCTTAATGCCTGTAGCAGTGCTTCGAGTGTTACCGTGCATGGGATCGCATTGCCAGACGACCTTGCCATTGTACTCGCTCTTCTGGACAGCTTCAATGTGGGCTGGCAGGAGTTTTCGGACTTTGCCTGCGCCCATGCGAGTGATTAGGGTGATCTTTCCGACTTCTTGTTGAGGATTAAGGCAACGGAGGAGAGAAAGGATGTCAGTGACTTCGGTGGTGGGACCAATCTTGATACCAATGGGATTGGCAATACCTCTGAAGAACTCAACGTGGGCGCCATCAATTTGTCTTGTGCGATCACCAATCCAGAGGAAGTGGGCGGAGGTGTTGTAATTCAGCTTCTCTACCCGCGGGACTTGGCCAGGAAAGGCGAGCTTGGGAGCTGGGTTCTTGAGTGATCGAGTGAGAGCTTGCTCATACTGAAGGAGGAGACCTTCGTGGCTTGTGTAGAGGTCGACAGTTTGGAGTTGACCAGCTGTATCTGCGCCAACGGTTCTCATGAACTTCAGGGACTCGGTGATCGAGGAGACAATCTCAGAGTATTTTGTTTGAAGATCCGGATCACGAACATGACCAAGACCCCAATCCAAAGGACGATGGAGATCAGCGATACCAGAAGAAACCGAGGCTCGGACATAGTTGAGAGTGGCTGCAGAATGGAAGTAGGCACTGCGAATGTCAGAAAATTTGTCTGAGCAACGGGAAGGAGCAATTTACCTTGTCAACCGGTCAGGATCCAGAGCTCGCTCATCGAGTGGATATCCATTCAAGATATCGCCTCTGAAAGAGGGAACAGTCTTTCCGTCCACGACTTCGGTTGGGCTGGATCTGGGCTTGGCGTACTGACCAGCCATTCTGGCAATACGGACGACTGGCTTGTTAAGACCCCAGATCAACACCAAGCTCATTTGAAGAAGCAGCTTGATCTTGGACTCAATTGCATCAGCTTCGCAATAATCGAACAACTCAGCACAATCCCCGCCTTGAAGGAGGAAAGCTTTCCCCTCAGCACAATCGCGTAAGCTGGCCTTCAACTTCTCAATCTCAGTAGGAGTGACAATCGGTGGTAAGCGTTGAAGTTTAGCGAGAGAGCGTTCGACATGAGATCGATCGTTGTATTCGGGAAGCTGCTTGGCAGGCTTTGAGGTCCAGGAATTTGGGCTCCATGACGAACCATTGACCAGATTCTCACCGGTACCGTCGCCTTGGCCGTCGTACTGTCCAACTTGGGAAGCCATATTGCGGAGAGCGAGGCTTGCAAGGGGAGAGTAATTGGAAGTGATCAAACGCGTGGACGATCTGAGGACGTGGAATTTGAATATCAGAATTCTAGAAGACGCGTTGTGGAGTAATAAATTTTCGGGGACCTTACGTCGGCTCTATTGCCTAAACAGGTATCGTGGACTTATTAGCTTCATATCTGGAGTTTGCGCCTTGTATCCAGGGCTTCAAGAACGACGACATTCCTCTGTGATTGCGGTATTCTCAGCGTTCAACTGTACATACTTGCCTCCCACTTACCCGACGATCGCTTGTCATTCTTTGCAATGGCTGATCCTCAACCTCCGAATGTAGTCGAAGGTGCGACCACCGGAGACATTGACGAAGAAGTTCCGATCGCGGCAAAGTCTGCAGAGGACAGGAAAGCAGCAGCAGCACTCTCTACTCTTGACAACCGGGATGATGAATCTTCAGGGAAGGATGTCGACCAAGAAGCTGTGCGAAAAGCTATGGAGAGACTGGGAGGGGCAGGAGCTACAAATGGTGTGGTGACAAAGAAGGACGAGCAGAAGGTTGTGAAGAAAGCAATCAAGGTTGATCCTGCCGATGTTACATTGCTGGTACGCATATACACAATGTCTTCTAGTAGCTGTCTTTTATGGTAGTTCCTGTCTTTGCCAAAGAGCCAGGAGTCTAATAACCACCTCTGATCCCACATTTCTTCCACAACCCACTACTCAAAGTCACCCTGGATCGAGCAAACAAGCTGATAGACGTCTCATCACAGGTTGAGGAGCTCGAGCTCACGAAGATCAAAGCTACAGACTTGCTGAAAGCTCACGAGGGAGACGTAGAGAAGGCATTACGGGCGTACATTGCACCTGCAGCATAAGGGTTTGGGATACAAAAAGTGAAATTCCGTCAGGTTCAAGCATAGCAATGGAGTCAAGGGCAATCAATCATTGGGAATCACTTCAGTAGAGCTCGAATACTGGATTTCAGATCGAGTTGAGGAATGAGAAACTTCACTTAAGGCTCTGCCCGTAGTATTGCCTCCTGGCTGCAAGCGCACATCATTAAAAGCCAGCGAATGTGGAGATCGTATTTGATTGAATGACTTGGAGTGTCATGCAGCAGTACAAGCAAGATTGCTAAGCCAGTGTTTGTCTTTGATTCAATCCTCGATCCAATGAGCTCAATGGCCCCGAACAGTTGCCCACAACATCCTCTAATAACCCATTGTTATTCCCGAAGCTCCCGACAGTACAGTATGGAGTTGTAGCTTCTCAAACATTGACATCGCGGTAAACTGGCTCAGCAATTAGTTTGTAATCATAGAGAGGGAGAGAGCGCGCTCACCCTCGTTGCCAAGCCCTTTGAAGACCAATCCATGTCGTCAAGTGGCACCCTACTTTGCCTTCCGAGTAACGCTCTTCGCATTAGCCTCGTTGCTGGCCTTTCTTGCCTCGATAGCCTGTACAAGTGTAGCGACTTTGCTCTTAGCCACCTCGTGGAACTTCAGGTGCTTAGTAGCACGTTGAAAGGTAGCTCCTGTGAGCAGCTTGGAGTAGGTCTTGATCTTGTCAACCTTCAACGCTGTAGTGCCAAGTGTCAGTCGTATCTTGAAGTAGAACTAGAAAAGCATCACGTACTCTTCTTGACGAATGCCTCAACCTCAGCCTTGGGGAACTCCCTATAGTCACCCTCGCGGGGCGGGCGTCTCTCTCGAGTGGGACAGAACATCGTGACGGACCTTTAAGATTCGAGGTAGTGTTCAAGGGATTGTTTTGATTGTGTAAATAAGATGGAGCTGCGAAGAAGAACTGGCTTCGTCGCGATGGAAGTTTGTGTTGTGGGTTGTGTTTGTTTTCTCCGAGGCTCGTGAGATCTTGTGGGTGCCGTTGTTGACTGAGGAGGTGAATGAAGCGCTAAGATTCCGGGGTCCGGGGAAAACCGGACTCATCAAATCAGTGTTGCCAAAATCTCCTTCAAACAATCCCATCTGAAGCAGCTCTTCACATCTGATATGGTTCTACGATCTCTACACATAATTGTACCGTTTGTTATATTTCCCTCTCAAGACTAAGGCAAGATGAGAACATTGTCCTTTCACTGCTTAGGGTCCGACTCTGAGAGAATTAGAATGTACAGTATCTCCTGGGACTGCTCTCACATACTCGAGGCTACAAGTCTATGAACACAGAGCACATTGATTATGATTTGATGATCTCACAGCCGCATCTGGATAGACCGTGATGCGGCGCCTTGCACTTCCTGACGCGTAGACCCAAGTCAAGCACTTGGGAATGCAGCTCGTACTTTACAAACAGAATGTCCCATTATACTCCAGCGCTTGAAAATGTCTCTCAATACCGGTATCATTGTAGACTCAGAGCTCACGTGCCGTCTCCCAGACTGGTTCATCTTATCCTTGGAAAGCATGGTGGCCACTCTCCCAGCAAATACGGAGATAGCCAGTTTTACAGCCCTCTCAATGATAATATCGACTTAGGAACCGTGCCCGATGCAATGTTTTGCAAATATCAAACGTGAGCATGTCCAGACGCGTCAAAGGCGAGTGCAAGGTAGCGACAGCACGCGTTATCGGCCGATACTCTCCGCCTTGCAAGCTACGTAGGTCAAGACCATCTGATTGGGGGACTAATGGTCCTCCACCAACATGGTTTATAGTTTTAAATTAGCAAATTCTTGTCATGAGGTTATTGTGGTGAACAGCCTAGCTGTTTATCCCAATAAGTTCTTTTGTTTTTCTACTCTAACGATTAATGAACCACATACATTTTTTTGATCTGTAGAGCTAAAAGGTTTTCGGAGGGAAAATAAGTAGATTAATGTTATTATGTGAAGAATTCGTTCAATTCGAAGGCTTATCTTTTCAAAGAATTTTTTTTTCACTCTTCTTCTCCATTGCACTATTCTATGTTGATGTCGTCATCTCATTTGAGTATTGTAGTTAGAATGGTAGAGAGTTCATTGTTTTGACCTCTCAGAACAGATAAAAGTAAACAGTTAAAACTCTCATTATGTGCTTCATTCCGTAGGCATTGGAAACTATCACTGTGATGGGCACTTCATTGTTTCGCAGACGAAAATGTTTTGTCTCGGTGCCATAAGCGAGGAAGCTTAATCGGGACTAACATTGCTACTGCGTGCTATGGTTTTAATTTATCGTATTTTGGTCAGGAACTCATTGTGATGAACAACTAAAGTTGTTTCTCACAATAGTTCTTTTGTTCTTTGCTGCTAATTCCTCGCTCTCTACATTCTATTCTTCTCCTTTCGTGGTCTTGAGAGCTGCAATGGTAACAAATTTCTCCTCTCTTTTTTGGCTCCTTTTCGGCCGTCAAAGATATTTCAAGCACAAATAGAATGCCATATTAGAGGACTTCTGGGGCTCAAAAATAAATTCCCGAATACATTTCAAAACCCCGAAGATATAATATGAGCTAGGAATTATCTTTTCCTGCATATCAGCTGCCTTCGGGTTGTGTTGTGCGAATTTGGTAGAAGCAGCTCTATTTCCTCTTAAGTTTCAGCGTTGCCTCTAATTCCACAAGGTGGCACATTGATATCTTTTCGCGTTGCAAATGACTGAGGAATTAATCGATGTCATAAACTGACCTCGAGAATCTGAGCCATCACAATATTGTGTGACATTCATTCCTTTCAAGGTGGCGTGGTCCAAGTGCAGACGAGAGATTCTCGCTTATCGGCCGATTCTCGCCGGACTCCCCTAATCCCGATGTGCCTTTGTATCTTTCATTAGAAACGGTTGTGCACTTCAGAAGTGGAAATCACAATATCCTGACCATCTCCGCTGACCTTGACAAGAAGGTTTCGACTCCCTTTAGATGATAGTTACATTTTCCCTCCCCCACGTCTCCATCCATTCTTCGAAATCCTCCTTCTCTCGAGGCGTCAAGCTAATGTAACCAACGCGTTCATACATATGTTCCTTCCCCTCCGCCTTCGATAATACCAAGCCATTCCCATGGTACACGGTTGCTCCGTCCTGCTGCCCAGTCCGTACATCGACGAGAAGCACGGTATATTCCCGCGGCGAGAAAAGTTCGAAGTCGATTCTCCATTCTGGCTGAGGCCATTCCGTTCCGGATCCATTGATCACAGACCTGTAGGAAGTCAGCAAATAACCAATTCAAATTTGTCTTGTACTAACAGCAAATAGTCATCATCTCCCGCTTTTGTCTGGAACACAGCCGACCATTGCTCAATAGCTCCTCCCTCTTCCTCCGCCTCGTCGAAATAGACATGCGCAGTGGCCATCTCCGGATACGAAATATTCGTTAACTGCCTACTCCTCACCAACTCCTTCGTTAAACCATACAGAGTCAGCTCTCCGGACTCGACCTGACTGTACGCATTAGTCTCGAGATTGATATCATACAGGATCAGCTCGACGGCATATTCAGGAAACGGCGTATCGCATCTTGCAGGAAAGACGACAGGCTCGTTGGTCACGGCCCAGGACCACGTCGGTGCTCTGTACGGTCTTACATGCTTGCAGGTCGTGAGCTCGTTGAACCACAGAAGGCCGTGTCTGAAGTCTGTACTCCAGATGCCGGCAATATAGTCGCCGCCGAGGTAAGAATGCACATGTTGCGCCAGGCCTGAAAATGCGGGGAACTTATCTGTGTCGAAGGACAGTTTTCGGGAAGAGTATACTTGGACCAGGAGATAGTATTCCTCGAGGACAAGATCTAGGTTGGGCTTCTTCGGAATGGGGCCTTTCAGGATGGAGGGATGGATTATACTTGCGATCTCTGGATACATTTCCTCTTCTGGCATCGCGACACCGTGGGGCACGCCGTCCGCGGAGAGGAAACCTTGAGCGCATTGCCAATATATTTGTTTGCTACCGTAATGGAGGATCTGAGCAGAGAGAATGCGCTCTTGGAGACACCATCCTCGTTTGTTGAGTGGTGCTTGGTAGAAGAGATCTCGAAGATCTTCTGGGGTTTGGGGTGGTTTGGATATATAGACGATGGCTTCCGAACCACTGTCCGCGGTCAAGTGGAGAGGTATATTCTTCTCAGGCTCAGCTGAGGAAGGAGGCGATTTTAGAAATCCATCAGTGCTTCGAGATGATGTTGCTGCGGAGATGGTTAGGAGTGCATCTCGATATATGGATCCCATTTTCTTGGACTCAATGTCCCAGTCTCTTTTGGAATCTTGTATGATGCACAAAGAATCAATCCACAGATATCTGATTCCAAGTTGTCTTGTCACCGTAATTGCATCGCGAAAGTTCGCAGGCAGATCAAGGAAAGGGATCGAGCTTTGGAAAGCTTCAATGTTCGCCATTTTCAAGAGTGGTGAGACTGGACCTCCCCAGCAATGACTGAGAGCAATGTAGCTACCTCTGATATCCTTGGAACAGTAAAGTTTTGGTTCTTGGGATCCGGCTAATGGTCCTACGTCAATGACTCTGGTGGGCAAGTCGACTGCTTGTCTAGCTGTGCATTTCTCGTGTGTGGTGACACAGTTGTTGAGCCAACTCTTTGCGATATCAAAATTTGTTTCCGAGCCCAGATCTGGGTTGGTTTGAAATCGTCCTATTCTGTAGTTTTGATGATATACGGGCTTTCCTACAACTAGTTAGTCAAGTAAGACTGAAATTCAAAAAGATATCGAATGCCAACCTCGAGGAACAGTGAGGCTCAAATTCAGAGGTGGAACCTTCAAATACTCGTCCGGGTCATCCGATTCAGACTCTATCGGGGGCCCAACCTGCACCATAAGTTCATCGAAAAGCTCGACATCTTCCAATTTCCCACCTGGGTTCAGATGGTGCATGTTAATGCACATCTTCAGATCTGTTGCGTGACCCTCCGATTCAGTCTCCAAGATGGCTGATTCAGTGGTACGACCTTCCCAGTAGAAGTCGCTGCCTCCTATTTTGTAAGTGGTTATTGCGTCGCGGATGAGTTGGCAGAGCTCGCATCCGGCGGTCGCTGCGGATATGAGAGATGCGTAAGAGTCATGATGTTGGTAGTATGCCTTTTCAGGGAAGAATTGGGCAGAAAATTCGACTTTTGCTAACTCTATGAGATTGTCAATTGATACTTTACAGCAAAACTCGCACAGCATAATTGAGAAAGGCGCTTCAAGGTTTTTGTTTCTAAGGCTGTTTGGAATTGGGATGAAAACTAGTATAAATCTTGGGGCATTAAGAAGAACTCATGCGAATGTTGGAACATTTCACTTGAAGGATCACTTTGGCGCGAAATGAAACAAGACATGTATTAAGCAACGGTGGCACAGTCATACGAACTGCATACAAATAGAATGCAAGGAACGACACAAGTGGGTCTTTTGCTTACTCTCGAATCTCTTATCTTTGTAAATTCAAAGAATACAAAAAAGCGCAAAGTACTTACCGCGAGATCAATTTTCTTTTGGGATTATAAGTAGTCAAGTCATGAGTGAAGGACCAAAAGGAAAATATCTGCAAGATGTAGCTTCCATACGTCTCTAAATTACCCCACCACGACCCCACCTTCTGCCGACAGCCAAAGCACATATGAAAAAGCTGCAAAAAATAACTACAATTGACCTACGCAGGGATCGAACCTGCAATCTCTTGATTCGTAGTCAAGCGCCCTGCCATTGAGCCAGCAGGCCATGTTGGATTTATGTAATTACGTAAAGAAGCATTTATTGAAATCCATATTGTACAACATGCGTGATCCTGGTCATCCGATGACTCGGAATTGAAGCAAACCGAAGATACGAGGGTATGCAAAGTTACTTCCGCATCTATTATTTACACGAATATGGAGACAGACGACGCATGAAGCACGAGCAAGTCTACAGTCCTGCAAGTCTCGAGAAGAAACGTGGCAGAGGAGGGGAAGGACAGACTGGTCACATGATTGTAAATGCATGCCCAAGGTGCGGTAGTCTCATTATGAGGCTTGAGAACGGGCAGTCTATGGGTACCTCGAATATCCCAAGTGTGGTTGAGGACCTTAGTGCCATTATCCATTAACTCACCCATTAAGTTCCGGGAGTATCCTTCCTATATCTCGAAACGCAACAATATTTCGGCTTAAAGCCGTCCGACATGCTGCAATACCACACACCCTCTTCGAAACAATATGCAGCCCAAGCAAGCCACGACAAAATCCTAAAGAGAATATCAATTGCCGAAATTATTTTCAGGGGCCTTCTCTAAGCGCCGTATCCGAAAAAGAAAAGTGAGCCGTCACATGTAAGCCGCAACATCACCACAATTGCCCTTTCTCAACAATTATCAAACGCTTCATATCAATAATTGCCACTCTTCGTATCACCTCTCACGTGGCTGTGCAGGACGGTATTCTGCAAAGGGATCGTCCCGGCCGGAAAGCTGAATCGAGTAATCCCGCTGATGGGTCGAGACTAATAAAGCTAATGAGGGGAAAGCTTTGAATTGTGGGGAGCTGGAGATCTAGAGCTAGTACGTGACAGATTTCTGGGACATTGATCGCGTGAAGGCTTCAATTTTTCTACTTCTGGGGCTGCAAAGGGAACAAGAACTAAACATGATGGCAAGATTAAAAAAGTTGTATAAATCAAAGTGATGAAAAGGTGTACGTAGGCGTTTGGCGGAATAGGTGGCGTCCTTCATAGCGCCTCAACTACCCCGCAATGGACGCCACAGGGTAACTTCGCGCGCCAACACGGGAATAGAGCACACCTTACTCATGCCTCATCAGCAAGAAATGTAAAGTTACACAGGAAAAGCAGGAGTGGATCTGAGCCTATACTTAAACTTAATTATCATACCACGAGCTCGGGGCACCTTCCTCCTTTCCCGCCCCGCTGATATCAAAGGTCTAGCCAACTCCAAATTCCCCACAGGTACTACCCCAAAACTCAAAAAGAGGAATCCGAAGCGTGGCTTCCGTGTTGAAGCTCTCTGCTGTCCTCCGGTGCTTCAAAGTTCGCCAAGTCGGTCTTGGAAGGTACGAGCGACAAGGTCAAAACTGTCAAATATAGTCTGGACCATCGCTTTCTTCTCCTCTCCTTCTCACTCACACTTTCATCCCAACCCCAATACTCACAATGAATAACACACTCCTCCGTCAACTGCCCCGCGCAGCTCGTCGATCACTCGCCAGATCACAAAAAACACCCATCATCTCACGCTCATTCTCTGCTATCCCACGACGCTGCGAACCAAGCTCAACCCGGGGTCCTCCTCCAGCACCAGATGCAGAATCAGCAGCACTATTAAAGGGAGAAGCGCCGACATATTTGGGTACCACCAAACGTCTACCTGAGTTCAACCTTGTGGATAAGGTTGTCTTGGTTTCTGGTGCTGCGAGAGGATTGGGTCTTGTTCAAGCGGAAGCACTTCTGGAAGCTGGTGCCACAGGTACGATCCTTTTCCCGACTTCTATCTGCTGCATTTCCTCTCCTTTTTGCCATCTCGCAACTCCCCTCCACCCCATTTGGTGTTTCTGGGGAAAAGTCCGGGTACAACAGGTGCATTGGAGCTACGGCAGCTAATCACGTAAAATTCTAGTCTACGCTCTTGATCGCCTCGAATCTCCCTCCGCCGACTTCAGCCGTGTACAGGCTCGTGCAGAAAAAGAGCTCGGAACGTCCCTCTCATATCGACGGATTGACGTTCGAGATGTCGAGCAGATGAACGCCATTGTGCAGGAGATTGCGGACAAGCACCAACGACTCGATGGCCTGATCGCGGCGGCTGGCATCCAGAAGGAACTGCCGGCGTTGGAATATACAGCTGCATTAAGCGACAACATGATGAGTGTTAATGTTACGGGATGCTTTATGACAGCACAAGCTGCTGCTAAGCAGATGGTGAGATTTGGGAATGGTGGCAGTATTGTGATGATTGCGAGTATGAGCGGCACAGTTGCAAATAGGGTAAGCAAATATTTCTTCCGTTCTTCCAAATCTGATACTCTTTTCTCCTATCTGCCATTGAGAGTGGCCTGAATCTCGAGTTCTGCAACTTTACTGACACGAATTCCAGGGTCTGATCTGTCCTGCATACAACGCTTCCAAAGCCGCCGTTATTCAACTTGCCCGCAACCTCGCATCCGAATGGGGGCAATATGGCATTCGCGTGAACACGATATCTCCTGGCTACATCGTTACGGCAATGGTCGAAGAACTCTTCAAGGAGTTCCCAGAACGAAGAGAAGAATGGCCAAAACAGAATATGCTTGGAAGACTCAGCGCTCCAGAGGAATATAGAGGAGCTGCAGCGTTCTTAATCAGTGATGCTTCATCATTCATGACTGGATCGGATCTGCGAATGGATGGAGGTCACTCTGCGTGGTAGAGAATATCGAGGTCGTGGAGCTACATATATTGGGGAAGTTGTGAAGGGGTGAGGTTGCTGAAGTGGGGGTCAAAATGTGGGGGGCCTTCTCTGCAAGGAAAAGGGGTAGCGAGAAGTGCATGAATTGCAGGCTGGGAGTAAACATCGAATTCTATCGAGCATAATTTGAGCGTGCGAGCTGATAGAAATTAATACCAAAGTTCTTTGCAGCATCGCACAACACTCGCTTGATGTATGGTCTGCTAAAGATAGGGGCTATTAGCCGCAGGAGTTCGCTCCGCTTAAGAAAGGGGGCGCTTGTTCGACAGACTTAACTACCTATGACGTGCAGTACTGCGATGCTGATAGTAGGAGAGCGTCTACTGCTGTACTGTACAAAAGCAGGCCGCTCTCGTGATGTTGTTCATTGTCTCCATTTTCTTGACTGTCTGTTTCCAGCGTCTGCCTGTAATTTCCAACACTTGGAGATCTTGATTGTACATGATGTTACCTTCAGCTTATCCTGCTGCATATCTAGGTAGTTTTGCTAGCGATCCGCAGTCCTCCTTCATAGTCCGTCTCGTCCATATCCTACATCATATGCTCTTATCTGCAGTAGTCATTATATCATACACCTCACTTCCGCCATATCATACAAACCTCATACCTCTCCATCCTCCTCCAAAGCCTATTTCTCATATCGCAATCCCCTCCTCAACTCCCAACACCAACAACACCCTCCCTCCCCAACCTGCCCACAACCCCAGCCTTCAACCCCAATCTCCCCTCAATCTCCGCACCCCCCATCCCCTCCCCCCTCAAAACAAGAACCTGCCTCAACGTCTGCACATCCACGAACCCCCTCCCCGCACTCCCTTTCTTCCCCAACGCCGCAAACTCCCGCTCCGCCTCCTCCGCTAGCCGATACCGCGCCGTCAGCAGACTTATAGCCGGGTTTTCTCTCCCTCGGCCGGGGAATATGCTCTGTGCGGGGTTCGAGGCCGAGGGCTGGAATTGCGTGTGTGTGAGGCTGGGATCCGTGTGTGTTTGTGAGGTGGATGAGTTGGTGGAGGGACGGTCGGAGTGTGTGAGTGGTGGAGAGCGGGCGAAGGTGTAGGTTGAGGAGTTTGATAGTGTGGGGTTTGGTTGGACGGGGCCGAGGGTGCGGAGGCGGGCGTTGAGGGAGAGGTCTGGGTCGGAGGAGGAGGGGGGTATTGCTGTAGCATGTATGTTAGTAAATGGTTGAATGTTATAAAGTGTGTAAAAGAGGGGAGATGTTTGTGCGAGGTTGGGACATTGAGAGGATTGGTGAAGAGGAGTGTGATAGGTAGGACGTACATTGGTCCCGCGAATCAGTAGCTGTTGATTCGGGATGTACTGTTGGACCTAATCTCGCATCTGGAGTCGGTCGTGAGGTTTGTGCATTTGTTGTATTTGATGAAGGAGGAGGGGAGCGTGTGGGGTATGTGCGTGCTGTGTTCGTGGCGGAGAGTTTGCTTGCTGATTTTGCAGCTTTGGATGTTGAGGAGCCCATCTTGAGGAGACAATCGGTCTAATTGAAGCTCGAGAAGGTCTCGAGGTTGAATGGACGGAGCCGTGAAGGTGGTGATGGCATGGATTTGAGAATATCGTGGATGACTAAGCGAGGCTGATCCATGTGGCTGCTGGGATGAAAGTCGAGAGACGTCAAGGACTTCTTCAACAAACATTCTCAGCGTCAAAAATTGCCATGTTTCAAGTGAAACCAATTGATGACTTACCTAGGCTTAATGTTATTATCGTATCAAGCAATGCTCATTCATCTTCCTCGTCCGCGGAGTAGCCCCTTTAGTCAAGGTCCTTAACTCCTTGAGGGCTTCCATACACAAAAGATTCTTGCTTAGCCTTAAACATGACCAATGTCATGTAGCAAGTGCTAAAGAGAGCATCAAATTTGTTGCTCCGTTGCTTGAAATACGAAACCAATAGAATCGGGAACGAAACCTTTCTCATCGCGGTATCACGTGCACACGAGAGGGTCCATACCACAATTCGGTGCGCTCAAAGGACAATAGCTATCATAAGCTCGGAGTTCTTTGCTCCCACGGTATCTGCTCCTTGTACTATATGACAAAATGATTTGGAGACAGGTTAGTAGGTCCCAGTGAGGTCGCTTAGTTACTCACTTGTGCTTGTGTAGATTCTTCGCAACCTTTAAGTGCTTCAAGAGTGCTTTTTAAGTACTTAACAAAGATTAGAAAGTTTGCTGACTTAGCACTAGGGCTATTCCGGAGATTTGAGGCGCGGTGAGAGCCACCTATAAAACAATATGAAGAAGTACTTCCCTCCTCCCTCACTCTCCAAGATAACAAATCCGAACTAAGACTCGCAATGTCATCCTGTGCAGCATGCAGCAAGGCAGAATCAGATTTAGTCAGATTACTGAGCTGCGCTCGATGTAAGACAGCTAGATATTGCAGTTCGTGTTCCATCCCTGAAGTGCCTTGACTTCAAGCTCCCAGCTGACCTCGTCATCATAGGCACAGAATGTCAAGCTACCCACTGGCCCATGCACAGAAGCGAATGCAAAGCGCCAAACTACCTTCTGAGGATCTCCCTCTTTCCCTCAGAGATACAAAATCCCTCTGTCACAAAAACGCTCTCCTGCCCTTCCTCCGCTACATTCTCTGGCCTGCATGAGGCGATACAGACTGCCTTTGGCTGGGCCGGCACGTACACTTACGACTTCAAGATCAAAGACCCGAATGCAGAACCAGAGCCGGAGTTCGATCTCACGACATACATGGCACGCCGCATGGCGCAAGATTCGGCCCGAAACAGTGGACGTGCTGTACCCGACTCCGGTCCTCGACAGAACTTTCCCCGAATCATTGAAGAAGCTCCCTATGGTCCGGGCCGTCCTTTAGGCGGGAAGGGAGTTGACCATATGCAGAACCAAGATCGAGTGCATAGTCAGACTCCGGAGGTGAAGAGTCATAAGATCAAGCTGGGCAAAGTGTTCGAGAACAAGGAGTACGAAGAAGCAGTTATTGAGTATGAGTATGATTTTGGAGATTGCTGGGAGCATGACATTGAGATCGTAGGGAGAGTTCTGGCCACCACCAAGTTTGTGTGCACTGAAGGAGAGGGGCATGGTGTTCTGGAGGATATAGGAAATATTAGGGGGTGGTTGAATCTGAAAGAAGCGTTCAAGGTTATACACCCTACAAAGGATCAGAAGGAAAAGATGAAATGGGCTAAGAGTGGTGCGAGCAATGCTGATCCGGAAGGTTTGGGTAACGGCAGGGATCGTTTCTGGGACAAGGACGACATCAATGAGATGCTCAGTCACTGAAATCCAGTCAAAGTCGATATACAATAGTAATGGTAATGAATCATGGTGCCTGACTCTAAACACCGATATGACGGAATAAAAAAAGAAGAGCCTGGAAACCCCTTTCGTGTCAACTGTTGCAAAATTAGAGCACTAGGCCAGAGCCGAGGCTGCTATTGGACCTTCCGTCAATACGGGTGAGTGTCTGCCAATACTATTAAGAAGCTGCTAATTTGGTTGCACTCAGCGGAGCTGAGACGTGCGGTTTTGATGAGGACAAGCTCGAGCTGAGATATCATCAAACGGGCTAACCGAGCATCGAACAACGACAAATTGTTTCCACTTCGGACATGGCCCTGCTTCAAAGTTCTTCTCGATGACTAGTGCCAACATACATAAATCTATTTTGAGCATGGCTTTTTTGTTTCTCTCTTCGAGCAAGGTTTCAGGGGTCTTGGGACAAAGTCGCCGACGACATAGCACGTTACAGGCTCTCGAGATTCGATGAGACAACACCAAGCACCTCGTCAAGGTGACGACAATATTGGCAAAAAAACTGTTTAGACTTGATTTTGAATTATCCCTTGTATGTTTCGTCATGTTCTATGTTCTTTATGTTCTCTATTTCGTTTTCCCGTGCTGCTGAAAACCTAGACTGCTCATGCTCATGTATAAGTCTCAGCGACACCTTCATCTTGGAGGTCGGAAAATCAATTATTCAGAACCTCATTGCCGGCACACCTTTCATCATACAGTCCGCTCAAAGTTTTATTCGCAATCCGAACATCATGTTCATCCCTCAGTCATCCCGTGGGCGTGGAGCAATACCGATTCCAATACATTCCATCCGTGCGACCGGAGACACTCGATCAAGGAGGCAGGAATTTCCTCCTTTAACACCCGATAAAATCCAGGCTTCCGATAACGAGCTAGATTTGATGGTCTTGGATCCCGCATGGCTGGAGCAGTACCCAAGTCACAAACACGAGGATGTGTTCTTCCGCTCAATCCTCCCTAGACTCGTGCAGCGTGTTGCCGAATGCACCCCACAATGGAAGTTCACAACTGAGCCTCTTACTCTTCCGGCCAACTCGTGGACAAGGGCATTCCATGAAAAGAGCTTCGATGCCGAGAAAGCATTCGCAGAATACAACGAGTCTCGCGTTAGTCACCTTGCTTCACTGCATGAATACATGATTCTCGAACGAGCGAAAGTCATGTGCGAACGGCTTTGGGCACAATGCAGGGAATTTTTTCTCCTTGGTCTTGCATTCCATTCCATGGGTCCCATGGGTGACAGTAAGGAGATGAAGCTCGACATGGCAGCTTCAGAATACAAGTCTTGCGGCGAAGCAATGCACGCAATCCGGCTAGCCAAGGATCAAAGCATCTACTCCCAGGAATTTGTTAAATTGTGTGAAGAGCAAATCTCGAGTTCCTCCAACTTCTGGTGAGTCAGGCTCGATCATGGACATGTTGAACCCCAGCACTCACGGCAAGCTAACATCATCAGGTCTGGACTTTATTCAGAGAATACCGAGCCTTCTTACGCCACCGGCAACTTCTCAAACCCAGAGGACACTATCGTTGAACACGTCCAAAAATGGACAAAAGTATTTGTAGCTGCAACTAACGAATATCGAACCAAACGACACATTGACCAATGGGTAAACACTTCATGCTTTGGTAGATGGAATCAAATTACTGCTCTTGGTATAAAACAAGGAAAAATGAAGGACTGGCCTGGCAAAGAGGTAATGACTAATGTCTGGAGTACATATCGAGACGGCCCATTGGACACAGCCGTCAGCTACAGTGACCCAAAAGCTGTTGGGTGGGTTATCCTCAGCACAAATGTTCGATCGCTCTGTTCCCGTGCTGGATCAACCGAGATCGTCTGCGATCCCATTCAAAACATCGCGAATCTAAGGCAGCAAATTGGAAGAGAAATGGTTTACGCAGCAGGTTTACAACATAAGATCGAAGAGATGGAGGAAGAGAAACGTTTGCAGCAACGCATTATTGCAACGCTTTCCTTTCGATATCTTATTGAGTCGCTATCAAGCTACCAATACCCGCAGATGAGCGGTACCGATAGCTGGCTGAGCTTCTGGGCCGAGGCTTGGAATGCTTCACTTATTGCCGACCAGCTGAAGGTTAGAACACATCCATTGAGATCCCTGCGAAATAGCTGCCACGGAGACCAGAAACGCTTAAACAAAATCGATGAATGTGCAAAGGGACTATACAGCAGCCTGAGTACTTACATTCATCGCTATTGTCATGATCAAGTGTCTTTGCCTGATGATCAATGGGATCCAATCAAGTCTGATATTTTCAAGGCATTGAAACCCAAGGATGGGCTCTGCAGAGATGTCAACTGGGAGACAGAAAGCGAAAACTTCTTCCCTTCATCGGAAATAGCTCTGGCGGAAGTTGTGGCCGATAATAGTAAGAAGCCATGCTACTCTCTGTATTACGATGCTAACATTATCAAGCCACGTCTGATACCGAGTCTACGCATACAAATGATACGGACCCAGTGTTATCTCTTGCTGGAGAGCCAGATCAGCATGGTATACCAGAGCGTACCAGTGTCAACAACCGATGCTGAAAGCATCGGAGCGCGAATGGAACGATGGGATGGCTGCTCTTTCTAGTCAGTGGTACTTGTGGAACGAGATGCAATCAACGTGCTGGATCACGTTGATGGCTTGAACTCCGTTGCTGATTTACTGATGACGCGTTCAAACCGACTTTGCCATAGGCACTGCCACAAAATTTAACAACCTGCAACAAATTTGAAACATCTGGCAAGCCGCTTGCTATTATCAATACTACTTCAATCCTAAAAACGACTATGCCTAGAACTCTGAAAAGCATATGGGTCCAACAGACATGAAGCAAATGGGAAGTCTTGCTCGGAGCGCACGAGTGCGAAGCTCCTTGACACTCGACTTCTAGTTCTCTTTCTGATGTGGGACCACTTTATCTTTAGGTGAGATGCTATGGTTGGGGCACAAAGTCATGAATTAAGTTATCTCGCTGCTTTCTTTCTTTGTTTTTGGTCTAGAGTTGGACAGCATGTTACTCTGCCATAGCAGCTTGAAGTGATCTGGCACGAGTGTGCGCCATCTAATCCTGCAAGTATGGTGCAATGCCATCGAGTTCTCCTCTGAGATGTAACAGGCAAGCCGTCGATACTATCAAAATACAAGCTCTTGTCCGATAAAGATGCATTGCCGTTTGTAGCCGACTCAATCGAGCTCATAGCGAATGCAATGCACAATCCGAAGTGGACCTATTACTTCCAAAGCCGCCGATCCGAGATATGCATTTCTGCTGTCCCAATAATTGCGCGGGTGTAACCGCAGCAGGGCCTTTACGGCAGACGGGGATATAGATTAGCTAGCAATACGGAATCATTCCTACCTATCAGCCGGCTGCCGAAATGCATCTGCAGCATGCCAAGCGCTTGCATGCATCAGATTTCTGCAAGTTCACGAACCCCTCACTTAATCACGAACCCCCACCTTCTTTCCTCTCATTGCCTCTGAGCTCTCAAATGAAGATGCGAGATTCCAAAATTCAGGGTTGAAATTCGAATCCATAGTTCTTGGGTACCTACGCTAATGCGCTTTAGCCTGACGTGTCAACTTTCTCTGCAACCTGGTATCGATATACACGCTGCAAGTAAGCCTCACAACCATGTCTCCGCTACCGACTCGCATATTAGCTGGAGTCACCATTCCAGATACACCACTCATTACCAATGCTCTCGAATACACCAGAGCACACTCTACCGATTTTGCCTTTAATCATGTCCAACGATCCATGCTCTTTGGTTTCATCATGGCATCTAAAATTCCTAGCCTTGCCGATCGCGATATCGAGGTTCATGCCATTGGAGCCCTGATGCATGATATTGGATGGGATCCAACTGGTGAATTGGTCTCGAAAGATAAACGATTTGAGGTTGATGGTGCTGATGCTGCGAGGAACTTTTTGCAAAGGGAAGCACCGGATTGGGATAAGCATAGATTGCAGTAAGAAGGTCCAAATCTCTTTGTGCTTTTCCTTCTATCTTGTTCGTCATCGAGATCTAGCTGCTTATTGTCTCTGCTATTGACTCCTTATTCTCGCATCCATCTCCTACCGTTAGGGTGCAATGAGGCAGAACATGCTGACTCCTACACCTCAAAGGCTAGTCTGGGACGCAATCGCCCTCCACACAACAGGCACTATCGTATTCCACAAAGAACCCGAAGTTCAAGCCGTAGCCTACGGGATCTGGGCCGATTTCCAGGGACCGGACCGTATACAGAATAACCTCTTGACATGGGACGAATACAACACCGTGGTAGCCGAGCTCCCTCGCCTCAACCTTATGAAAGGTCTGAAGGGTCTGATGTGTCATTTTTGCGAGACTAAACCTGCTACTACGCTTGATAACACGGTGGGTGAGTGGGGTGATAAGTTTGTGGAGGGTTACGATAGGAAGGGGAAGTTGACTTGTGACCTGTTGCTCACTTGCGATTTGGATGGGAAGACGTTGTTGGAAGATCCTTACTGATGACAGAGCTCTCTTCAGTATGACAGTATCATATGAGAGGTTGTTTGGGAAGCTGGGATGATTGCATTATGATAACATTCGTTTGATTCCGCAAGACGGGCTGGTATCAAACGAAGCATTTCGGCAGCGCTGTCCAAATTTCATGGGTTCATAATCAATTCTAAGTAATTGAAGAATGCTGGAAGATAGAGATTCTTCTTCACTATGAGTGTTCGTCGTCATCTTGTTTGCAGTTTGTCTCCATTTTCCGTTTATACCGCGTTTGAGGATCGCGGGAGATTTTCAGGCGGGAGCTCGAGGTCTTGATCGGAGCATATATTTTTATTGCGGGATTTGTTTACGTCTTGTGCAACTGCCCTGAGTAGCTTGTTTGCGTGAGCGTTCTATGCTGTAGAACCTTTCATGCGTCTACAGAATTGACTCAGTCTTCATTATCGTTGTTTTGAGTCTCGGATCATCTGCGTGGTAGTCATAATGTCTCCGTGCAGCTAGAGCCATAGAGTGGACCTTTTCAAGCTCAGAAGCATAAAGTACAGCTTCATTCCCGCATTATTCTCATCATCACACCTCCTTCGCTCACAGCTCTAGTTGTGTCCTGGTAATCCATTCAAACATCGTGTCGACCCCGTCTACACCGTCCTCCGCAAATTCTGGCACTGCCGCAGAAGGTGCCGCCGACTTCGACAAGAAAGCAGAATTGAAAATCCAACGAGATGCGAAACACATGATAATGCTTGATCCAGCATGGCTGGAAAAGTCCGATGAAGGAGACCGCATGGACTACTTCTTTCGAACTCTGGCTCCCATATATGCTCTTAGAGTTGCCCTACCGATTCCGAAAACGTCGCCCGGTGTATTGGAAATTCCTCACCAGGGTTGGCATAATTTGTTTTTGAAAGCAAACTTCAAGCCAGATCACGTTGAAGAGGAGTATCGGAAGGACATGCTCAAGTTTCTAGTTGATCTGCATGAGTATACTGTCCTCATACATGCAAGAGCCATGCATGAGAAGTTGTGGACAAATTGCTCTGAATTCTTTCTGCTGGCCCTTGCCTTTGACAAGAATGAACACAAGCCTTGGTATGCTGTCAAGCCCCCTCGATCCACGAAACAAAGCGTCGAAGCCGCGATAGATTCTGGCGAGAAAGAAGACAGCATCGATCCCGCAATTGTACAAGCGTGCCGAAAGGAGTTGGAGACTATGGATGAGAAATTTAGGTACATATTCCAGCTCAGCTATTTATTTTCTGATAGAGATACTGATTCAGATTTCTAGTGGATTGGTTGATCATGCAAAGTCCGTTCCCCAAGCGCTTCGATATCAGGATCCCGACACGTTCCGCAAGATGAAAATGGAATACGTAATAAGGCAAAAGGAGCTGAATGGAGAAAAGTGTGACTACAGCCGTTGGGATGCAATGATAACTCTAGCGACTCGCCCAGAAGACAGCGTATTCGAGGACCAGCAGATGGTCAAAGAGAGCATCTGGAGAATGTACAGAGAAGGGCCTCTTGAAGTGAGCAACAGGCCATACGATCTTCCAAACGCTTCGAAATGGCTCCAACTTTCAATCAACATCCGAGCCTTCTGTCTGCATGCAGGCTGTTCTGATGTTGGGAGCGATCCGTTGGAAAACGTTCAAAATCTGCGAACTTATGTCTCAACTCAGAAACTCTTCCAAACCATGGACCTCTACGACAAAATCTATGAACTGGAAACTGACAACAGGGAAAAGGAAAATATAATTGTTTGCCTCTCATTCCGGCATCTGATTGAAAAGTACATTAGCGATGTCAAGAATTCCAAAGGGATTGAGATCAAAGACTCAAGCACAAGGTGGGAAAAGGTGTGGACGGAAATCTGGAACAAAGCTCCAGCACAGGACGCAGCTCACCCAATGCGCAAGTTATTGGAGAACAACCCAGATCCTCGAGACAGAAATGATATCAAGAAACTTGGTGACAACTTATATCACAGCTTAAGTGGTGAAATCCACAAGTATCACGAGGGAAAGGTAGAGCTCAAGGCGTACAAGGGTAGTACTTTGGGACGTGAGATGCTGGCCGCCTTAACACCAGGAGCTGGAATCAACATAAAGCTGGACTGGAAGGAAGCAAGAGGAGAACTAGGCTACAAAAAGTAGCAAAAAGGAGAGGTTCCGGGGGCTTGCTTAAACCTAAGCTATGTTCATGTTTTGCTCTCTCATAGACGGTGGTGATTTGAAAGGAAGATGTACTGATTTAGTTGATAATGTAACTGGACTGCGGAATCATAGTAGACCATGTTGGAACGTCTTTTGCTTCGATTGAAAAGAAGTGGCAAACAAAATGAACAACTTGTGCCACACAATCTGCACCTCACTGGAGAAGCTTAAAATCTTAGCCCCCGATCTTCAGGGCCAAATGCCTATTTTAATCCACCGCCCGCTCCGCTAAATCATCACTAAGCGACTCCCCTGAAAACTCTAACCTCTCGCCACAGATACGGAGGCTGAGTTTCTCCCCTCCAGAAGCATGTTTGCTCACCGCCGCTCGTCTTACTTCTCGTTTCCCAGCAAGGAAGAACCTTCACGCCGAGCCCTCGTATTGACGTTATCGTTCTTTGGCTCGTCCGTATGACCCTTAATCTTGCACAACCCTGGGTATCCCGAGCCCAGCAAATTGGCCGACGGATGCCTGGCCTGCCTCGCGGATTACAGGGTATGGCTTCGCCACTGAACCCCCCTAAATCTTGGCGGGCTCGGCAATTTTATGTTCCCTGCCATCAGGAAAATGTGCCCCGCTATGATAGCCTTGCTGATCTCCTGAATAATGTCGATGTTCTGACTGCATACCATACCTTTTCGTCCTATTTCACATACTGTCGTTTCCCAAGTTTTATATCTTCACCTTCGTTTCATTCTTCTATTCATTAATCTTCGATTTTGGGAGGAAAGATGGGTGTCCGTGATCTCGTACCACGGCACACGAGGGGATACTTATGGATTGCGTTTCTCGTGGGAGTATTCATGTTCATGGCCATGAGCGAAAATGGGATTTTTTCAACTGATTCTGTATTACCGAATCCTGTTCTGATTGCGAAGGCGAATCAGTCACCGTTGGAAGTACGACCTAGCGATTTTAAGATGCCGAAAGCTCAATCTTCAACATCGACTCCAACTTCGTTAGGAGGTGCTTCACAAACTCCAATATCACACACCTCAGAACCAGCAACGAAGAGTACTCCAGTACCAACAAAAGAGCATCCAAAGACTGAAGAGCTATCCTTCAACGGCCTCTCCCCCAACGACATAGCCATCCTCGTCAAAACCGGCGCAACCTCCATCTGGCGCCGTATGCCAGCCCACATGTCCACCACGCTCTCCAACCCCCTCCTCACCCCCAACATAATCTACTACTCCGACTCCTCCGATAACCTAAACGGCTCCCCGGTCCTCGACGTCCTCGCCAACGTCTCCGCGGCCCTTAAAGCCACCCCAGATTTCGCCCTCTACACCAAAGCCGCCGAGATCGCGGACCAGAACCTGTATCTCGAGTCCGGGTCCATGGAAGGTGACTTCTACCTCCCGGGCGGCTGGCGGCTGGACAAGTATAAATTCGTGCCGATGTTTCAGCACGTAGCTGCGTACATGCCCGGCAAGAAATGGTACGTCTATATGGAGGACGATAATTATTTTTTCTGGGAGAATCTGTTTTCGTGGTTGGGGACGCTGGATCATACGGCGCCGCTGTTGGTCGGATCACCGGCTTTCCGGCTCGGCGAGGATTTTGCGCATGGTGGGTCGGGGTTTGCGGTTTCGGGGAAGGCGTTGGAGGTTTCTTTTGGGAGTGATAAGGGGTTAGCGGGTCAATTTGAGGAATATGCGAAGGAGCAGTGTTGTGGTGATCAGGTGCTCTCGCATGTTCTGCATTCGAAAGGTGTAGAGCGGTATAAGGAGCTGGATGGTGGGGGATGGGCGGGGTTGCAGAGTTTGCCGCATTGGAGGATTGGGTTTGGGACGTGGAATTGGTGTAGTCCGATTATGAATGTGCATAAAGTGCACCAGAGAGATATTTCGCGGCTCTGGGTGTTCGAGAGGGAGTTCAAGGAGGGAGGTGGCAAGAGATTGAGGTATAGGGATGTTTTTGAGGGGATGGCGAAGGCGGGAATGCAGATGGAGAGCAGGAGTGAGTGGGACAATTATGCAGCGGCGAAGACGTTTGCTTCTTCTTCCGATCCAGATGTCAATGCGGGTGTGAATGGAGGGAGTGAGGGAAGCAAGATTTCGGCAGGAGAAATGGCGAAGAAACCGTGGTATAGTAAGGAGGCGTGCAAGAAAGCTTGTGTAGAGTGGGAGCAGTGCTTGACTTGGAAGTACGCAGATGATAACTGTGCGTTGGATCATACGGCTGCGATGGGGCAGAAGATTGATGCTGGGATCAGGATGGAGAGTGGGTGGATGATTGAGAGGATCAAGAAGTTGGAGAAGACGGAGTGTGAAGCGTTGACCTTTTGATAGGACGAAAGATTTGAGTTTTGGCTTGCATTTGAGCGGGATAATTGGGTCGCACATATTGGAGTTTGGTAAAATCATGAATACCTGGCATGATTACATATCTATACATAGATGTTGGGAATAGTACATTGAAAGTCTATGGATCTTTCACAACCTTACAAGTTTCCTTCAATAACACGTCATCAATGCGCTCCAGTATCCAGCCACTCGTAATTACCGTCTTCGCCTCCCAATGAGGCTGTGGATCTGGCTCCCTACCCAACTTCACCACCGTATCCATTCCACATTTTTCATTAGCAGAATCATGACGCCAACCCATGCAGTTGGGTATAGCGAGACATGCTTTTCGACATGCCTCAGCGGAGGATGGTGCTGCTTCGAGAACTGCATGGTCGATAGAATTCAGATCTTCCTCAACAGGATCAGTGGCATTACTGCCAAAGACGTATCTTGATGCAAAATTATCCCAATTCGTCAATTTCGGCTTGGTGAGATACGGAGCAATAAGTTCCATATACACATCTCTAAAGATCACAGGACGCTATTAACCACATTAGCAACTGGCTCTTCATTTCATAAAAGGTAGACTTACACCAGCATCCAATGCCCTTCGTTTCCTTTCCAGCTCCGACAATTGGAGAATATCCCTCTGATGCAAATGATGAAAAGTAAAGACAGGTGCACACCAAGACCAATCATCAAAGCCCGTTTTCCACGGCGGTTCTGGACGGAAAGAGCCAGTTCCATACGTCCCTCTATTGACATAAACTCCATAATCTCTCAACACCTTTCCCAGCATGATGTCGCCACAACAAGATTGCGAGGTTTCATTTCCATATTTCTCCAGATCAGGAATATTGTCACCAGAGAAAACAGCGCTCATAAGAGACCGCGAGAACACAAGTCCCGAACCGCCTTGAGCGAACGTGTTGTTTCCTTCTCCGGAATAGGCTCCGTAATAAGATGGTTCATCGTCCGGTTCCAGTGTGGAGAGGTAAGAAAGAACGTTATCCCAGAAAATGAACGTATCATCCTCGATGTAGATGTACCATTTCAAATTAGGCCAATTCCTTTGAGCATGTGCAAGCATTGGGAGGAATTTATACTTGTCCAATAACCAACCTGGCTGATTACCAGCTGTGGCATCAGGTGGTTCGTCGCCTGGTAATCGAGCATGCTCCCGGTAGGTGTTGAGGTGAGAAGGCGACTGTTGGTCCTGATATGCAGCGTAGGCTGAGGGGTCGAATTTCTGGATGATGGAAGAGGAGTTGGTCAGGACGTCGATAGCGGAAATTGTGCTGGAAAGTTGTTCCGGAAGGTCGGAATAGATCACGCTGTGGGGTATGCGTCCGTTGGAGAGGGTAGTGGTGAGATGGAGGGGCATGCGGCGCCAGATAGTGCTAGCGCCCGTTTTGAAGATGAGGAGCACATCTTCTGGTGCTCCTGCTCCCTTGTGCGCCTGTTGAGGTGCGGAGTGAGTCGATGTTGGTGTTGGTACGACTTCCAACGCCGAAGTTGTGGGTTGAGATGATACAGGATCTGTGTGAATGGCAGTTGACGAAGTGTCCGATAATTTCAACGATGAAGTTTGCTCATCCGGTACGGCATGCTGACCGGCATCCTTCGAAGGTGGGGTGATTTGGTGCCTCCCTTCATCTCCATCTCGCTCAACCAGGAGGCCGAAGAAATCGTAGTAGTACAAAGCCACCAGAATCAAAATCAAGCCGGTCAAGAAAACTCCCCTCGACCTCCTGGGCGAGGACATTTGCAAGAATGAACTCTCTTTGCTCATGAGTCGTCACTCTTCACCACATATCCTTTTTCATCGTTAGATACATCGTTGGCACAAAAGAGTCTTGCATAGGGGCGTACTATTAAACATTGCCACGGGTAAAACGCAGTTTCTAGGTAGTCCCGGCAAAGATCTCGTGCTAAAGGCGACCGTTTGGTTGGGAGCCCGCCGTTGATGAAATTGACATCAAATTGCAGGGAGGTCAGGAAGCAGAGCCGGGAATGGCGGCCGGGGCTTATTCAGGGGCTGACGCTAGGAAAATTCGAGATGCGGCACAGCAGATCAAGCAGTCATCCGAATTCTCGTACTTCAGTATATATAGAACCGAATCCACAAAACAGCAGTCATAAAAATGCATCTGCCCTTGAGCAAATATTTTGTCTGCTCATGACTGCAGGAAAGGCACAGTATGAGATGTTTAACCAAGGCAAGACTCCTCACCGAGTGTAGTACCAAGATAAAATACGAGGTAGAATTTAGCTTTGCAAAATGCTTAGTAAAATGCTGCAAGGTTCGTCTAGTGTTCACCGAGATCCAGGATTAGCATACTCGCTACCCAGTTCCGGGCAAGTCTCTCCCTAAGCACAGCCCATCGAATCCCCCTGTAACTTTAATTTTACGCCGCCGTGCCACATCGCGCCTTTCCGCTTCTTCTCAACATCGAGAAATTTCCTCGTCTCATGCAAGGCAGCAAACGGTCATTTCTCTCGTACGGCGTTATTCTACCAGCTAAGGCTAGGCTTCTCAAGTGGAACCCAATCGGAGTTTGAGATGCGGGACGGTTTCTCAGCCTTGGAAGTCGTGGTACAGTAGTCGTTTATAAGAATCTCCGAGCCCGTACTACGTCGGTGGGTGATACTTGAAATATTTTCCATCTCACAGTCGTTCGTTCGTTCACTTTGTGTCGTTGTCACTCGTTTGTTTTGTGCAAGATGGCTATTCTTCCATCTCGTCCTTCGTGGACTCATCAGTTCCTGAATGCGGTGTTGTGCGTGGTGACTTTTACGATTATCTTTCTATATTTCCGCAGATATGTGGCGGCGTTCCCGATTACACTTGAGAGTATATGGCAGATTTCGTTGGCGGAGGTTAATAGACGGAAGAACGTCAAGCGGATTCAGAGGATTACGCCTGTGCTGGATGAGGAGAGTGGGATGGGAGAGAAGAAGTCCGTGGTGAGGCATATGGCATCTGTGGTGGGATACCGGGAAGAGCCGACACTGTTCAAGAAATGCTTGCAGAGCTACCGAGGATCTCCAGGACTGGAGATCGTGTTGGTTGGCATTGATGGAGATCAAGTTGAGGATATGGAAATGGTCCGGATTGCAGGAGAGGTTTGCATTTTCTTCCATTTAGCAAGAGACGCATGCTAATGAAGTCTCAGGTCTTCCCAGAAACCATGGTCAAGATCCATATCGAAGAACCCTACGGCCCCCTCGCAGTCCGCCTCGCCCAATCATACATCGACCGTAAACTGCACGACGAAAAGAGCATGGCAGACAAACAAGACACTCGAATCGACGACGCCAACACTCTTCCTAAAGAACTTCTCGAAGAATCATACAAATATGCCTGCAGAATGGTGTTCGAGAAAGCAGTTGCTACATTAAAGTCTCACAACGTCCTCTCAGTACCCGGTTCTGATCTACGAGCCATCTGTCTATATCAACCACACAAGTGCAAGAAAGACATCATGTTCACAAATATGATCTTCACTCTTGCCCTTGGACAGGCAAACGACATCGAATACCTCTGGACCAGCGACTCCGACACTTGGGTATACCCCGAAACTCTATACCAAGTCATCGGATGCATGTCTGCGGACCCTTTGATAGGAGGAAGTTGCTCTGCCCTCTCAATCCACAATGGACACGAAAGCGTAATTGCCCAACTAGGAGCAGCGGCCTACTGGACCGAACTCGCCATTACGCGTGGTCAAACCGGCGCCGTAGACAGCGTAGATTGTCAACCGGGCCCATGCGCCGCATTCCGTCTCATCGCTCTCGAACCCATCCTTCTGAAATGGTACACGCAAACCAGTATCGGGATCAAGACCGTAGTCAACGAAGACAGACATCTAACCACCAACCTATTGCTCAATGGCTGGAAAGTCACATTCAATACCTCGGCTTTGGCATCTACTGATACACCAACCACTCTCCTGCGCTGGCTATTGCAGCAAATTCGATGGGCGAGAGCAACGCACATCGAGACCTTCCAGTATCCGCAAGTATACTCCATCCACGGACCTATCCTGTTCGTCACCGCCATGCGACGCTTCTACGGCCCTCTTATTATCGGAGTCTTCACCATCCGCTACGTCCTCACTGGGTACACGGTTCACACATACTCCCTCATCGATCTCGTGGGCCGCATCATCCTCTGCACGGGCTATAATTACGCTGTAAACGGGAAGAACGTAAATGGAATCACCTACCTTATCTGCAGTCAGATCTTCTACCAACTCCCGCTTCCAGGCATCATGTTTTGGTCCGTCCTCACAGTTCTAGAAGGTGGCTGGGGAACCAGGATGAGAAGTCAAGGAGAACAGCGGAAGGAAAGATGGGCCGGGCTAGAGAACCTGTGGAGTACGAGCGCGGTGGTGCTTTGGATGGGGTTTGTAGCTGCTGCTATTGCGAGGTTCGTTGCTTGGAGACTGGTGCCGGAGTTTATGGTGCCGTTGATGCTGGTTAGTGCTAGTGCGACGGTGGGTACGTTATATTACAATCTGTTGGCTTGAGTCCTGGTTTCGGTTTGCGAGCATCGATTTCATTGCGTGGCGTTGGGTGGAAAAGCATAGATAGAAGCATGGGATGGGGTATAGACTTGATGACATGGGCTTCTGCCCTCTTGCCGTCAGGCTTTGACACATGTTGATAGAAAGAAATAACGTCAAAAAACTCTCAATTTAAGGATCGATTCGCTTGGCTGCGGGATTTCAGCGGAGTCACTGGTGTATCTCAATAAGTGTTGGTCCTTGGAAGATTAGAAGTTCTACGAGCGTTAGCATTCTAATCTTCTCTAGCGAGTTGCAGATTGTGTATCTATCGGCAAACTTTATTGTGTTTAGTCCTTCGGTGTGCTGGAGCTGCTCTTTTCGCTTGCGCAAATAAACCTGTATGGCTGCAATTGCTCACATCAAGTATGGTCAGGCGGGGTACATCGTCACGGCAGTTTTATGTTCCTCATAAGATTTTGAATACCAATTCTGTTAATTTTGTGGTTAATGAAAGTTGATGTTACAAAATGCTGATGCTATCCCAAAATGCCGCCCCAAATGCTCGCTCCAAACCCAATGCAGAATTCAAATGCAACCCAAAATGCTCAGAACGAATGAATAGTCCCATCCCTTAGTCCATTCTACCACTCCATTCTCCCTTCAGCAGCCAAAGAGCTAACTTATGCGACAGTACAGCTGATGGTGAAGCCGGCTTGCCAGTTCAATGGCTTCTCGGAGAAGGTCTGGAAGTCTTGTGCTGGGTCGGCAATGCTAGCGACGACGGTGTTTGTTGCGGTCTTCAGGACCGTGCAGGCCACATTCTGGAAGTCGGCAGTGAACTCCAAGCTGGTGACGAAGAGAGTTCCGTTAACTTCCAAATCGGTATCGGCGTATGCCTCTCCGAGGACTACGGCTGATCCATCGAGTGGGATCCAGGCGTTGCCGTTTGCTCCTGTGACGACGTTGGAGAATTGGACTTCAACTGTGCTTGCAGATCGGACAGTTGGGGCCGCGGAGACGGCGGCGGTGAGGAAGGAGAGAGCGATGGCGATGGTGGAACGCATTTTGATAATGGTGTTTGTGTTGTTAAGTTTGGCTTGGAAGAGGTGAAGAAAAATTGGTAGTGATGAAGAGAGGTAGTTGTTGTTTGTTGTTCTTGTTGTTGTAGTAGTTGTTGATGCAGAAGAATTATTCAACAGCGAAATCCAAAGTAAATATATAATACTTCTTTCTCTACCTCAATTGCTTAGGATTAGGTGTGAATCTATTTTGGAGTGATAATTTGAGGCGGAGTGCTGATTCCAAAATACCCGAGCCGAGCCGAGCTGGGAGGTCGGCCGATGCGTGCAAATATAAACTTACTGTCAGATGCGCAGCACGCTGAAGGAGGCTCTGTACAAAAAATCTGTCGGATTGCGCTCGCCTAATCGGCCGCGCGCAACAGTTTCTTCAGCGGAAGAGAAGGATCAAGTCACACAGCTAGGAATTAAGTCGCACTCCTCACTTTCTCGTACAACTGTCATACCTCTCGCAATGGTAGCTAAGTTGCAACACCCTAAGAGCTACGACACTGCGAGATTTACAACGCTGTGATAGCTGCACCACTGTGACCGATCCAATATTACCTTCGTACAAGAGGAATATTCCCACTCAGCACGGGAATTTGTTTTCCGGGGACTCTTTTGGAAATTTGCCCCGCCGCATTGCGGACTCGCCTAATTCTTTTCAAAGCTGAACTGGTGATAATAGAGGGCGGCGATACGTGCTTAGAACATATAAGCTGACGACCTGGTTGGTAGGATCGCCGACCACACTTTCAGGCTCAGCAAAGGCGTATTATAGAGGGGTGCGGTGTCGTAGCAATTACGTTTCTTTTTGTCTTCCTATGTGGCTGTTAGCCAATGTTTTCTTTTCGCTTCTATTGCATTGCTCACATGATTATCGCCTTCGTCATTCTTCCTTCGAAGTCGTATTCTGCTCCAAGCAGAGGCGGTTGAGGAAGCTCTCAAGAAGAACAGCAGATCTTCTCATTACGAACCGCGTCTCCGGTGACACTTGATTTTGGTGAGCGGCATGCGCTGGTGTGACGAGAGGGATTAATCCTTTGCAACAGCCTGGACTTCTTAGTGGACGAACGCTAGTCTCCAAAAATGATGTCCACTTCAAAGATGATGTGGGATAGGCAAGCTGGATCGTATAGACAGCCAACTGGAGTTCGAGATCGATAACGCGGCGAGAGGCTATCAGATGCAGAATGATACAAACAATTGAAATGCTCAGGTTTCAGTCGAGTATGAAATATTAAAGTGAAATGGCCCACTTGAGGCTCATAATGAATAAAAAGAACCATATGAAGCAGAGCTCACAAGTTCGTGATCATCATGAGAGCGACATATTCAAATGGAGGAACACCTTCAGAACACAAAGCTTAACCCGAAGCCATGTTACTATGTGGGGCTTCACTTTTATCAATGTCTACCTAGGGAGCGAAACTTCCACCTACTGCACTCTTCAAGCTTGCACCTTGAGCTGTCAACAGCGCAGCAACAAAAACCAATCCTATAATACCTCCCTCTTCCCCGTTCGCGCTTCTTTCAACCTTACTAAGTCCCTTCGCAGCGACTCCTCCAGGCGATCCTCCGTGCGATCCTCCGTACGAATGCATGACAAGCACTGCTTCAGCTCAGGAGATGACCAAGAAGTTCGTCTTCGATGAATGTGACATCGTCGGTAACGGTCAAGCCGTCCGCGTTTGGGGGATCTAAACTTGGAAGAGGACCGGAGGAGGTCGCGTAGCCCATCTTTTCGAGTGCACACGTAAGGTCTTGGTAGTGGGATGGCGAGTGACATTCTCCAGGGACAATGACGACGGCTGGCAGAGTTTTGGTCATTGCGCTACTAGTAGATTGTGTTTTTTGGTCCATTGTACTTGCTCGAAATAAAAGAGAATTCCTGACACATGGAGTCAGCGGAGTTAGCAGAGTCCAGCAACAAATGTTGGATGCGGGGTCGTTTTGTTGGTTGCTGTCTGCTGTGCCACGCCGCTCTCTTTCGTTTCAAGAAAATGATATCTCAATCTACTTGTGCATATGGTTGGCTCCTCGAGCATTAATAAGAATCTACATATTACCAAGCTCCCGGTGAGAGGCTGGCTTCAACATTACTGTTCAGTAGATGTGTATTTATCTGCCATTCCCAGCCTTTTCCCAACCTGCCTAGATTGAATAGTGGTAGTTGGAACCATTTGCTCTATCCAAGAAATGGGGCATTGGGATTTTCGGTTGGTAAGCATGGCTAATACGGCTTGTGCAATGTATGATGTACATTTATATGAACGTAGCTTTATCCTCGTCGCTTAAGTCTTGCAACGTTGGCTACGAACCCAGCATTAGTTATGTTGAATAACATCTGCATCCACCAAAGAACTGCATCTGGAAATCACACGATTATTTCGGGGAACTCCTCCCATCATTGATTAGAGTCAAAGTTTGTAACTTGGAGTCGAAATACAAAATCTGAATATTGTGGAGGCCCTAAACTAAAGCCGGCTCTTTCCTTTATCCTTTGTTCACCAATGGGAACGCGATTCTAATGTCACGTTGCTCTCTCTTCCATTCCAGTACGCATAAGATATTGGCCAAGCAATCCCAAAGGAACAGAAACTAGAGCCAGGACCCACGAGTATTTAAACGGGTAACGCTGGCTGATTTCCTTGATCCATTGATATCGCTCTGACCCAAATCTTTGCTCGATCTCTATTGTATCTGGTATCTGAAAAGCCATGAAAGGTGGAAAACCCACGAGAATCCTCACATAACCTCTGATAGCAGACAACATAAGTTGGTAAAATATGGCCTGGCTTAAGGATCGTCCTCGGCGAGTTTCTTTGCATATCACATAGTCGCCAAAGCGGCAACCAAGATAGGTGAGAATAGCGCCGAAAGCCAGAAGTAACATTCGTGGTTGTTTAATCAGAGATTCTTCATAGAGGCTCTGGGAGAACAGCAACAGTGTTGCATTGATGGTTGCTGATGAGATCACTGGAAGTACGAACGTCCCGGCAGCGTAGAGCTGGTAAAAATCTCTTTCATTCGACCGCCCTCTCTCAACTGAAGGAGGCTTCTCATATCCCAAAGACGTACGCATTGATGATTGTGCTGTACGATACAATCCCGTATAAATGATCATCATATTCAACGACCACATGATGTGGAATGGCGAGAATCCTAGCAAGAGAGTCCATGGCGGTACTGCCAAATGTAGAAGTCCCTTGGTGATCAGCGGCTCAAGAATAGCATATGCCACTGTGGTGATGACAGGATTGACATTGAGCGAGGTTTCAAGTTCGTCATAAGGCACAGTAGGTGTAATGACCCATGGATTAAAACAGCTGGTTAATTCGTTCGACTGACTTATAATGCTAATAAAAGCGCGAAAACAGGCAACAGTTGAGGGTGGTGCCGGATTGTCAAGCATATTCGAAGAATTGTATAAACGTGTAAGGTAGTGGAGAAGTCAAGAGGGAAGAAGCGGGGTGGTGCCGTATTTGTACTTTTCGATGTTGGTTCTTCGTTTAGCAAGTGCTGCGTTGATCCTATTCGCAGCCTATCGCGAATAGACGAAAAAAGCCCACGCTAATAGGATCAACATCGCACTGCCACTACTCGCTGCCAAAGAACCAACATTCAAGATTTCAGCCTCGAGTAGAGTAGAGAGTCTTCCTGCCATGGTCGGGCGCATCATCATGAAGTTGCGGTTTCCATCAGGAACGCTGCTATCAGCATCCATTGACATGTTCATGGGAAATGCACTTTCCTACAATGCATGCGACACGATAAATCAAGAGCATTGGCCTCAATTGGAGCATTCAGAAATAATGATAAATCAGGCACTCGAACAGATACAGATTTCGAAGCAGTGTATTCTCTGAAAAATTGTTCCTCTAACATTCCTACATTGACCAGTGCAAGGGGACTTTGATTACACAGCTCTTCATCAAGCATGTAACCCACCAGGTCAATCTAAATCTCTACTCGGCGTCTGTCTCCAATCCCCGACCTGAAACCCGCATGAAAGGCTTGAAACTCCCATCAGCTCCTAGTTGTCCAAAGCACTGATCCATTCTAGTGCAGTCGTTGGTTCAAGTCGATGAGTAAAGTTAGGATCGATGAACGCATTTCGAACGACGCCACTCTGGTCGACAAGCAGAAAGGCCGGCAGAGGAACAACGTATGTATCATCTCCATTGTGGGCCTTGAGATCAACGTTAACTGCCGAGTAGACTGGTCGCATCTCGTCAGGCTGCGGACAGAGAATACCCAACTTCTTGGCGAATTTGTTTCCTACATCCGTCAAAACTGGGAACTTCAACTCATGCTTCTCGGTCATGGTGAGGGTTTGATCTGGAAGCTCGGGAGAGATAGCGACGAATGTAACTCCCTTGGCTTTGAAAGTATCCAGATGCTGTTGATAAGTCCTCAGAGTGATGTTGCAATAAGGACACCAGTTTCCTCGGTAGAAGGTGACAAGAATGGGGCCATTGGCGAGGAGTTGTTTGCTGTCCACCATGTCCCCACTAGCACCCTGAAGATGGAATTCGGGGAGCTTATCTCCGACCTTAATGGCATCGTCGAGATTGTAAGATGCAATGAAGTCGCTCATAGACTTCTTGACAGGTTCTTTGAGTTCCGCTGGGGCATTGGCATGAAACTCGGCGAACTTTGCGTTCAGCTCAGTAGCAAGACTCATCTTGGCAAGATGTGATGAAGCAGCTTTAGTGAAAAGATGGACTTGAATAGAGGTGATTGGCTGGGCTGAGGTGATATAGGTGAGTGGAATTTTGTCTAAGGAGGATGATGGTGAAGAGAATAGTGGTGAGTAGGCGATGGCTTGATTATTTTTGATGCGAATTGGCATATACCGGCTTCCTTTATATACCTATCTGTCTTCACTGCCGAAGAACTATACGGAGTTAACGCCAACAACTCACCCCGAGAGTGCGAGAATGAGATGGTTTACTGCCCAAAGCACCCTCGTATACGACCAAGGGCAAGCTCAAAAGTCCATACCGAACAACTCGAACACAAAGGAGCTAGATTCAAAGGGTCGCAATTCCAAAGGTTTCCTTGTTTGGAGGTGTTGATCAATTCTTTTTTGAGCGACTCGTCCGAGTTCGGTCGAACTGCCGGTCGAACTCGGAGAATTTATTACTTCTGATAGAAGTTTTCGTTTGATGGTTTCAGAAATGACAACGCAAAGCGAAGTACGCAAGCCAATGTACTTCATACTAATATTAAGTCTAGCTCGGTCTTGTAATCTTGTCCTTTTCAAGTCTTCGCTTGACTGCTGGCGATAAGGTACAGTAACCGAGCCCCTAAACTTAGCGAGCATGTGCCGAAGACCTTCCCCTCATGTCTTGCTCTACGATCGAATAATGTGCGCGTAGGTAGTTCGAATGACTGTAGTAGTATATTTGCATGAATCCTTCTTCTCATAAACAATGCATCGTGGTAAACAGGGGTAGAAACCCGAAGAGGTGAGGAGCCACTTAAATACCGTTCCCATAAGCACGCTGCCTCTCCCAACCTGCTAACTATCTCTCTTCTGCTTAAACCCGCGTCACTACCAAATCAAAATCGTGCCTGCATCACCCCTCCGCCACAAAGCGTTCCAAAAATGGCAGTGGGCTTGCAGAATGCACATTCATATTCAAGATGTTTCACCTGACACAATCGTCTGTTAATCGTCCAAAAATCAGTAGCGTTCATCGTGACTTCGCTTTTTCGCAATGAGATATCTCTCTGTAGGACCTAGTAGCGATACGACATGAGCGCTGTTCAAGAGATGCCGGTTGAAATTTCGGGGGAGGACAGTGGAAATAAGTGTCCCAGTGAGAGGATCGAGATGTCTGGGGAAAGTGCGACGTGTCATCCAGGATTAAGTTATTAAGTGCACATTGGAAAGATGAAAATGGAGTCTCGGAGCTTTGATCTGTGAATACTCAATTGAGATGATATGTTGGGACGGGTTTCGTTTGTGGAGGCCTACCTCATGATCTCGAAGGTATGAGGGCAACACTACGGGCCTATCAAGCATGTTAGCAAAAATTCATATAATTCAATTCAAATCACACGCGAAAAAGAGTCAAATATCAAGGGTACAAAGCAAGCTTCAATTCAGTATCTAAAGGCAACTAGTTAGTGCTACGTTCTGTCAAGTATATGTACAAGAATCGAAGTCTATCAAGAGGTATTCACTCACCTCTCACATTCACCACCTCACTCTCCCCGCTACACCTCTCTTCACCTCAGCCACCGGCACCGTCCCATTGTCAAACTTCGAACACGCTCCAAACCCAACCTTACAAGTGAACGACCCACAGTAGTTTACACCCGTACCACAGTTCCCGAACATGCTGCAGCACAGACCAGCAGGACATCTGCTCTCCTTTCCACACTGTCCGTCTTGGGAGATGGGTAGTGATGCGAAGGGATTGGATGTTCCTGATGGGTTTGAGCGGGGAGCGGTGCCGGGAGTGTGGGTGTGGATTGTGATTGTGGAGGTTGAGTTGGCTATTGGGCGTGCGGTGTGCGTGGGGCGGGTGCTGTTTCTTCCGTGAGTGGAGTTGTGTCCGTTCGGGTGGTGTACGACGAGGTATCCGGTGGATGATCCTGCTGAGTGTGTGGAGGAAGTTGGAATTGGGAAGGGTACTGAGTCGAGGGACTGAGTGGCATTGTCTTTTGCCCCATTTCCGTATCCGTTGACTGGTAAGCATGTTCCGAAGATGGTGTTGACTTCAGACGCCATTGGCACGGTGTGATTCATGGTGTAGTCTGGGCCTGGGTTTGGGAACATGACCTCCTTTGTTGGGTCTCGAGTACAGGAGTTATTCATGTCAGAGACAAAAATATCTGGTCGAGAGGCGAAAGGGGTAGTTGGGAGTGTAGCATTTTCCTGGGCAGGTTTGATAGTGATGGCAGCACAAGACACACACACCTCATTACTACCGAGTGGGAAGTATGAGAATGCCAAGACCGCCGTGCCCGTAGGCGCGTCGACGGGGACGGTGAAGTCTAGTTGCTGTTGGTTGGACGTGCCCACATTTCCTTCGAAAGTATGGATGACCGTGAGAGAGCCGTTGTTGCCAGACATGGAGATCTGGCCGCTGCCGCCAAGTGATTCACCCGTGAGGATGATCCACGCCGCTTCGCCTGCTTCATATGGTGTTACCGGCCATCCATTTCCGTTTGGATCAGTGTACATGTCAGACATGTAGCCTTTGCAGGGAAATTGATCGGCGGTCAGGGCAACTGTGTAGTTGTCCCGCGTAGTATTATCGTTCAAGTAGGCGTTGAAGGTGTAGCGGAGTGGATTTGGGATGCGCATGGTTTGGTATGCCTGAGCCAGTGGTGAGACCATCGCCAGGATGAAGAAGAGCATCGTGTATTTCATGGTGAAAGACATGGTTTTAGTTCTGATTGGGTGTGTTGGAGACGTAGATGAAGTTATCTGAAGCAGGTTGTGCAGGATAAAAAGGATTCGAGTCTGTGTCTTTGGTGTGGTTATGTATGTGAAAATGTGTTATGAAGAATGCAACAGGTGGCTGAGAATAAAATATATGCAACGCTTGGCATCGCTGTTCGAAACGAATATGACTGTTTATGATTGCAGAAAGGGCTAGAACTGTGACTGTTTCAAAGTTTTCAGATCTTGTCATTTTTCTCGGATCAACACTTGGAGTCCGAGTAGTCCTGTAGCCAATGAGACCAATGTGGAACAATTGCTTTGAATGTGTGACAAAGCCAAAGATGCTTGATGAAAGGCTAAAATGAGCTACGTAACAAAGGGGTATTGTGCTCGGCTTTCAAAAGGGGCTTTCAGGGTATTGTTGCATTGTGATCGCCATGGCAGATTCGGTCAGCTACTAGGATTGCCAGTTTTCATCTGTATTGAGCTTCCATTTCGACGAGAAGGCGAAATGGATACAAAGAGCAACAGGACGATCGATAGTAGAAGAAGAGAAAGGTCGAGTACGGTTAATTGTGATGTGAGTATTGAAATACTCTTTGTTCTTTTCGACACATGTTTGATATCTCAGAGCCTTTGTCTGTGTAACTGACTCGTCCTCTAAATGACAACACAACCATCTCGACGGTGCTTCAGCATGACTTACGCGACTCTTCGCCCGCGTGCCTTCTCTCGTGCTCCAACGCACTTAGCTGTCATGATGAATCTGGTATAAACTATAATGTCTGGAGCCTTCAGGATGTGCGTGCAGGGATATATCAGGTATATTGCCCGTGCCTTAGCACTTCAGATTTGTTCGTAGATTGCGAATCTGAATACCGTTTGCTTGACGAGGGGCTTGAAATGAAGCATCCACTTCAGCCACGTCCGGTCAGAATGTAATCTGATTTCACACATTTTGGAGTCCAGAGATCGTCTTCGTTTGGTTGCCAAGGATTGAATCCTCGACCCGGCGGCCTGAATGTACGGTTGTTGGGTGGGTCATCAAAGGCGAATAGCTCATCAAACACTGACAGCCTGCCACCAGGTCTTCCGCCTGGGGGTCCACCATGACCGGGCTCACGCCTTGGTGGCCCACGACCGCCGCCACGGCCACCTCGGAATGGAATCATGGGCCACATCGGGATAAAGCAGCTCTCGTCCCAAGCACATCGCTGTTCACATCGAACCCATTCACCAGCCCAACCTAGCCAAGCCATAAGCTGCTCGATACCCTCTGTCCATCGAGACACCTCATTCTTGAATTGTGTTGGGACTTCTGGCTTCGAGGTTTCCTTGATTGGAACATTGAAGTTAGCTTCCCAAAGACCCTCAACTGCCAGACCAACATCGACCAAGACCGAGCAAATTCCACCTGTAGTTTCTTCGACCGACCACTGCAGCAACGATTCTTCGGGACCGAGAGATATCCCTTCCTCTGGATCTAGCAACCGCGTGAACTGGTATCGACAGCGAGAATATGTTGTTTTGAACAAACTAGAGTCTCTGGTCCAGATATTGTCGTTAGCATCGTCGTCTGGGTACTCCAAAAATGGTAAGAGGAATGAATGAGTTTCATCGCGAACATCAATCATCCAATCTCTCACACTAGTTAAATTGGTGATAGTGACGTTTTCGAATCTCTCAAGCGTATTTAGGAAGCGGAAAAGACTGCTTCCGTAAGTCTGGACGATATCGTTTGTCATAGTCGACCAATCAATGCCGCTACAATTGGCAGGTGAGTCTGATGATAGATCTCTGAGGACCCTCTCTGAGTTCACCCTCATGATCGATGCGTCTGAGGGAGTAATGCTATCCAGAGTGTGGTATCTCCGCCTTCGGGTCAAGGATTCCATAGCCTTTGCTCTAGATCCAGATTTTCCTGGCCCAGTCCAAAGGCCGTCTTTCGTCAAATTCAGCGACTTCTGCTCTTCTTGTGCTCTTGGAAGAGCCTGGCTGAGAAAGTCTGGACCGTAGTAACTCAGAAAGCCGCAACTCATGGGCTTTACATGCGTCTCTGGACGGCCAGGCCCATCTCCGTTCGAGCCGTAGTGGGTAGTTGCACTTGAATACCAAGCCCAAGCCTGACTATGGAAGAACGGTTCCCGAATCCATGGTGGGTTGTTGACGGGAGGCACTGGCGGATTTGCAGGATCGGTAGCTCTATCAGAACGAGTTGGCGAAGGAGGTAGAGGGTAGTATGAAGTTAATGTCGAGTCGTCCTGAGCCTTCACTATGACCTCTTCGTCCTGTTTAGGGAGCAGTGGGGCAGTGATGTTGAGATGCGAGATGAGCCGGATCGAAGGACTGCTGAAGTTACACCAAATCATTTCGAATCCAGCATTCATCCTCACAATCCCTTCATAACCCCATCCAGGACCGCCCAGCTTCTGTTCTTGGAACCAGTCGCAAAGTCCCGTAGCCCGAGCATATTCTTCCCACAATCCGCGGAAGCCATTACCGGGTCTAGATGGTCCGCTTGTGTTTCCCCATATGTGGAGGTTCTGCGAATCGAGTTGGCCGGTACCGAAGAGTGTCGCAGACTCTCCATCGAAGTATATACATTTGACTCGGCGTGTGGTTTGATAGGTGAGCATGTGTGAATCTCGACTGCTGCCCATGATTCCGTAAGACATGCCACTATACAGGTTAGCAGATTTAATAGACTACGAAAGAAGGACTTACATGTCGAAAGCAAACCACTCTGGACTTGGAGGGACATCACCATCTCGACGCCCATGATAAAGTTTCGTGAAGGGTGGGATCTCGCAAGGTACTAAGCTATGGCCATTCGGAAAGAAGGTATTTGGCCATTGCTGGAGGAGTCCATAGGCAGATGCGAAGTAATGAGGTGCTTCAGAGGAGTAGTTGAACTTCCATTGACTTGCGCTTCGGGCTTCACTTGTTGCTTCTAGTAGAGGTTGCTGTTGAGAAGCTGAAGCGATCGAAGGCAATAAGGCATGTCCAAAGACCGCACAAAACCTAAATAACCTCATCTTGAATATGATATTGCAGATGCCGGCTGCATAAGCAGTCGAAAAATGCTATGGTAGCCATAAGTTTCGTTATCTTCGCTGTGCTACAGATAGGACGCGTCAGCGATAAGGTTTGAAAGCGGTTCAGGCCGAATTATAGTCAGCACGTGACTCGGACTTTATTGTCCAAAATCTTGTCGCGACTTCAAGCATCTTCAATATGATTGCATGTTGTGACCTACAGCTGTTCTATGTTTGAAACTCTTATGAATTTTCTCACGTTGTTTAGCTTGTGACTCTTATTACCGTTCTTCAATCTTTTGATCATGCAAGAGACCTGTTCCAGTCTCGTGCATCTAGGCTGCCGAGACCCCGGAAAGCCTTAGCAAAGCCTTGCACTTCCAATGCTGTGCACAGCATGCTGCGTTGTCACTATGTAGTCATGCGTGAGGCTCGAGGTTGAACCAGATTGCACAGCCTCAGCTACAGCCTCACCATCTCAACCTTCTTTCGTTCTGTGCCTTTCTTTCGTCCCTTATTGCTACTGCTACTAAACATCTTTGCTTCAAAATGCCAATTGGTGTCGGCTCTGTTGGCGATATAATCAGCATCTGTCTTTTGGCAAAAGATTTGGTTGAAGCTCTGAACAGCAGCAGAGGCGCTGCCGCCGAATATCAGGAAATCGTGCGAGAGTTGTGGGGCCTTGAGCGAGCCTTATTACAAGTTGATCTTCTCTCAAGGACTCACAATAGCTCTCCTGAGATTAATGCTCTTCATGAGACTGCACGGCGAGCTGCCGAAGACTGTGGCGTGGGCATTGCTGGCTTTTTGAAGAAGGTGAAGAAGTATCAACCAAGTCTTCGCGAGAGTGGATCTGGGAGCGTCTTGCGTGACGCATCTAGGAAAATCCAGTGGCAGTTGATGCAAAGCAATGATGTGTCCAAATTCAGAGCAGAGATTGGCGCTCAAAGTCAGTCTATAAGTATGTTGTTGGCGACTATGAGTGTGTGAGTCTCCACGCTACTGAGAGCTTATATGATATGTGCTGACAGTCTGCGATGTCTAGGAGAACACTGGTAGTCAGTGATGTAAAGCTCAATGCTCGTCTCACCAGCTCCGAAAGTAAAATCGACGACGAGATGCAGAAACAGACCGTGATTGTGGCAGAAGTACGCGACCGATTGAAGGAAAACAACACGCTCATATCAGCTGTGGCTACGAAAGTGACAGATGCTCTACGATTCGAATGGTTCCGTCAATTAGGTTCAGAGCTGAAAAGTATGATGAACAGGATTTTCCGAACGAATGTGGCAACCTTTGAAGCAGTTGTTGCTATTCAGCGTGTGCTTCCCAGTCACCTGGAGCGGTCGATGTTTCGAGACCCTTTCATCCTAGAAGATGCCATTGGCAGGATATCGCCTGTACACATGGATTTCATCAATTCTTGGGAGGCATTTGACGCTATTCTGCGATTGCGTTTCCAGGATGTCCAGGGCTTCAAGAAAGTCCGAAACAATGAATACATTCTCCAAGAACATACGACAAAGAGGGAGATCAAGCGTACACGTCGATGGGATTTGGCATTCATGCCAGGCCAACGGATAGATATGAGCTTGGTCTTCGTGAAGAAGGAGGCGGAAGAGGCTGAAGAGATTCAGTCAACCTCGTGTCCGAATTGTCGTGCAACTTCGGATAAGTCCCAAGACTCAGATATTCAATGGTAGGATTGATGATCTGGACGTCAGAGCACAAGCTGATGTGTGTAACAGTGATGAATGTGGGATGTGGTATCGACGCATCACCGAATTTATGGACGTGGATCCGCCTCCATCTGTTAGAGTCCACACTACACGGCCGGCCGAGAAGGTCAAATTTGGACACAACGCATTCTCGGGCTTTACATTTGGACCAAAACCTGCCAGCAAGTTTCCTCCTGTCTCTACTAAACGAAAACTCGATTGCATTGAGCTGGAAGAGGACGACATCGCACACTTCAAACGCGTGCGCCTCATCACATCGAAAGAGCGTGTGAAATTCATTCCTGGCCCATTTCGAGAAGTTAAAATAGCTGGGAAGGACCTTTCTTTTGCTGCAGCGGAACGCCACAGAGCAGCGGAGTCAGATGCTTGGGAAGCTTTCCGTACAAATCAATCAACTCTTGGCTCATCACATCCAAACACCATCCTCAGCCTTGGAAATCTGACCCGCACGCTGCGCAATATTGGCAAGAGCTCGGGTGCGGAAGATATCTTGCAAAAGACATTAGGAGACGAGGAATCTACACTCGTGGAGAAAGATCCCGCATCCCTTAGAGTTCTTCTAGGCAGTCTTATGGTCGCTTTGGTTGATCAGAAGAAATTTGATGCTGCTGAGGAACTCTGGACGAGGGCGAGCGATTTGTTTGTGTCAAGAGCCTCCGCCGAGGAACAAGCAGCTTTAATTCGAGATCTTGAACTTGCTCATCCTTTTCGTCAAAGCGTACTTGCAGTGGCTGACCAGCAGCCTAATCAGAGAAAAGCATGGACGATAGACGATCTACCCAGTAGTTTCCCAGAACTACGGTCTCCATACACATTGCCAAAGACAATACCAAAGCCAGAGCCGGAGCCAGTGTCGAAGCCAACACTGTGGCCCACTCCAAAGATATCATGGCAAATGCCAATGACACCAGAGACATATTCCCGCTGGCATATGGACGTGGCACGTGGGAGGTTTCTGCGGACGCCAGTCTCGGCACGACTTCCATCACCAGCAAAATCACACTCAGATGACCACTTTGCTGCTGAGAATGGCTTTCCTTGGTCTGACTTCGTTCGAACTTTTGTGGTCGAACCATCGTCAGCCGCATGCGCAGACTCCTCTGCTACACAAAACCTTTTCAACACACGTCACTACTGTGGCAGGGCTAGCTCTTTTTTGGCCTTTTTGGCGCTGACCAGCACGTGTGGTTGAGGAGGAGGCCAGCCCGGGAACGCTAGTCTTCCTTAGCACTATACTCAACTGGGTCTAGTTTATCATGTGACGCTTCCCATATATTGTGGTCGCGCACTCTTAGAATAACAAAAACTCTTCTCCCACTCTTAGTTTTTACAGTGATATGCTTTCGAATGCTTTTTATGATGTTTTAAACCTATTCTACTACTGCGAATAGTGGTCTGCTTCGTGCAGTGCCCACTTGTTGTTGTTTTGGTTGTTTTTGCGTACTGCTAGCTCATGTTCTTACCCCCTCTACACTACACAGGCACGGCTTCCTCACAAGCTTCTCGTGATCAGGAATCACAATCCGGTGACGACATTGCTCTTGAGATTGACCCTCTTTGGTATGACTTCTTTCCCGATACTGAAGCCGAACCATCGTCAACCCTCTACGCAGAGTTCTCTGCTACAAAGTGTTTTTGTAGCACCACGCATTACTACACGGGCACGGCTTCCAAGCTTCTCCCGCTCACCTCACAGCCTGCTCCCGGTCAGGAAATGTCTTACGAAGAACTGAAATACACCGCATACTTGGACCGATCGGACGAAGAAAGCAGCAAGAAAGACTACGTGAAATGGTCTAAAACTTCGATACTTGGCATGCACCACTACATGACCATAGACGACACGCCAGCGGCGTGGAGGGCCTATTATAGGCACAGAAACTACCTCAAATCCTGGAACTTTCCGTCTGACCGTGCTTCAGTACAATATGAAGATGAGGATGAAATTGACCCCACTTACTACAAGCACCCGCAATCTACTCCCCATCACTACTTGGATATCAGACTTGGGCCAGGAGAGGATCTGTTCGACATTGCGCCCGTGGAAGAAGATGGGCATCGGGACGACGCCCCTGAAGAACATGATATCATCGCAGAGGCATCTTATCTAGCGACAAATTTTGATTTTCCAATCCTTGAGCTTCTACCTGCTGATAGCCTAAAATAATAAACATTTTCAGAGGCCCAAGTAGCCCTTGTAACAAAATACGCACACTAAACCTGTGTGAAGCTCTGGATAAATAAAATTACCTTCGGGGAGCTCGTTCAACCTACTTGTGTAGCTTGATATGAAGGATAATTTTTTCTGTTGAACAGAAATCAAAAGTGGACAATACCACGCAAATCAACGATCTTGAGGCAATGGCAAGAGCCTCTGAGAGACCAGAGCAACGCTTCAAAAACGAAATGAATACCGAGTAGAGAGTACGGAGTATTTTGATATATCAAATTATGCCCCAGAGAGAGCCTTACAAAGTACGCGGACTTGCAGAGAGAGCCTGAGAAGCTGAATTGTGGATTGGTAGGCTTTCCGCGTCCTCTTGTGCCATCCAAATCTATTCCTTCATGTGAAAAGACTGAAAATTGAGACGAAAGACACAACTTTTCAATGGAAAAAGTGGAATTAAGATCAGCTTAAAACGGAGAGATAGCGAGAAGGATTCCTAGATGGGTATGTGACACGCCAACATGTTCTTGATTAACCCAAATCGGAGTTTTTGCGCGTGTGGTGCAGGTTTCACATTTCCGACGATGCCGGCCGTTGTGGCTTTTCGCCCTACGCCTCGCTCGTATTTCGTCATCGTTCAACGGTTCCACGACAGACAATGGGAGCCGATCATAGTATGCAGACTTGACGAATAAGTCTCATCGCCCTCTGTATCAAAGATACAAGAGTATGAGGATGGGAAACCACGGAGGTTATGGAAAATCCGACCTCTTGGTATTGCATAAATTAATGTTCCTTCTTTCCTCCGAGGCGGTATTGATCTCCGCCCGCTGCAGCTAAATGTGCAGCCACAGCCGGCGCACGCGATTGCCACAGGGATCTTAACTCGAAACAGCTAAAGCTCGTCCGACCACCTTGCGCAAACCTTCTCCTTGAGGCTGAGCATTTCATAAGATATGCATAAATCCATTTATCTTTAGCCCTCCGAAGGCTTGGGACTTTGCTTGGGTAAGAACTTAACTCAACGACGGACGAGTGAGAGTCAGAACCGCGAGATCCGACTGCTCAGCACTGCTCAACGCCTCGGACCCTGGACCGCGAAGGATGTACGAAGTAAGAGCTGAACCGCAGACGACTCTGACGTGATTTCTCATCGGCCGCCTGAGTGAGGAGGATCGTTATATCAAACACTTCCTTCCATCTCCTATGGTATCTTATCATCCGAAGTCTCTCGCTTGCATCGCATCATAACCATTTTGTCCTATTGTCCACTCATCTAGCAGCCAGATCGCCGCTAGCTTGTCCCTGCCGATCTCCCGCCCAGACCGACATCCGAGACTCCAAGAGACTACTGCGTCATATTACAAGCACAAAACGTCTATCTCATAGTGTCGGAGCATTGTTCAAATACGAACCTCTGCCCCTGTTGTATTTTCTTTTCGTTGTCACTAATATTTGGTTAAACACTTCTTTTGGTCGGCGTGGAGTTGGATATCAAATTCCATCATGAAGGTTCTTGCTCCCGCACTCGCCTCTCTCGCAACTTTCACTTTATGTAATGGTTCGTTTCAAATACCCCTCACAGAGGCCAAGCTGACAATATGTAGCAAATGTAGTTGCTATTCCTAGGCATTCATCTGCAGAAACATACGCTGTTGATGCTCTGGCTGCTCCATTAGCTGCCATCAAACGTGGACTGCCAAATTCGCCTTCAGGAGGATATTCTCCAGCTTCCGTACCATGTCCCGCAAATAGACCGACAATCAGAAATGCAGATTCACTGTCCGCAAATGAGACAGCATGGCTCGAATTGCGGAGAAACGCCACAGTCGATCCTATGATTTCGTGGCTTTCGAGGATGAATATTTCGGGTTTTGATGCTTCTACATACATCAACGGTATCCGAAATAATGCGACAGCCCTACCAAATATTGGCCTCGCAGTATCAGGTGGAGGATATCGCGCTTTGATGAATGGTGCTGGATTCTTGGCTGCTGCGGACAACCGAACCAGCAACGCCACCAACACAGGTCAAATCGGTGGACTACTTCAAGCATCAACATACGTTGCCGGTCTTTCCGGAGGTGGATGGCTTGTGGGGTCCATTTATACGAACAATTTTAGCTCAGTGGAGGATCTGAGAGACGGAAGTAAAGGCTCGGATGTCTGGCATTTTAGCAATAATATCCTCGAGGGACCTGACGGAGATGGAATTCAACTTCTTAGCACGGCCGACTACTGGACTACTCTTGCAAATGAGGTCAGTTCGAAGGAGGATGCTGGCTTCAATACCTCTATCACCGATTACTGGGGTCGTGCTTTGTCCTTCCAGTTGGTCAATGCTACCGATGGCGGTCCAGCATACACATTCTCTTCGATTGCACTTCAGGAGAACTTTGCGAGCGGCTCTATTCCCATGCCCTTCCTCGTGTCAGATAGTCGTGCTCCATATACGACTATTGTGTCGTTGAACTCCACTGTTTTCGAATTCAGTCCATTTGAGCTCGGTTCTTGGGATCCAACTACCTATGCTTTTGCACCACTCCAGTACATTGGATCAAACTTCTCTGCTGGTGTCGTTCCGTCGGATGAAGAGTGCATTGAGGGGTTCGACCAGGCCGGCTTCGTGATGGGCACATCTTCGACGCTTTTTAATGAGGTTTTGATTGAGCTCAATGCGTCATCTGTCCCCACCGTCGTGCAGAATGTTCTGAATAGCATTCTTAGTGACATTGGTTTCGATAACAATGATATTGCCCAATATCAACCCAACCCATTCTATCACTTCAACAACGCTACGAACCGAAACGCAAACTCCACCGAGCTGACCTTGGTTGACGGAGGTGAAGATGGACAAAACATCCCTCTTTACCCTCTCATCCAGCCCATACGACAGGTCGACGTTATCTTCGCCGTCGATTCATCAGCAGACACTGACAATCACTGGCCCAACGGAACCTCGCTCGTAGCAACTTACCAGCGATCCCTCAACGCAACCGTCGAAAACGGCACCGCATTCCCATCCATCCCAGATCAAAACACCTTCGTGAATCTCGGCCTCAACAACCACCCCACCTTCTTCGGCTGCAACACCAGCAACTTGACCGGACCCGCTCCCCTCATCGTCTACATCCCCAACGCACCCTACATCACACAATCCAACGTCTCGACCTATGATCTCGAATACATCGACACGCAACGAAACCTCATCATCCAGAACGGATACGAGGTCGCTACGCTCGCGAACGCGACGCTGGATAGTCAGTGGCCGACCTGCATGGCGTGCGCTGTGCTCAGTAGGAGTTTTGAGAAGACAGGGACAACTGTACCGACGGCTTGTCAGCAGTGCTTTGATAGGTATTGTTGGAATGGAACTGTGGATTCGAGCACGCCTGGCTCGTATGAGCCGACGTTTAAGGTAGGGGAGATTTCTGGGGCGGGCAATGTGAGGGTTGGGACTCTGGTTTCGGTTGCTGCTGTTATTGTCGCTATGCTTTTGGTATAGATGATGGCTAACGGAGATTTGGTTATGATTGCATGATTTGGTTGCATATATCGGCAGGGTTGGGTTCGGTGTTGGATGGAATTTTGGTACCTGCATAGCGGGGTCGACGGTCACGTCTTCCCACATAAATCTCAAAAGCAATATTCAACATTCATATTGCCGCATTTCACTCACTTGACGATACTTTGCTTTTCCAGTCACCTCATTTTCGAGTGAATAATATAAAGTTTCAACTGTGATTCACGACTTGTATCAGCCGTAGTCTCAAAACTAGCCCCACATTCTGACTAAGAATGACGATCCTCACCGACGTTCCTCTTTCCCCGCCCTCTTCCCGCTCCTCCCCTCCTCCATCTAATCTCATCAACAGTCTTGGCTCTTTTCTCCTTATCAGATTCTCTCACGTTACTTACAATTATTTACCTTCACTCTCATCTCTGACATTCAACAACAATGTCCGGCGGCCCAAAGAAATCCCTCCTCATCGGCATCAACTATACCGGGAGTCAAAACGAACTCCGCGGCTGCCACCAAGATGTCGAAAACGTAGCCGAATTCCTAAGTTACAGGGGCTATTCAGATGACCCGCGCTCGCAGGTCATCTTAAGAGACGATATGCCAGATCAATATTACCCCAGTGGTCACAACATCTTGGTACATCCCTCCCTCTTTCTACAGAAGTCAGCTGACTGACCTCCAAAACACAGGCAGCAATAGACTGGCTAGTCTCCGAACCAGGAACAACCAATTTCTTCCACTACTCAGGCCACGGCGGACAAGTCCAAGATCCAACTGGTAATCACCCCTCCGGCCTCCTAGACACCATCTGTCCCGTCGACTTCCGCGAAAGAGGCCAACTCGACTCCGATGTCCTGCACCAACACCTCGTCTCCCGCCTCCCACCCTCATCAACCCTCTTCGTAATCCTCGACTGCTGCCACTCCGGCTCGGCCCTCGAGCTCCCCTTCGTCTACCGCTCCGACGACGACGGCAACATCTCCTTAATGGACAACCTAAAAACCGGGGTCCACCTCCTGGGCGAAGCCAACGATTTGTTCGCTGGCGGCTTTAGCTTCAACAAGTTAGCCGAAGCGAAAGATCTGTATGCCGGCGCGACGAGTTTCTTCCGCTCGTTCAAGCATATGGGCGAGGAGCAGGGGGATGGCCTGGCTGAGGGCGATTATGCGGCGTATGAGAGGGAGCATAAGATGGTTACGATGTTTAGTGGGTGTAGGGATGATCAGACGAGTGCGGATGCTAATATTGGGGGGATGAGCGAGGGGGCGATGAGTTGGGCGTTTTTGGAGACTATGAAGAGGATTCCGAATCCGACATATTTGCAGGTGAGTATTCTTTTTCTTCCGTCGTTGCATGGAAATGGAAGAGAATGTGACTGACGAGGTTACAGACATTGACAGATACGAGATATTGCTTGAGACAGTCAAACTACACCCAAGTCCCGCAACTGAGTATCGGTCTCGAGATCAACCTTGAGCAGCCACTTGCTATCTGAGATTTTGGGGTGATCGAAGGACGAGATGAAATGTTAGACATAGAAGAAATAGCTACGAAAAGTCATTCATGCGTTCTATTCCTCAAATTCGTTCTTGTCAAATTATGGTAATTAGTGCTTCCCCAAGTAAAGAAAGTAACTAGTGTTGCGCAAGAGATTGGGAGGTAGTTTTCAACATTTATAGAACTCATCTGAAGTTTCAGAAGACCGCACTCTCTCTCGGGGACAAGATGACCCGAACAAGCTTCCCCAACGAATAATCCCAAAAGCTCCAGCGCTCAATACTTACCAATATATTGCTGCCTAGTGAAGTATACTCTGGCAACTTCCCAGGTACAGAGAAAGGATATAGGAGCAAGAAATCAAAACCATTGTATGATGGTACGCGTAACCATATCTATAAATCTCAAATGCTTGGCAGAGTTGTTGTCCTGTTCGAGTTTAGCGGCTGCTTGGGGATCGACAGGGCAAAAGTCTTGGCGTTTTTATTCTCCTATTTGGGGTAAGCGCTACATGGGTCTTGGGGTAGCGAATTGAAGGGTATATGTCCTGCGTGGTGAGTCTTTGAATATTAATAGGAGGGAGAGAGTTTAAGTATGCTTTCTTTCTTCATTGAGTGAATTTTTTTCCGGACTTGACGATTTTTCTTTTGAGGAGGAGACACGGAGATTGGGCCTTCAGAAGCACGACGAGACATCATACATTTTGCGATTTGTATACATATTCTATCATTCATTATCCATCTTGAACGAACTGTCTTTGCAAGAAATCTCGAGTCGTCACTGCTTCCAAGATGGCAGCTGGAGAGCCTAGTAAGAACACCAGATCTTAAAGCATAGCATGGCCACTGACACACCCTCCAGTTCTGTACAGCTTGTACGTCTACGCTCCCAACAAAGGGGCACCGATATTCTTTGCAATAGCGTACGCCATCTCAGCCATCTTCCACATCTGGCAGTGTTAGTAAGTATACCATCCCCAAACAACTCAAATCAACCTGCCTAATCCGCACCATCAGTCGATACAAAGCCTTCAAGCTAATCGGCCTCCATCCCCTCTGTGCAGTGATGTTCACAGCCGGCTACGCATTGCGCGAATACGGCGCATACAACTACATCTACCTCACCACCACGAAACTCCCTCTCATCATCTTCGTCCTCAGCCAAGTCTTCATCTACGTTTGTCCGTAAGTCCCGACCCCTCCACCATAAGAACCCTCGCCAGTATCAACTAACCAAACCATCTCCCTCCAGACCCCTCCTCGAACTAGCCAACTACCGCGTCCTCGCCCGCCTCTTCTACTACATCCCCTACTGCGCGCCCCTCCCGGCGAACAAAATCCTCACCACATTCGGCGCTCTGATGATGCTCGTCGAAACCCTGAATTCTCTCGGCGTAGCACTAGCCGCTAACTCCTCCTCATCTACAACACAGCAAGCGCTCGGAAGTCATTTAACGATCGCAGCGCTGTCAATCCAGTTTGTCGTTATCATTATCTTCGTGTGTCTAGCTTCCATCTTCCACCTAAGGTGCAAGAGGGAAAGGGTCCAGGTCACGGCGGTGTATACGTTGTTGTTTACGCTGTATGTGAGTATGGCGCTCATCCTGGTACGGTGTGTATACCGACTGGTGGAACATACGGGGAATACGAAGATTGATATCTCCAACATCGATGAAAGGAGGACATTGAGTTCGATAGTCAGATATGAGGTCTTTTTTTATATCTTCGAAGCGACGCTGATGCTGCTTAACTCGATATTGTGGAATGTCTGGAATCCGTGCCGGTACTTGGCGCCGGATAATAGGGTTTCGCTCGCGAGGGATGGGTCGGAGCTCATGGGGACGGAGGACAAGGATGAGAGGTCTGTGGTGGAGAAGATGGGGAATGTGTTGACGTTTGGGATTTTGTTTCGGCGGAAGAAGGGTGGCAAGCAGGTGAAGGGGAAGGATGAGAGGTCGTTGGTGGAGAAGACGGTGAATGTGGCGACGTTTGGGGTTTTGTGTAGGAGGAAGAGGCTGAGCCCGCGGTTTGAGGAGCTGGGTGAGTATCCAGATGCTGCACGGAGTCGGGATGGTTCTAGGTTGCGGGTGCTTGGTCAGGACAAGTGACAAGTGCAGAATTACGACAGGTAAGCCTTCTGACTGTTGATTAAAGAGGCTCGATAGAGGAAGAGGTTTCAGACATGGTTGGCGTAGCCTATTTAATTGTAAGAACTGTATCCTCATCATGAGAGGGTCTTGTACTTTAGTTTGGTTGCATCAAAATAGAAGGGAGATGCACACTTACACCGCAATATTACAAGTAGCTTCCGTCTATTCTCTTGTAATGTCTTGCATCGTCCCATCGAACGCTGATCGGTCGGAGCCATCTTCACTTCACTCACCCTTTCACTCCCATGTTTCATGAAACTAAAACCTTCATCGGCAGCGGCTAGTATCCACAGCGATCTGTGTCGTAAACACATACGGCCTGTCAAAACAAGCATCCCAATCCGTCTTTCCCGACCCCCAAAATGACTCCAGAACACGCTTCGCCATCAGTGGGACGTAGGTACCGACATCGCGACTCAGTTCTGGCAGCTGCTTCGAAACAAAAGCTCGGGTAGCTAAGTCCTCATGAATGGCTTGCACTCCAAGTAAGACTAGAGGCCAAATCATGAAGCGTTTGATCTTTTGTGATGCTAGCCCCTGATCTAGAAGTAAATGTAGATGACGGCCATGTGCGGAGCAGCTGGCTTGCAGTAAAGCCGTCGTGGGGAGAACGGATAAGCTTTGTAGGGACAGGATACAGTATAATACTATGGATGCTTGGTATACCTTGCCTATGAGCAACCAGTCAGCTTTAGACGAGAATTTGGAATTTGCCCATTCTTCTGGCGAGAAATCATGGATTCTCTCCAGTATATTGTAGGCCTCTTGCGAGAGGTCATTGATCTCCTTCGTCTCACATGCAGTGGCTCGCATCCGAAGATGATTGATCTTGATAATCTGGGCGAACAATGTAAAAGGGCACATCATGAATGGGGATGCCGCATCGCTGTACTGTTTTTGCAAGAATTCGATTTCGTCCAGCTGCGAACTGGTCATAGTGAGGTCTGATGCTGGACATGTTGTATTCGCGATCACCGCAACACTGTGAGAGATCAGCAATGTACATCCGCGACGGGCCTTGATACGTACAACCACAGGCAAATGAGCAGCGGCTCTAGACTCCACGATGTAGCAAGTACTTTATAGCCACCCCGTAGCGCTATCATTTTGTGAAGTCCGTCCAGATGACATCTCCAGTTAAGCGAGGTGCCCATTTGGACCTGGGATCAGACATGAATTAAGATGACGCTTTGCAGCTGTTGTTTGAAGGGATATTGACTTACATCGGTGAGCAAAAGGGTCATTACACTGACAAGAACAAGATCATCCAACTGCCCATCTTTCACATCGAGGCGCCTGTTGAGGGAGCGTACGGAAAGGCCCCAGTAGAGGTAGAATTTTTGAGCCAGGGCCTTCGAGGAGGATTCACTCCTCGTTCGGTTGATGCGGTGACTGAGGGTCATGCATATCATCCCAAATAGCAAGTAGTCTGGGCGTGTTGCTGCCACTTTGAGATGTGTGGCCGAGATTGGGTATATATGAGGATTTGGTCCCAATTCTTGGATTGGGAGGAGGTCTTGATATATACAAGAATTGACTATCCAGTTGAAGTCAGTTCATCACTTTAAAGAGGGACTTCTCGAGTATCAACTTGCAGTACTGTGCAGCTTGCCCAATTATATGAGCCTCTGTCAGGATCTCGAACTGGGGTATCAACAAGCCTTTCTTCGTCGTCGCTAGCTTTGTGGTTCTGGTAGTCTTCATTTCGTTCCGATTATTGTCCATGACATCGGAAGCAGTCCTCTTTCGTACTCGATGGCGAGATGTGATTCGCCCAGGTATGAGCCACTTGAATTTTGTTGGTTTGACATCACTGTATCCCGGACATTCGATACCAGACAAAAAGCACCTCCTGCACGCAGGCTCGGTGAAATCACAGACCAAACACAGTCGACGACATTCCCAGCAGTGGCGTTTTCTGTGTCTATCCATATTGGACGTAAGATTTTGTTTGCCGAAGAACTTTCAAGAACTGAAAGAAAAGTGTTGATGTGTTGTTTGCATTGTGTTACATCCGAAGATGGAGGTCAAGTTAAGGAGAACTGCGCCACAATCGCTAATCCTAATCTGGTATCGCTGCGCAGTATCAAAACAGCCTCTTCTTCTACGAAAAATTCTGGACAACTTTGAAGTTTGTTCCTTTTTTGGGTTCATTTTTTATTTCCATTATTGATGAAACCTTTCTCGAAGGCTCGAGTTCATGGCAAGGTCTAAAGGTGATCCCAAGGTGGATTGCCCACCCACCACCTCTTCCCGTCAGCAAGCAAGCGCGAACGAAGATCCTTGACCATTTCCCATTCTGTTGGCGACCAAAATAGCTCTGTATGCTCCCAGCCCTCCATTATCTCCAGGATCTCTCTGAAAGCCTCGTCGGCAGTCTTCATTTTCTCCTCCACAATTGGTTTATCTACTCTCCTCACTGCTTTCAAGCTCCAAATTTCCATGTCTAGTTCGTTCTTCCGCCTTATCAGGGAATGAACCTTTTCCAAAATGTTCGCAGACGTCAGATCTGCAAGCCATGACCGCTCGCTCAAGAGCGGATGATCTTTACCTGGTTTGCCAAGCACCGACGGAGGAGCAACAATGAGGATATCTTCATAGAATCGCGGGATAGGAATGACTTTGCGACACAGGCGGACTTCATTGCAAGTCACCTCAATACTCAAAGTGCTGCTTAGTACTGAGACTTTGCATACACAGTACGCAAGGTAGTGAGCTCCTTCCCCTTCAGCAACTTCAACAAGTTGAAAGTCGTTGGTGGGAAACAGCGAGAGGTCGACTTGCACGGCGCTAATCTTCTCGTATGCTATAATACGGTTAGAGTTGCGCAATTCATCTAAGGCACCTAACATACATCGTGGCATAGACATATGTTTACCGTCCCATTTGCCATCCAGATCATCGTTTGCGTATTTGGCAATGCCTGAATGAAAGATTCATCATTGCGACTTTTTCCTTTTCGGGATGCAATTTAATTGCGAAACTCTTTTCTTTCGTTACCACTCTATCTGAGAAGAGAAGATCGTCTTTCTGGATAAGGTAGGTAAAAGTACCTGCCCGATGGACCGGTGTGGTGTTAACCACAGGACCATCGTCGAGAAGCAGACCATAGTGTCGTGGGCTCGATTCAGCAATGCAGAGATCACTGCGATGGGACTTCTCAATGCCATACACGACTGCACCTTGAGCAGTCGCTGTATGACCCCACCTGGAGAATCATGTGAACCAATGCTTTCAAGAATGCAAGGAAACTTACCGAAGCCAAGGGCGGTGAAGCTTGATGTTCTTTGAGCGCATGACCAGATCTATTTCGTTTTGAAGATGTAGGACATCGGAATAATCCCCAACTAGCAAGATGTTCTCCCAAGTCAGTTTGGACTTCAGCTTTTTGTGAGAGTATCTACCGTTATGCGATCATTTCCTTCATTGGTTTGTTGTATCTGCCCCTCGATGAGATTTATAATTGACGTCACCCAAGAATTCATAAATGATTTCAGTTCTTTACTGAGAAGTGTCAATTCATTTCAATCACATTTGTCATTGGTGATCAAGCTCTCACCTCGTGATCTTAAGCTCACCGGCAACGACGTTGTCAGCACAGCTCAGATGATGCAATGGAGGGGGCAAATCGATGTGAAAAGTTTTGTCGTCACTTGGGCGGCATCTAAGTTTCTGGTCAAATCTCTCCGCTAGCTGCCTCATGCCTTTAGGCCATGTCTCCTTTGCTCTGAAGCACTGGTCATAACGCGGGTCCAGTCGTCGAAAACACCGCTCGCCTATGACTCCTTGGAGCCACTTCTCGAAATTCTGATAGATGTGTTTGCCACCTCCCTGTGTAACTATATTCCCAGTGAGAATTTGCAAATAGAGAATGAATTTGGTCCTTACTCTTCAATTCATTGATAGCCTCTATTTGTAAAGTGGGCTCTAAACATTTGATTCTGTAGGTAGTCGACTCCTAGGGTGTGACAGGAATCAGCGTTCATGGCATCAACACAGAATCAGGAAGGGTTCGTACCACGATGTCATAACCACAGTCGCAGAAAATGAAGCACTCTCCTTGCTAGAACTCGTTAGACTGAAACTGTAAGGTGCCTTCCAAATCACCTTGAAGCTTTCATTTCCTTGCTGCTCTCTCATGTTTCGTATCGACCAAATCGCTGCCGCGTCGGACTCGGCAACAATGATTGTATCCCCCAAGGACGGAAAGCTTTCGTTATTGAAGCCAGCTTCTCTCACTGCTCGGAAAAGAGAATTCTCGCCCTTGTATGACCATTGTTGCTGCGAATATTAGCCAACAAACACTGGAACTGTTTGGATCGAAGTGATACTTGCTGCAGGCGTAGTGATAACGATGTCAACAGCGACTTGAGCTAGATGACCGCCCATATAGGCTAGCTCTTCGAACACAACATGGAAAACTTGGCGAAAGTAATCCGAAACCATGTCTTGAGCATCCTTCCAACTGTGTTCAGGATATCCCCTCGCTCGGAGCACAGCTTCAAAGCGAAGGTCGGATGCTCCATCCAGAAAATCGGATATCCGGCCTAACATATGTTCCTTTGACGATATGTCCAAGTCCAATTTCGTTCTAGTGTACACAATTGCATCTTCACTGACGCTAAAGCCCCACTGTTGTTGCGACATGTCAGCCGTTGGGGAATACGAGATGGCACTGGGAACTCTTGATGACAGCCCTGCTGGCCACTTCTCTACAACTTCCAATTCGTCGAGATTGGCGATGTCTGTCTGAGTAAGACCAAACGCTACAGCTTTGATCATATTTAGAAGTATTCAACGTTGGTATTGAGAGATTTGCCGACCAGTATCAATCGTGCCATAGTCAATAGCAATCACAAGACGGTCTCGGGATGGTGCCGACGAAGTTTGTTGCACTGCCGACGTTGATGAGATTGCCGGTTGCGACATCTCAACAAGATCTTTGTGTCTACCTTGTAAAATTTGGTGGAGATACAGCAAAGAATTATCTTTTGTGATGTCAGCGATAGCTCCCGAAGCGCTCGAGGCTGGAGGGTATACAGATGGCCGCCAATGCTTGATTATGGGCTTGCAATGCTCCTTGAACAAGACAGGTCAATTGACACGGGGGATTACTTAAGGTTCAGACTTTTCGAACGGAGACTTGAAGAATCGTTCCTGATTCAAAAGACAAAGTGAAAGCTTCTGTCGAACTTTCAGCCCCAAGCCACGCGGGTAGAGAGCCAGTAACCTACGGCACACAACGCCACCCGTCAAGTGGATTTGTTACTAGAGACGTCTCAGCTTTAGCGCATATTGGTTATGATTGACCTCGCCTCGCAATTCACGGTCTTGAAGAACATTCTTTGGCTTCAAGTTTCGAGATACTTCGTATCAGCTCAATAAAATTACGGTGCCCAAACGCGGGTTCCCGTTCCTCCATTCTTCCAACTCTGGCACAAAAACAGCTGGAATGCGAGGAGCAGAAGTTCATTCGATGTTGTCAATCCTCTACGTGCACTCCCCACCTCTCCATTCTCTCTCTACCAAAAGTAACATCAAGTACCACTTTGGTGAACTCGTTGACCTCTTCTGGTGAAACATCCGTAAACAACCTCTCCGCATCCGCCATCTGCATCAATCCAACATGTACCTCCGAGCATAATTTTTCCCAAGCCATGGCCGAAGGAGCTTCCCAGACTCCATGTCGAGTTGTGTACATCACTCCACCTTGACACGGAGGCGCTCCTCCTCGCTGAAGCGCGAGAAACACCACTTGTATACCAGATCCCACAACCCAAGTGCGTCGTACGCTCTCTGCAACGACCCAGGAGTACCAGATGAGCTCATTTGTTGGAGAGACGTAGGAAGGTCTAACTCTCGTCTGTTCTAAAGTTTGTGAGATGATGGTGCCACCTAAGCATGGCGCATGACTGGACTGGTCAAGCATGTCGCGCATCCAGCGGTCCAGTACCGGAATATGCGATTCTCCCAAGTGGCGTAGTCGGATGTCTCCATCGTAGAGACAGATGAACTGATAGATCAGTAGCGCCTGGACACGAGCTACGTGTGCAAGAGTATCAAGGGCTGAACCGCTGCTATTTTCGTCTATCGAAGATTTCGCAGAATCCATTTGAGACTCGGCTACCAACTGCGTAGCTCGATTTTCAATAATTTGAAGTACGAGCCCTTCGTTGGATGTAGTCTTGTGAAGATAGCATGATAGAGCTGTATACGCATCTTGAATACTCCGGGGAAAGCGAGTCTGATATAGCCGTTTGTGGATAAAGGGATTTGTTCCTTTCTCGATCCATTGCATCAGCCATCGACGGATAGCAGTGACAAAGCGTTTCGAGTCCGCGATGACCGAAAGACACTGATTTTCCCGCGGAAACCGAACTTTCCAAGTTTCTAGAGAAGCAAACCAACTTGTGGCAAGGCGGTCATCTATGAGGCCTTCACCGGATGCAGGAAGATCTACTTCGATATTGCCAGTTCCGCGAGTCTGAAGGATCGAAGAATTGACAGGCAATTCTAAAGCATTTTCAACAGGAGCTTCAGGCTCTACTACCGGTGTTTCATTGTCATCTTCCAGAAGGACGAAGCGAGTCGGCCTCGCTGGAGGATACGTGCATTCGATGCCTCGTGTCCTGCACCTGAGACAACGTGGCGTCTGCTTTCCGCATTTCCGTTTTGCCTTCCCACAAGCATCGCAAGCTTTTGTTTCCAAGGCTTTAACCATGCTGAGGTGAAAGTCGGATTTGCGGATGAAGATGGACGAGATTCATCAAGTTGTTTGCTGAATTATTCAGCATTTTTGGGTCGTTGACATGCGGGCGCTAACCACTTTGGGAACATGTCCGCAGCTCTCCGCTCAACTTCCTCGCTCGCTACCCCTAAATTGGAGACTTGACGCAAAATACGACTATAATAGGAAGCTTGGTAAGCGCACAAGCAATCCCCGCTTCTCCTTTTGGGTGGAAGCTATCCAACTTGATCCTCGCTTGCCGCTGAACTGGAGCTTTTCAAGGATCGCACCTTCAATATCCTCGAGATAATGTACTGCAGCAGGGCGATTTTTACCTGACAGACGTCTTCCAGTTCTCGATTTCTATTGCGGGAAAATTTAGATTCGGAGACACTCCTCGGTATGGTTTGTAATGCAGACGTCTTTGGTATAAATCTGTCAATATGTCCTCTACTTTCCTAGTATTCAGTCCTTCAGACTAGACAATCATTCCTCATTTCCAACACACAATTTCAAGTCAATTCACTTCCACAAATCAGCCATGAATCCAGAATTTGTTGATCAACTTTTCAAGACCCTCCTTCATACCGAAGTCACCAAGAAAGTCCACCGAGACGTCTACCCCGCCATCTCCCCTTCCCGACCCGAACTCAGCCAAGCAGGAAAAGTCGTCCTCATCACTGGAGGCGGGACTGGTGTCGGTTTCTCCTCTGCACGATCCTTCGTCCGAGCCGCAGCTGACACGGTCATCATCCTTGGACGTCGAGTTGAAGTCCTGGAAACAGCTGTTTCCGCCCTCGAGAAAGAGGCAAAGGTTACCGGCACTAACACAAAGATCATTAGTCGTGTTTGCGATGCTACCAACTTGACTGAGGTTAATGAGTTCTGGAAGGACCTTGCGGAGAAAGGTATCATTGTTGATGTATATATTGCCAATGCCGCCAAATTCACAGAGCCGAAGCCTATACTCGAGCTTGGTGCAGATGAGGTTTGGTCGCAGATGGAGGTCAATGCCAAATCTCCTCTGTACTTTGTCGAGAAGTTCTATTCTCAACCGAGTGAAAAGCAGAAGGTGACTACTACCTCTCTCTAACCTTCATATGGCCATGACTGACCACTTCTTATCATAGTTCCTCGTGAACGTCACAAGTGCAGTCATCCACATGACAGCCGTTCTAATGGTCGCCGAGCGTCCTGCATACGTCCTTTCGAAGATGACTGGCACAATGCTATTCCAACTCATCGCTCTACACGTTCCACCAGAGAAGATGCAAATTGTTACCATTCATCCTGGAGTGGTGTATGCTGATGGATGGAAGGCAATGGGATTCACGCCTGAGAGATTTGATACTGGTGAGATACAAAAAGTTCCCTATGCTGAGAAAATGTACTGACAACATTGTAGATGAGCTTTGTGGCTCATTCGCTGTGTGGGCCGCATCTAAACAGGCGGAATTTCTGCATGGCCGCTTCGTCTGGACCTCGTGGGATGTGGATGAGCTGGCTACGGGCGAAAATCGCAAAAGGATTGACTCAGATCCTGAGTATCTGCGAGCTTCGATTGTTGGAGCTAATGGTGGGGTATAGCTTTTCATCTATACATTCCGATATTACTGCCTCGATTAGATCGGACATGAAAGACTTTGATGCAGAAAAGGCGTTGTTTCGTTTTGTGCGGAGTAGACTAGTTACTGCACAACAACTTATTGTCCATCGTAGAGAAATGGATGGATCACGTGGAATAGTCTAGCATGCACTAGCGCTCTATTCCTGACTATAAGAGCTCAGCTTCTACCATTAGAAATAAACAACTTCTTTCCCCCGTACGATTCCACTTCAACCTACCTTTCTATCATCCTTCGTTGCCTAAGCAGACATACAGGAGCTAGTCAAGCAGTACATTCAAACTAAACAGAGAACAAAATGCATTTCAGCCACCTCAACACTTAATGGCGCAGGTCAGAATGGTTGGTGAGGTCTGTAAGTATTCATCTACACCCCGAAGCATATCACCATGGTCCATGCCGTTGCCCTCTATGTTAACGTATTTATATTTCGCATGCTAAATCCATCGCTCAGCACAAAGGACCAATGCAATCTCAAACCTCATGCCATATCTGCTCTAACTTTCCAGTCGAGCCAAGAAGCCCTCATACGCTCTCATAAATGTTCTCCTCTGCTAAGCCCCGAATAGGCTCGCAATCCTCCCAACTTCACGTGACCTCTCCATCTGCAAAGCAACCTTCTCAACCTCCTCCTCGGGCATCTCTTCATTCCACACCAAACTAGCAACAACCGCTAGCTTTCCAATCGCACTAACTAGCAACGCAAAGGCACTCCCTCTCGCTTTATACATAAAAGCACCCGCGAAACTCCCCGCAAACAAGGTAATCAAAAACGCAATCCTCCGATTTCTCTGCCTGTTCTTCCTCTGAAAGATCTTTTTATCGACGAAGATGTCGACATAAGCTGCAGTCGCCATCGCGGTAGTGATTTCGGTGATCTTGAGACCGCGCGCCATTGCTACCTGGGCGCCGGATGAGAAGGCGAGTAAGGACAAGACGGCTAGGGCTTGTGGACCTTGGTCAGGGACGGGAGATGGGCCAGTATACTGGACTGTGGAGGCGCCGAAGACCATTATAGTTTGTAGGATGGAGGAGAGGAGGAGCCACCAGCGCTTTCGCGGGCCGATGTGATTTCCTAGTTGTCCTGCGAGAGAGACGCCAAGGATGAAGAGAGAGAGGGATACCCCGATGTTGGAGATTGAGAAGATGGTAGAGAGCCTTGCGACGCCAACGGCGAAGAGGACTGTGTTTCCGGTTTGGTTGGATGCAAAGCAATGGTCTGCCGGAGAATGTTAGAGCTAAAGGATGAATTGAATGAATAGTTAGATACGGAGGAAAGAAAAGAGGTCTGACAGTCTGGAAATGACGTCGCATCTTGAATTCCTATACCAAATGATAGGACTAGAAGTTGACATTCGAGCAGTAAATCATCTTTCACGGGCGCATTGAGGAAGCTCCTTAGCCGTGTCAGACGATTCCGTGGTGGTGGTAGGGCCGATTCCGTGCTCGATGGCGTAGGGAGAGACAATTGATCTGCCATTTGCGTTCTGAGGTTCAATTTTGATGGTATAGGAAGTCTGCCGCTAAATTTATTTTGCAGTAGATTGAAAAAAAGAGCAACTCATTCAATAATGGGATGAACGACGGTGAGAAGTTAGGAGTGAAAGGAAGTGTTTGCCAAGTTTCTTGTGAACAGCACTTCTCTTGTCATGCAGGACGGGAATCCGGCATCAACCAAACAACCTGTCTGGTCAATTGACAAGAAGCTAATAATATTGATGCATGTGGATTGGTGTCAAGTTGAGCAAAATCCTAGGGGAAAGCGGTCGGCGACCCACCACACTCTAGCCCTCAAGACGATAACCGTACGAGCTTCCCCGAGATCTGCTGCGAATTTCGTAAGAGAGTCAACTCCGCAAAATTCGACAACATCAAGAACAAGATGGACAAGGAATCCAATTGCTTCCTCTGAATCGCCTTCGATAGAAGGACAGCATGACACAATGGATCCCACCATTTCGAATTGCGCTCGACCACAATTCTCGAAAAGCCTGGACTGGCGGTATCGAAGCTCATCGGGTACCGGCGAAGCCAACCAGACTTGGGAATCCCAATACCACCACACCAACATAAGAAATGCGAAGTCGGCCTGCTGCCGCCAATCAACGACAAATCCATTGACACAGAAAATCTAGCCCAGCATGCACTGCATGGCCAGTGTCGGCGTACCAAACTGACTCACAGCTTAGTGTACGGCGACCTGTTCAGACGAGCAAAACATTTCGCCGTACTGAGAATTTCCGAGCGCTGACCATGAACGAGCCCGAGAGCGCATTGTGGCGACAGGCATCTTGACTTGGGCTTGCCCGCGATGGACGTGGCATGATGCTGAGACTGTCGGTGACTTCAATTGAAGTTCCAGACTTCCAGAATGTGAGAAAATCAATTGGAAAAGATTCGAGGATAACTAGAAAGCAAGGAAATGGACAGAGGAAATAATGAGAAAGAAAGAGGAAGTTTGAAGGACGTTGAAGTTGACTTATATTACACGATGCTGCCCGTAGCCAACCAGAGGTCTAGGAGAGAATTGCGCAATTTTCACGTGATTTGATATTATTTGAGGCAATTCCATGACTGATACATACAAGAAGAGGAAAAACAGCCGATGAGATGTCCTCTGATGTTAGAAGTTTATATATTGGACCCTTTTCATTTTACATTCCACGAGAAGGTCAGCATCAGGTGACAGGACCTGTGATACCTATCTGCAGACCTCGACTTCTGACCATCGTGACAATACTTATAGGTACAGTATCATACATGCATACTCAAACCCCAAAAAGTTTAACAGGACACCAATATGCGGCTCTCCACAATAAAATCTTTCGTCCAATCTCCAGCTGATATCCCAAGATTCGTCAAGAGCTCCGCCTGATATCACTTAATATCCTCGGTTGATGCTCGACCAATTGTCTGCAAGAACTCAACATCTTCATCTGGGAATCGCTGGCAGAATCTTAGACGAAAGTGCCGATGCGGGACCTGCATACGGAGATATATACACAAAATTTCCAACCTTCTTCTCATCTGAAATTTCCTTTGCACCAGAATCCACCACCATGTATCTATCAATTCGCCTCCTAACCCTTTACCTATCATTCTCTCTCAGTTCTGCACTCGCAATAGATAAACCATGCAACGCCACCAGTGATGCATGTATAGGTACTCTTCTCCCGTTTCTCCTCTTTCCTCACTGTCTAAATTAATGAGCAATGCAGATGCGATTGACTCGAATACCTGCCTAGCAGAGTTCCTTCGAAGCGGGAATAATACGTTGATATTGAATTGCTTGCAAGGGGGCGAGAGTCCGATGACGCCTGTTGCTAAGGTGAGTTATCTGAGTTTTGGGGGTTGGGATGGGAAAATGGGTGCTGATTCGAGGGTAGATTTGTAGTTGTCTTGGATGTTTTGGGGAACCGGTTTCGAGTTGGATATCGAGTAATAAGTTCTGTTAGGTTGGAGTGGTGGATGATTGATGATGGAACTGGGAGAGATGCTGAGAATTGTAGAATAAACATATTGGGGGAAAGGGTGGTGTATTCCTAATAAGGTCAATGAAGAAGAAGGTTATTGGTATACCGAATGGTATCTTAAAGGACCATCCTCATCTTGAGTTTGTCTCCCTCGACAACCTCTTTCTCTTTGCTCAAGAACTCCTCCATGTCCCAACAACAATCCACATACCGACCCGCGAGCCAGTCCCGCTTTTTAGATGTCAGGAAGACCATCGCGTCAGCTGCAATTTCAGGCGTATCGGTAAATACTACAAAACGGTTTAGCACGCATCTTCAAGAGATATCAAAGAAACCTACCACGATACATATGTTCCGGCATATTCTCCCCAAGCTCCGTCCTCGTCCCACACGGATGCACAGCATAAGCCAACAGCCCCTGGTCCTGATAATCCACCATCAAAAATTCCGTAAACCTCAACAGCGCAAACTTCGACCCCTGATACCCACTCGCTCCCGGCCCCAACCCATGAGCCCCCGCACTCGTGACATTAACAATAGTCTTCTGCCCGCTTTTCAACAGCAACGGCATAAACGCCTTGGAGACATGATACGTCCCCCCAACATTAATCTCGTAATTCCGCCACCACCCCTTTGGATCCGTGTCCGCAACCGGTACCCAATCCCCCAGATACCCCGCGTTATTGATCAGCACATCCAGCTTCCCAAACTCCTTCTCGACGACTTTCGCTGCTTTCTCGACGCTGGCATAGTCTGCTACATCGAGCTCGAGTTTTAGCACCTTGGGCGCGGGCTTGGATGCTGCTTTGGCTGCGGATTGTATTTCCTGCTCCAAGGTCCCGAAATCTGAGCGTGCGCCGAGAGCTATTCCTGCGGCGCCAGCGCGGGCAAATGAGATGGCTGTTGCGCGTCCGACGCCTTTCGATGCCCCGGTTACGAGGACATAGTGGTTTGTGTGGTCGGATTGGGTGGTGGGGTCGATGAAAGGGTATGTGTCGTGGTGTCTTGTAGAGACGAATTGAAAGCCTGTTAGTTGCTTGTTAGTGAGAGGGAGAGATGGGGGAGAAGGGAGCTTACCGTTGTTGACTGGGACTGGTGGGTAAGACATTTTGGATGGATATCACTTGATGATTTGCAGAAGGAGATAGAATAGGGCAGAAGAGAAAATGACAGAGGAAAGCTTGATACTTATCTTCACACCTACCAGAGAGAGTTTGTGTTGAAAAAAAAGGTTAACAGTGACAAACTTGCAGGCTCTTGAATCCGAAATGCGAGAAACGATGATGCTTGGCTCCACAATGTCCTGTATACCGCCAATGAGGATTCAGATGGGTATAACGGAGTTTGCAAATAAGTCCACGGAGTTGATGATGATGGAGTATGGAGATAGAGGGGAAAGACAATAGACAAGCAAGGATTCATCTTAGGGCCTCGGAGTTAAGGGCACGGACTTCACGTGACTGAGATCCCCTAAAGTCCAGCTGGTTTCTCTGCTCACTTCATCTGCTTTCGATTGATCCAAGTTGCAACAGACAAGTCCCTCCTATGCTGTCTAAGGCTCAAACGTTTCATGTTTTTCTGGCGTCAGTGGATACATCCATGTCTTCATCATCAAACTTGTACATAACTCCTTTTTGCATACTACACAGCCCTACTGATATCCGCGAGAAGGCATATAGCAAACTCAAAGCTCTCATTCTCCCCACAAAGCATGACTCTACTACAGATTTATAAGCAAGTCCCGCCATTTCGGTACTTGATCAAAGTTTCTCGAAATCAACCATCTGAACTCCGCCTACCTACCTAGACCTCTTCTTCCAAGTAATGCGTAAATCTGGTTTCGAATCTCAATATCTACTCTACTCCTCAGCTGTTAGTCATCACGAATGATTTTGTGAGGCTATAACAACCCCATCTCTACAGATTATCCATTTACTGTTCCCTATCCCGATCCCATCCTCGCCAGCTTACTGATCTCCTCCGCAGCTCTGAATCTCCCACCTGCTTTCCTAGCCACCTCCCCGAGCCGCCTCGCTGTCTCCTTAATCCGCAACGCTTCCTGGCCACCATCAAGGACTCGGGTAAAAGCAGTAGTCAGCTCACTCGACGTCCAATTCGGTGCCGAGACAGGACTACCAAGCACCCCAATCCCAAGGTATTCTACGCGAGTGGCATAATCATACAAATCGACCCAGAGCGGGAGAACGATCTGCGGGATTCCAACACTGTGCCAGAAGCTCGATCAGTAAAGTCACGAAAGGGGGTTTGGGATGATCCTACCCGACGGCTTCGAAAAAGCAGTTCGCACCGCCGTGGTGTACTGATACTGCGATGTGTCCCGTCTCCAGCATCGCGGCGGGGTCTATATTCAGCCATTTCTCCAATCTCAGTCTCCCTTCTTTGATCTCGTCCGAAACTTCGGAGAATACGTCCTGAGAAAATGGGCCTCGTTTGTTGAACTTCCAGAGGACTTGCACTGTCGAATTCGCGAGCAGGGTTTTGATTACTTTCACGAGCTCGCCGGCACCGTTCTCATCATAGTCGACTTTACTGCCAAGATTGATGAGCACGGTTGGAGCACGGGATAGCCAGGCTGCGAGCTCGGGATCTTGTTGCTCGGCGGGAGCAGTAGAGCGGAAGATGGGTCCGCATGTGACGAGGTTGGAGGGGAGAGTGACCATAGGGAACTCTGCTTCTGGAAGCCCTTGGCTTAGCCAAAGGTAGTCTTTTTGGTAGATGGTAAAGACGTCGAGGGGCTTGGCGATACCATTAGCTTTGAGAAAGGCTTTCTTCTCCGCGAGGCGAGGAGTGTGGAGGACGCTGTAGATGAAGCGGATGGTGAGGTAGAAGTTTGCTGGTATCAGACGCCAGGGGACGGGATATGGATAGCCTGAAGATATTCTAAGGGAGGTCAGAGAACGCGAAAGTATGATGGAGGCAAGAGCTACTTACGCAGGATATTTCCAGAACATACTTGCCCATGGCTGCATGGACACGAAATTATCTTTCAAATTATTTGGAGAGAGAATGGCATGGTTGCGGCCTTGGGTTCTAATAGCATCGAGAGCGGGTCCAAAAATAGGATCGACTACAACGATGATAGGGTCAATTTCATCCAAGAGACGCAAAACATCTTTATATATTGCCAAATAGTCCGTTGCCGTCCATGGCATGAGAAAATCTTGCATGTTATTGCAAAGCGAAGCAATACCTTCAAGTCCAGATGGCTGGATGGCATTGGCGATATAGAAACCTACATCGTCCAGTGATTGAGCGTAACTCCTTCCTACCAATGGATGGAATTGGATCGCTTTCGTGGCAGTATTTTGCTGTGCCGCAAATGCAGATGTCTCGGAGATCGTTTTCTCCAATTTGGGGAAGGAAGCATAATGAAGTTCGAGATCAGGATACTCAACGAGGATAGCATGGCTGGTTGCGACATGCACATTTGCGAGACCTGCATGTGTATCTGAGAGGAAGAGAACGGTGTTGTTGCGTCCGGGGAAGGTTTTCGGCTGAGCAGAATCAGGGGCTGTGGGGCTGCGGGAGAGAAAGATTGATAGGCCTGCGACCAGAAGCGCGCCTATCACGTATATCGAACGACCAGGCATGCTTTCAAGTGAAGCAAAGTGAATTTGGACAACTTTGAACACGGACAGAGAGAGTCTTTGAGTTGCACGATGTCGGAAGTGAGATTCGACATTTGTGGCTAGTGCGGCGTTCCTCTAGGCCACTTTTTACTGGTCAGTGCAAACGAGAAGCCAAGCTCGACTTTTTCGGGGCACAGGTAACGTTTCTCAGTTTGGGTTATTCCAGCATCGTTTGTCTCTGCAGAGACTCTACATTTAGACTTTAGTTCAACCAAGGATCTGTAAATTTTTCGCAGCCACTGTCGGCAAGTACCGAGCAGAATCTATCAATACGGAAAGAATGTCTTCCTACCTCTTCTCTGTACATCACCTTCAATGTTGTTATGTCCAGGGTTCACCTAGTACCCTGTGACTTGACAAGACCTTCTTCCAGGGGCCGATTGACTTGGCGCTTCATCAGTCTCATTCTCACAGCCTTTTCGATCCTCGTCTGAACGTGGTTTTCATGATATTATATAATTATGTATCCACAAGTGTCATTGTTGGGAGTATACCATCAGAAGAACAAAGACAAACTTCGTGCATTTCAATGTTCTTTGTTCTTTGAGCACATTCCCGTTGATTATCTCGCAAGGTCGAGATGCATTCGTCTACATTGTTCTTTCTATGGCACGTATAATTTCTTTGTTGTCGAGATTACGGGTAGAAGCATAATGTCCCGTCCGTCCTTAGCAACATGGTTACAGTAAATATTCAACATTAGGCAAGCTTGAAGTATTGAATTTCTCGCTACTACCATCACTTACAACCAAAATGGTTGGTCAAGCTCGTCAGGCTGCTCAGGCTGCTCAGATACAGCGTATATATTACGATACTAGAGGGGATCTTCTACCACCAAGTAAGTTCTCCTCCTTCCCCATCATTTTTTGACCTCAATCCTTCATCGCTCTTTGCCTAACACAAGCAGACAAACGACAGGAATACACCCAAAACCTCACCGACCTAGCAAAAAAATACACCCACCCCCTCGGCAAAACCGGAGCAGCAGACCATCGAATCCTCTTCAACACCGGCAAAAGCGGCATAACACCAATCTCCTCCCCACCACCATGCCTCATCGAAACAGACCAACAAAAACTCTCACGAAACCAGCTAAAAGCCTACCAGAAAACGCGATTCCGTGGATTCACAACCGCCGAGCTCAAGGAATTGAATGCTTTGGAGCCGCTGGATTTCGAGACACATAAGAATGAGTTGACGAATATTGATATCCATCCTGCGTTCCGGAGGAAGAGATGGCTTACTGAGAAGGATTTGCCGAAGCATCTTGGTGTGCCACCTATTTTGGGTGGTTTAGATGGACTATGGGAGGTATGTTGGCTTTTAGGAATTTTGGTGGAGAGAGACTTATGGAAAGTGCAGGTTACGAATCCAGTCGTTTGGGCAGTGGTAAAACCTTGCTTGCAGATGGCAAGTATGATGCTTATGAACGAATATGAATACGGCTGGTACGTTCCCCGATTCAACTACGAATCTACTGACACACTATCCAGGTTAGACGCCCTATTCCGCGGTCGACTGGAGAAGTTCGCAAAAGATAAAGGGAAGCAGCTTCTACGCCTGCACCCACGAACTGGACTTGAGATGCGCACCGACTCAGCCGCCGACGAGATCCAGAAGTTTTTCGAGAGAAAGATTAGCAAGAAGATTGATCTCAGGATCGATAGTGGATATTCGGTGATGACGGGGATGCCAATCGTCACTAATCCGCTATCGGGCGTCACTTATGAACGGCCTTTGGACCCTGGTATTCATGTCTCCTTGAGTCTTGAGATGTTTGAGCCGCTGCTGCGGACGGATTTGACGGATGCTGAGAGGTAAGTGCTGGGGATAGATATAGAGGGTGTGCTCTCCCTAAGATTTGTAGGCTTGGAAATACTTGGAATGTCGCAAAGACGTTGGTACATGAAATGGCGGTATGTCCCAAATTAACCATTCCCTGGTAATGTTCGAAAGACTCATAATTGTTGAAAGCATGCGACTTGGAGAGCACTTAAACGCTACAAACCACCATACGCAGAACCCTATTTCGACGATCAAGCATTATCAGAACTAGGCTTCTCTTTTATAAACGATGTCCGTCCACCCTTCTCCAAAACGTTACACGTACTGTACTAAACTGCTGGATAGATATGCGGCGGCGAACCCGCTCGAATGCTCCGGAGACCCTACTGGTCAGGAGGCCCCGGAGTTCCGCAACTGGGAATATGGAGCAATTACTGGTTCAACAGCACAAATGCAGGCTACACAACCTCGGCCGGTGCTCCGCCCCAAAACAAGCCTGTGGAACCAGACGAGATCGATCCGTTCTACACCCGCGACGACTGGGTTGTTCCTACATCTTGGCACTGCAACATGTTCTTGAACAACTGGTGGAATGTAGGCGTGGTGAAATTCTCTAGAGAGTTCACTCACATGGGTCCGTTACAACACGGCTATAGGAAGATCGACAAGAGGGCTATAGAAGCAGGGAATATAGAACCTCGGAAAATTCGTGTTGGAGAGGGCGATGGCACTGGATTACTGTATTCCGAAGGCCCCGGAGATCGAATTGTCATCAGCGATAAACTCAGCATAGCGAACCGGAAGGCAATATACGCGGAGCAAAAGAGAATGGTTGAGGCAGGGAAAATACTTTTTGCGTTGACGAAGAACCCTGGATATGTTGGCGCCCCGAATGATAATACCGATAATGGCGAGAGGCCACCGAGAATTCAATATCAATGCCGGAGGTGGGATGAGATTGTCGCATATTTGTTCGCGAATAGAGGACCAAAGGAGCTGGCTCTTGATACGATGACACTGCTCTCTGAACCTCAATTTTATCGCTACATCAGAGGCCGTGGTGGGATCAATCTCACTGGTCTAGAATTCAGAGAGTTTCTTGCCGTGGCAAATGAGCGAGGGATATTGTTTGTGTAAGTTTCCGTCCCTTTGTTCTCATACTTTAGAGCCAAGATCTAACACCAGTAAATAGATGGGAAGCACATCCCGGCCGCGGCCTCGTCATACGCCGCAAAGAAGGCTGGCCGCCAGCTCAAGACTATCCTCTAGAGGAGATCGATCAGCCAAGTGACGAGGCTGTTGAGCTAGACACCTTGCTCTCCGATGAAGGAACCGCAGGTGTTCCCGCAAAGGCAGCGATCCCAGCGAAACCGGCAGAGAACGGAGCTCCAGCAGTGCCATCTGTTCCTGCAACACCGGCAGTGAAAGCAGTGCTTGGGACCCAGGGGAAGATCTTTCGGGATTTTGGGGTTAATAGAGATGTGGACGTGAAGATCTTTTGGGAGTTTCTTTAGTAAGTTGTGCCTGATCCTGTGGTCCTGAAATTGTGCTTGAACTGCGTATTTCATTTGTACAGCCAGGCCCATCTTCGCCCGAATGACAATCTACACCTCCTATTTCCTGGACACATACTGATTGATATCAATATAGCAAAGAAGATCCAACTACCTGGGATATTCCTCTAGATCGGCTGATAGAAGTCGTCGACGAGTCCATTAACCTTGGAAGCATGTACATCACGTAAGTAACCTCCCATCCGACATCGAACTTCTGGAAGAAGATGGAATGCTAATCCTCACGTACTCAGACACGGTCCAGAAGGCATTGTTAGATTCATTTACGATGTCCCGGATCATGTATGGGAAGCTGCGACCCCATTTGCGAAAACTAGGGTGGCGGATATGAAGAAAAGAGCGGGATTATAGAATTAGGAATTGGATTGGTAGAAAGGCTTTCACGCGAGACGAGTAGTCAATATGTAAAATATTCCATAGACCATAATGTACATACTCCACAAAGATACTCGCTAATACGCAGACATAAAACCACATTATCGTTACATCCCCTCCCTTTCTTTACCCCTCCCCTCTAAACTCCACCCCGTCGCTCCTTTCCCAAGCCTAACCCTCAGACCCTCGGCCTTTTCAAACGTGCTTCCTCTCAAATCAACCGGTCCCATGTATCCCTTCACCTCCTGACCCAAAGCACACATCGTTGCCAACGCCGAAGAGCGCATAACATCCACCTTCACCGCTCTCGTCTTAACAATCGTCGCCAAAAGGAAAGCAAAAGACGACACCAACAAGACGATTAGGAAAGAGATCCAAGGCCAAGAAACATGAACATATGTTTCAAGAACCCAAGAAGTCCCCGTCGCCGCCTGGCCTGCGAATTGTCTGTCACGAATACTGTTCCTGATTAGCGAAATTAGGCGAGTGACGGGTAAAGGGGGACCTACTTGTTGGTCATACCCGTGGCGATATTCTGAGTCAGGTTCTGTACACCTGAGAGTTGCATGTCGTCTGCTACTTGACCCCTCGCACCTGCTAGACCCGGCTCACCAAATAGAGCTGAGACGAGAACTTGCGCTGCGTCGGTGGTGTATCCGCCACCGAGGCCAATTTCATACGTTCCCCGGAAAGTGGTCCCCATGTACGCAGCCAAAGCGGCGTTGGCGGACCCATCGACGGTGTAGTTGTCGCTGCTATTGGAGGGATTCATGGCTAGTTCGCCCCATTGTTGAAAAGTCCCATTGGCGCTATTGCTATCTGGGAGAGTGAGGCTTGTATTGGTAGAGGCGATGTTCACGGACGTGGAACTGATGCTTGTGCTGGAGATCCCCGCGGTGACTTGTGTTGAGTAGGTGTTTACACACCAGTATAAGAGGATTTCCATAGCGCCAAAGTCAGCCTGCCCTTGACCGGCAGTGTTCTGCCAGATGACATAGTGGTCGCTGATTGTTGTATATGCAGCGTTTGGCTCGTTGGCAAAAGCAAGAGAACCGTTGACGGGCGATACGGATGAGCTGTTGTCCACATTTGGAGCAGTGGTGATGTTCATTGCCATTTCGCCAGCTTGAAGGAAGGCGCCATTTGGTAGAGTAACATTGTTGTCTACCATATATCCGATGGAAGCCGAGAGGTTCGTAGCGAGAGGGGAAACGGTGAGAAAGCTTGTTACATTCGCGACCTTTGAACAAATGCCAAGTGAGCTGAAGTCTGGCCAGGTGCAGTTTCCACTCGAGCAAGATGGTGTACTAGCAGAAATCGATTCGTTGGCCGCGTTGAAAAGTCCCATCTTGACGGCTTGCTGCATGCTGAGATCAGGTACACCTGCAGGAATAAGAATTTTCTCTTAGACGATATCAGCAGATAGCTTACCTGTGCTTCCTTGAATAGGATTATAAGCCAAGAAAACGTCACTTCTGGCAGCTTGAGCCAAAGGACCGGAAGTACCTGGAACGAGATGCTCCCTGTATGAAATAATCTGTTGAGTAATGGGGGAAGTCGCAAGTCCAAGGACCGATATCAACGCTCCAATACTGGCTAAGTGTCTGAAAGTGTTTTGTCAGCACTTCATTCCGAACGAGGGGTTTTTGTCATACCCAAATCCCAATGTCCTTAAAAACTTCATTCCACCGATCGGCCCTCTGCTCGCTTCATCGAACGTTTCAAAATCCACTAAAGATCTCTCGTTTTCCTTGAACCACACCCATTTCAGCTGGCCCAGGGCCTCCGAAAGAGGGATTACTAGTCCGATTTGCGCTATTGTGATGAAAATCGCCAACAAGGAGTTAAGCGTTATCGAATGCGGCCCTTTCGATAACGGCTTTCCATCATATATCTTCAAAATGATAACTATGGCAGCGGTTGCCAACAAACTGACCAGACAACTTAGAAACTCCATTAACCACCAATCCGCGCTGTATCTTGAGAACCAATTCTTCGTGCCTTTCCGTTTCGCAGGAGCAACTTTGAGGAGGTCGACTTGGCTTCCAATTGCTTGATAGGGATTGTAATCATTATCTATTGGAGGCGGTGGTACTTGATATGCTTCATTCGAATGCGATTTCGGCACTTCATCTCGGATCTCCTCCTCCATTGCCGAAACCAAAGACACTGGACGTTCGGCTACTGCTGGCTCCTCCATGATCGCGGGTAATTCCCGATTCGGATCTGGAGACGGAGCTCTGATGCTTTGAGGACTGACGAAGTCGAAGTCAAAATTGTAACTCCTGGTGTCCTCCCCGATACTCCTCTCTCGCAGCGATTCTGGTGACACCATCTCGATATCTGGAAATACAACCCTGCTCGGTGCTGTTGGACTCGTTGGCGAAATGTTCTCTCTGAAATGCGAGGATATCGATTTCTGTATCGGCTTTCGTGGGATCGCCAACGTTTGCTTTGACTGCGATGCTGAATCCCGCTCATCTCCTCTCCCAAGACCAGCCATCTCAACCGCCTCCCTCAAACTACTCCTATCATTATCCGCATCCACATTCTCATTATCCATGGCTTTTTTCAACTTAACGAAACGCAAAAATCAAATGCACGTGCAAAAAGAGGAAAGAAACACAAAAGTCCCCAAATCAGCAAAACCGGTACATTTTGTTCGCTCCTCCCATCCTCCCAGCAGTCAGCCTCCTTCGCACCACCACATTTGACAATTACATCTGAAGGAGGAAGTTCGCCTACGCAAAGCTAAGGCAAGGTTGATCTGATACACAGCCAGAAATCCCATGCAACATAAATAGAAGTCTTGCCATTGGTTGTGGCGGCTAGAGCGCGGCCTGCTTTGAGGCTCAGATGTTGGATGTAAGACATTGGCCAATCAGCCGGGGCAGATCTTGCAGGGCTAGCGCTGAGTGGCTGTTGCGATTGCAATGTACGTACGAAGCTTAGCGTGAGATGCTGACACCACGTGACCCGGGTCAGCTGCTAGGAAGTTGGGTGTGTTGCGGACTTCCGTGTTGGTTGTTCGTTTGAGAAGGGAGGCTTGGAGGACAGTAGGAGTATTTGAATTGTGGGATAATTGGAATGTTGCTCGCAATTGTGCAGAAATTGATATTTCGCCTCCTGGAACCTTTCTTTTCACCAAGTGGGCGTGGACGCCCCTTCGAACATCCGAAAAGCGTCGCTTGACGCTCAAATTCGGAGCTGACATGACTACTGCTTCAAGCCTCCTCACGTATTACCTTCTAATCGCCATTCTAGGCAGGTGAGCCTCATCAAATCGCACCGACTGAAAAATTACACTTATCGGCGCACACAGCTCCAACACTCGCAGCCTTCTTCTCAGCATCGTATATCCAACATCCACTCGGACATGTATACGAATAATTGCCCTTTTCGTCCTATAAGCTCAGATTTTGTCTCGGTACTTAGAATAGTCACTTGAACCACTTCGAGAAATTGGTGACTCCGCTTGTTGAAGGAAATAATCGAAGTGCCTTGGATGGAGAACTTTTGGTTGATGTAAGATATGGGAGTTTTGATGTGGAATCTTGAATTATGTCTTCGCCGCCGTCGAGACAGAGGTACTCCCAAGCTTCGCCATTGGTGTCTTGGGACGACGAGGAAACTGAAAGATGGTGCACAGACTTCGTCGATTGTGAAAGAGAACGAATTGCTCGTAGGCATCACTGAGCCCCCAACTGAGACCTCGAGTAGTTGATATAGACTTTTCGAATGACAAACTTCGCTGTTCTGCGAGGGACTGACGAGCGTGAGGCTCAGACGTCAAACTTCGTGGACCAACGTGTCTAAATGACGGCTGCATCTTCAATCCAAACGCATCTCAACCTTTGGCATGTAGCTGATGCAGTAAGAACATCTGGAAGAAAAGAAAGCATGCAGAGAGCTTTCATGAGAATCTCTGTGGGCAGAACAAGGAGGCAGATCTCCACATGTTGACGTCTTGTTGTTGACTGCATGTTGTGACATGGGGTCAAGAAAGCCCAACGGGATAGCGAAGATGGAAGCGGAAACCGCAGAAGAGAAAAAAGAGTGCTCGAAGAGAAATTCTTAAAATTTGCTCGTAAACATTGTAGTAGGCCCCGATGGAAAGATTACTGGCCCCAAAACCCTAACATTTCTTGTTGGGATAAGTGAGGAAAGACGAGGCACAATTCAGACGTGCAGTACAATGTATCAGCGCCGGCAGTCCGAACCAGGACAAGATGCAGGCTTCCTGATCTGCTAATTCCAGAGTACGATACCTGGCAATTCGGCAAGAGAGCATATCCACGCTCTCCAAGTTGATGAAGTGCATGAATCATATGAATAGTCATGCTCGAAGAAAGACACTGCTTTTCGAAGCCTCACCCACTGGACCTTTATCCTGAAGCCTAGATACTCACTATTCCCTTCTACCAATCCACTCCTCAACATGCGGCACAATCTCAAAGTTATTCAACTCCATGAAACTAAAATGTGCATTTCCCTAAAGGAAACAAACACCATCAGCACCAGTTCCCCAAAACTCAAAATAAAAGAGACAGAACTCACATGAATCCCCACCTCCGGCAAATCCAAATAATCCACCGTCACCCCAGCCTGCCTCAGATAGTCGACGGTGCAATAATCGTAAACAGCATGATAACTCGCCTCACTCGTCATCACGAATACGGGAATCGTCGCCAGATTGACAAGTTTCCTCGCTGGCTCCGCTTGCAGGATACACGAGCTCCTGTTCACGCCCTGTGCAGCGATAGTCTGAGTAACTAGTTCTGACGGATTGGTGATGGAGGGTGAGTATGTGAGCGGCAATGTGGCGATCCCATACGGTCTCGCGGGACCAGAACGAATGACCTCTTGCACGAAAGGAGGACCTTCGGGTTCGAGAGCGACGATTCCTTTCACGAGGTTAGGGCGCCGGTCAGCGATGCCCCAGCCGTAGGGACCAGAGTGCGAATGCGTGATTATGATTGCGGAGCCGATTTTGTCGAGGAGCGCGACGCCAGCGGCTACGTTGAGGGTCTCGGCGAGAGTATCGTTGGCTTGTTGTTGGATTTCTGAAGAGAAGAATGCGTCAAAGGTTGGGTCGCCTTTGGTGCCTGAGCCGGGCCACTGAGAGGGTGTAAGTTGGTGAGTTGGGGAGAAACAAAGAGGCTTACTTGAGTGTGGAGATGAGCTTGGGGCCAGAGATCTGCGTTTTGGGGCGAGGTGAAGTAGTCTTCGATGAAGGAGACGTTGTACATTGAGATTGTACCCTCTCCTGGCACCCATGGAGATCGTCCTCGTTGAGGTTGATCTGTCAGGTAGAGAGTATATCCTTTCGAGAGGAGGTAGGAGCCCCATCCTTCACGGCCGTCTGGTGTATTAAGCCAATTCTGTTCCAGTCATTAGGAGAATGTTATCGATTTGGAAAGAGACTTTACTGTGGATGTCTGGCCTGATCCCGTGATGAAGATCAATGGGTACTTTTGCGTTGGCTTCAGTGGCACGAGTTTTTCCACATACATCTGACCAGTCATCACTTCACCAAAGGACTTGAAACTTATTAGTAAGTAAGCAAGTCATGATTGAGATTGTAGTACTCACAACATTCTCATAATGTCCACCGGTATAGAAGTATGTCCGACTTGCATATGCTTCCATCGAGAAATTCGATGAAGCGTATGTTGAAGCTACAGCCGCAGCTGTGCCGTAAAGCACCGTAAGAATAATCCAGAGTATCATAGTGACGACTGGATTCAAGTAGTCCAGATCTTCTTCGTATTTTGAAACATGTAGAACACGAACGAGACGAAGACTTGAGTATGGCAACGAAAATTCACCGTAACAAGTGGGCTTATTCTTCTACAAGACTGATCATTACCGCTCTGCACTCGCAGAATAGGCCAATTTTACCATTGGCCCAAGAAGCCGAATAGGCGAGTGTGATTGGATGGTGTCGGTGATGCCCTGGCTTGGTCAGCGTTGCACGCGAGCGAGCAAGATCTTACCGGTGCTGGATGCGGCAGTTACTCTATAGATATAAGATCGTCGGAGCAACGAGTGCAGCATGATCTATCGAATCAAGACACCTTGATTTCACTAATAGTCGATGGGGCTTTAATCGAGGGTGTTGACAATTTCCAATGGAGTCGCTCCAAAAGAAGAAATTGATACTAGGACTATCAACTGAAATGAAACACTTGAACACGGGTTCATACTTATTTTTTTTTAGGATTTTAGCACTCGCGGTATCCTGACCAACAACAATGATCGTATTCGAGCCAAACATAGGGATTTCTCCACACGCAACTACAAAGCTCGGGATTTAAAATGGACGAGTTCGTCCGAAACCAGACATCAGATCGGATGGAATGTTTTGGGGTATCAAAGGTTGAGATTTTCTGTACATACCCAACCCATTATCAGACTACACATCGCAACCATATACATTATTTCATCCAGCAAAATAAGGACCTAGCTAGAAGCCGTGCTGGCACTCGGAGGTTTAACTTTGCCCACTTCGACTTCTTGTAGCTCTGGTGACTCTTTTGGCTGTACTGGAATTAACTGTTTCTGCTCTTCTCCTAGCACAACTGAAGGATGTTAGTCTGCGAAACCCTTCTTCTGGATGGCTAGAACCTACATCTTTGATACAAAATATAACTTGTGCCAATCAAAATTGGTAGTGCAACAATAGTATTCCGGACCTTTCTTGCCACCGATTGATAATTCTTGGGCAAGTCTTTGCTCCCACTTGTATTCGGTCTTGCGCCTGCTCGTGTAGATATGTTTGACACGATTTCGGAATTCAATGCTGCTATTGGGATGTGCGGTTTCGAGGTTGGTTTTGGAGGAGGTGGTGGAGGAGAAGCTGCAGGCTTTTTCGATAGAGGGTTCGAGGTTGGAGCTTTCACTTCCGCAGCAGGTTTCGTATTCGTAGAGGGTGTATTCGAAGGAGGTGTAGACTTCGCTGCTGCTACGGTCTTAGAAACAGCTTTGGCAGGCATTGAGGGTTGTGATGGTTGTTGAGTCGTTGACTTCTTGGCCTCAAGTTCTCTGACTTGCTCCAAGATCTTGGAAGTCGGTGGCTCTGCCTTGATTGTAGGATTCTCCACTGGGGCAGCGGCTCTCTTCGATTCTGGTTGTTCTGAAACTGCCTTGGCTAATTTTGAAGGTGCAGTGGGCTGAGATGAGGTCTTTGAAGTCGCAGGAGTTCCACTGGAGCTTGATACACTCTTTTTAGGTTGCACTGTCTTTGCAGCTGTGGTGGTGGGTACTTTCGCAGGCTTTGGGACAGCTTTCGTCGACTTTGCTCGAGTGGTGGATTTCTTCTTCAAATCTGGCAATTCCACCTCGACAGGATCCGAGATGACCTTCTTAGGCCTTCCTCTTTTCTTGACAACTTCTGCGGACATATTGGATGCGGAATTGGGCGACGAAACAAGATCTGGAATGCTATGTCCGCAACAGGCAATGTTGCAGAATGTGGAGAGATTCGAGAAAAATATTCGGCGCGTCGGCAAAAAGAAACGCGTTTGGCCGATGACCCCTTTCTCAACTCTTGACTTTGACGACAGGGAGGTCTGCAATACGACAAGCACAATTGTATAGATGAGAAGTTCTCTCGTTTGTTAACAAGAGAAACCAATGTTCTGTTTGATTGTTTCTGCATTCAGTTTCTTTACTCAATGTGGGGCTATCTGTTTGTCCGCATGAATTCACGAAATTGACGCGAATCCCAGCAAACAGCAATGACTCTTCACAACCAGCCAGGAATATCCAAGTCTTCAAATCTGCCGCTTTTCATGGTTCAGATCGACATGAGCATACCTCCCTACTGAATCGATTCTTCTCTCGCCTCTCAGAGCGATGTGTTTCCTGACGAGCGGTCAACACTTTCAGCAGCAACCTTGTCGGGGTCAGCTTATCCGTCTACAAAAGATCATGGGCGTTGAGGTACTCCTTGATAACGATGACGATGAGAAGACGATCTGCTGATATCCCTCGTCTATTCATATATACCTATACGACCTCAGCTGCAAGTGCAAAAGTGGATTACTTTTTGATATCACGTGATATCTGTATCTCAACTGTAAAAAGCAAGTTCTCAAGCACCCTTCTTCCACCTCAAACCAGGATCACCTCCTCTTAAGGTCCGTCCCGCATGTTCGAGATCCTGTCGGTCTGCGTTTCAGAAATGTCATCATTCGTCCCATTCGCCATAACCTCGTATTCACCTCGCCCTGTGGACACCTAAATTTAGCGATGCTTCTCAATACGAGATCGTTTCCTCCGTTCCGGAACCACAATGGAATAACAGCAAGCAAGGCCCTCCCTACAGTTTAAACCTCCGTCACCGCTGCTTATCTTCTTTCTATCAATGATAAGCATCATCTCCCCGCCGTATCTTAGTTTCCGTCGTCGATCAATCAATTCCTTAAAGAATATTCAGCATGGATATTTCAGAGGACGTCTACGTCACAAGCCGAAGTAGGACACCGTCGTTCATCGATGTCAAGTCTCAAAGCGAGAGAGTCTTTACACATTTGCCAGACATCATCCAGGAGGCTATTGTATCTACAGAGTGTAAGACGCAATGCTTGCCTTTATCAAGAACCCGCCGCTCACAACCATAGTTTCGAGCCCACGTCTAAGGATCAGCCGTGTTCAAGATGGGATACTTGACACCGAATACATGACCCAACCAATGTTCTACATAACTTCACGAACGGATTCTGGCATCGACTTGCCGGATCTCAATGTTACGGATGAAAAGCTACTAGGCAAATATGGATCAGATCTGACTGCCAATTTCGCCGATATTCGAGCATATGGGGCAAAAGCCTTCTTTGAGAAAGAAAACCTCTCGAATGGGTCGAAGTATTCATTGTGTGCATGTGCAACTGGCTACATTTGGGTCTCCGTGACAGCTGTCCAGCAAGCCACCAGTTACCCGCACTTGGACGATGTCGAAATTCAGATCGGAACATATGCGCTGAAGGCCAAAGCGATCACCACGGTTGAGATCCCATGCGTGTACCGGTGCATGAGTTCGGATGAGCCTTTGGGCGGAGAACCAGCACTTCTCTTTTCAACGGTACTGGGGAACTACTTGCGAAATCGAATGCTTGGACAACAATACGAAGAGGCAACGGACAACGCAATCAAAACGACACGGAAAGAGCTATCATCCAGACAAATAATGAACCCCACTCTATTCGGAGATTTCTACTCGGTGCTTAAGGAAATGTGTACGAATGCGCCTTTGCCACCAACATCAGATGTCTCATTGATCTCGCGATCCATGATTACGAGAAGATGGCAGTGCTGGAGAGAATCATCGATACTACGAAAACGATACTTTTTCCCGCAACGTATCATTCGATGCCTGAAACCATCACGGCACGATTCAATTGACCTTTTGAGTGGATGCTACATGGCTTTGGCTTCTGAAAAAGCACGATCAAAAGTCGTGAGCACTGAAGCTGTGGAAGAGGTTGTCTGAGCCTGCAATACTTCGTACTCCACAAATATTATGACACGGGCACCATCAGACGATCAATATCGGGTCCTACCAGATATTAGTTCCAAAAACCAACTCGGCTCCCGAAATAACTCACCCCATCCACCATTATATGCCTCAAACTCAATCACATTCCCACTTCCAGACTTTAGCGGTACCGTCAATGTGCTCGTCCCAGGCGTACTTCCCGTTGTCGGCAAAAAGGCAACCACATATGCGACGCCGTTCACCAACACATTCGCATACCTTTGCGTACTATCTCCGTTGATATACTTGATTCGAATGGTCGTTGTTGTTGCAACCGTACTCGAGATGCTCGGAAAAGTCAATGTCCCACCCGCGGAGCCTCCAATATACCCGACGTCGGAGGTACCTGAGCACCCGGAGCAAGACTGTTCTTTAGCTCCTCCAGATATTGTATTTGTCGAAGCTTCTGCTTCTGGCGCCGTTTCATCGGGTCCTGCAGACCACTTTCCTCCTGCGATATCTAAGACCCAGTTCACCTCATTGGTCTGAGTTGTCAGTCAATGTCTCACGAGAGGACAGTCTTCTTACTAGTTTCGCTGTTGTTCCGGATATGGTCAACGGAAGCCAGACATATGTCGAAGTCATCAAATTTTTCGATTCCCATCGATCGCCCATGTATCTATCGAGGTTTAGCAGCTGCATCCTCAAAATACACAAAGCAAAATACATCACTACTCCATTAATGCTCACCACAGCAGAAGTCTGCGAGCTGAAGGTCTTCGATCCTGATGTGGCAAAGGTTGCCCATGCCGACCAAGGTCCGCTTAAGTTTGTCGCAGTACAGTATATGTTGTCGTTCGGATCTTATCTCTCTTTCAGTGTTTGTTTCGTCTATTCTTCAGATGCTACTCACCCCATCCACTTTCATGACTTGCAAACATGAAATACGTGTCTCCGCTTTTGTAAAGTGCTGGAGCCTCATAATCCTGAGCGTAAAGATGTGTTGCAGATTCAACGCTCAGGTAGTCATCTGAAAGTTTGTCGATTCGAAGACCATTCGCACGCTGGACATCGTCAGAATCAATTCTCACTTCCATTCATTCCACTCACATCTTCCGTCAAAAGATACCCCGTACCATCGGTATCCAGTTCCTGTCAGCAGCCGTCTCCTATACTATCCTCACTCTTTTTTACACACCTTTGAAAACATTCATATCCCTACTCTGAAACCCCAACGGCTTACTCGCACCCCTACCCTCATCAGCACTCCATCAAAACCAGCACTCTCACCCCTCAAACTCACAAATAAGTATAACTCCCACAAACACTGCTACTGGTCGCAACCCCCGCTCTCGCCTCCCCATAACTACTCGAATCGATATGCATCCACATAACCCACTTCCCCGTCTTCTCATTAAACATCACATGCGGCCTCTCCACCACCCTATTGGGCCCCAGATCCCCGCTCGCTTGCAGCGTCAGCACTTTGTTCACGAAGGTCCAGGACACGAGATCGGTTGAGGAGTAGCAGTTGATAGATTGGAAAGCGCTGCCGTTGAGTTTGTTTTCGCCGATCAGGTAGTAGGTCCCGGAGACTTCGACGATACCGCCGCCGTGGGCTTGCATGTGCTGGTTCGTCCCTGCGGTCGTGATGGTTGCTCCTGGGACCTGGTTTAACCTGTCAGTTTCTCAATTGGGGTAGAGGCATGGGATACCATCTCACGATCTGGACACTAGCAGATCCTAGCCCTACGAGCAGCAATGCCACGAGACCGAAAAACATCTCGTCTCGATTTCTTCTTTCAAAAGTCGAGGAGACGTTGCTGTTGCTAAGATAAAGATCTTATCTCCAAGAAACAATTTTCCTCCCAGGAACACGCACCCAATATAACCAAATGTTTATTCATCTAAACCATGCTTTCCCCTGTCTTGCCGAGATATAACTCCGGGCCGCCCAGGGAATTTACCCCAGATCAAGGATCCACAATAGAGATCATGCGCCATGTACCGAGAGTTTAGGCTTCGGCAGTTCATCCCAGGTGAGTTGTGTTTTGTACCTGATGATGATGAGGTACCCGTATATCCCCGGCGAGGTTTGTATGGTCGTTCCAATTATACATAATTTCGATTGGGTGCACACACTTCACACAGTGTAGCGTTTTTCGAAGTTTACAACTTCCGTCTCGATTCAGAAGTTGTAATTTTGGTTATTGATTATTGCTGAAAAAATCGCTTTTCGACCGCCTACTGCAGATATACAAGCAAAGCCTCACTAGCACCAACAACAAAGCTGCCCGTCCCACCACTCACGGCCGTACTCTCAAAAGTCTCCGTCCCACCAATAACACACGTCTCATTCGCAAACGTCTGCCCCCCAAACGTCGGATTCCCACCCTGATCAACCCTACTATTCGCACTCGCCGCCGTCAACCTCTTACTCTTCACACTCGCCGCTCCTCCCAACCCACCCAAAACAAACGTCTCCGACCCCCTCGTCCCACTCGAATAATAATCACTATTAACTAACAAAACCCTCAACGGGCTCCCGGCGCCATCAAACACCACATACGCAGCATAATCCGTCGACCCATCATCCAGCTCCACCACCGCTGCCGCGCCAGCCATGAACGCCGTCGCGACATAGGCCCCGTAGTATGGAGCCCCCATATCGTAGCGCCCCCAGAAACAGTAGTAGCAAGCACCGATGGTGCCGTGGTGGAAATACGTCCTCTTGATACCCAGGCTGGAAGCTAGGACAGAATAATCCAGCGTCCAGAGCGCGGCGCCGAAGAGCGGACTAACGGTACTTGCCCCGCCGCCAGAAACCGAGTTCGTTTCTCCCAGCACGTAGTCTTTGCCTGTGGTAGCGGCGGCGGCGATATCGTCGTTGAAGATCGCGAGGTTGGAGCTGATGTCGCTGTGTGACATGAGCGAGGAGATGGTTCCGCCGGGGTAGTTGTGGTGGGCGTAATCGTAGACGTAGGATTGCACTGTGTCGTTTTCTGTGGCGATGAGTTCGGCGGCGCCCCAGGTGGGAGGCGCGGAGTTGGAGTTGCCGGCTTGGATTATGTTTGTTTTGGAAAGGGCGCTGCCGACGAGGATGTCCCAGTTGTCTTGGGAGGCGGCGTCGATGGCGGGTGTCCAGGTTCCTGATTCTGTGGCGATGGGTTGATCGTCAGTTAGGTAATCTGATTGAGGTCAGAGATTGTGCTGGGAAGAAAGTTGGAGAGGGAGGTGTACATTCGGGCTCGTTCCCCAGCTCGATTGCTCGCAGATTACTCATTTTCGCTGTGGCGACTTTAGCAGCTGCGATTGTGTTCGAGATGTTGTCGTGTGCTCGATTGAGACCTGGTTTCCATCAGCAACTACTCCGTACGTCTGTCAATGGAATTTACTCGCCCAGAACTACGTTTCCAGCATAAGTCGAAGCAAGAGACATAAAGGATTGACCAAAAGTCAAGCTCGCAGGAGCATCAGTCGGAGCGGCAACCGAATACACAACATATGCCGATGTAGAAGGATCATAAGTGGCTCGATCTCTATCCATAATCAGAGAGCTGTAATCCTCTCGACTGAACTGACTCACTGTGTTGTTCCACCAATTCGGATCGGAGGCCATACTCCTGTCAAAGTCTCGAAATTCTTCAGACATTGATTCGTCGCCGAGACATTGAGGAAGTACGATGGGAAGGTAAAAAATTCGAATCTGAATCTCGTCAAACTAGTACTTTATATGCCATTGAAAACTCACGATATCCCAACTGGAGCAACATCCAACGGCGTCGCGGACGTAGGTACACTTGCTGGAATGCTATAAGTCACCGTTCCAGCGCTCACAGTTCCAATGAGCAAAGCCCAAACGACTTTTCTACACTTAAGGAACATCTTGAATCAACAAACAGGAGATCAAAAACCGCAGAAACAAAGATGCGAGGCATTGAGCCAGGGTAGCTATATATCCCAAACCTAATTTCGGGATCAAAACTTTCTGAACCCAGGCTATCGACACAACTCACCCCGAGCCTCTCTTCGGGTCAAAGAAACCCCGCCAGCTCACCGCGCGAGGGAGAATCTTTCTCTTGGTCTTGTTCAAGGAGAATCTGTTCCTGCATGTCCGACTGTACGAGTACAGTTGTGACCCAGGACAAGAAACCCCATACAGGCATTCCACCCCGCACTGATCCATGGTGGCATGCATGACGACCACCACGCATCGCCATTGGATCTGTTATAAGAGGTAGATCTCGGGGTCATGCCCTAGAAGATCGCCGCTCCGTCCGGCAGTTTAGAAAAGAACGGTGTTTCGCGGGTATGCGGGGAAGAAAAGCGAGGGAACGACAGATTATCCTCGAATCGGCGCGGAGGTTGGTTTCTCCTCTTCTTGAGGTCATGATTTGTGACTTCGTAACGAAGAAAATCAGCCGAACTCGCCAGACACTGCCTCGATGTTATGTTCGCTGAGCCTCCACAATGATTGTTCGTGGGTTGTTCGTTTGGATGCCGTTGTGAGGCACGGCTGGCTGAAGAAAAATGGTCCGCTAAAATGCGCCACAGGCCGATCACGTGGCACGGTTACAAACTTTCTTCCCGAATTGCTTCCAAGCTTCAACACCAACAGAGCACTGCGTATACTGCCAAAGCTCAAGCTTCGAATGTTCTGACAGCATCAATAGAATGCGCGTATAATAACGTCTCTCTCGAAGACATCTTGAGCCATGTTGGGTCCAGCATTTTTGTTTAGCGTAGACAAGTGTCCACCATCATAAGTTCAGGTCAATTTGCAAATTAGCGTGCTTTCTTATCCTCTTTCATGCTTTCGAAGTTTATCTCATTGATTCCGTCCCTTTACATACATATACAGCTCCACCACACGTTCGAATTACTTTTTCTATCCCAACTACAATACAAACACAGAAACAACCCCCCTCAACGTTCACACTTCTCCTTCGTCCCCCTACAACACCTAATAAACCCCACCAAAATCGGCGGACTAAAATGCGTCACATCCTCTTTATCCCAGCTCACCGTACTGGCCGGCGCCCCAGGCGGGCTCCCAATCCCACACCAAACATTATCGAAATCCGCCCACTTGTCCGCTGTCGACGCGAGCGGGCTCGGAGCTATGATTCCAGTTAGCTGAGAAGTGATAGACAGAGAAGAGGAAGGGGCTGAGGAGACGCACGAATGCTGACGACGAGGTTGTTCAACGGGATGTCCTGGCGAAGCGTGACGGTGCCGTGACTATCGCGGAAGGTGAGCGTTACGGATGGGACGCTGGGGGTTGGTGCTGCGAGTGCATGTGTTGCTGATACGAGCAACAAAGTTAGAGAGTGGGAGAACTTCATGTTGACGGTTCAAACGGGCAAGTTCTTGACATAAACTTTACTGCTTCTTGCGGGGCGCGGTTCTTATGTACAGCTCTCTTTCTTCCAATTACCACGGTCCCGGTATCGTGAAGTGGGGAATTCATCCATCTTCGATACAGGCTGTGGTGGTTTTCGATACTTCTGTTCCATTTTGCTGCATTTTATGTAGCTTCAAACCAAAGGATAAGTTCGAAAAGATGGATGCAATGTCAAACAGAGCCGTTTGTGATTGGGGCTCTCGAGAGAGAGACGTGATATTGGGTGGCAGTGTGCGGTTGCTGAGCGGCACAGCTTTGGTTGGTCGATTTCTCCTCACGGATACTCGAGATGACTTTAAGGTTAATGGTTAATGGATATTATCCTTAGATTAATTGATTGAATGGGGAAAGGGAATGAGTTTTCAGGCTGGGAAGTGAAAGTGTGACGGTCAGCACTATAACTCTATACATTTAGAAAGCCATTAGTGACACGAAGAGCCTGTCTACCCAGGGATTTTAGCGATTGAAAGCCTGAAACTTTAGTGAGGTGGCCCTAAAATGACACCGAGTGTCACTGAAACAAAGTACCTCACTTCAATTCCAATTTCAACACTAGATATCATAACAGAAACCATTCATAACAGTGTAAAAAACTATATTTCAATAAAATCATCGAAATCTAGAAATGAACACGAACCCTCATACCCCAAAGTCTCCACTCTCACGCATCACATACATTCATTCTGCACCTCACCCGAAGGAAAAAAAGAAATGAATATACGTCAAAGTCTCCACTCCCTCTGCCCCCTCACGATACCACACCGCATCACAAGCCTCACCTCACCTCACCTCACCTCCACCCTTCATCCACCTACAATTCCAAACCCACCGCCTGACATCCAACCCCTAAAAAGACGTCAGCAAGCAAGGCCCCCCCATAAAAAAACCTCCCGATCCCGAAAATCCCCAATCACGTGTCCCCTCCTCCTCCTCGCCCAAAAACAGCCAACCCATACCAACCCCAATCCGCCATCGCAGCCCAAGCAAAACACAAACACCGCCTATCCATCCATCCATCCATCCATCCCCCACGGCTCCCTTTTCGGGAAAATATCCCCTTTTAACCCTTTTTCTGCAGGGGCGTCGTATCGTATCGTATGCACGGAAGGAATGGAAGTGCTCAGCCACTAAGCGAAGCAAGCGAAGCCGTGCTTCGCCATTCTGGTCACTTTTGCGCGTTTTGCGAAGAGGAGGGTTACGTGAGAGGGTATTGTTGTGGGTTGGAGGTTGTATGTTGTATGTCAAGTGGGTGGGAGGGAGGAGGTATATGTAGATGGGGATTTCTCTTGGTGTTCTTTCTGGTGACGGTACCTATCTAGTGGGAAGAAAGAATAAGTCGTTGTTGTTGTTGTTGATCAGATAAGATGTCTTCCAATAATCCATACAAACTTCACGATGTGGAGGCCAATCACCCACTTCCACCTCCATCACCGATACCGAGTCCGAATCCGTTCTTGGATGTATGTACAGAGCAGTTTCAGTGATGGGAATGAGTACTGATGAAAGATAGCAAGCACCAAACGTCCCTCCACCAGCCTACAATTTCCACGCCGAAGCCGAGAACCTCTTACTCCCACCCAACACCAGCGTGTCGCGCTCCGCATCCCCAAGCCCGTTCAAGCGACAGGAAAGTCCATCAGCAGCCTACTATCGAAAGCAACAGTACAACAAGCGCCGCTTCATCTGCTTCTTGGTCGCTATCATCATCATGATCGCTATTGCGCTTGTCGTTGCTGGCGTAGCGTTCAAGTGGGGACGGAACAATGTGTGTATAAGATGGGACGACGGGTCGACGAGTGGGAACTGTGATAATTGAGTTTTGCATGGCAAATGGCGTTCACTGGCGTTTTGGAGGAGGATATACCACCATAGATGTACCTGGCATGTATCATACTGAGCGAAGGAAGCCTCGACTTCGTCACGGAGGAGGCACAGGAACTCGAAGGAATAGATGGCATGTGCGAGGACAACGTATATATAATTAATAGACGCGCAACAATGTAGAGCCGTTCATCTGAACATTTGAAATTGCAACGATGTTCTCCAACGCGCTAATAATTCGTTCTAGACCGTGGGATTGGACGAAACGAGGCAGAATGTTGGATGTTGCAGGTCCTGAACATCGCAGCCACCAACTTTGCGGCGCAGTGTTTTGTTGGCCTAGGAAATTAATACAAGAAGGAGGATGCATCTGTAGCGAGTTTTCTTTTGCGAACAGATTTGTTGAAGCCTTTCTCGTACAGTACATGAAAGTTGCGAAACTTCGTCAACATCACGACGAGTTGAACAGCATTGGTCGCAGACGAAAGGAACCAACAATTCGCACAAAGCTCGCAAAAAGAAAACGAATCCGAGGGAACAACAAATCAAAGAAGAATATTGATACTGGAGTACGATGGGCGACCCCGAACTCGCGAGGGTAAATACTCGCCTCCGTAATTCGTTTTCTGCTTCACCATTCAAGGCTAATCACCAACTCTCAGACTGCTGCGTCGTCAACTCCTGTCGAGCCCCCTCCATCATATTTCGACGGCCGGGCACATGTCCACAATACTTCAAGAACGGATGACATATTGCTAACGCAATTCAACAATCAACCGAAGCCTACCTACCGAATCGAACAGAGGATCATTCGTGATGGGGATCAGATCATCGATGGGAGAGCGCGCAGGAAGCTCATTTGTACCGCTATTTTGGTGATCATTATAATCACGGTTGGAGTCGTGGTCCGTTTCACAATAGTTAATTCTAGAAATTAACAGGAGAATGTATTTGGAAACCTAAACTACCGGTATGGAATGGATGAAGTCCAGAATAGATGGCTGGCAATGAACAAAAATACACAAATTGCTCAACTGGTCTTTGCAATCACGTGCAGCTAAATTTGGCTGCGCTTCTGGTTGGTGGGAAGTATGTCAGCCTTGTGAAACCGCTTCCCCTTCCATGATCCAAGCAGCTTACTTGTCACTTAACCGCTCTGTAAATCTGGAGTTGCTGGGGTGGCTGAATCCGGGATGTTTTTCTATCCGCTAGAAGGACGATTCAGCATGGTCAAGGCAGATACTCAGCCACCCAACCGCGGCGTGAATGCCAGAAAAATGCCTACAGACTGCACAACGCCCTTCCATCTGTCTCATCCATGCTTGAAAGGAGACAGAGAATAAGTCAAAGCGAGTCGCACTCGATTCTTCCCAAATATCAGTTCTTTCAGAACTTGAATGTCGAGGCAATCAAGTTTGAGACGTCGTTTCGAAATTATACCATCTCGCGTCCGACTGCTCAAAATTTGAAGGGACAATTCTTGGTCTAAGGTTATTGATACGACACAAGATCAAAGTCGCCAGGACGGAATTCGACCACTGTCTGGTCTTTAGACCTGCTCCGATCATGACACGCATGTCGGATGATGGTCCACTGGTAAGTCGACAGAAAAATAATTCAGTAATTCCCAACGACGAAGATTCCCGGAGAACCCACTAAGAAACTATAGCTCCCAATGCACAATATTTCCCCAGAAGAATCTTCTACAGCAGCTCCTCCACCATACGCGCCGCCTTTGGATCCAACGTTCTACTCGAGATCCGAATCGCCATCCAAACCGCAAACTATTTCGGAATCAGCAAAAAGGAATCGACGAAAAGCATGCATCTGTATGGGAGTAGGAATCGTCATGTTTGTTGCTGTACCTGCCGCTATTTTTGGTGGAATAATATCAAAGGCACATACAAATTGTATAACCAAGACACCGGGCAACGCGGGAAGTCTTCCAGATGGACAGAAGTTTTGTTGATAGTATGCTTATGGACGGCGTTGGGGACTGGGCAGGAGTATCAGGCATGATTGGTACGAATTCATTTGGTGTACGACATTTCTCGGAGTATGGACCTGGATTGGAAGGGCATTTGGGGTTTGAATTTGGAGTCGAAATGGTCAACAGGTTGGGGGTTCCACTGGGATTTCATGAGTGGGTGTATTGGTTGAGGAGTATGAATGGAAATAGCACACATGTGCTGCTTGATTGATCTGCAAATAATTTAACGAAAATATCAACAAATATTCATTTGCACAGATTGATAGCATATCTTCATGTGTCATTCATAGCATCTCTAACATGCATACTAATCCAGAGATTTGATGGTAGACTGTAGACGTGGTGTGGCACAGAAATACACAGAAATAAGAGGTTTCAGCGAGCACGTAATTCAAATCATAGATTGAAATGGGCAGTTCCTCCAATAACCAAACTTCATGAGACACTGGACAGTTGAAGCAGTCTCTTAATCTGCAGGAGATGATGAATTCGGGATCGAACGCCAAATTCCTGTCCATGGTATCGGGTCCATAATTGATTCCCTTTATCTTCATGACACCATCATCGCGACAGCGGGCCGCTATGGGTGGCTGCAGAAGAGTGGCACTCGCCGCTCGGGAGCCTTACTCTGAACCAAGATATCAAACAGCCAACAACGTATGAGAAACCCTTTCCAGGCACCCTTTCAAACAGACCCAGTCGCTGTATGTGTTGATGTCTGCACTTGCTTCACTGCCAAGCTTCACTAGCTATGTGAAAGGATCGTATCCATTGGATACCAAACGGAAACTCATGATCCGGCCAAGGATTAACTCGGAAGCCGGAAAGAAAAAGAAGAATCGGGCTGTGAAGGAAGCAGCAAGAGCCGCGTGGCGGGTAGCCCTCGGGTAGACAAGGTTTTCCAAATGACAGCTTAATACTGAAGAAGGGTTCCCTGTCCAGCTGTCCAGACTCAACCCTGCCACTCATCATATACTGTAGATTGAGTGGCTGCAAGTAAAGGGCGGGAACGGAATGGAATCATGTTATGGAAGGGTGTTCGGGGACGCGGATGCGCGAGAATAGCCTGATGGGCACTCGATGCATGGGGGAGGCAGTGAGAAAAACCAGGAACCAGGAACGTGAGAATTTGTTTCGAAACATTCTTGTATTGATCAATAGGATCTCGACACACATGCATGCCTTGCAGCTGACCACGACATTTGCAAGCTGGTAGACAATCAAAAGGTCGAGATTGATTTGATGAGGTGGCAGGTAGAAAGAAAGAGTTCGCGACGGGAAGGATCTGCTGTTCACCAGCCCTCGCTTGTTTCATCGACGCTAAAGCGCCTATTTTGGGCTCAGACCAATCATCAGCTCGAACTAGCTTCCCCACATATTACCTCGCCTCGTTCCTCCCAAAATAACCGCGACAGGTTCCTTCTCTATGGGCCAAGAGATCGAGGCTCAAGGTGAGATTCAAATAGCCGCCGACAAGCTTATACCTTATTCGCGATAAACGTATCCTAGTCGTTAAGTGATGACCTCGCTAAGGCGCGTCATCTCGCCGGAAGGAGTTTTGGTGTGTATTTTTGGTCGAAGCTGCCTTCTACCTCTGCTCGTGTAGGCATATCGAGGGTTCAAGGGCCCAATACGGGCCCATTTCATATGAATCATGTCTTTGAAAGCTAGCATATCCTGGGATATAAAGTGTGGAGGTCAGCTTATGATGGATTCTGGTAGTACAACTTCGAGCTCATCTCAATCTCTTTGGTTACCTCGTCGGAGCTTGTATAATTGTGTACTATTCATGTCCTTGGGGTCGAGTTGAACCTTTCTTACTTTTTTTCGGACCCTCACGACATCAGAAATAGCACGTTGGATTGTTGATTATTGAGACATTAATCTCTCTGCTTCTTTTCTTGGACGACTTCTGGATACAAAAGGTTGAGATATCTCAGTGGAATCTCGTTTCTTCTTCTTATCATCAGCACAATCATCTTCTGCATTCAGCCAGCTTCCTCAGCTTCTTCGAAACCTCTTCAACCTTCTTCTCAGCTCTAAGATTTCTATCTTCCTTCTCAGCATCTTATCTCAACTCCTTCAATTCCTTCACTACACTTTACTTTACTTCACTTCAACAACTTTCACTTCCATCTTCGCCCTTCAATCTACAATCTACAACCTTCAACTTACAAATCAACAACCTTCAGTAAGTCACTCTCCACCATCTTCAACTTTCTCTCCCAACAACCTCCAGCGATGCTCGCCCTCAAAAACATCACCCTCCTCCTCACCCTCTTCACCACCTCCATCCTCTCCGCCCCTCTCCCCAACCCCGGCAACGGCAACAACTTCGGTGTCGGAGTCAGCGGCCACAACGGCCTAACCATCACCCAAGGCCACCACAAGCGTGATCCTGAGCTCCTCGAAGACCGTGAAGCATCGAACGTCGGCGTCGAAGGCGCTCCCTCTTTCAAATTCGGTCTTCATGGAGGCGCCAAACGCGAAGCGTACGATCCCACTATTCATATCCTGCCTTTCGAACCGATTGCAGAGAAGCGCGGTAATGTTGGCGTCGAGGGGAGTCCATCTTTTAAGTTTGGTCTTACTGGGGGAGCCAAGCGTGAGGCGTCAAATGTTGGAGTTGAGGGCAATCCCGACTTTCCATTTGGACTCACTTCGGGCAAACGTGGCAACGTTGGTGTCGAAGGATCTCCCACTTTCACAATCACAGAAGAGAAGCGCGGCAATACCGGTGTCGAAGGCAATCCAGACTTCCCATTCGGAATTACCAATGACAAGCGTGAAGCCTCAAACGTTGGTATCGAAGGATCTCCTACTTTCACAATCACTGAGGAGAAGCGTGGCAACGTTGGCGTTGAAGGCAACCCTTCATTCCCATTTGGCATTACCAACGACAAAAAGTAAATGATCTATGAAGGGAAGCTCTATGAGCTTGGAAGAAAGATGTGCAGCGCGCTGCTAAGAGGCTGGATACGAATGCCCATCGACGAGAAGAAGCAGGAACATCCGTACGGCGGAGAGAGACTTTTACGACCTGATGATACACGACCTTCCCTTCTTCACTTCTTTTCCTCACTTCCCTATTTCACTCCTCCCTTTTCATCTCTGGGCATCTCTGGGAATTTGGCACTTCATCACAGGCGCAAACATCGGGTATTCTGTTCGGGAAGCACACATTCGCTTCTATTGTAAAGAGAGAGTTATCAAGAATGTACTGTAAAACATTACCTAGCTGGACCTGACTTCTTTGTTTCCTCACGTGCTGTGAACAATTTTCTTCGCGACGGGAGGCTTTGTTGCACATCGCAGAAATTGCTCCACGTGCTTTCCATGCCTTGCTTGCTTGCTTGATACGTGGCGGTTTGCTCGCCGGGGCAGTGTTCTTTGGGGATTGGATTGGATTGGATTGGATGGTGGCGGGGAAGGAGGGAGGGCTGTGCATATTGGAGCGCTAGATGGGGTCGGCCATGTTTCGGGGGGTTATATACTGTTGAGTTGCAAGTTAATGAAATAGAATTATCATAACTTCCACCAAGTTCACACGCACGGATTCTCGGAGGCGGTTGTATACAGCATCCAGATCTTTCCAACCCCCCACTGTTCACAAAATTACACGAACAGCTAGCTTCGATACAATCTCACAAGGACCCTGAAAGACGATCAATATTTCATCATCTCATTCATACCAACCTAAAAAAAAAACAAAAGAGAGGTATATTGCACGCTATGCTAGGTACATACGTATAGATAGTAGTAGAAACATTTCCCTCAGTATTCATTCCAATTTCCGTCTCCATCTCATCTCCATCCATAACAATCTATCCCCTCCCTCTCCACAACCTCTCAAGCCTTGATCAACTCAGCAGCCTTAGACTTCAAGTCCGAGAAAAATCCACTCTTCTTCGTTTTCTCAGGGAGAGTGACAGGCTCACTATTCTCTCCGCCAGGAGCAGACGACTCCTCAACAGGAGCGGTATTCTCAGTCTTGGTTTCCTCGACAGCAGGGACTGATTCCTCAGCCTCGGTTTGAGCTGGAGCTGGGACGGATTTCTTCTCTTCGACGGGTACAGATGTTGATTCCTCAGTCGCTGGGGTCTCGTTCACGGGTGGGGCAGTCTCGGCTCCTTTTTTCTCTTCCTGTATCTGAGCTGGTGTTTGTTCGACCTCTGTATCCTCAACCTTGGGCTCCGCGAGCGGTGCTTGGGATTCCGTGGCAGCAGGTACCTCTTCCGGTTTGCTCTCCTCGGCCTTGCTCTCGTCAATCGGTGCTTCGGCTTCTACTGGGGCAGAAGACTCCTCGATCGGTGCATCTTTGGGACTATCGTTGATAGGGGCTGGTGTTTCCTCACTCTTGATCTCTTCTGCCTGTAAATATCGTTAGAGTTCGATCGAGCAATATCAAGGTCTCATTCACGTACAACTGGTGCCGCTTCTGGCTCGGCCTCGACAGCTTTGGATTCCTCAATGGCCTTTGCCGACTCAACCTGCGACAGGTTAGTGGGCTGTTTTAATCTCGGAATATGCAGGGAGAAAGCCGGGTATGATTGGTCCCAATGCAAAAGTAGGAACTCAAAACGAAAGTAGATACATACTGGTGCTGGAGTCTCGTCAACAGGTGCGAATTCCTCGTTGGCCTTATCCTCGACCTGTCTAAATGTCAGTTCCATTTTGATAGATTGGAACCGCAGAACCAAAGTCAACGGAAGTTCCAGCGAATCATTAACTTACAGGTGCTGAAGGCTCTTCAACAGGCGCAGACTCTTCGCTAGTTTTCTCCTCGACCTTTCTAAATGTCAGTTCTACTTTTGACATTGTACACCCCAAAAATATGAAGTGGCGTAAAAGCACGATGTCTTACAGGTTTCGATGGCTCCGCTGCTGCTACTACTGGAGTCTCCTCAGCAGGTGCAACAGTTTCTGGCTCTGCAGCTTTCTCTTCCTATGGGTAAATCAGTTCGCATTTCTAGTCTACATGACAAAGTTCAATTGACTGACCTCCTTCACTGGCTCTTCAACTGCGGGAGTATCTTGTGCTGCTACTGGGGTCTCTTCAGTACTTGCAACAGTTTCTGGCTCAGCAGCTTTCTCTTCCTACAAGTAAATCAGTTCACATCTTCACACTACATGCCCGAACTTCCAAGACTTACCTCTTTCTCCGGCTCTGCGGCAGCAGGAGTCTCTTCTACAGGGGCTGAAGTATCTTCAGGAGCTGCTTCTGGAGTGGTCTCCGGCTCAACAGCTTTCTCTTCCTAGAAATAATCAGCCCACGTTGTCTGAGACACGCAACGAGAATCGAAGCCTACCTCCTTCGCTGGCTCAACCACGGAGATTTCTTCTGCGGGGGCTGGAGTATCTTCAGGAACTGCTTCTGGAGTAACTTCCGGCTCAACAGCCTTTTCTTCCTAGACAATCATCAGCCTCCACAATATCTAGTATACATGACATTAAGAATCTTAGACTGACCTCTTTTGCTGGCTCCTCAACCACTGGGCTCTCTTCTACAGAAGCTGGAGTATCTTCAGGTGCAACTTCAGGAGTGGTCTCTGGTTCGACCGCCTTTTCTTCCTGAAAAATAACTTAGCTCAACCTAATTCGCGTGACGGAATTCTCAACACTAACCTCTTTCGCCGGCTCCTCAACAGCAGGAGTCTGCTCCACAGGCACGGAAGTAGCTTTAGGCTCCGCAGCTTTCTCTTCCTAAGAACCCATCAGCATGAGATATTCACACCACATGACATCAAACATTGAAAACTCACCTCCTTAACCGGCTCCTCAACAGCAGGAGCTTCTACTGCCTGCTCCGGAGCAGGTTCAGGAACAGATTCAGGCTCAGCAGCTTTTTCTTCCTTAACAGCCTTCCAGAAAATCAGTCCAGAAACCTTACAAACACTTGAAAATACAACTCACATGCGCAGCCTCCTCAGTCTCAACCGACTTCTCATCCGCAACAGCAGGAGCAGATTCCTCGCTTTTGATCTCGGTAACTGGTTCTTCTACTGCCGGGGCCGGCGTAGATTCAACAGGAGCGCTCGTCTCGTCGACTGGCGCCGGTGTCGATTCAACGGGAGCAGAGTCCTCGCTCTTGATCTCGCCCGGTGGTTTCTCTGCTTCGCTCTCTGCTACCGGGGCACTTGTATCCTCGGACTTCTTCTCTTCAACAGCTGCTGGAGTTGCTTCTAGCTCGGAATCCTTTGTTTCCTCGACCTAGCCGAGGGTGTTAGTCATGAATTTTTTTTTGGGGGGAATTTCTTGGGAAGTGTGGAAAAACGGGAAGTGAGAACTTACAGGGGTCTCTTCAGATACAGCGGGTGCTTGCTCTTCGAATTTTTCGGGTTCGACCTGGGTGAGTTAGTTTTGGACTCGTGTCATATCTCAAAATCATGAGCTGGAAAGTTGACTTACAGGAGCTTCTTCCGCAACAGCAGGAGTTTCTTCACCAGCAGCCGGTTCTTCGATCTTCGTTTCCTCCGCCTAGAAAAACAAATCAGTCCCACGACCATCTAATCAAACAAAACCCAAACCAACATACCGGCGTCTCCTCACTCACAACCGGCGCAGACGTATCCCGAACCGGAGCAGCACTCACAGCCTCCTCGCTCTCAACCAGAGCCGGACTCTCCTTAGCAGCAACAGCCTCCTCCCTGGCCTGAAGTTCCTTCTCTTTAGCGACGATCTACTTGCATCAGGGATGAATGGGACGGAATGCCACTCGACAGCAAACTTACAGCAGCTTCGCGGATAGCGAGGGACTCTGGGGTCGAAGTCGAGACAGCGGGGGCTTGGGCGACGTCTGCCATTTCGATCAGTTAAGATGAAATGTATGGTGTTGTTTGGATGAGGATATATGAATCGAGTAGAGTATGAGACGACGAGGTGGTAAGAAATAGATATGATAAGAACAAAAGCACTCAGCTTAACAACCCACAAGAACAGAACAGAGCAGAGAACCCCGAGAGTATATAAACACCCCATCCACATCCATCCACCCTTCATAATGAGCGGTGTGATGTCTCTCTCGTACGTGGGGTTCCGTCAATGAGGCTACTCAACCACCCGAACCCGACTCAAGGAGTGCAAACCCCGACCTCTATCTCCTCTACTCACCTTACCCCAACCCAGCCTTTCGAACATTGGGTAGTATTGCATAACTCCCCTCAACCGCATCTGCTCATTCGAGCCCCCGCTATCGCAAATGGTCTCGTGCATCCAGCAATTGTCCACTGACGAGACGCGTCCCACGCCACAAAAATGATCTGTACATGTCGATATTTGCTAGAGGGGCCTGTGTGTGGCGTGCAGGAACTGCTCCGTTGGAAAGTGAGACAGTTTTCACTTCCCAATATTTCTTCCCGGGAACGCGAGTTCTTGGGCACAAATTCACACCTACCTATCTATCTCTAGCTCGCCCAACTCTCATCATTATTTGTGTAACTGTAACACTAGCTACCAATTTAATTTCTACCTACAACAATCAATACACAGAACAAACAACCCCAAAAATCCCAAATCCATTTCCCCAACAGGAAACCTCGTCCGAGCTCGGCCCATATTCATGGGCACGCGGTCACAAACGCGATCGCCGTGAATCACGCATCACGCATCACGCCCCGAGCGCTGCCATCACGAGAAAAAAAAAAAACGGACAAGCGCCATGTCCCACCCTTGTATCTCCAGGCTCGGATTGAGTAACGTGGCACGCGTGGGGTACCAATCTGCAGTGGTAGAAATGCGGGGTACCTACGTTTTGTTTCCCATCCATCCACTCGCGTGCCACGACTCAGAACCCTTTGGACGATCACCGGTGTGATGTGATATGATGTGATTGATGATTCCAGCGGGAAAGGGAAAGAAAAAAATAATTTCATGGCGGCGGCTGGGCCGATAAATTCGGGATCTGAGATATGGGTGATGGATCTAAAAATCAGGGTCCAATGGATTTGTGGTAAAGAAGTGACAACGGGTAGAGTGTACATTTTGAGACATGGCTACATCTCGGCTTGAATTCTGCTAACGCCACTAAAAATTTGTACATCATGCCTGGAAAAGTGCTGGAATTAGGAGAGATAATAGGTCGAGACTGACACAACCAGTAGATGCCAGCGGGAATCAAAAAGCAACCTACTGCGTCGAAATATGCAAACTCATGAACGCTGCGCTGTTCGAGTTCAGCCACTCGGCAGTATTGTCTCGATAACAACGCCACTAACTAATTGGACATGCAGAATGGGGGTGCAAGTAACGTGATAGCGCGTTGACAGCTTTAAGAGCTTAAACGTAATCTACAAATGGTAGGCCTGTTTCCTCTTTCATAATCTCGAGCGCTTGAATAACCTTCTCGTCCTCATATCTACTGACCGTCAGCAAGAGTCATTCTTGAATTTGATCAGCAAAGGATCGACATGCCTTCTGCCCACGAGTTGCAAACTGATCGGAGCATCCTTGTATCCTTCAGCACCGTATTTCTCCCACAAGTCCCAGTTAAATTTGTCCTTCTCATTCCTAGGTTTGTATGCGTCTTTGCTATCATCTTTCTTGGCATCCACTTTATCAACTGGGAAGATCAAAGCAGGATAATCCAACAAATTCCACTGACTCGTATAACCCCACCATTTGGCGGTGTCGACTTTCGGCGCGACACCGGGACCCGCAGGACAGAGTATAACATCAACCATGCCCTCCAACTCACCGTTCGGTCCCTGTGACGTTGATGTCGCGTTCCACAGCGCGGCATATTCGGCTCGATAATTATCTCGACCTTGGTTTGCCTTCCATAAGGTTGGTATCGTGTGGGTCTGGACGTGAGGGTTGTCTGGGATAATATGCTTTGAAAGCGGTCGCCATGGCTCTTGAGATGCATTGATAGCCTCGCTCTCTTCGTTCGCACCGTCCACGAAATATAGATTTGCCTGCGAAACGGTGAGCTTGGAGTTCAGACAACAGAGTGCGACTCACGATAATTTCCCAAGCAAGATCATGCTTGTATGGCTTCCACTCTACAATCTCGACATTTGGCTTCGCTTTAAGCTTCTCGACAACCTCTTTCAGAGCGCGCAAGACTGGCGGATGAGGCTTTACAACACCATCGTCCCAGAGAACTGCTACTTTCAGTTTCTTGCCCTTGAAAACTTGCTCCTCCTTCCATGGAAACGGTAACAACGACGGTTCTTTGAACCATGGCTTCGCATCAATAAGGGTTTTGATGAACAGTCTGCAACCTTCAAGACTAGTGGATAAGGGTCCAATTGTCGGTATGATGTGCTCTGCACCAGCCATGGTAGCCGACCAGCCCATCACTGGAAGACGTCCAGCTGTAGGCTTCATGCCATATACACCTATAACGAAGTTCAGATGAGAATAATGACTCGGGGAGGATCAACGAACCATTGTTTGCGGCTGGACTTCTTATTGAGCCACCTATATCCGTCCCAATGCCCAAACAGCTTCCTCGAAATCCAACAAGCGCACCTTCTCCTCCAGACGATCCACCAGAAGTCAATGTGGTGTTGAATGGATTTGTGGTGACTCTATGGCAACATTTAGTGTGTTTTCCTACCCTGAATGTTGGCCCAGCTAGATAAGTGTTCCTACTCACCCATAAAGATTGCTGCTGGTTTCCAAATGCATCAATGACTGCGGTTGTGTAGTCCTGACATAAAACACTGCTCCGGCCCTATACAAGATCTGCAAGATATGAGAATCTTCTTCTCCAACTCTGCCAACCCACGAAATGAAACCAGCATTCAGATCAAGACCTTTCATCCCAATATGCTCCTTGACACTAATAGGTATACCATGCAACGGTCCAATTGGCTTGCCATTTTCTTTGAGATAGGTATCGAGGTATGCAGCGCGTTCGAGTGCTCGTGTTGGCAGAAGTTCTGTTACACAATTGACCTGCAGATGTGAGCTGAGACATATATTATTTGTCAGTGGAACCTACAGCTTTCTGTGCAAGAGCTGCTCGTCGCAGAAAAGCCTCTATTACTGTCGTGGAACTCAACTCTCCTTTCGCAAGCTGAGGAATAAGCTTCTCAACAGGACTTTCTGTGATCGAGATTTCTTCTGCTGTCAGGAATTCTTTGGCAAGAGGAATCGTGTACTGTGGGATACCCTTGACCTCTGCAATTGGAGGCTCGATAGCTGCAATAGTGGCATCACGATGCTTCTGTCGATCTGCGGCGACTTCTTGCCATGTTGCACCGGATGCTATCGTCACTGTCGCTGCCATTGTAAGTACCTACAGATTAGTGACGACTTGGTTGATGAAAGAAGAAGTGGTACAGAAGAGGGAATGTGCAGAGGGATGTGAAGATGTCATTGATTGCTATATACAAGCTGGTAGGACAAACGGATATGACCCAGAAAGTGGGATAGACACAGCAGGCCGTTGAGCATTTGACAGGTGGGGTTGATAAGAGAGAAAGACTGTTGATATGGAAATGCATGTGTGTTATGCGGTTGCGGAAAGGGGCCGCTCGCTAGATCGAATTCGGAAGGGGCTGCCGAGGCTGCCAAACTTGCAGGTGAAGTTTCAAAGTCGAGCAGCAAAGGTCTGAATTTACAAACTCTGAACACATTATCACGGCCATGTTCTATTTGCAGAGTACACAATGTTTCTCAAATTTCTTCATTTAATGTTTCTCCCTCTTGAATATCTCTGTTCGAACTTGCTTTTAGTGTTCTTTGTTGGCCATGATTTTCTGGAAACACCAGGGACATGACAGGACGAGATGAAGTTTTTTTTTTGGAAAAGGCTGTAGTGCTTTTGCATTCTTCACCATCCCAGTTAGGTATCAGGAGAAGTAGGAACGAGGCCAAAGTATGGAATTCCTCTATTTCAAAGCTGTAAGTCCTTCGCTTCTGGATTTGTTTCCAGTTCGCAATATAAATATTCAAAAATGCCGCTCCTACCAATTCCCTACCCAAACTCCAAATATTTCAAACGCGCCTTCTTCCCATACGGTACCTATTAGCACTTTCCCATCGATCTATTTGTCCAGGTACAGCTTGGTCGACCCCAATTGAATGCCTTCGAAAAGTCAGTATAGCCCAACCTAGAATTTGGTACAGAGCATGCTTACTGTTCCAACACACGCAATAGTCAGAGCCACCAACAACATTGCAACAACCCATTTGCAGATCTCCTCTGTCTGTTCTGCTGGCGTATCCTCCGTCTCAAACTGCCGCATCAAGTTTTCCATCTCGATATTATTTTGCCGGTATAACTCGTTGTAAGATGGTGGGGGAGGTTGGGAAACATCGTCTTCTTCTACTGAGTCGATTATTGTTATAACGAACGGTTCGTCTCGATATGGCTCCTCGGACGCATTCTCCGGATTCGAAGTCGGACGAGTACATGTTGGTACTTGAAGTGTCATCTGTTGCCGTGCCCGAAGGTAGTCGTACATTGGCTCATAGCGAGGAGGTTGGGATGGTGATCGTGCCGAATGCGCAGACAGGAGTTCCTCCTCTTCTTCCTCGGGGTCATCTCGATATGATATTTGAGTCGCAATCGAAAGTCGAGGAGGGATGTCGCTCAAAGGTAAAGGAGGAAGAGGTTGAGTTAATTGAACGTGGGGCACTGAACTTTCCCTCCGATGATGATTCGCCATGATTCAGTCGTTTCGCAGCCTCGCCAGCCTCGCAAAATCCAAGCTCCACTCAGACTGACTCGTGTCACTTCTTCTCGATTATGTCGAACCTTCACGCCTCAATTACACAGCAAATACAATGGACGAGAGAACAAGACTTTGACTCCGAAATGTGGTCGATGCCGCCTATTCGTACTGCAGCTGCAAGCAGCTACGCCGTACAGCTTTGAGTGGCTCAGACGAGCTTTGACCAATGGTCGCACAGCCCGTCTGTTCCAGCAGGGTGGTTCGACGGCTCCAACCGTTTCACCTTGACCTATTTTTGCTTCAGAATGAACGACATTCGCAATCTGTGGAATTACGAAGGGTCGAAATTGTAAACGCGTGGGTTTCGCATGAATTGTTCATCAGATCAAAGTGTTTTGCTTCATTATGCGTGGAGGGGATGCCCCAGACCTCTTCGTCAAAACCCTCCGGACTGATGTTGGCCTGCAGGATCTCACCGCCTGGAATATGACTGGAGTTAGGCGAATTAGATTGGGCCAGCATCAGCTTCCAACATTCTGCGGCCCAGTCAGAGTCAAAGGTTCGAGCCAACTTTCCGAGTTGGAGTTGGAGTTGGGCTTGGAGTTGTGCACCGAACTGTTTCTATGTTCTATCCAAAGTCGGGAATTGCTCGAACCAAACCAACATCACGACTTGATCCCATTATGAGTACTATCCCCGCACGAGGTCTCGCAAGTCCTAATGGCTTTTCCAGAGCCTTCGTTGGCAAGCTCTGTATCCACGATGGTGCCAGCAACTTTCCATCCTTTTCCTAGACTCCCAACTGAAACTCGAACTCAAATTTGGGCATATTCTTTTGAGCCTCGTGTTCTTACTATTCGAGGGTTAACCTCTGTCCTCCTAATCGACCCTAGGAACCTAGATTCCGGAGTCATCGAACTCCCATGGGATCCCAGAGATCCAAACTGGAGACGTAAACGTACTCTGCTTGTAAAAACGTTCATCGTCTTTGAAGGTGCTCACTCGGATCTAAAGGCAATGGAATCATGGGTGGGAGGTTCTGCACCGAGCGGACATGTCTTAGCCAAACAGGACGAGCCTATTGTGAGAGCACCAATGGCACCGGTCGCTTTGTATATATGCCGTGAGAGCAGGACAATGGCTTTGGCACGTTATGCTCTCGGATTTGGAGCAATCCAAAAACATTCGGATAGCCCACATCGCCTTGGGGATTCCAGGTGGGAAGAGCATGGAATGATTGAAAAGACAACGTGGGTTGACTGGGAAAGAGACACGATAATGATCCCTTTGTACCCATGCAGACGCATCTGTCTTGAGGACAACCCCCTCATTCAGAGACTAGCGGTAATGGAGCGCGAGATGTGGTTGCAGGACCTTACACCCATTCAATTTCTGGTGGACATCCTCAAGATCCTCATCCATTTCAAAACACTACTTGTTTATATAAGACCCACAAACGTTGCCAAAGACCCATTGCACCCAGAAGAAATGAGAAAATGAGTGTTAAATGCTATTACTTCAGCGCAAGCCAAGGATCCGGACTGGATCCATCGTCTGCCGTCGGTAGAGACGAGAATTCTCGACGGTCGCGAAGGCCGCTGCAAGTTTGATACTACACGAAGACACGGAGAGCTTCGTTTCCCCTTTCCTCACAGTAGGATGGGTATTTAATATTGAATGAGGTTGCTGGGACGAAATGAGGAGGAAGGCAACTGTGATTCGAATAATGAGTCATCGCGCACATAAATACGCCGCAACCTCCAACGTTCAACTTTTTTTCCGGCAAATTTCAGCGATCATTCTTCTATAGACGCGACAGTCTCGCAGGATTTTCGTCGAGTAATACGGCTAATAGTGTCATTCAAGTAAGGTCTCGAAGTTTAACACGCCAACCAATTGTTCAATATCAGCAACCAATCTCAATGTCTTGTTCGTCGTCGTCTTCAGATAATACAATTGTTCTGCAATCCAAAGATACATTTCATCAATTTTCTCGACTCCCTCTGGAGCTGCAACGACAAATCTGGGACTCAACACTTGAGCCCCGCATCCTAACCGCCTACGAATCGAGAACCCTCCCCAACCGAAGCCCTCCGACCACATGCTTCACTAAGGTCTGGAACTTGGTGCCCTTTCCCACTTCCCCAGAGGTTGGAATATACACCGTGGCTGAAGGAATCTGGCCTCCATTAAGACCGACACCATTCTGGGCCATGCCGTACTTTCGACAGCTGATCAGCGACCAAATCATCAAGAATAATCGCCGCGAAAAATACCCAGCTGATCTTTTGATGCGGTTCGAATACGACACGAAAAGACCAGCCGGACCCGTGGCATTGCGAGTATGCAAAGAAAGTAGAAAAGTAGCGCTCCTTCACTACCAACTTGGCTTCGGTGGCTGGCATCGATGTCCTAACAAAACATTCAGCCAAGCATTCGAGGAATCTGGGCTTCGTGAGAGAAGAGTTTGGATCGATTTTGAAAGAGACACAATTTTGATCCAAGTACTCCAACTCCCCCAGAACGCTCTCCCCCAGAACGCAGACCATGTACGCGATACAGCAAAAGCATACAAACAGCTCCGTAATCTTGCTGTTGTAGCCGGAAGATGCTGGACTGGTCGAGGTACCGTTCGCAGCGATGTGCAGCATATCATGCCTTGGGATGAATGCTTGTTAGTCACCTTGCAGCAGTTGGAGAAGCTCGAGAACCTGGTTGTCTATTACTATCGCGATGACCAAGAGAGTGTTTTGGCTGGGACGCCGTTCAATGAACAGGTGAAGAAGACAATTCTGGAGGTCATCGCTGATCCTTGGGCCTCCTTTCCGGTGGGGACTAAGATTCTACCGCTTCTCAAGCCTCCAAATGTGAAGATGGTGATGCTTGAGGCGACTTTAGAGTACATGAAATCATACTGAGCGACGGAAAGAAGAGGCAGGGACAAAATGGCTGCAAAATTCGTACGATGCGAGATCAAATCTGAGCTTTCAACACAACATTGTCCCTGTCACCGAACCACAAACAACAATCACCAACTAATCGTGTCCCGCTAACCTCCAGGAGTGGCCTATTCCGCTACGCACAGGAGTGTCACTGACTGACCTACCACACGTAGTGACCTACCACAACGTTAAGAGGTGACCTGCCCCAAGGCTAAATTCAGCGAGGATTGAAAGCTACTACTACACCTTGACAAATACTCGCAAACCTTTTAGCGTTGTGGCAGGTCACTGCGTGTGGCAAGTCAGTGACACTCCCAGACAGAGTAGTCTGTGCATTCTACAATTCGCTAGACCACGACCAAAGGCCAGTGGGACACGATTATTGTTTCAGCCCTCTTCACCGACCTCGTAAAAATAACCAAATCACAAGCGATCAGGAAAACAGATTTCCCTTTTCCGGACATTGGTCGCTAAACATCCCGCCAAATGAAGGGTATCCACGAAATAAGCATCAGCCTCACGTCGGCCGCCGTTACTCCACAGTGGAATGAAAGCCATCCCAACTGCTCGGTTCTTATCTGCTTAGCTATAATTAGGTAGATTCAGCTCTTCTCATTGGAGTCGTTGACTCGATGTGGGAATTCTGTGAACGGCGGCGGGAGATAGCCGAATGTTGGGCTGGACTGAGATCTGCAAGGTACAGTCTATTTATTGATCCTCTGGTAGGTGCGGCCGCTGAATAGAAGTATTAGAATGCTGATGTTCGCTGCTCGGGTTAGACTTCAGAGTTGTCACCTTGCAATTCCTCGACTGAGAAGTCCTGCACCTCCTTCGGAACAGCTACAACCTCAACAAGACGGTGATTCCGCTGCATTAAATCTTCTCAACATCTCCACCTACTTTTCTATACGCAACACGAACTATGACCCTCCACACCCTTCCCTTCCTAATCCGCGGCACCGTCAACCCGGGCGTGCTGGCCGGAACAGCAGTAGCAACCGCCGAAGACGACAAACACAACCACAACGCCTCCACACACTCAAAGATAATTGGCATAGTCATCTCAGTCTCCCTCCTACTCATCCTCATCGTAGGCGCCGTCTGCTACGATCGAAGCCGGAAGCGGAAAGCGAGACAAGGAGAGAAGTTGAGGGAGATACCCGAGGAAGAGGCGAGGCCTATGGTGCAGCAGGAGGTTGAGGTGCCGAGACCGTTGGTTTTGCAGCAGCAACAGCATCCGGGATACTTCCCGCCGCAGGGCGAGACGATGTATGGTGGCGGTGGGTATGGACCTGGGGAGCAGATGCCGGTTGGAGGGCGGGGAACGGATTTTTATAGGAATCAGTGATGCGGGTTGAGTGTTCGAGGAGGGGGGCCATGGTGTGTCCGTGCTTATTTTTGTGTGGGTTGGGGATACCTGGTGCAGTTATACTGCTTGTGAACAAATGTGACATTAATCTGAAGTCTTACCACAGATAATTTCATACATTGCGTCTCCCTATCCCTTGTCTTGCTTCACTGCGATGCTTTCTGACCTAGTAGAAATGCTCCTATTGACCCTGTAAGCCTTGCTTCCTGTCTTAGTTATGTTTAAGTAATATTTTTGATAAATCGAACTTACTATACTGAGTCAAATTCTTTCATCACAACAATTGAAGAGAAGACGAATTGCACTTTCTACTACGTATGCAAATCGATGCATCCTGTTTGCCTGATGAATATTTTCTAACTCGGTCAAAGCGTGGAGGAATCAATTCGACTATCTCAAGATTAGATCTTACTTAGCATTGATCCACAGCATGTTCAATACTCCAACCCCACAAGAGACCTCCGGAGCGGACCTAGCCCAGCCGACCACTCAGGAGCCGCCATCGTAACCGCCACCAATCAACACTCACTTCTCGGCTAGTGAGCCCCTATTTCTGCACGTGACGTCAGCAAATGGATCGACAAGACGTCCTTACTACATAACTCAAGCATCCATCCATCTTCTTCTTCACCGCATCTGCTCTTGTCTTCTACCATTTCCCTCACCTCAACCCACAACCCCAAACCCAAGCCAAAATGGCATCAATAATGCCCCCAATCCCCCGCTTCTTCTTCCTCTACATCGAGCCTTCTCTCTGGTACCCATCTCCCCCTCCCTCCCCCATTCCACCCTCTAACACCCACAGCTTCTTCGGCGGCGCCTTCCAACCAGTCCTCAACCCCCACTCAATCACCACCCTCCTCCCAGCCCCCCTCGCCGGCCGCCACACCACGGATCCGAACCCCACGCCCCTGGAAACGATGCTAGCGCTGCAGAGCGCGACGCTGATGTTTATGATTGCCATGGTTACTGTTATTGTGATGGTGTTTGCGAAGGATAGGGCGGTGGTGAGGGGGTATGTGGTTGCGAGTGCTGTTACGGATTTGCCGCAGTGAGTATTGTGACTTTTTTTATGGAGGTAAGGATGCTGAAATTTCGATAGTTGGGCAAGTTTTGCTTATGTTCTTGGGTGGGAGGGGTTGAGGCAGTGGAGGACGTGGGAGGCGCCGCTTTGGATGCAGTTACTTGTCCCTGTCTTTACGCTGATGTTCAAGCTGGGTTATCTCAGTGGTGCTTTTGGTGAGGATAGAGTACCAGAGAAGAAGGGCAGGAAGGAGTTGTGAAATGGGAGTTGTGGGGACTGGGGAACGATATCGAATTTGGATAGAGTGAGCGATGGAATTTGTGACAGAAAATGATTTATCTCTCAGGTTGTGAGTATCACCAGTTCAAGACGAGGATTTATTTAATATTTTATTGTTCTGGATCAATTCGTTCTCTACATCTCTGAGTTGCCTCAGTAGATACTTGATATTGGCCATCCTTCTATGATGGCATGTACACTAGAAAGTGCTCTCTATGCCTCATTATTTCACACTCTCACATGTTCCAAACAGTATTCTGCACTCACGCCTCTCCAAAACTACATGTCTCCAAAAGCAATGTAGCCAACCCCTTATAGTCCAATCTGCAATAACTGCTTACAAAAGCTCAAAAGTTCCCACGTTCCAACCATAGGCTCTCATCAGTCGTCTCCTATAGTACAACAACTGATTTCCCTCAAGCTTCGAGCTATGAGGACGATGAAGGGTGCAAGGTCGTTGCGGAATTCCCAAGTCTGCCGTCTCTGGAGCAGGAACGAACAGATATATCGATCCACCGGTGGCTTCTACAGAAAATCCCAGATCAATCATTGCTGCTTCGAACGCTACCCATGCCACTGTGCCTGTGCCTTGAGCTTGGCCAGTGGAAAAGATGGTTTGGAAGACAGCAAACGTAGCTACCTTGATCTTGATGGCTGGAAATACTTCGACGACTTCGGGGGCAACGACGGGTTGAGGAATGATGTAGAAAGAGGAGTGGCCAGGGCGAGTTTTCTCCTTTTCTTGTCGAGCTTCGACCAAGTCTTTTAGATCAAGCTTCTGGGTAGATGGTGGTGGTGCTTGTTCCTTGGAATTCGTGCCTTGGTTTGCCTTTTGCTTCTGTTGCTGACAGTAGCTCTTGAATGTTGCTGAACTATCCTCCACAAGATCATCCCACAGAAATCCCAGCTTTGTACCTGCCTTTTCGACAACTTTCTCATCCAATTTAGCCAACACTTGCTCAGATCTATCATCTTCGGCAAGCATGCTAAGAGGAACCGCATTTTCGGTCAGATCAAAATCAGGGCTGTTCTTGACTTCATCCAGCTCTTGTGTTAATTCTCTGACCTTGTTGACAAAATTCGCGCCTTTGGTAGAGTTGGCTGCTGGAACGGTAACACATGTCGACAGAGCATCAAGGAAACCGATCATTACAACTAGCTCGCCGTAAGCTTCCCACTCTCTCTCTAGCATCCTACCCATGTCTTCGGGATGCGCCGAGTATAGGCCATCCATATTCTTGACCCAAAGGATAGCTTTATTTGCACTAGTTTCGGGTTGACAGAGGCGGAGAATGTAGTGCAGTTGGGGATCGCTCGCAGTGAGATCCTTAGGATCGGTTTTCATGTTCGTACGTGCGAATCCGTTGTCGTATACACCAGGGACACGCCTGAAGTCCTTGGCGCCACATCCCATTTGTACATGACGCTTGAAAATCTTCTGGACTCGAAGATATTCCATGTTCGTTACATTGGACAGCTCTTGAAGGACAATTGGTCGCTTGATCTTGTCGTCACCTGCATCGATGAGAAGTTGTAGTAGTACACACATGTACGACCAAGTTGCTGTACCCAAGAGAGCATTGTTCATCATGTTCATAATGGAAGGACTAATGTACTTGTCGCCAAGTTTTGCAATTGCACCCTTATTGTCCTTCACAAGTTCTGGTCTGCTCGTGAACCATATCTGAGCCATGTACTGAAATATCGTTGGCTCGGAACGGCAAAGGTCCAGATGATCTTCCATGTTTCCCTTCTGCTCAACAGCTCGTTCCAGCATATCCTTCAAGGTGGCTTTGATTGGCTTATTGTAGATGGAGAGCTTTGATAATGCTGTGCTGGCAACATCCTCTGATCGCTTGGCTCGTTCTGTGGCCACCTCCTGTGTCGAATTGGTGTCCAAGATCGCATCGACCATCAAGTTGAGAATTTGTAAGATGCCATATTGTCTTTCCAGAACCAAGACACCCACCTTCTTTTCGATGCATGCTCCAGTTTGCTTTTCGAAGTCTACTCTTTCTTGTACTCTTGGTGGTAATGTTTGTTGGGTATTGATCTCACGGCCATACACGTCGTCGGAGAATAGTATGAAGACGGGAGAGTGATGGAGACTCTCATCGCAAAACAGCCTGTCTTCGAGGATCCCATCACCGACAAACCGCATATCACCTTTGGCTCCGAGGTACTGGTCGCAAAGCTTTGTGGTTGCTCGATGCTTCAACAAGCCAAGGAAATGCTCTGGCCCTGACTTGGCGAGTTGTTTTACATTCGCCTCCGGAAAGAGTGCACTTCCTTTACCCTTAGCAATGGGCGCCCGACTTGTGACGATATTGATGCGTTTGGCCTCGCTAAAAGATCTCCAATTTGCCTCGATTCTGTCTTTGAAAAGACCGTACTTTTGAGTAAGGCCCTTGTGCAACTCTAGAATAGAGTCTCCACCGAACTTGTTGCCCTTGGATTGTCGAGACATTCTATCTGCCTGAGTGTCTTGGAAAAGGAAGAAGAAGCAAGAGAAGCTCGATGTACTAGAGAAAGAACAGTCTTCTCGTTTTGGAATGTACTGATCTAGTCTCGGAGATATCCAAGAAATTTCGGACTGAGGTGGTGAAAATTTTGGATTCGATATCGGACTTTGAGGCTTGAGGAGTAGTCAACAGTAGCGCAAAGACTGGCGCGGCGTGGAGACTTTAGAAGGGAGTATGTGAGGTAGGGCTCTTGATATTGGTACAATGAAGGAGCTATTGTACACGAGAGAAAGTCGGAAGAGGTGGGGGTATTGTTGTTTGTGGAAAGAAGAAGGAGAGACCACGAAGATTCTGTAGCTTATATAGTGGGGTCACAGTCACCTCGAAACTTTTCCCACCACGTCAAAACTAGGCGTAAACATATAAAATAAAATTTTTATTAACAGTGGCATTAAATTGTCTGTCTACCTTCAAGCCTACGCGCAACGACAGAAGACGATTGATGTCCCAAGAAGGCCTCTTGATTCAGCTCCTCTTACTGGATCTTTGGCAAGAACGATGGAAACCATCTTTTAGCTCCTCCTACTACCCTACCCTCGACGAACAATGATTGCCAAAGAATGAAGGGAAAGGGAGGGAAGACGGGAAGGACATCTACGACTTTGGCTGGTGGGAATCGTCTTGGGCTCACACTCCTCTTGATTACTGGGACTTCGGGACAACGCGGAGAGTGAGGCACGCTGTCGAGCTTTTTGAGCTCCGACACCAACGAAAGAAAGAAAAAATTTCTACCTCCTACTATTACTTCAACCTCCAGGAACAACGGATGTGCAATATAGAGTGGAAGACAGGGCAATGGAAGGAAGGAGGTTGAATGGGATAGACGATTATGGCTGGTGAAGTTCGTCTCGGCCTCGAACTCTTGCTAGGACTCCGGGAACAATAAGAAGAACGAGGTTTGGGGCCTATTTTCTTGAGGGGAGCAAATAGGTGGAGAATAAAAACGTAGGCAATAAGGATACAAGGGTCACTGTAGCTGTATATTGTAGATGGAGTCGTTGTTAGGCCTGGACTTGGGGAGACGACAGTAGAACATAGAAGAACGAGGGTAGATTGGGTGCTAGAATGATATAATCTACCTACTTTTGTCAATCATCCAGTGCCTGTCAAGTGGGTTGGTATTTTATTTCACTCTGAGATGTTCTATACCAATGGTAGAGAGCAGTAGAGAGCAATTTGTTCGTCTGGTAAGATCTTCTTGACGATCTCTTTCTTGCTCCAGCTCTGAGATTATGAAGAGCACAACCTCTGCCTCACTTGTAACATGCAACCAGACGAAGATACGGGTATTTGCCTAGCAAATGCATAATTTATCAAACTCTGGGAACAGCTAAAAAGAGCCAGTTGGTTGTTTGGCGATACTTTCTCAACGACTTCTCTCTGACTTGGCCTCTAAGATTGTGAAGAGTGTAACATTTGCCCTCCTTGCGCCGTGTTATCAACAAGAAAATACACCAGTAGCTCGCCAGGGAAGTCTAGATTCATGGCTAGATTCATTGTAGTATGGGATTAACCCAATGAAGAAGAGAATATCCTTCTACGGGCGATAATATTTGATACAACCACTGATCAACGAAAGAGAACAGGAGCCTCGAGATACCCAGCTCTACTCGACCTTGTGCCTCCATTGATGCCTGATAGCTCCCTATTCCGTCTTGTATTCCTTCGAGTTGTGAGATAGCAAGGGAGAGTAGAAAATTCGGCTGCATCGATTTAGCTTTCTTGAACTGGATAATCAGCGAAGGAGGTGGCGATTCTGTCCGAGAAGATCAGCATGATGGAAGTGGAGCCAGCCGAGGAGAGTGTCGACGCTGGCTCTTAAGAGGATATTACCCTTTTTTCTTGTGGGCTGAAGAAGGTGGGAATTTGACTGACAGATGTCGAACTCTTCACAGTATCTCCACAAGCCCTGGAATCAGCGAACGAGGAGACATTTTCGTCTAGAAGTATCACCTGGATGAAAATCTAGTCAACGAAGGAGACCGGCCACATTAGCTTGTGGAAAGATTGTCGCTGTTACTCACTTGAGCTGGGAGAGGATGAGATACTTGCCTGGTAAGCCGGAGAATCTTAAAATTATTTCTTCACGCTCTGGGATTCGCAAAGGAGAGTCGACGATTATCTTGTGAATCCTGCTTGCCTAATCTAGAATCAACGACAGCGAGCCGCCAGCTGGTGGAATTCTCTGCCTGGAGCTCCGCAAAACGAAAGAGAACGCTAGATCTCCTTGGCGACATGGTCTCCAGCGAACATCGGTATTATTCACAAATAAAGACGATATATTTTCCCAGCAAAATTCGACTGGAGAAGCTTACCCTGTTGGACTTATGGATCAACTGGAATCAACTGAAGAGGACATCTTATTGACCTGGTAGGATCTCAAGTCTCTGAAGTCCAGCGCCGACAGAAGAGAAGCAAGTTACGGCCTGACAGGACCATAACTTGGCGTCCACTACCCATGAAGACGACAGCCTGGTTACAAGGTGCGGCTCCTTCTTCCTGACTCAAACAATCATGGAAGAGTACGACGACTTGGCCCAACAGGATCTCGCTGTGACCGCTGGAATCAACGGCAACAGACGACTCGATGACTTGCCAGGATCCTCTTCTTCACCTCTGGAATTGACGACGGAATACGGCTCATTGATTTCCAAAATCCTCTTCCTTGCCTCTGAAATCAACGACAGACAGCGACCCAATGACTTGTTAAAAGCGTCTTCCCCGACCCCTGATATGAACCATGAGATATATTTCATTCATTTGCTACCATCCTCTTCCTCAACTTTTGGAACCAACGACAGCGACGACCCATGAATTTGCTAACAACCACTCCCTCGAGCTCGACACCGACAAGAGAAACTGAGATGTTTCCTAGCCCTGGAGTCCCGGGACAAACGAGAACGAGAACTTGGCTGGCGAGCTCCTCCTGCTGAGGTCCAGGGTCCATGGAAAAGAATTGCTGATGGATCTTCTTCTCTTGCGCTCCAAGATTGTCGAGAGAGCACAAGGTGGCTCCTCAGTAAGATCCTGATTCCTTAACATGCGCAATTCCAAAATTGAGGGCCAAGACTGACCATGTGCACTCCACAGACCTATCGCAACCCGAGACAACCTCCACAAATGCAAAACAGCCTCGAGAAAGCAACAAAAAGTACGAAAAAAATCTCCCTCCCTCCATACTCTCCTCATACCCGAAGAAACGAGCCTCCTCCTACTATTGCCCTCTGGCAGCGCGAACAGTCCTATCTTTCCTGGAGATGGCATTACAATGCGAAAATCATATAGAGAACTCTCTACATACACACTCCTTCTAGGAGACTCTCTACAACATGTCACCAAGCCATGTCAACTTCGATCCCCAAGCACTTAAGAGCCGAGGACGGCCTCTTTGTCGAATCCACACTTGCACGATTCCCAAGGGGCCTTGTTCTTCTACAAATACTCTCCATATCACGCTCTCTTGGGCTGGAAGGGGAGGCGGAATCGTAGGCTCTTCTGACGTCTTGAAGGGCTGGCAGTGAGTTAAGAGACACTTGCATTCCTCTTCTTGGTTCGAAGCTTCGGGAGCTGAGACGTGGCTGGATTCTGGCTTGACAACACTCTCCTGGATCATCGAGGTTCAACTCTCAAATTGCAGTGCTACGGGCACACAAGAAGGGCTCTAAGCACTTTATCTCTCCATAAAGCAATCCATACACGAGGTGGCCCAAGAGGTGACATCCCACAGCCATGCAGCGGCCTCATCGAAGGTAGAAGCCGAAGAAGAGCGTTAACAATCCTTGGTACAGATGACAAGTGGGCAAAACTCGAAGGAGAAGGATCACCGAAGCCGGAAGTCGAAGGAACAATAGCTAAGAGTGAAGAACGGCCTCCTATTCTCGGGCCGCCGCCGCCGCCAAGAAAAGAAGTTTCGGAGAAATACCACTGCGGGGCAGAACTATCCGCAGATCCCACCACTCCACATGGACTATATCTCAAGCAACTAAACCTATTTTGTAGGCGATGCATCCCCGAAATTCCCCAACCGAGGATCCTTTGTTTCAATTGGCCCTGTTGCAGGCTGATTGCAGTCGTCAGTAGAAAGTCCGAACTTTATTGTGGAATAGGAGAGCTAGAAATATTGCGGGTGAGGGATGTTCGTACGTCGATCTTGTCTTCCTAATATCGATCATGATAGATGGAAAAAGGAGTGCCGAAATAGTTAATGTCTACAAAGCATGCCACGCGTTCACAGAGAGTACCTTCTTCTGTAGCTGTGGAAACAAATTGATCCATGGACGACAAATGGCAGGAATAAAGATCAGACGAGTTGCGGAGTCCAACCCACCCTTTTCGGAAATACACTCTATAATGGCACGACGTTATGGGATCCAGACATGTTATTAAATATGTTCTCTCATTTCATATAGCACTCTCTCAGATTTATTTGTCAACAAACGTCAATCTCACCAAGCACTCATTTGCTAACTCTCAACTAGTAGCTTGTCAAGCAACATGTCAAGATTTCGCCAAATTACGCAGTTCTCACTCATCGCTCTTGCTTCCTTCGCCAATGCACGGGGGACGCCTGTAAGAAGAAATCCAGATCACGGAGTTGCCAAACGAGCTGTCTGCACGCCAACTTCTGCAGGCGACGCAGGAACAGACGATGTACCAGCCATCGAATCAGCTATCGCAAGTTGCGGAAATGGAGGAACAATCGTCATCCCAGCCGAAACAACATACGCCCTTCGATCAACCCTCTCCTTTGCCGGATGCGCCAACTGCGACTTCCAAATCGAGGGTACTCTCAAAGCCTCCGATGATCTAACATACTGGGAAGGAAAGAAAGCAATCTTCCTCATGTCAGACATCACAAGTGCCAAAGTCCACTCAGTTACTGGAACAGGTCTCGTGGATGGAAACGGTCAAGCTGCATATGATTACTTTGCGCAAAACAGCAGCTACGCACGACCAACTCTCTGGTACATCACCGGCTCAAACTCCATCACGATCTCGAACCTCGAGTTCAGGAACGCACCCAACGTCTTCCATTCCGCGGCAGGAAACTCCAAGAATATAGCTTACAGCGACATCACCCTGATCGCTGAATCGAGCTCTTTCAACGTGCCCAAGAACACGGACGGCTGGGACATCGGGCCAGCGACTTACGTGACAATCACCAATGCGGATGTTAGCAACCAAGATGATTGCGTTGCGTTCAAACCCGGCGCAAGCTATGTGTCCGTCAGCGGCATCACTTGCACCGGCTCCCACGGATTGTCTGTCGGAAGCCTGGGAGAATCGGGCACAACCTTCGTTGAGAATATCTACGTTTACAACGCGACCATGATCTCCTCTACCAAGGCAGTAGGAATCAAGCTCTACCCCGGCGGCTACGGAACAGCGACCGTCAGCAACGTAACCTGGGACACGGTCACGGTTACGGATTGCGCGTACGCGGCCCAGATCCAGAGCTGTTATGGTCAGACGGCTGCTTATTGTGCTGAGAATCCAGGCTCGGGAACGATCACTGATGTTTATTTTAAGAATTTCAAGGGGACGACGAGTACGAGTTATGAGCCGGTGGTAGCGAATCTGGATTGTCCGGCGGATGGAATTTGTGATATTTATTTGAGCGGGTGGGATGTTGCCCCGCCGAGTGGGACGGCGGAGTATCTTTGTGCTAATATTGATAGTTCGCCTGGTATTACGTGTACGAGTGGTGCCTCTAGATGATGAAAGCCGAAGGAGGATTTTGAGATTGAATGAAAGTTTCTGAGATATTTGTATTTATTGGGATATTGGTTTTCTACTCCTTTCGTGATACCATCCGCACTATTCTTGAGCACTCAACCACTCCTTGAACCCTTTATCCACTTCCTCCGCGAATGCCTTCTCCAGCAGAACCTTCACTGCAACACCAGCCATTCCCTTGCTCGTCAACAATGTCAATCGATGCGCCTCGTCAGTCGCGGCTGCGTCCGTGAAGCCTGGAGTGTGATTTGCAGCATTGTCCTTGATTGGAATAGCATACAGACCGTGAAATGAGGGTACAACCTGTGAGACGTTTCCTAACAGTATTGTCAGCTGAATATACTTTCAATCACCGGACATTGGGCAAAATAGCAAATTGATGCATACCCTGATCTGTAGAGTATGCTCCAGGCTCTTCCTTCTCACCTACTGGCCATTTATCTTCTGGTGAAACACTCTTCATGACCTCTGAGTATGCAAGGCAGAGAGAGCGACTTGGTCTCAAGTCTGCATACATGTTTGTCCTGACACAAATTAGCTGCAAATCTCCAGCATCCATGGGACATTGATACTTACTGTAAAAACTCGACCGTACACCTAGTCGCAATGGCAGCTCCTTCGAAGCACTTCACAACCCTCTCCTGCAACTCCTTCGTCTCCTTCAAGGTCGATCCTCGCACATTATAGTCAAGAATACTCTTCGGCGTGATAATATTGGCTCGATGTCCACCCTCTATCATGACACCTTGGATTCTCTGATCTGGTTTGATTTGCTGCCTCAACATACTCGTTCCATTGTAAGCCAACACCGCCGCATCAAGAGCATTAATACCCTCATGCGGAGCAGCTGCAGCATGAGCCGGCTTGCCCGTGAACGTAGCTCGGAATTTGGCAGACGCCATGCAAGTCCCATAGGTAACATTCGCAAGCGTAGAAAATGGATGCGTCATGAAGCAAGCAGCGACACCTTTGTATGCTCCAGCATCAATAAGCTTCAGTTTTCCTCCACCGCCTTCTTCGGCTGGAGTTCCGAGACAACGAGCTTTGCCTGGCAGGGAGTATTTCTTCATAGCCGCCACCGTGCCTAGGAAAGCGGCAATAGAACCAGTGGCGATCAAGTTGTGGCCACATGCATGACCAATACCTGGTAGAGCGTCATATTCGACGTTGAAGGCGACGAGGGGACCGTCGTCTGTGCCGTAGTCGCAGACGAAGGAGGTTTCGAGACCATATGCGTGAGGGGTGACTTCGAAGCCTTGGGAGCGGAGGAATGCAACGATGTTATCGTGAGCTTTGAATTCTTCGTAGCTCAGTTCTGGACTTTCGTGGATCTGGGAGGGAGCAAGTCAGTATCATCATGTGATATGGTGGGGTAATGATGAAGACCTTGCGGTTGATGTCGTGCAGCTCGGTGTCTAGGTCATCTATGGATTTGTTAATTGTTTCCTGGTAGGTCGCCGGCGAAACTTCTTGTCTTGAGATTTGGGTCATATTGCGACGGTTGCAGTCTCTCTTGAGCGTTTCTGGGTGAGATTTTGATAGCAGCGGGTTTACTGAGAATCGGTATTGAGAGCGGCAGGAGCTTTATGTCTGGATTTCGGTCTCGATATCGTCGTCTCCGTTTACAAAAGTAAAAAGTGGGTCTGCCTTGTCGTATCTTCGACTTTGGGTGTCGAAAGTGTTGTCGGGCTGTGGACGAAAGTTTCGCAAGACATCCCAAAGTAGTAAGTGGGGTGAAAGATGGTGGCGTCTGCGATTATTGGTCAGAATCTGCGAGATGAAGTCACGGAGAGAAAAGATGTCTCAGGTGTGCCAGCAACGATCTCTTACTTGGCATTTTCAGGGCTCAGTAAACGTAATATCTTCTTCGTCTAAGTGTGGAAGATATGCGTCATATGTTAGGTCTGGGTTATCTGCGTCACGTGATGAGAATATCCTGCCAAATCAAGGATCTTCAATCAGAAGTTGGAGACTTTTCACTTTATCAATTTCATCCTTGTCGGAAGTTTGCTGTCGGTCTCGTTCTGCGGCCGAGATACTCAATTCGGGAAAGGGGGAGCGGTCAAATTAAGCGAGTCATGCAATATTTCATGAATTGAATTTGACTTGAAGACTAGTCCGAAAGACACTTTCGACTATAAGGCTACAATAAAGTCCTTCACGCTACCCGGAGTGATATTTACTTCCCCATGGAAGGTGATGGTGTCATAGCAGGCATATTAACCGAAGCATAGCTACGACTAGAAACCACAGATCCATACGCAGTAACCGTTGCAAAACTCGCCACCGTTGTTGACGACACTGCAAAACCCGCTGGTACAGTCGGCTCAGGCTGATACGCGATCTTCGCAGACTCGATACCAAATTCGGCCATCTCCTTTGCACAAGACTTATCTTCGCACTTGATCAGACCCATTCTGTCGGCAATCTCTTGGGCTTCAAACAAGTCGTCTGAGAAGTCTTCCTCGTCTGTATCCATATCCATGGTAGAATTGAGACCCAGGGCAGCCATGTCATCTGATAAGAGTAAGTCTCGCTTTGCAACATATTGCTTCTTGTAATCATCTCTCAACGCCAGGGCTGTGGGATTGGTGAGCCACCATGGATCTCTATCCAGAATAGCATATCCGCGATCATCTTTACCAGCACGCGAAGGTTGGCATCTATTATCTCCGAGGCCCATATCTGCTGGCATAGGGTTTGGCATTTCCGTGAACTCGTACTTGAAGGTCTTTCTCTTGTACACTGCCTCAACAGATAACGTTATTGTTGTTGTATGATCGGCTCCGACGTGTTCTGGGGATCTTTTTGTTTTGATGTTCCGTCGTTCTGCTGTCAAAGGACATTCGCCTTTCCATTCACGGCCAGCTTTGCCGTTTTCTGGACCGTCGATGAGGCGGATGAATTGGATGAAGTCGACAGATGATCTCGCGGGATCAGCTCCCTCTAAACTCAGGTAACCGTCATTGATGGTGAGGAACAATGCTGGGGGCCACTGAGTGGATATTAGCGCACTTCTGATGTCAGGACGGACAATTTAAAGCCTCATACCTCGTCCCGCTCACACTTTGTGCCCCAATTGTCTGGCGAACTCCATCCTAGTCCTGCTGGTCGATCTTTGTTGTACTCGGTAACGGCCAATCTCTTCGTTTTCCCTGTAGGCATTCCAATGTAACGACAAGTGAAAAGATCAAGGTTCACTCCGACATTTCGGCTAATCACCGAAGCTACGAAAAGAGTCAGCTTCATTTCAAACGGGACACTCCATCCAGTTGAGCTGAAAAGCCGACCACTATTTCACCAAGTATGATCAAAATACTGAAGGATATACTCACAATAATGAAGACAAGCCTGCCCACCAGCAGACTTACCACCAGAATACGTGCACTTCAACGTCCCCATACTCCCCGGCTCATCACTAATCTTCGTCGTAATAGTCTCATACTTCTCAGCATTACAAGGAGCTGCTCGCTTCACATGTTTTGGCTGCCGAGGACACTCTGAACTCGTCTTGGCGGACGAATGCGATGACTTCGGGGGCCGGCTCTCCGCGGGCTTGTCTGTAGGCTTGTTCATATCTAATGTATGTTTCTTGCCGAATACTTTGAATTCGGCTTTGCCTTCTTTTTCGATGCCTTTGACGCATCCTTCGATTATGGCTGGCGTCGCGGCGATTTCTGCTAGGTCTGCGATTTCACCTGTTTTTCTCGTTACTTTGACAACTAGTTGGGATGAAAGGGCTACTTACCGAAGATAGGGATAGCATCTTCAAGGAGTTCGAGGGGGAGGAGTAGAGCAGGGACCGCAATCCTGCAGAATGCTTTCGCTGCAATATCAAGAGCTACCTTGAGATTTATCAGCCTGTGGCCGGCGTCATTTTGGGTGTCAGGACTCTAACCTGAGCTGCGATGGCCTCTGCAGCACTTTTGGCAAGAGCTGTGGCGTCTTTCACCAAGTCTGCTCCATTCGGAGCTGGCTTGAATCCTTTGCAACAATAGCTTTGTATGCCACCAGTGCAAGTTTGGTCACCCTTCTTCTCTTTATGATTCGTATCTTGCACGATCTCCGTTTCCCCGTTGTCGCAGCCACTCATGCATGACAGCCCTACTCCACCTATTCGCAAATGTTAGAGTCAGCATATGTTTCCCCTTTCTAGATGCAGAATTATCAGGTGATGGACTTACGATAACCCCTCCATTGACATACACCCATAATGGTACCATCATCGCAGCATAAATTTCGATACATCTTTTTCGGGCAACGATCATTAGTAGAAAGGTCTCCAGGCTGGCCATTCATTTGTGCAACCTGATTGGTTCCTTTCTTGCAACTCGTATCACAGTCTGTAGTGTAGCAAGTAATCCCAGCTACAGCATTATCACTCGCCTGTTTCGCATCCTGTTGATCTTGTGTAGAAACTGCGCTCCCAGCCGCTGAGTTTCCGTTGCTGCCTTTTTGGTCGATCTTGAAAACTTCTCAGTACATGTGTGAGAACTTTCAAGCATCACTCACCTGGTCAATTGCCCACACCTATCAAGACATTAGTAATCACTTCAATTAGGAACGAAAATAATGACTTACCATCAAACCTCCAAGACACCTCTCATTTGCAAAATCACGCTTCTGCTTGAAAGTATCGTCGTCATCATAACTGACCCATTGGTTGCCGCCCCAAGTGATGTGTTTGATCCCAGCTTTCTTGTCCCAGACAGGTTTAAGATTGTTAGTAGAAATGATATCTTTAATCTCTTGAAGATCAAGGATTCCAGCGGCATTTGAACAAGGTCCTGGATTTGCACCACCTGAGAACTGGCATACACCATTTGGAGTGCTACATGAAGAGTCCTTGAGAGTGAAACTTCTCCCGTACTTAGAAATCAGGGATGTTAGCTGCTGGCGATGCGACGAGTGTGAAGTGAGAATTGACTTACCCAGCCTTGACCTAGCACCACCTTGCTGGAGCTGACACCTGCGCGCCAAAGAAGATCCAGACCTCCGTCTATCTCTGTAATATTGGTGTGAGGAGCGATGTACGGTCCCACGAACTTAGAAGCGGAGTCCCAGACCCCATGCACCACAAAACGCATCAGCCCTAGAATATTATTATCCTTCACGGAACTTACAATCATAACTCATTAAATTGAACCAATCCACCGAGGACTGCATCCCCACCAAATCAAAATGCTGCAAATACCAATACGAGGTCGGTAACGTAACCGTGATGCCATACTTCGTACCAAATGACGCTCTCATATCACTGACCAGCTGCACATAATTGGCTGTATCACCCGATGCACCTCCACGGTCATCAGCTTGAGGGTATTCCCAATCCAAGTCAACGCCGTCAAATCCATACGTATCCATGAACTGTTTCAATCCACTTATGAACTTTTGCCGGTTCGCAGAAGTGCTAGACATAGTAGAAAACGCTGTCCTCGTGGGTCCAGGATCAGTAAACGACCATCCACCAACCGAGATCCAAGTCTGGACCCCACTAGATTTCAAGGCTGTAAATCTGTTGTAGAGAGCGCCTGTTTTGCCATCCATAGGCGCTATGGCAAAGGTTGTTGGGTCGAAGAATGCGAATGCGAAGTTGATGTGGGTGAAGCCGTTCAGATTTAGGTCTTCTGGGGCTACACTTTGGCATTTTCGTGTATTAGACCAAGACTCGTAGTATCCGATTGAACGCTTGGAACCACTGCCGCCACCACCGCAGGATGGTCGATTTGGTGCTCCGCAGCCACCGAAGCCTGTTTGGCATCCTTTTAGACAGAAGTCATCTGTGCTGCCGCAGAAGCTGCAAAATCCTTAATTAGCACATTTTCATTATAATTAAAACATGAGAGGTAAAAAAGAGTCAATGAAGAAGATGCATACCCGAATTGAGAACAGCAAACGTTCAATGGACATTTCTGCTTTCCAGCTACACCGTACTGGCCGCATTCCGCTTTGGAATCACATTTCGAAGTACAATTTCCCTTTCCACATTCAGATGGAGAGTATCCACAAAGCCCATTCGTCCCACAGCAAGCGGTAATAGGACATGGTGTTTGAGCGTTACATGTTCCTGTTGGTAGAGCACCAGGGATAAGAACTGAAAGATTTGTGATTGAATTAGCATCGATTCCAGCGAAGAGGCCAGAGTATGACTGAGCTCCTGCCAAAGTGAAATGGCATAACAAGAAGAGAATCAAGCGGTATTCCATTGTAGTGAAGCTCATATAATCTCATTGATGCTCCTCTTATTCACTGGGTGAGATGAAGCTGGGTGTAGCTCAAGACTGAAGTCTGCCCCACATTCGCTTGAAGTGCAGCTTGCGCTTCTGATTTCCACTCCGGAACCGAATCCGAACTCAAGGGTGCCTCGTGAAGGATTACTTCAGACAAGCAATAAGGAATCCAAATACCGTCTTACGCCAAATAATGAAGAATACATTGAAAATGTAAGATTGCAACCGCACTGCGCCTCTGACAATATTGCGAAGCCTTCAACGTCTAGCTTTAACCGAGAAATTCACGCAGCCAAAGACAGCTTCAGAACCCAACTCTAAATTGCTGAGTAAGATCGTTGATGGGTGCCTGAGTTCGTGCATGCTTTTCAATCTCTGATGTATGAGTTGCAATTAAAGTTTAAGGCGCAGTCTTCAGTGATTGGTAGAGCCGGCCAAATCTTCCTGGTGGCAGCCACAGCCGCCTCGGGTATCGATCGTTTACCCGCCCCTGAAGATGCATGTCATCCACTTTTTGAAAGGGTTGTCAACTTATCTAGATTATCGGCCGACTTTCAGATATTACCCAACCAGGTTTCTCATCAGAGGTGTGGCTGCGCAAGACGATCTAGCACTTGCTTAAGGATAATTTGAAGCATGCATTGATGGAGCTTACAAGCTGTTCGGAGGTCGGTGGCCTGAAAAGAGTTTTGCAGTTGTTGAAGGAAGAGCAATAGCAAGTTGAACCACTGTCGGTGGGAATAGCTTCACAATGAAGGAAATTTACTCGGTTGCAATCATTGGTGCTTTACTTTATGTCACCGTAGCACAATTCAGTTTATATCCTCCGGTCGACCCCACATTACTTGCTCGAGCATACAATATAACTCCAGCATGTATTACAGCACTGTATGTAAGATAAACAAGTTATCTAAATCGAAAAGTATACAATCTCCTTGGAACTAAGAAGTGATATTTAGAAACGAAAACCTGCCAGACTGCGATCCAACGCTCTTTCAGATGTCGATTAACTTCGACAACTACTGGTGGGAGGAAGACAACCTCACAGACCTTTGCTTGGGGAATTGCAGCTATGAAGCAACGTTGTGGGACCGAGATGTGACTCAAGCTTGCGCTGATCAATGGATATCAGCGTATGGAAGACTTATTCCTGCGGATTCTATCTCTGGACGATATGTAGATGCAATGAGCACTGCTTGCTTAAGTTCTACGTATGTCTTTGAACGTTCTCCACATTCCATCTAACGCCCATCTCAAATTGTAGTTTACTAATCTGTGACTGTGTGCTTCAGGAGCGAGGAACGATGGTGCTTGGTTTCGGCGCAAAATATTACAGGATCAGACGTTATATATCCTGATTGTATCAAATATCCAACGGACCCCTCATGCACAGGAAATGGAACGAACATCGATCCTGAGGATGAAAGGATGGCGAACTTGTACTCAAACGATGTAGTAAGTCCAGATCTCCTGTCTTTCAGAATATTGTACCAAGAGCCAACATTGCTAGCTATGTGATAACTGCTTCATTCAAATGCTATACGCGCGAGTGACTTCACCCTATCTCGCAGACTCGGATCACTCCGACTACCTCGTAGACCAGCTCCAAGACATAGGTGATGTCTGCAACACTTCAATCCCCAACATCACCGTTCGAGCATTACCAAGTTATGTCCCGGCACCTCCAGTGACATCAATCAACTTCGCAGGAACCACAACAACAACTTCCAAACCACCAGCAACGACAACATGTTCAGGGCAAGTCCTGAACAGCTCAAAGAAACGCTCTGATCAAGTATATGGACGAGACACAGAAGATGACGACGCAACTCCAACCTGCGACAGACTTTCAAAGGCATACGGTATCTCAACTGGAGATCTGCAAGCCAACTCTAATTCTGCCAACTGCACCATAACGGGCAAAGTCTGTCTCCCTTCAGCATGCAAACTCGCCCAAGTCCCGACCGGCGCAACATGGTGAACTTCCCCACCCCCTGACCAACAGAAATACTAACACCTCACCAGCGATTCCCTTGCCGCCAGCCTCCCGGGCAACATAACCACCATCCAATTCCTCACCTGGAACAAAAACATCCTCGGCCTCTGTGACAGCCCCCTCGCCGGCCAATACATCTGCACTTCCGCTCCGGGCGTAAACGGGACCTACACACTCGCCGCGCCTCCCCTGGGAACGGACGCCGACGCCGGAAACCAGCAGCGAGGAGGCCAAGGCGGCTTCGTGACTCCATGTCCCACGTACACCAGTTCTCCCACCGCAGCTCCGGGTCCGACACAAACTGGTATCACGACCGCCTGTAACGCGTACGCCATGGCTGATAACGGGATCGGGTGCGTGGATTTCGCGGCGCTGAATTGTATTCAGACTTCTGATCTGTTCTCTTGGAACGGAGTCCTGGGAGCGAATGGTGAGAACTGTGGGACGGCGTTTTGGGCGAAGGAGTATTATTGTATTGCTATTTTTACGGCGACTGCAACTTCCACAACAACGATACCGCCGCCGACAACGATGACGGGAGGAGCACCGGGACCGACACAGACGGGGATCGTGAGCAGTTGTAATAAGTTCGCGGTGGCGCCGGATGGGATGGGGTGTTATGATTTTGCGACGCTGAATGGGATTACGCAGGCGCAGCTTTATGCGTGGAATACGGTGCTGGGTGTGAACGGGGCGAATTGCGGGACGGCGTTTTGGTCCAAGGAGTATTATTGTGTGGGTGTTAGTGGTGGGAAGTGAGGGGATGATGAGAATGTAGCTACAAGATTCGAATATATCTATATATGGAGGCTTTCTTGAGTCTACTAAGTGAGTGACGCAACGAATGAGATCAAAAAGTGATTTGTATATGCCAGGATTTATGAATGTAAGCAGATAAATATCTGTGTGGAATCAGACACATTGATACAATTATCCTGCACGTTCTTCTCTCCATTAAGAATCGTACATGATAATATCCTTCCCGTTATATTTAGTCCGACCTCAAACCTGATTTAGCGAGCGAGCACTTTTGTCGAAACCAAAAAAAACCCCCAATCCCCACCAAAAAAAGGTTTCAATGGTAAAACTCAGAGTCGCCGACGAATCGACGACTCTTCCAAACCAGCAGCCTGTGCAAGTTTTATAGAAGCTATAAAGTCCATCTGGAAATCTGTCAACTGAGCTAACAGTATATTAGATAACCTTTGGTTTTCCGGACTTAATATGGAAAGGTTTTGCTTATTTAACTCTATACAAGGCTGTCGCTTTAGCGCGAGAAAGGCGTTAGGCGAGTCGAAGGTGAGGTTGAAGGCTACGTCATTTGGATATACTTTCGTAGGTTTTTGAGCTCGCTTGCTATGTCTTTTGCCCTATAGCTAAGTTCGTATGACAACTGACTTCAACTCCCAAATTCATTCACGGCTTCTCCTGCACCCATTTCTCAAGAGCAACCACACACTCCTCCTTCCTAAACTCATCTGGCCACCCATACTCCCTCATAATCCCCTGCATCTCCTGTAAAACACATCATCAGCTTCCTCCTCAATCTCAGCATAGAAATAAAACAAACCTTCACCTCCCCCTCATCTTCCTCATCATCAACCTGCCACAACCTCGGTCTCCCATCCCTATCCCAAAACGCCACCGTATGCAAACTCAACATCTCCATCCTCCACTCCCTTAACGCATCTTTCAGGCTCGGATACGTGTGCTGACACTCATTTCTCCATTTCCGCGGATCATCTTCCTCGTAATCGTCTACTGGTTCATTGTCCCAGATCGTTACGGTGCCTATTTTTATCAATTAAGCTGTGTTTGGAACAGGAAAAGGGAAGAGGGGAGGAGGGGAATACCATCCGTGGTATCGAGTAACACCCACACGCCCCACACATTATCCTCTGCTCTCGTCAAGGGGATCACCCACGGAGGTAATTTTTCGTCTTCGTCGTAGTAGTAATCGGGACTTATATCCACAGCGGTCTCCACATCGAGCGGGACGGCGAACGGTGGGTTTGAGTAATCGATTGGGTAGGTGTGGAAAGCAATTATGTATTCTTTTCCTTCGCTGTTTTTGTTTCGTAGGTATGGGAGATGTTTGAGTAGGTCTATGACCTCGGTGCTCTTTTTGAGGGGGGAGAAGTTCTGTTTGGTGATGTTGGGCCAGCCATCGGGGGGAGGGTAGAGGATGTCGGAGGCGGAGATGAAAGGGAGGGTCGAGAGGGCTTGGTAGTGTTCTGTTAGAGTGGCTATGATGGCGGAAGGGTCGTATGTTGCTGTCACGCCGTCGAGTCTGGGGTCTGGGGGAAGGGGAGGAGTCATGATTTAGGAGGTTTTGATAGTTTGAGCTGGTAGATGCAACAATGTTAACGATGTGACCAAAACACGAGGACTTTGGAGTGTTGCTGTGCCGCTGTCGAAATCCGGAATATGTGAAGTTCCGACTTATGACGATGATCAATTTATCCTGTCTTTGGGAACATCATGATGCTGGTTAAAGAGATTTGCCAGAAATGAGAATTGCGATGGATATTGGAATTCACCCCCCTAAGCGAACCTCGCTTCGCTTACGGAGCCCCACTAAAACATACAGGGTATTTTCAATGTCCAATGTTGATTTGGAACAGTGCCTAGGTAGTTTTCATTCTACGGGAAATACGAAATGGACTCTTCGCTGTAAAAAGTGGATGTCGCCTATCATTTCCTGAGCTCACAAGCTCATTCCCCATCTCCATCCTCATACCCAGCTCCCTCTTGCTCCTTTTGCTCTTCCACAAAAGAATACGGCAAGGCCCACTAGAGTTGACATATTCCTACACACCACATTCTCATCACCCAGCTGCCCTGAAACGTCGTCTACGCCATGGCTGCCTCTTTGGAGCCTTGTAGCAACAAGCATTGTCATCAGAGCAAGGCTCAGTAGCCAAAGAGATAACCCTTGGATTGATGGCTGTTGTAGCCAAGGTCTCTGGGGTGATGGGAACGCAGAAATTCCTGTCCTCAGGCTCGGGGACGTCAACATCATAGACCTAGACGAGTCTCACGACTAGGTTTTTGTCGGCCTCCTCATACATCTCCAACGATGCTACTAAATCATCACCTACCGAGCGTGGCTTGACCTCCTCCCAATTCTCCATCAAATCGAATTCATCCTTCCCAACAAGAAAGACCTTCTCGTTTGGATCGTCGATGGGAGGAGCATTGAAATGAATTTTAATGACAAGCTCGTCCAGGTCGGGATAATCTTCCAAGTTCGTTTGAGCCAGTGCCCTTAGACCAAATGAATCGATTCGCGACTTCTTGATCACCATGCGGTCTTCGCTTCCTTCCGCTGTGTGAAAGTGTGCACAGAAGAATCGAGGAAATCGTGGGATGTATCTTGGGACGTATATCGTATCTGCGAGGTTGTTGAAAGCAAGGCAGAATCCATCTGGACCGTGGATCATTGCATAGACTTTCAAGGCTTCTTCTCTCGACTCGCGGTTGACAACCAGAATCGTGGGATGATGTCCAGCGTGGTTCCACGTGAATTTCGAGTGGGTCTGCAAAGTCTTGTTCTTGATGGGCGAAGGGTCCAATTCGATGACTTGGGGCCCAGGCAGACAGAAACCCCACTACAGCGCATCAGTACCGGCTTTCTTGTGGTCATAGGATTCTTTATTGGGCACTGGAGAGAAGACCAAAAGACCGCAACTTCAAATCTTGACTCTAAGCTCGGCCGGTAGCTTAGAGAAGCAAGTGAACGTCCGATTCTGTTGTGGCGGCATGACTGGCGTCTTAGAAGCGGAACTCAAATCGCCCGCTCGAGAGCTGAAAATCTCATCGACGAATCTCTTTGGGTGGGAGTACGTTCGTGCGATGATTAGAATTGAAATGGGGAGGAAAAGTGCGAGATGATTGAGGGAAAGGAGGGCATTTAAATAGGCAGCCACGTAAGATCTTACTTCCCCTCACTCTGCCACTCCACACACCTCCAGCACCACTAGCCAACAACTGCTTGAAAAAGTCTTAAAAGCATAAATGCTCTTGTTCTTCATGGATTTCGGGGCTAAAGCCTGACTTCTTTATCGTTATTATATCTAGGATCATGAAATAGCTCTCAAGAGCAGAGGCGCTCACAATAATCTTTCTGACACTATTGCAAAGAGGGAATTGAGGAGGCTTGGTTCCCGGAAGCGTGCTAGAAGAGAGTTGGGGGAAGGATATCCTTGAAGTGGAGGTGAATATAAAGACACAAGTGCGCTCGAAAAGACGAATAAAGAGCACTAGCTCTCAATGCTTGAGGCAATTCACAGGTGTGTTCTGCATGAAAATTTTCTTTTGGCTTTGATTCATGAATTCATCGCATAGCATGTACAAAATGATATAACACACATTGCAAACCCCAATCCTCCCCAATTGTCCCAAAGGTATATTCGATTCCATTCGGCCGTAAACTCCCCATCATCCATCCCACCCCTCTCTCCCATCATCTACACGTAAGCATGTCTCCTGCCCGAATGCGAGCTCCTGTGCGAACGATGCGATCCACTCCTTCTATGTCCATGTCTAGAAACATGAGTTTCACGGACATAAGTAGTATCCCTACGATCATCTCTCCTCCCACCCTGGTGGAAGAACGCCAACGCACTCGTAAAAGCAAAGAAAATGCAATTCATAATCCCAAAAGCAAAGCACGCCTTGAGCATACTACACTGTTTGTTGGCCGAAAAATGCAGTCCGTTCACGGTCGCCGAGCCCAGGTACCCGAACGAGATCTGGTAGCTATCGCCCGCGGTGACATGTGTGCAGTTCTGGTGCGAGATGCCGCGCAGCTCGTAGACTCCCGCGATCAGGGCCCCGATGAAGCAGAGGTCGATGAAGGCAACGAAGAGGGAGTTGGATTTCGAGCGGTGGTAGGTGAAGAGGGTGCAGAGGGCCCAGGCGGCGGCGAGGACGGAGACGATGAAGAGGACGAGGATGTAGTTGGGGGTGAGGGCGTTGTTGGAGGCGTAGATGTGGACGAAGTAGGCGAGCATGCCGAGGGTGGGAATCTGTTGTTGTTAGAGATGTTGTTGAGGGTGAGTATGAGTGAGCTTCCTTACCAAGGTGATGATTTCCATGAAGCGCCAGAAGGCGAAGAAGATTCCGAACAACATGATGAAGGTTGGGTGTTTGCTTGCGCAAGCTCTTCTTCTCTATTCTTCAGTCGAGGGCCGTGAGGCTGTCGCGATATTTCGCTCTTGAGGAGAGAAGGAAACGAAACAAAAGCGCAAGCTTGAGTAAGGACACACGGTTCCTTATTAATATCAAGCTTCCTCAACCAAACAAGCTGCTAGTCGAATCGTCGCAGGGAAGAATCCTGTTTTCGCAATAAATTACAGCTCAGACCCGATCAAGGTTAAGGACAAGGTAAGACGAGGCTCTGTGCTGTGCGGGCTCGAGGAAGAACCTTGTACGATTACGATGACGTCGATGAAGGTTTCCCTGGTGGAATTGTGACGATCGACAAAGACGACAAGAAGTAAAAGAAGGAGGGTGGGCTGCAGAGAAGTATTCGACTTACCTGCTGCAGTTTATCAATCGATGCAGCCAATGCAAGAAAAATAGAGGGGTTGGATGCAGGTGAGAATTGCGGTGGTTGGTTCGCGCTACTCGGCAACCCCATGCAAGGTGACAGCATCACCACCACCAGAGAGGAAGGAGAAACGTGGAATTGGGACAGGAAGTTGAGTTCTAGAATGAGTGTGTGGGGAAGATACTATACCTGATATGACTTTACGACGGAGAATTGTTTGATGAATGGACAAGAAACGTGGTGTTGTTGAAGAGGAAGGAAATTGGTACCGAATTCTGGCAGGGCAAGGCACGTTCCGTGTTTAGGCCTGCGCTGTCAACGGGCGCCGTCTCACTCGGGCCCAGACAAAATGTACATCATCGGAAATCGTGAGATTGCGCCAAGTTGCAGACTCCAAGATTCGAACCCTGCACGATCCTGGGAATATATTGTACAACAAGATTTTCAATGTGGGGTATCAGTTCATGATTCATCTCCTTTCCTCTCCCTCGCCTACAGTGTATCCTCTTGCAACACCACTTCTCCCTTCCTCGATTGTCTGCGGAGCTTCCACTTCATGGAAATCGCTACCCAGACCAGTCCAAGTCCTCTGAGTCCGCAGATACTCTGCTCCTGGACTTACTGCTCCATTCATAGTCGCTAAGTCACCTTTTGCTCTTCTCGTCAAAGCATTGGATGCTGCTGTAGGACTTGACTCGTTTTCGATATTCGATGAAGGAGTAGGTATCGATGAGCGCATCGGTCTCGAATGCGACACATATCTCCCCGTCCTCAAATCAAACTCAGGCGGTTCTGACTCCTCCTCCGAATCCTCATCCATCTCCCCCTCCTCCCCTTTCTCCTCTTCCAAATCTCCCTTCTTCTCCACAACACCACTCTCAACCAGCTTCTCCACACCCCCAAAATCACCCCTCCAATCCCCATCCCAAAGTCTCTTCCCATCACCCACAAGCACCAACCCCAACTCAAAGGGCGTAATGACAGGTCTAAAGAACTCTCCGCTCTCCACCAAACTGCTTTCCCAGCATCCTATCACGACCCATCCTCCCACCTCCGAGAAATTAGCTATCTTCGCTGCATTTATTTTCCCCACCACGAAGGTGTATGATTTCTTGCCCGCGGAGGAGATGAGGGAGCGTATCGATGTCGCGGTTGAGAGGTAATTCTTGACGGAGAGGGTATTGATCAGGATTCCAAATACAGGGCAGGTTGAGAGCGACGTTAGCAGGGCATACCGACGCCGGAGGGATATAGTTGTGTTTGTGCGGATTGCTGTCTGCGGACCTGAATTCGTGGTCGGGTAGATGAACATCTCTTTTACTCTACTAGAGAGCGTCAAAAGGAGGGCGTCTGGAGGATCGGATACATGGAATAGGGAGTAGGATTTGAGGTCTATCCCTTCGTCAACCTTTCGATTCGGTATCGTCGATGATGGATCGTGTATGACTTCCGGCGCAAGGACATTTTTGTAGCCCCTCGATACCAATGCTTCCCGTATAGAGGGAATGTGATTGTTGTACGTGATATCCGCCATGAGCACCACCTTCTCTTCCTTTTCAGGGAACGTATTTTCGAACGTCCGCACCACATCCTCGACCTCGAGCGGATGGGTTGTAAAAACATATATAACCGGTAGCCTCGCAGTAGGAGACAGACAAGACCTTCCATAATGCACCACCACATCTGCATTGACATGTTCTGCCGCAATCTCATCCACACAGCAAGATCCATACGATGTATCTGCCAGGATATAAAACCTCACTCTCTCCACCGCTGTGTGTCCGTCTGGCTTGACTTGCAGCTCATTAAAGCTGGTTTCCAGACTCGAGGATTCGTCTCTAGCAGTCAGATTTCCAACAGCTTTCTCTAAGCCCTCACAAACTCTTGGAGCATCCCTCAGCATCCCATCCGGAAACTGCAAAGCGACTCTCCTGTACCCTCCCTCTCTAATCTCCCTCGCCGTTCGTTCTAGCTCGTAGACGTCCCATAGCTCATCGTCCGTATAGCGAGGCAAAGTATGGGTCGTAGAGGGAGGAGTAGGGTCTTCGAAGATGTGCGTTTCGGGCGTAGAGAGGACGGGAGGAGCAGAGAGTTGGGTGGTCATGGTGTTGAAAATGGCTTTGGAAAAATGTTTGGCGGGGTAAATATTTTTGGAGGCATGGGTTGAAAGGCGGTGGCAGAATTTCGCCCTCGAGCTTTGCTGTTTGCTCTTTCTTTTTGAGCAGCTGTAGATCGCCATTCTTTCTTTCTTCGTTATTTCACAACTTGAAGAGGAGAGAACTTATGCTACTTTAAAGTGCTCAATTGCTGACGGACTTTCAATCTTCACGACCTTTCACGAAGCTTGATTTTATTTTTCATTCATTATCAGTCATTATGTACAGGCTTGATTGATACCGCCCATCGATGAAAACACAGCTCGAAGTGGTCTGCGGAGGCGTCATCGCAATCAATGAAGACCAGTCAAACATCTGCCTCGCAAGACCATATCCACTGGTATGTAGTAGTAAGTAGTCCCTTATTTGTTTGTATGCATGTAACTCCGAAAAAGCAAAAGAATGAAAACAGAAATTCTAACATTGGGTATCCGCAGAAGAACAAACCACGAAACCGCCAGACCGAATACAAATTCTTTTTTGTGGGAGAGAGAAAGACACAATCAAGGCAAAGTGCCGTTGCCAGTTTCTACATCCCAGTCGTTGAAGTTCTCTTGACGTTGTCCACCCTGCATGGGCTTGTTGTAGGAATCAGGTGCACGCAATGGTGACTTAGGTCCAAATTGCGGGGGAGTGAAAGTGTCGGGAGACATTGCGCGACCGTGATTTCGAGGTGGGCTAGCGAACTTTGGAATATCTTGCACATCGTAGCGTCGGGCTCGAGTGCCGTTTCCACGTCCAGCTCGTGCATGTTGGAAATCATGGAACGAGGGTTGCGCAGATAGTTGCTGATGTGGTTCAATCTGCTGTCGGCCGTTTCGAGCAAGCCCCTGGTATGGAGGTGGCTGCGATTGAAAGAGCTGGAAATCATCTTCATCTCGCAGGTTCTCCTGGCGAAGCGGCGTTGCATCACGCTCCCAACCAAGATCTGCCTTCGAACTGTCCTGGCGCGGTTGCAATTGGTTTGCCTGAGCAGCTACCCTATAATTAGGTTGGCTTGGTTGACGAGGTAGAGGACGTTGTGCATATGCCTCTTGGTTGAATCGAGAGTCCATGCGTTGTGGCAGAGGAGTATGCGAAGTCTGCCCAAAAGCGTATCCATTGTGGTCGTTCTCATCGAGGTCAAGCTGGCCATAATCTCGGACAAAACGATTATAGTCCTCGTCGCTCGGATGTCCATACTGGCTGTTGTTGGTCAGAGTTGGGGAACGAACAGAGTATCCACTATGTTCTGACCGAAATGCCCCTGAAGGTGCAGCCGAAACTCCTGAAGCATAATGATCTGCGACTTGAGGATGATGTTCATCAATTTGAGAATACTGCTCCGCAGCTTGAGGGTAATGTTCGCCAGCGGACTGATGATTTTCCGCAACAGCTTGGTTCTCAGTCTCATCACTCTTTACCCAAGTTTTTTCCACGGTGAAGCAATGGGTGAGAAATGGGGAAGCCTGCATGAAGTCTCCTTGCTTCCATGACGGAGTCTCAATGAACCCATTCAAGAAATATCCAACGCCATCCGGATATATCAGCCCAGGAACATCGCTCGAAATCGATGCCAGAGTTTGAAGCATGAAGTAAATGAGAACCCATCGGCCGAGTCTGCATTCCAGAGGATCGACTTCACAAATTCTCTCGAATTGCTCGTGTCTGATGAATGCTTCTACCAGAGCGTTACCAGTGTACTCATGCAAAATGAGCAAGTTGTTGGCCTGCTCATAGGCTAGCTTGAACTTGACATCTGCCATGGGGTCATTGCCCTTCGGGACACCTTCACCTTGCTCGGTAGATGCCGCGTTGTCTTTCTTGTCCTTCTTCGTTCCGCCGCCGAAGAACTTTCTTTTTGGCTTCTCTTGGGCTATTTTGGAAGCTGCAACAGGGATGCTTGGCGGTAGAAGGGGGAATGGGTGAGGGATTGGATTATAGCCGCAGCTTTCGTCGAAATTCGTCAAAACTCTTACCATTGGCACTCCGTTGCCATTTGCGTCAAAGTGCACATTTGTAGGATGGTCCATAACGAGATGTTTCAGACGGTACCTAAAGACGACAGATCTGTCCACGAGATAGTCGTATAGTGCCGAAAAGTCTCGCTGCAAATCTCTCACCACGGTTCTCGTAAGCCAGAGGTGTGTATTATCAACTTGATTTGGTGGCCACGAACCATAACTCTTTGTGTAAAAGTCTCGGAGGAATCCTGCAAGAGATTTGAAAGCTTCAAAAGCAACAACAGAATCTTCTGGCTTGAGGTCCCACATGCCGTCGAAATTGAAGTCTCGAAGGCGCTGCGCCTGAAATTTCAGACAACCCTCTAAGATTATAGCAGCCTTGCGAATTGCAGCCTTTGTCACTGGTCTGACTCCAGAGAGCATAGTCCACTCATAAAGAGTCACAACTTGCTCATACATTCCAACACAGTGAGCGAAAGCCTCCCTGTAGCCTGGTTCCCAATGGACGTTTGGAGCGTCGGCATACGCAAGAAGACCTACAGCAGCTCGGGGACATTTGCGGACATCAGCTAGTCCGAAATCGACGACATACGTGACGACGATTTCCTTCGCATGATCCTCATCCTGAATCCAGTCGATGAAACGTTCTTGCAAAGTCAGGAGCATTTCGTGGATGAAGTCACCAATCAAAGGCTTTCCATGTAGCAGAGCAAGCGCATTTCGAGTTCCTCGCTTCCATCTCGTCAACTTCTCGCCTTCTAATTCGGGTGGGGGTGCAATGCTGATTGTATATCTCAGATTGTCAGTGCTTTCCATGTGCTCCGAAGTCAGTAGAGACTTTGCTGAATCGGTGATGGCCATTATGGATTGTCTATTACGAAGGTTCTCTTGGATCAGCCCGGATAAGACGACTGATCCCAGTGCCCTCAACTTCTTCGAACACAGACGGAATGAGGGCATTCCAGTTGGTCCAGACGAGGTTTCTTGAGTCAGATAAACAAGTGTGTCACCATCAATCAACCACATCTCTCTGTCCACCTCGGTCTCGTTGAAATCTACTGCTTTCAGAGGCGAAGAGCCAGAAAAGCACTTCAGCGATGGTGGCTCGGGCGGGGGTGGCAAAGGTGCAGACGGAGGCTCAGAGATTCCTTGATTTCCCATCTGCGATCGAAACGATGGAGCATCGACTGACTCCGAGTCGGGGCTTCCTGGCATAGCGGAAGGGGGAACTGGAAAGCCCGGAATCCAAGCGTCTTGTCCTAAGCGAGACTGAGTCCGGAAACGCATATCACCTTCCATCTCTTGAGCATCTCGGCGATTGTTCAATGATGTGGCTGGTCGCTCTTGTGGATCCTTCGGCTTCTTCTTGAAGAGATTACCAAGGTTTTGACGGATCTGGTCACTCTTGTCGTCCAAGGCCAGGCGAAGAGCTGACTTCTCGATATTGGATTCAATGTTTTCAAGCATGGGTCTTCGAGCACGAGCGTACGCTGGATCATCCATAGATGCTTGAGAGCGACCATTGCTATCGACGTGACCAAGCGATGCCTCAGGGAGTCCCTCTTCGTCGGTAGGGTAGTTATAGCCCGGGCCACCTCCGAATTGGTGATGGTAGGGATTGGGGTGGGAGCGGCCAACTGTTGGGGGGTAACCAGATGCTGAGCCTCTGGCTGGCTGAACTTTCTCCAGCCCGGCAAGCCGCTGAGGCTTTCGGGCAACTGCTGCTCTACCAGACATTGCAGCTAGCAGACATCAGTCGGATTATCGAGTGTAGTGAGATTGTTAAAGGAAGCTTTTTGAGTCGTCGTCTACAGATCGTTATGTTAGTGGAGGGTTCTGAATATGTTGCAATTGTGTGTGAGGGAATTCGATAAAGCAGAGCTGTTGTAGTACATACAGGTCGTTGCGTCAATCGGATTGAACACAATGAGATCGCAATTGCAAGATCGCAAGAACAAAGCTGAGGCTGGGAAGATTTGCATACAGGAAAGCAACTGAGCAAAGCTGACGCGGTAAAGACTGTTGTCAGAAGAGTGCTTTGTGATGGAATCAATAACCCAAAGTTGACGCGGTGATTCTAATGGGACAAAGTCTGGGGAGAGATGGGAGAAGGAAGCTAGGGGAAATACCTTGATATGACGATCTGCTTGAAGAGCAATACCGTGCAAGACGGCGGGCGGTTCTTGTGATATCTGAAGACACCAGAGGATACAACAAAGAGCAAGAGTATGAGGATCTTCAACAGCAATTGATGCGAGAGCAAGTGGTTTTGCGAGAGCAAGGTCGCCGCCACCCGGAATTGTTGTTCTGAAGTTCTAGAAAAGTTGGCGAGGTGAACGAAGACAGGTGTAGTAGATCGTTGTGAGGCTGCTGTCAACAAGACGAGGCTGTAAACTAGCTCTTCAAGCTTCGAGATAAACGAATTAGCCAGACTTCAGCCGGCGATAAGACATGGACGTGAATGCTTCAAGGTCCCCGTTTGTACCCAATTAAAATTTATACATACCTTGAATTGGTACCGTATTAACTGCCGTTTAATCCTCCTGCAAAAAAGACAATCCTTGAATAAATAGTGTTTTAAACTTGCTGTTGGAAAATCTGGTATTTTTCTGGTAGAAGCGGAGGAGGAAAGTTGAGTCGGGATCCCGTGAAAGTAACCTTAAATCTAGCCAAACCCAAATTTCCTCAATGGAAAGAAATACAATGATTTCCTTTCCCTCTCGACAGAAAAAAAGCTCAGTGTTCCGAGGAGCCAAGTATTCTTATCATTGGGAACACAGCCAAGTGGTTCGAGTGCTGCCAATGGATTCGAAGGTGGCTTGGAGCCCACAAGAAGTAAGCATTCTAATATCCGCCAAAGCCTCGTCCGGCAGGGCTCCCAGCCAGTTCCAGGCAACGCGAGGGCTGAGATGGGATGAGATGACACGAACGTTGTGTACCCCCGTATCGACTTCCTTCGAGTATAATTCCGCCGGCTCCTATTATTAGAGGGGATTCATCTCCAGGCAGATTTGCGGTTTGGCCTCGACAGCGACGACGACGACGACAAGTTAATGGTTTGGGAAATTCTGGCTACGGCATCATATTCATACTGTTTTGGGGGTTTCTCAGCCATGATCTAAAGACTGCATAGTGCATTAGTGGTGCAGGCGTCAGGGAATAGGGGGAGGGGGCTAGGCTATGAATGGGCGCTGTCGATATTGCGCTTCCGCTGCGAGATAAGGAAGTTGCTGTTGAAGGGCCGGCGGACACCTTTTTCTTTTGGACTTCCTTTTTACTAATGAATGCCTCTGCTTGCTGATAGAGGGGCTGTTCAGGGGGCTCCTGGTCTGTTCCAAGACTTCGGTATCCTGTAAGTTGCCTCCGTTTTTTGGGCTGGGTGCTCCACTGATATGATTTGCAGCAGGCAGGCTGTACGGTTCGATCGAAGCGAGGGGATCACCAGGTCGAACGAGCGTCATATTCTTGATTGCTTTTTCTACGTCGTGGAGGAGGATCCTGACAATGCATGTCTCACCATATCACACCGTTCCTTCTCCGCATTTCAAACATCACTCAGAAGGAGGAGGAAGAGAGGAACACTGACTCCTCGAGGGTTCTCGGTTCAAGAATACTGTATCTGGTGGTGGAGTTGTATTACTGTAGCTGCCAAGACGGGCTTAGAGGTCGCCTTACACACCCTGCTACTGGCACTATACCCGAACATTGTCTAGGTAAGATAGACTATCAGATATTCCCCGACCATGCCACGACTCACGAACGCTATCTACGGACCTACATCCTGAAAACATGGGGACTCGAAGTTCGCACCTTGTTCGAGAGACTTGGTAGAGGATATCTACAAGGACAGCATCTGGCTTCTCCTCCTGACGCCGTTGATGTCGTTCTGATTTGTACGACACTTTGCTGCCAGGCTTGCAGATACAGGGACCAGGCTTCCTGCAAGCCCTGCACGTATCTCCAACCCCACTCCCACTCCCCACCCACGCCAAAGAAGGTTGATCTAACCAGAATAGTAGTGCCAAACCTCCCTCGAGAAAGGGGACACGGCACGCAGACAGACTTCCCGTTATGCCTCAATTACCGACGCTGAGGAATATGCATATTGCGCATTCAGTCATCGAACCGTCCCATTCTTCAGCTCCACGAATCTTTCCACGGAGACACACAAGTAAGTGCACGGAGAAAAGAAAAAAAAGCAAAACGGTCCTCGGGACGGCGCCGCAGCCAGTCAGTGCTCAATAGCTCGAAGCGACGAGTTTAGCAGGTGTGGACCGGCACTAGCAAAACTACGCAATTATCCGCAAACCCGTTGGGCGCAAAAAGTGGCAGGTGTGTGGAATGAGACATTTATTTCTCGGTCGTCGGTGGCACTTTTCTTCTTCTATCTTTCTGCAACGAGGAAGACGAAGAAGAAGAAACGTCCACTTTACATACACGACCAGCTTTTCTCCCTCCCTGGGCAAGGCGTGGTGGGGAGAAGTCAGTTCGGTGGAGACAAGCAAGCATATCTTCCCGCCAAGAGAAAAGGAAAACGATCGGCGTCCCGACAACGCTTTCCTCGGAACCACCACGTGGAGATTCTAGAAGATTTGCGGATTTGCGGATCTATACGGGTCCCAAGTGCTGTTGATGCGGTGTAACCCTTTTACTGCAGCGCTGTGTGTTGGGAAGAAATGGTAGGTGCGCACACGTCCATTTGCTTTTTCGGTTCGTGAATGTCTTATGTCTTATATCTATTCATCTGCCCCTCTTTGCATCTGCAGACGTGTTTGAAGAATTGGTACCGAAACTCATAGTTTTGACTACTGTACGACTTTCTTAAAGCAAGAGCTCTGTCATCTCCGTGTCTCTCGACTCCCGCTCGAAAGCCATATCAATAGCGTCATACGGGAGCGTTGGCTGTCATATTCTAGCCTTTCGCCCCCAAGGTTGCGTTATTTCAGTTGTGTGCCGTGTATGGCGTCTAAGTGGAGATTGAGATGCCGAGATTTTATCTGTTTTGGGTGTTTTGGCCACTGAAGTGTTATACTCTGCATTGGGTTTACAGTACACGTGCGGGGCTTTTTCTCTTGAAGTTTGTTTCTATATCGAGTCTACGAGGCATTGAGGTGGCATGATAGTCTGTTCGAGTATCCTACATCCTACGATTAAGATATCAGGTAAGTTCGCTTGGAAAAAGGAGACGACCACGCAAAGGTATCAGACACGAAACCTCGCTTGAAATAGGAGACGCAGATTCCTTGAGCGAATGAGCTCGCTCGCAGTTGGGCACTCTCGCTTCATTCAGGGGTACTCTACGTGTCAACCGCTTTAATCAGCTGGCTGCCGATGACTCTAGAGGTATGCGAACCTCTAATCTGCTGGAAAGACGTCAATTGGCAGCGCATATCAGAGGATGTACAGCACGCGTCAGCATTTCAAGCGAATGTTCACTTGGAACAGGAGACACAGACCCATCGACCTATCAAGCGTGCTCGTTCTGGAGTACCTAGGTATGTTCGCTCATCTCAGTAGCGGGTCCGCTCGTCGAGCTGTCTGGCACTGTAAACGCAGCTTAGACAAGGCAGAGGTGGCTGTATAGCATATTCACATTAATATACAGCAAAGAAGCATAAGACATCGGCATCAACATCATAACCGACTATCCTCCGCTTGACATAAGAGAACCGAACATCCTAAGCCAATGAGCTTCCTCGCAATAGATAGGAGGTCGCCGCTTGTTCTCCCTCCACCCATCCGCAGGCCGAAGTGTCGAAGGCGAGAAAGTGCTCGATATGCCAAAGTACAGTCTCGCTTCAAAAAAGGGGGAATCGACATCTTCCGCTAGTGATGGCGGCGAGCTGCATACTCCACATACCCGCAGCAGTGCTAACCCGCTTGCGAAAAGGGGAATCGAAAGCTAACGCGCTAGAAAGATATTGTGAGTGTGCAAAGAAAAGGGCTTCATGCGCTGGTTGCATTGACAGTCGGACACAACATTTGTTTGCTGCGGCAGCAAAGATATGCAACCCCAAGCGGGTGGTGAACTTTGGTGGATGGATGTTGGTTCATACCTGTGTTTTCCATCAGGCATTAAAGATTATCGGCATAGGTTCGACTATCAGCAAGCGGGACTGGCTAGCTGTGAAAAGGAGGCGAAAGTCGAGCCCGGGATCTGTTTACTTGGGAAGGAGAGGGGACGAAGCTATATTTCTTGTGGCAGAAGACGTTGTTGATTTCGAACATTGAATGCTATGGATACAGAGGTTCAGCAAGCGGGAGTGGTTCGCTTTGGAAGGGAGGCGGTAGTCTGCAGAAGGCATAGGTTTACGTGCAGCCAAGGATAGTTTGCGACGATGCTGGAGGAGTAGCATGGCGATTACGCTGTGAAGGGACATTTCTTGAGACAGGACAAAATAAAGAGTTGAGAGGTACGTAGGTGTGGAGCGTGATGTTTGCACGAGCAGCGATTTTGATGATATCTACCAAGAGCTGGTGGAAATCGACAAGCATGGTATAACAGACTAGTCTGTCAGGACAGTTGAAGCACACACAACCAGCAACAATGAACACAAAAAATCCAGAGAACCCTAAGTATGCAAGCAGAATAGATTGAAGACTATCTTCTATGCCCACGCAGCTTAAGATGCTAAAACCTGCTATTCAAATCTTGCCACCAGCACCAAATGCATGCAAATGACCTACCTTCTTTCTATCCTCGCTAGCACTTATCCCTTCTGCTTAACAATCAACTCCCTCACTTCAGGCAAGCCTTCCCATCCTCTTCCAGCCCCACCAAACGACACACTCTTCTCAATGACTTCTCTCCATCGCAGACCCGGAGCCAGCTTCCCTGTAATTGTATTTGGCCTTCTCACATCTGCGTTCGTTGGGACAGGTAACGCTCGACCAAGTAATGCCTCCATAGCTTGCATGGCGAATCCAACAGCTTTCTTTGCATTTGAAGGCACGCCTGTTTTATCAAATGATCCGAATCTAGCTCCAGGAAACTCGTTCTGTAGATCAGATATCAGCTGCATGTTGAACATGCCTCTGCCGTCGACTACGATATCTGCATTATTGATAGCATCTCTGCCTGGCCCAAATAGAAGCATCTGCTGAGCAATAGAAGCGGATGTGAAGCGTGTCATAGTCGCAATGGTATCTGCGGGAGTACAGCCACGGTAGGTACACATCGAAACGATTCGTTGCGCTTTTGCATCACCGTAGATCTCGCGGGCTGTGGTTTTGGGAGGCCGGCTAGAAAGGTACTCGTCGGATGTGAGGAGTTCTTCGACAACTTCGTGGCAGATCTGACCGTGTAGGAGAGATGAGGCTTGGTCAGTAGTGGGGTCGAGTCCGAATTGGCGGAAGGCAGAATCGATCATGCAAGTTCCTGGACCAGTGTCCCAGTCGTACATAGCGTCAATTCCTCCACAATTATCGGGGGGTATGAAGCAGGCCGTGGTAATACCGCCGATCGTGATGCATATTTGGAGTCGAGTAGGATGGTGAAGCAATAACCCAACGAGATATGCGAATAGTGGTGCTCCTTGTCTGCCAACAGCTTGCTCTGCTGTTCGATAATCCGAGACAGTTGTAATGCCTGTCTTTGCTGAGATCACAGCTCCTTCCCCAAGACACATGTTTGATCTATGCTGCCCTTTTGGTGGCGTCCCCGTCAACGATATCAATTGTCCTCCAGACCCGATCATGTCTATATCATCTATCGATATGCCGTGCTTGTGTGCGAAAAGGTGGATTGCGTTTGCAAACGTGTGACCCATCTCGGCGTCCATTTGGGACAGCATGCTCGGAGGGGCTGCATCTTCTCGTAACATGGAAAATATATCTGTTCGAATCTTCGAGGGCATCACGACAGAATCGTACTGTAGAGAACAATTAGATATAGACAATAGCGGGGTAGGGTATAAGGGGTACCTTGATCAAATCAAGACATAAAGGAGACTCTGGCGACTCTTGAGTGAACCGGCATAGCGCAAAGTCAATGTCATCCATAGCCGTGCCAGAAGTGATCCCTAATATCAGCAAGTCCAAGCCAGGACTCTGATGCACACTTGGTGGTGACGACGACGAATTTGAGCAGTCGGAATGACCATTTGCTTTCGATTGTAACGCTTCGAGGTATTTGTGACCAACAGATGTCCGTATCCGCCCCTTTGGAGCAGGTGTAAACCCCTTCATTGTCCTCGCCATCTATGCTGTCGACGTGCTCGTATGCACAACGGTATCATTTCGTCGTCAGGAGTGTCCAAGCATTTCGAAACTAAACTTGGGGCCTGTAGAGTCTTTATGAAGTCCTTCTGTACTGAATTAGCCTTGACTAAGTACCGTACTGTGCTCCGCATTCATGCTGTAAACTAATGCTAGTCATGGGCTCTCTCCACTTTACTTTGAGGATGTCAAACGATCGGCGGGTATCCTTTGTATTCCCAGTATCTCCGGAGAGCCTGTAAGTACTGTAAGAGATTAGTCTTGCTGCAGTTGGATCAGTTGGGTGTAGCAAAACTGGATGCATGGCGTGAGCATCACGAATTTTTCGGAAGAATGGTAGCAATGTAGTGAGAAATCAGTGTTGGGCGGACAGTTGGCAAGCATTTTCTCGACGAGGTTACTCTTTCCCAAAGAGGCTCAATCTTCCCACGAGTGCCTAGTATTTTAGGCATGGAGAATTAGCTCCTGAGACGGGTTCGTGCCGCCCGCCAGCATTGCATTGACAAAATCACATCATCAAGACGAAATACAAGGAAATCATTCTCTCGTATCTGTTGGAACACTACGAAGAGTGGTGGTAGTGGTGATAACCAAGTGGTACAATGTGTGTATTTTTCACGCCATATGCCGACAAGGTGCTTCGGCCCTGGACATTGCATCTATTTTTGCGGCAATTCCACTTTGAGGATCTCCAAAGAAGGACCTCCGGCGAGCATTCTACCAATGACTCGTTGCCTTTGAGTTGTGGAATCTTGGTGGGCAGACAAAGTGATGGCTCGCCGTTGGCGTCAAAAGCAGCCAGCGTTGCACAGCCTTTGCACAGAGTCTGTCATTGGCTTGTTGTTTCCATACTGTTGGGAGTTACATGACACGACATGCAGGACTTTCTATCTCGACATAGCAACAAGTGACGTTAGACCAATAGCCTGCAGCACATGCTCGATACCTTAATGCGGACTACTTCGACGATCCTGGCAAGGTACCATAAGCCCAAATTCGAGCCGTGAAGATAATCTAAGGAATTTCACTTGTTTCCTGGTCTACACCAGTCGGACAATTTCATGCCCCTAAGAATCTTCCCAGAGTCCGGCAATTGAATCCCAATATGGTGGTTCACGTGCCTGCCAAGACAAGGATCTGATCTCCTGTATGAGCTTGACTGAACACAGTACATTCTCACGTGTCTACTATATTTCCGCGGTCTCATTTCGAGTACTGATTGGAGCCTGGCGCTAAGCAGACCCAGTTGACCCCTCTATTGTTAGTGCGGGGTACCATGGCATTCTAGTTGGGCTGGGGCTTTCCATCTGAGCGAAGTGTTGAGACACTGATTCATACCTTGTTGATGGCCACTCAGAATTGCGAGTCGTGTCTTGGGGTCTCAATCGAAACATATTTACCACATTAGGGCAAGAATAAATATCAACAAAGTTAATAGATATTTAAAGGAGCCCTAAAAACTGCGTCCCCTTCAACAACAGTAGAGAATGTATTTAATAAAGTCCAAAAAGCTCCAGATATCCACACATCTCAACCTACCCTCCAAATAACAAAATTCTCCACAATCACAGAATGTAACGAAATCCCTCCTGTTCCCAATCCGTCTCGTCCAACCCCGCACTCGGCAGCTCAACAACCCCAATCTCACCACTAAGTCTTCCTGGCTCAGCCTCGATCTTGACACCCTGAGCCTTATCCCTCCTTTTATTCTCCCAATCCATATACTGCCTCAACACCAAGATATCCACAATCCCCAAGCACAAACAAATAATACAAACCTTACACCCAGTCTGATAATGTGGTGCCTCCCTCGCGAAGAACACTTGCGGCCCAGAAATATTCCCTGCACAATACGCAAGGAATAGAATCGCGCTCACAACAGTCTTTTTCGTGTATCCCGCCACATCACTAGCGATTATGCTCAAAGAAAGAGGGAAACCCGAAGCGTAAGCAGCAAAGATGCATACACCGCCGAGACGGCCGCTCTTATGTGAGGCGGGGAGGTAGCCGACGAGACACCAGCCAAGAGTTGCAATGCAGAGCAGGCAGGCGATGATTATGCAGCGTGAGCGTCGGAGTTTGGTGGCGAGGTAGGCGGCGGTTAGGGTGAAGACTACTTGACAGGCTCCCTGAGGCATACCGAGTTGGAGAGTTCGAAGTTCGCCATAACCTAGGCCTTTAATTATCACGGATGTGAACTGAGCGCTGTTAGCTTCTGAAGGAGGGAAGAGATGTGGAAATGAAGACAGACATTTGTGACTCCACCATTGGGCAAGCTCGTAAGAGCAGTATAGAAGAAGAGCAACCAAGTCTTCGGATCCATAATCGCCTCCAGTGCTTGACTCGGCTTCCAATGCGTACTCTTAAAGCTACGAGACTGTTTCTGAGGTCGACTATGCGCGATCTCTCGCTCATGAGGCGTCAACCAGCGCGCATTCAATGCACTATCAGGCATGAAAATCATCAGTACCATCGACCAAACAAAAGTAATCAGCCCAAAGATAATAAACAGCCATCTCCACGCCGCAAGCGGGCTTCGAATCTCGCCTATAGCATATCCCAGTACACCCCCAAAGATACTCGCCTGTCCATTTCCAGCGAACCATATCCCGTGGCGGAGAGAGTGTTCTGATGGCTTGTACCATAATCCAGTGATCAGACTGAAGCCTGGACTGATGATGCTTTCGAAAACGCCGAGAAGGACACGCAGGATTATGAGAGAGGTGAAGTTTGAGGCTGCGCCATGACACATTAAGATTATAGACCAGCAGAGGATGGCGGTCGAGAGGTACTTTCCAAGGGGAAATTTGACGAATCCGATGGAGCCGGGGAAGGAGGCGACGAGATATCCGAAGTAGAACGCACTACTGCACCAAGAATATTGTTGACCGACTAGATGCTAGACATGGGTTAGTTGGGCATATGGCGAGAGGAGGTGATCCCACTATATCTGCTTGTATTCCCATAACGGCTGTGTATCCAAGGGTGATCTTGTCGAGATATTGGAGCATGTAGGTGACGAACATGAACGGCATCAAGCTTCGTAAGAATGTTAGATTTAGTGATGATGACTCTGAAGATGATTGAAACTTACTGCACATCGATTTTGCGCAGAATAAGTTTCTCCTCGTCATCCACAACGACAATCTGGGGTGGTAGCTTCTCGTCGAGCTGGATGTCTGTGGGTTCTGGCATCTTTTCCTCCATCATGAACTAACTGCTTGAAAAAGAGTGGCTGTTTTCTAATCACCGTTTCTAAACCAATGAAACAGAAAACAGTTTCCAGAGCTGAGATCCGCGAAGATGTAGAGTAGAAGACTGGGGAAATAGTGAGACATGCTGGATGCGGGGGGAGGAGTATATATGTTTTTGACCATGTTGACAATGCTATCATCGGCTTCGAAGTATTCGGACGACCGCAAGATGAGAACCACTTGGTCCATTGCTCATCGCGGAAGGAGAATCTGGAGTGATCGATACACATTTTGATCTTGCGTAGGATCATCGATAAATCGGGACGCAACGGCCAGGTCAATCATGCCGATGGGGCCATCCATTGTTGTACGAAGGACGTCGCTCTCTGATATCAACGAGGGGAGGTTGAGGTTGTGGTTTCGTTTTCCCGAAGATCATCATCCTTCTGCGCCACAAGGTCGAAGTTCTCCAGCCACATTCCAAACCACAAGCCGAAGCTATTGGTCAGATCTTCCGAACCTAGAGTTCAGCCCCTCCACGGATATCTTGACCTCGTCTTTCTCTCGATGTCCTTGCATTTCGATCCATCTCATCCTTTTCCCCGTATTTCTTATTCTGGATAATATCTGCTATCGGTGGAATAACAACATGATGCCGCAAGGCACACCAAAAGAGCGTTTCCCGAAAGGTCGGACCGAGCCTCTACTCCTTGGATCCAGTTGCTGACCGAGATAGGATGCAATCCATGCAGGGGAAAAAAGCAAAAGTGTGACGAAAGCAAGCCATTGCCATGTGGAAGATGCGTTAAGACGGGCCTCTCCTGTTCTTGGCCTGGACCAGAGAAACCACTTCCTGTGAAGAGACGTGGAGCTGGTTCCTGGAAATCACGGGCTCAAGATGGGACATTGATGCTACCGGATATCCAGCCAAGCACATCAAGTTCCGTGGGCGAATTAGATGCGCCAAGGAGTACGCTACAAGGAATACATGCTGACTCCTTCACACAACACCCTTCTGCTTTCGGAGGTTCGTTCGCAGATCTAGGTTATGAAGAGGATGAAGCAGAATACCAAACGTCGTCGAATGTTCGAAATGATTTCATACCAAGGGCGGACTTGCCTTTCCCAGAATTTGCCACTATCACAGACTTTGCAAACATCTCTCCACCGAATAGTCTCAATCATCATGTATCCTCTCATTGGGCTTCCCTCTCAATACCTACACCACGATCACCATCCCCAGTCTTCATATTTCCACCCTCTTCGTTTCTATCCGACAATTTCATGACGTTGCCAAACTCTCTGAGACTTAGCGACAATGCCCATCGAGCCTTGGGACATTATCAAACCACATTCTCGATATACAGGACAACCAAGGATCCAAAATGGTCGACTCACAAGTTACTACTGGACCTTGGCGCCAAGAGTACTATGATCATGCGGTTCATCATTGCTGTTGCCATCAACGATGTCTGTCATCGCCAAGACTATGAAGCCTCTCTAGAGGCTCAAGAGTATTTCGAGAAAGGCGCCCAAGAGCTGATCGAAATGATCCAGAGAGACTCTGATGAAGACTTCGTGATGGCGATGGCAGGGTTTCTCTTCTTATATTGGCAAGTAGTGTCTCGAATTCTAGGTTCACTATTTCTTCCTGCTTGACACAATCTGTTGGATATACCATCAATCTCAGTTAAAGCCCCAAGAATCGAGAGCTAACCCACCTACCAGGTACATGCCGAAGCGAAAGTCTGTACCACGAGCACGAATTCAACAACTAAGCATGACTGTGCTTACATATTTGAAGAGACACAAGCTCGACAGTCGATGTCTGGAATCGGATGAACAGGAAGATGCTAGCGACGCTTCCTCAGGCCTCACTGATCGCGATCGCTCTATTTTGGCTCGTATCATCATCTGTATATTCGATGAAGATGTCAAATGTGGGTTTCAAGGTGCAGGTGGTTGTCTCGCGAGATATCTAACAGCACATCGCGAGAGGACAATGGCAGTATACGAAGTCTCCCGGACAGTCCTCAAAGCTTACTGGGGTACAAGTTATCCAGATACCCAGACTGATGATGACGACTACAACGCCATGGAACTCGAATTCCTTTGGGCGTTGACAGCTCTTTGGCAAGACATCAATCAACTTTCACAGGATCCGCCGTCAACTCCAAGTCAAGCTCATAGGCGTGTTGAGCAGAGATTCAAACTACTTGAGAAGGTCAGCGAATCTACTAGACACCATCAAGGCCCTGCTGACAATCCACAGAAGTATTCATCAGTCTTCCAAAAGTCTGCAGCGATGACACAACCACGCGCAGGCGACCGAGTCCTAATCAACGCAGACTACGATGTGGTATTATTCCACTCCTTACGAGTGTACTATTTCCGAGCCATAATTTCCGATTCCAATACTGCCGAAATACCCCAAGATATCAAACAAGCCCTAGATATCATGCTCGATATCATCCAACGAACATTCGCATCGAAAAGCAGTGAGCTCCACGACAGACTTCAATGGCCACTCTTCCTCGCTGGAATAGAAACCGATAATGGACTCTATAGGAAGGCCATAATGTCCAGTATCACAAGTCGCAGAGCGAGGGAGGCTTTGCAGAAGACCATCGATCACCAGACCTGTTCAGGGAAACGCCTGGCGATGAGCGTGATCAAGGCATTATTGTGCGAAAGCGATGTCGAACCAGTCTATTCCTTTTCTTCGGGACAAGATTCTTTCCTTGACACTATCGTTGAGAATGTTTTCTAAGGTGTCATCTGCTCTTTGCCATTTAGCGGGCGCTGCGGTTTTGCCAGTCAGGAGTTATAACTTATCACTACCAACCTCGATTTGACATTGGGACTCCACAACTGCTTATATTTTCCTTCAAGAAACTATTGGAGAAAGGCTTTTGCAAGTTTAACAAGCTGATCTGTATGATTTATCATTGCGAACATTGGCTGGACGAGTATTGTTGTGCATAGTCTCAATCAAAGCATCTGGCGCCTATCAAAAGGAACATGTAACAAGTCCTGATTTGCACACGGAAAGGTCTCAGTACTCGTCGGAATGCCTTGCGCAAAGCCGGTCTGTCACAGACTCCCAAGTGGGGCTCTTGGTTCGCTGTTGTTGTTTCGGCCGTACAACAAATTAATCCAACCAAGTCGTTGGCTACGTGGCTCTAATCTAAGCTAATCGATCGCTATTCTCCATCCTGTCTGCTCCACAAATTCAAGCAATATCTGCGGGCGCCCTCCACATGCCGCTACATCCGACAATGTCTCAGTGTCGACCACTGTCAAAATACGCCACCGAACAGAAGTAATTAGTTAACGGTGTGGCAGCCCGATCATTTTCTAGCATTTCTGCCATGCGCATCAAGAAGGTTGAAATCATGAATGTTCAAGATATTGAGAAATTCCTTTGCGCTTGATGGAGTATCTGTCTGGGATTGTTTACCGAATGCTATGAGCGACTTGGGAATTCGGTACTCTGCTCGCAGATCTGTATAATTCGCGACCATACGGCTGGGTGTATCATGTTCCCTAGCAGCGGGAAGTCCCTAAGCTAATATTATCTGTGGCGTTCAACAGTGAACATCACTGGACAGGCTCTGCCGATGCCACCTAGAGTTTCTCAAGTTTGGGGCTGCTTTGACCCAAATTTCGCTGCTTGGTGACTAGAGACAGCGGGGTCGAATTGGATAAGCAAGTCGAATGCGCCATTTGAGAGTTTTGGGAAAGTGTGGCTTGCTGGAGTAGCCTGTAGAACCCGTTCAATCTCAGCCGCAAAAGCCACACTCCCCACTGCCCCCAATCATCTTTATCAACCTTTCACTTGATTCCAATGAGTTCCGATAGAGCTGAAAGATATAGTCTTCCACGTGGATACTTTTGGATAGAGGTGTGCCTTGTCTCAACAAATGGAAAACTTGCATTTTTGCCTCCATGTCGTCGTTCCCGTCAACTTGTTCGGCGTCCATTATTATGTCCTTATGCCTGACCTATATCTGCTAAGACCTTATAATGGCTGTAGTTGAAGCTTGGCACTTTCTTTGTGAGAGCTTGTTGTTCTGTTTCAAAGCTTGATTAAGCATTCCACGAAATTTCACCTCTTTCTGAGTGGCACAATGTCGGAATCCCAACCCGAGACCACCGAAAAACCTATACCACTCAACGATCTAGAAAGTAGCAAAGCTACAGCAACGGAAGGGACTACCGAGACAGCTCCAGGAACATCTATTCCGGTCAATGCTACTGAAAATAGCAAAACTGCAGCTACTGAAGAGACTATTGAAACTCTAGATGAGAAAACACCTGCAGCGGACGATCATACAGGGGATATCAACGCTCCAGCTACTACGAAGACTATCGTGACTCCGGTACCAAATACACTTGTATCAATCAACGATTTTGCAGATAGTAAGGCTGCAGCTACTGGTGAAACCATCGAGATACCGCCTCCGATAGCATCTAGACCCGGTGATGACATCGAAAGCAACAAGGCTGCCACGAACCCTGAAGATGACGAGAAACCAGTGCCGTGGCCGATCCCTCAATGGGTCAAGACATCTGTCAACGTCTTTGCAGCAGGATTTTTGAGCGTTTTTGCCTTTCTCTTTTCAGAGCGTTCAGGCGGTCGAGGATTTATGCTATGGTTATTCTGTGGGCTTCTATTGATTCCACATGGTTTCCTGGTTTACAGATGGCCTCACGGAGACTATGGAATTGGTGTTCTGAACAGCCACTTTTTCTGCGGGGCTCATGGAGAAGGTTTCATGATCTTTTTAATTCAGTTACCTATCAATGTTATGGCCTCGCTGATAGTCTATGCTGCTGGCTATGTACGATGGAAAGCATGGTGGCCGTTGAAAGTGGTGCTTTTCCTGCTTTCAATTCCTGCTCATCTGCTGTAGGAGTCAATGTCCCCTAGATTTCCAGACATGCTAACAACGAAAAGGTACAATAGTATATTCTTTCACAGCGCGCCTGCACGAGACTCTTACGAAATTCTGGTCTCGTACGACTTCTTACATGGAGGAGCACCGTTTGACTTGGCAACAGTCCCTCTACGCCAGTCAAGTGGCAAATCAGACGCTCTCGGCGGAGACTACCACATGATGCTTCCTGGACTTCAGAATCTGAGCGATACAATCACACAAGTCCAGCAAGCGGCCATGCAAGGCCATGTGTTACCGGGATGGAGCAACAAGACAATCAAGAAATGTACTGAGAGATACGAGAGCGGAACATATGATCAATTCTCAAACGTGATCATCGTTTCGAATTGGACTGCACCGCAAAATCAAAACAACTCTGTCTTGGATCTCACAATCCTCTCTGGCTACGCAGGCCCAAAGCATCAAACATGGCAGGCACTCGCATCACTCTGTCCTGACAGCTTCTTCGAGATCAATAACCTGACCGAGCCCAAGACTTGGAAGAATATCGACGGCAACGCACCTGAGGGCGCTTGCGACCCTTACGTGCCTAAGAAATGGAACACCAAGGAGAAAAACTTATTCATTAAATACTGCCTCAGCGAAGAACCCAAAGAAGTCTGCAGACTTTTGTACAGCCCTCTCGTCCTCAAACTTTGCTTCTGGTTTCTGGTTGCTATTGTGGGGGCCATGGGGCTCGGGCTTCTGTTAGGACTTTTTGGTGTGGAAGAGGAATATGCGCCTCAGCCGGAGACAGGGGTGATCGTGCTCGCGTTCGCTACGGTTTGTGTGTCGTTCTTCGTTATGGTCATTGTTACGGCATATTCGAGAGCTGCTCATTGGCACCCGGCAGGTAAAAGGTTGGTTACCGAATCTCTAGAAATGTTTCCGCAGACTTGTGGATGAGGGCTAACTTCTATCGCAGTGACCAAGCATGGATTCTAAGGGTACGGTTCCATCTAGCATCTCTTGCGCTCCTCCCCAAATACCACACTCCTCATAATCTCTGATCTTTGCTGACTCCATCCTGTCCTTAGGCCTTCTGCGTCGTCAACGTCGTCCAACTAATCGACACAATTTGCGATGCAATCATCGTCCCTTGGGGTACCTCTCCATGGTACACACTTCTAAGTATAGTCTGGCACTGGTTCCTCTCGGGAACATTCAGCTTGAAACTCAGCGACCGATATCTCATCACCAACACTCCGCCGGGCTACGATGTCGTTCCATATTCGGACCTTTCGTCGCTCTGGTTCAAGTGGCTATTTGTTACTGTTATCAAGCTTGTGTGGACTGATCTTTTCTCGCTGCTGTTTGTCTTGTTCTTGTTTGGGTTGCCTTTTGCTGCTAGGCTTTTTGCTCAGCAGGCTATTTTGGAGGAGGACTTTGACGGCTGGGGAGATTAGGTAGCTTCTCTTTGAGGGTCTCAGGAGTTTGGAGGCTCTCTGCTCTGCATGAGTTGGCCTGTTGTCAAGTTGGATCTATAGGTTCTGGTGGTCTTTCTCCGTCGTTGGTGCCAATGGTTGGGTGGACTAAGCTTTTTGTCCTTCTTCTTTTTCTCTTAGTACCTTGGAAATTAGGGGGTTCGGGATGGAAGATCGTCTCAACGAGTCTACTTATGATCAGAGTCAATTTAACAGGGTCTTATGTTATGTTTACCTTTAGGCTTTCTCACTTGGGGAGTCCGGGTTTCGGCAACTCTTCGCTCGTTGTCTGTTCGAGGACGCGTGTAATTGCTTTTGAACTATTTCTTAGCCACATCAGCGGAATCTTCTCAAAATCTCCTTGTGTTTTAAGATTTACCTCTGCAACGGAATCCATTATACATACCTTCTATGTGGAAGAATGACGAAGTGTATGCGGGACATTGAAGTTTTCACGTGACTATCCTCGTGAGAAACCTCCGGTCAGCACAGTCTGGAAGTCTCCTTTCCTCCATGACCTCCTTTAGAAGTCTCTGTTTTTTATAACTACACTCTTTCATGTGCTTGTTGAAGAATGAAATCCAACCCCTTCTTGCTCATCAAAGGTTAATGAATTTCATTGTAGGTGTGACCAACGTACCGTTCTTCAAGCGAAGCTCTTGGAGCTATGCTTACTTAAGACTGATGACACGTCACCTAGAACTGGCCCTAACTTCACATCGATCAGCATAGTTTCACCTGAAATCCTCAATTCATAATGCCTGAACTAGCTTCTGCATCTTCTGAGGCAAATCTTCCAGTGCTGTCGAGTGTCACTGGCTTCTCTAAGCTTCCAATCGAGATCCGTTTGATAATTTGGCAAGATTACTCCCCATCTAATGCTTGCACCACTTTACAGTGACTCGTGTCTCAATCTATGCATTTCTAATCCATTGGGCAGGAAATTGACGCTACCTGGTCCAAGGATCCCTCCCATTTGGCTTATTGAGGAATCCGCCAAAAATAGTGATGGTAGCTACAGCATGATACATTATCCCGTCACAAGCGCAGCGCACCCAACACTCCTTGCCGTGAATCACGAGTCCAGGGCTGAGGTCCTCAAGCGGTACAGCATCTTCTTTGGAGACAGGGGCTTCTGCATTTCATATGACAATTCTCAAGATGCAATTTATATCAAGTCAAGTCTGGCGTGCACAGTTTCGGGTTCCCAAATTTTCCAGAATGGACCTCTAACCATGGCAAAATACGGAGTCCAGGACAACAGAATTAGAAAATTGACTGCTTCTACTCGTTGGGCCATTCATTTTGGTACAAAGGAAAGTCTTGAGATTGATGAGATTATGTTTGTGCCTCATTATAGAAAACTCAGCTGGGTAGAAACAAGAATTCTTGGAGGGTTTCCTGACCAACAAGCAGGCCATGATCTGCGCCAGCTATTGAGGGAAGCTTCACAGGAAAGCGGAAAGTCGTCTTATGATGAACCGGTAGTGAGAGTGGTTGAACCGGCAAGTTTTGAGGCTAAGGAAGACCCTTTTTGTGTTCATCTGAAGAGAGATGTTAAGGTGGCAATAACATTGAAAGATGCATTGGGCACATGATATGGCTCTGAGGCCCAGGCTTAATTAGACGTCTTCCTTAGAGCAGTCACTGAGTCATATTCTAGGCAATTGTAATCCGAATTCCCAGCTAGATCTATGTGATGAGATTCCGCGGCTCCAATAAAGTGTGACCTACCCTTCGTTCTATCGTTCTCATAGTCTCCGCGGCCTCGAGTACAAGCTTCCGAATTTCTTGGCTCATGCCCGACTCTTCCTTTCCAAGTTCTTCGAGGCGAGACAGCCAGAAGCCCCACCTTCGCAGGCACATTGTTTGTGGCCCTTGATATAAAACACCGCCTTCGAAATAGGCTGCCTCGTCCTCTTCTGAGACGTCTACATATCCGATGTTTTCCTTGGCCCACCAAAGAAGAGGCTTAGCGGCGTAAAGAATCCACATACACGCTATCTGTACTTTTGTTGACCTCCTCGCCTTTCCTTGTGTCATGATCTGTCGTTGGCTCTAGACCTTCTTCTATGGTGCTGAGCTCCTCCTCAAGTCCCGATCGAAGAGCGGACATGGACTGCTCGTAAGGTGACTGTACACTTGCACCGAGGCATCGAGCTCCGAAGCTGTTCAACTCTCGCCACATCTGTGCATACTTTGAACTACGATCTCTCATCATTGAACTAGGGCCTATAAAAGCAAGATTGTCAGATCTGGCTTTGAAGAGAAAAAAGGCTGAGAAACATACCATTGAAGCAGGTTTTCATGCAATCAGCAAGCATAGGAAGGTCTCTCCAGACACGGAACATTTTCTGCATGTCACTCATTAGTAACTATCGAGTGAACGCGAGCATATTTTATGTAGACTTACTCCGTACATGTTCACTTCTCATTTTGCATGTTGCCACAGCATCTCAAGAATATTCACGAGACGTGTGTGTATCTCACTTGTCACATCTTGACTCCTAGCTATATCAAGCAGCAGAGTCCACACTGACCACAGGTAGTCTAAGGTTGCTTCGTTTTGATTTAGAGGGGGGCACAAATTGTCGAGCTGAGAAGCAGCCTCTGTTGCTGCGTCTGGTCCGTCACATGATAGTCCTTGGATGAATATATCGAGTATGGGGTTTTCCAGTTCGGAGAGAGGTTCCTCCCGCCTCAACTTGAGATGGAGCGGATAACTTTCGTTCACCGACATCGTGTTCTGGCACGTGCGTGGAAAAGCTGTTTGTAACACAATTTGGGGATAATATTCACAAACTCATGAGGCGCTTTAGAAATGATGCTTTGATCAGTACGCGAAATAATGCTTTGATGTTTGAAAAGGTTAAGATAAATTTAGAGCTAGCCATGAACTTCAGAGGTCCGAGCTGTACAGCCCCCCACTTTCTTCTGCTCACGATCACGTGACGGCTTCCCCTGAAACTCGCTTGTGCCTCGCTTGGAATGGAACTTGATTTCGATTGCTATAAGCGAGTACCTACATACTTTGTTTTAAGAGGGCCTCGACAGATTTCCTATCTTTCCATCATTACATGTCAGAGACGCGCAGCACAATGGCGCGAGATCGATTAGCGGATTCGTCGTCATTGGCTAAATTTATCTTTCACCATGGTGTTAATGACATGAATTCTGATGCTCCACTTGATTTGTTGGAACAGAATGAAATGTCCAATTTAAACTGCAATATAATCCTTCACCTGCGAGAAATTCACAGACAAATCGAGAAAGCTTCGTTTGAATTTTGATGACCTTCAATACTAGTGCCATTTCATTACTTGCGGGCAATATCTCCCTTTTTTGCTATAGGGTCCTGGTTTGAGACCTAAATCAAGTAGAAGAGGAGCATATCCTTCCAAATATCATGTTTTCTCAACGATATTGGAATGAGCAAGTCTCGAACGTGAACGGCTCAGATCTGCTGCCAATTCATATAAATTAAGCCTGAAGCCCCCTCTTGATGTCTCTTGAATCAGTCATTCAACCGATTAGCTTCATCTCAAACAGTATCCATTATCCACCAAGTACTCCCAAAATAATTTCATCATGCAAATGTCTATTGCTACCTCTTCCTTTCTTGGCTTCTTGGGCTCCTCAACCTTTGCTACACCATTCAACGATCTTGTAGAGGCCAGGAGCACCGACATCGAGGCTAGGCAGAGCTGTCAAGGTACCTGTCTTGATGCTGAAAGCTGTACTACTGGAGATGGAACAGTTTACATCTGCGAAGTTGTAAGACTTCCTAGCCCACCATAAATGTCTATCTGATTTCCTCAACATGGAGCGATTAGGGTGCTTGTTTGAGTAGTTGCAATGCAGAGGCACCACCGCTTTCCCCTTTCCCCTATACTATCGTAAGTTCTTCCTCGACGAACATTGTGTGATCAATAGTAATTCTTCTATCTTAGTGCTTCTGAATGTTGTAGGTAGCGAATGTCAATTGCTGGGAATCTGCAAAGGACGAGACAGTTTTGTTGGGGAATCGCTTAGGATCCAACGTCCAGGCCGAGGAGAAGAAGTGGGATCAATCATGTTTGGGTTTCTTTTGAGATACAGCTCCCGTATATTTGACGTAACTTTCCACGAGGATCCACATGCAAGGATGTAGTGCTCATGAAGCAAATGGTTCAAGTGTGATAAAAATAATCAAAAACAAAGTTTATTGAAGCGTTTTACTGTTTGTTTCATCCAAGGCTGATTGATCACTTTCGACTTGAATTAATGGTTCATGGCTTCTCAGATCGGGACGCACTTGGATGTCACTCCAGGCGCTGGGAAAGCAGAAAACTCCACACTACAACTCACAGCTGATCGGTTCATATTCCTTCTGATTGAGATGTTGCCCACCTCATTTCTATTCAAACTCATAAAATCATCTCTCTCCGGCAGGTGATATGATCTGAAAAGCAACATCCAGGCAGCCGCTGCATTCCGAGATTTGGACGCGCTTCAACGCGTGCTCTTGATGGTCATAAGGGAAGTCTCAATTGAATCCTGCACATGTTAAATTGAACTCATCCATTGACTCGTTCGACGCGATCCTGTTCCGTGCAGTACATCTATTCAGGGTGTTGCTTGTATGACGCGACTCATCATGCCAAGACGTAGAGATATTTATTTCTGCAAGACTTTTATGTCACTCATGGTAGTATTCATCTGATTCCAAGCCAATCTAGCAGTTCATCTTAGCCTCTTTCTTGAATTCGGCTAGCATCCCCTCTCAAAAGCGCGGATCACGCTACTCCTTCTGTCCCTGAGCCACTTCCATTTAAGTTATCTTCCTCTCAAGACCACTCTCAAAAGCATCGGCGAAGAAATCATCATGACGGCAGATACACCGGATATCCAAGCCCCATCGATTCCTTCCTCACGATTTACTCGACGCTTTATCGAGCTCATGCAGCCAAAGGCGCGTACCTCTGCATCTCCCGCTCCTGCCAGCGATCTGCAAGTTGCCTTGGTCAGCACTTCATCTATCTCGGACACACTGGCTGCCGCGACCTTAGATGAAGATTCAACGGTGAATGAAACCGTAAGTCCCAGCTCTTGCGGCATGTCAGAATATCCAACTGATCTCTCCACAGGAAAACGAAAGGAACAGTTCCATTCTCTCGACGTTTACCTCATTCATAAATCTCCCGGTCGAGATTCGAAACCAGATATGGAGAGAATACATCGAGGACAATCCCCGTGTCATCCGTCTCGCACGAACGTCAAATCCACCTGCTATCTTCTGTCAGATCAACCAAAAATTTCGAGCAGAAAGGGAATTGTATGGATATGTCGACCTCAAGCGACAGACACAGGACGGAAAAGAGCTCACCACCATCTTTCACCCAGAAGTCGATCTTCTCTATCTCCCAGCAGCTCGCAGCATTCAAGTCGCTCACGCTGGTCTGAGACAGGCAGACAGTGGAATATATAGGGACACAATCATGTCGATTTTGGGGGCTTCTGACGCTTTGTTGAGGATCAGAAATATTGCATATCCTGGACCGTTGTTTTACAGTCCGGAAGCCTTCGTTCTCCCACTCCCGAATCTCGAGACCTTCTTCATAATTCTGTGGGAAAGTCCCCAGAGGCGTAAGGGTTACAGATGGCAGCTAAGTCAACGTTTTGACGACAGACCACAAGTGCAACATCTTCAACGCCTCGTTTCAGCAGATTCGCCAAATGCGAGGGTCTTAATATGTCTGAATAGAGTATGGGAGGAGGACCCTTGAGTGTCGGATTGCGGGCTTGAGACGTTAGCGACTTCGGACTTTTCAGGGTATTGCAAGTTTATTGATTGATTTGGAAGCGGAAATCTGGGTCAGGTATCAGGCCAGACCATGGATTCGTTCCTAGTCGAGAGAAAAAAACAATCACATTGCGATATGATGCACTGTCCGCCGCTCCTCGTGCTGCTAAAGCTCCACATTTAACGCGTTGGTGCGCTGGGTATAGGAGCTACTTCAGTTTCCCTGATCTCAATTAGCCTTTGGCTGCATAGCACCTGTGCAACTATACACCAGCAGCAAGAGGAGAGTAATGAAAGTCTCCGATATCTTACAATTGCAAGAACACATCTCAGAATTCCGTATTGTTTACTGCAAATGGTCAAGCTGAATGAAGTATGAAAGCTAAGTTTCATTTTGATTGTCTTCGATCAGCTGAAGTGAGCTATGAAGAGCTTCAGACAGCCTTAACTGCTGGGAAATACAAATTTGATCTCGAAATGCCCCACAAATGTGTGGTAATGACTATCAACAAATGCTTTTGGGTATCATTCCAAACCTTTGAATCCCAGGATACCATTTCCTGAATTATTGCCTTTTCTTGCCTTTCTTCGCTTCTTTCTTCGTTTTCGACCACTGTCTTCGTCACTGCTATCCGCAGCATCACTGCCATCACTATCACTTCCCTCGACAGCTCTCTTCTGGGCACCAGCCTCCTCTTCCTCCGAATCGTCCTCTTCATCGGACTCAATGTTCAACTTCTCTTGCCAGACTTTGACGATCGAGCCACCTCCGCTGATAAGTCTTCCTCCAACATCAAATCCCAGTCCAACGACAGCTTCGACCTCATCATGTCTCAGCTCACCAACAAGCTTGTTAGGGCCTAGCTTCACGATTCTGATTGATCCATCACCAAGCCCAACAACCACGTTCTTCCCACCATCGCCAACCTCTTCTGGCATGACGACCAAGGAATCTAAGCTCTCGCCTCCACCTCTTCCACCATCAACAATAATTCTCTCATCCTGATCATCCCAAACACCTCTCTCCCATAGTGTGAGCACTCCATTCGAGCTCCCAACCAGTATTTTCTGACCCTTGCTCCTTCCTGGCCGCGCAGGCAATCCGCCAACGAAGATACTACTCAGCAACTCCTCTTCTTGATTCTCGCTCTTGACCAATACGCCTCTTCGCAGATCCGTGACAGCCAATGTAGTTCCACCCGTCGTGACCCATTGTTTGCTGAATCCGCTCGTGCTAGCTTCTGTCGGAGGAAGAGGCGTGAGCGAAGATATGTAATCGTCGTGAGGCCGATGTGTCTGGCTAGGCTTCGCAGATAACTCGGAAGGTACTCGTAAGTCGTAGAGGTGGAGAGCAGCAGAATCGGTCGCGAGAAGCAGCGTTTGGGGGGAGAGCGGGTGAAGGAGGGTAGGAGGATCAATTCCGTTTGTGGATCTGTCTAAAGGGATGGCGAGCTTCGATACGACTTGGCCTGTTGACGAAGTTGCAGCTTTCAGGAAGCCGTCTGTGCCTGCGGAGTATAGAACTGGAATAATGTCAATAGAGCTCATCGCGGGGTAGCTTTGATTTGCATACTTTCACCGTCTCCGCTGTACGCCAAGGTCCGACAGCTTCCCTTATGTCTCCTAGTTCGCCATTCGGTGTCAATCGTGCTGGTACCGGTCGAAACGATGCTCGTATCTGGATCATCATCGTCGCTGGAGCTCCCAGGTACAGCAGGAAGTCGGAAGCATTGAACGTGCCCGGCAGACAATCCGACTGCAAGGACAGACTCTATTGGATGAAGAGCTTGGGTGAACAGCTCCGAAGAGAGCGGAAGTGTGCAGAGGTTCTCGAACATTGCTGGTGTTGGGCATGCTCATGCTCCAATTGAAGCTTGATGCTGGTCGTATGAGAATGTGATCGCGGAGAAATTTTTTGAGGATCTTCCGTTCGCTTCAGCCTCGCGTGCCCCTTTCTTTCTTTCAACGACAATCAACAGACCAGAATGACAACAAGTGTATGCAATGCTGTACATGATTTCATGTTAAAGGGTATGCTTTATCTCTTTTGGCGTGGAAAGCTATGCTCTACTATCCTTCTCAACCTTTTTATCAAACATTGGTTGAAGCCGGTCAAGGACCGCGCCAAGAAAAGCAACCGAACTAAGCACTGCTATAAGTCTTTCTGCTGCTTGAATTAACCACTATTGACAATGCGGTTGTAACTAGCTCATTGGGCATTTTAGCGGCTTGCTGCATGCGTTGTCGAGACCATATCTATTCTAGACTTGGAGGAGGCGGGTTTCACAACATCGGGTGTGGCTTCGAAAAGCGCCTTGGTTTTTTTCAGCTCGTGAGTCTATCTTACCATCCCCAGCCTTCTCTCTCCACTCAACACAATTATCCTCGATTTGGCCTTCCCTTCGATCTTCAGTCTCGCAAACATCGTCATGGATAACACATCTGCACTTGCTGAGGGACAACCTTCTTCCTTATATTTTGTGCAAAGTCAGATATTCAATAATAGTAGGAATACGACAGCACTCAAGACCATAATTGCCCCCTCGTTTGTAGCCAGTCCCGAGCTGAGGGGTACTTTGACGATCCTATGGAGCTGTATCATTACTCTAATAGCATGTATTTACACGGCACTACACCTAAACGTCCCAGGAGAAACTGGTAAATTCAAAGCTTTGGCGACAAAGGGGAAATGGGTACTCATAGGCCTTATTGCGCCCGAGGTTGTGTTATACCTTGCTTGCTCTCAGTTCCTCGAGGCTCGCCGTCTTGCAAATGAACTTAATCGCATTGCTCTTGAAAGAGGAGAAGAGAAATTGGCCAACAATGTAAGGATTGACTTCTAAACTTTAACCTCAATTAATCTGCTAATATCAAGACGCAGTCCGCGTTTGACATCAAGTACGGATTTTTCGTTGTCATGGGTGGCCTGGAGATCTCCGCGAAAGACATTGTTCGCAGTACCTGGAGAGACTCGCCAAGGGGAACTCTAGGCTCAGGGTCTTTGAGATTGACGCCGAATGGAGTCTTGCAACTTGCTTCACTGGGCTACTTTGTGCCTGTTCCACGATCCAAAATTGACGATAAGAGTAAGGCCGACGTGGTGCAGAAGTGTCTTGTCATGATGCAAGTCGTCTGGATGGCAACTCAGTGTATTGTTCGGAAGGTTTATGGTCTTCCTCTCTCACTTCTCGAAGTCCACACTATGGTGCATGTTTTTTGCGCACTTCTCATGTATCTGTTCTGGATGGAGGTAAGAGTTTCTAAGCTTAACCGACATTTACAAAAGAGCTGACATTGTTGCTCGTATAGAAGCCACTTGATATGCATGATCCGGAAGTCGTCAACTCGGAAGAATATGAGGATATCGTAGCTCTAATGATCCAAGAGCAATTTCACGACAAAGAAAGTGACGAGATCATCATATATCCTAAGAGTCACAATGTCCGAACTCGCCCACCTGCTATCAAATGGATTCACTCAAGCAACGCAGAAAAGCTGTATGTGACAGCCGAAAACGGCAAAGTCAAAGCCGTCAAATATGTGCCCATGGAGATAGACCAAAAGCAACCGACTATGCTATTGAACGTTGGCGAAGCTCTCGACTGTGGAGTAAGTCTTGTTTCCCGAATGTCTTCTTTCGAGAGAGAGGAATTCCGGGAACGTGTTGTACGTCAAGGCTATGAGTATTTATCTACGGACGACAGAGAGCGCTGGGAACTGAAAATCTGGTACTCCGAACCAACTCTCCCCTCTTGCGAATTGCAAAGGCCGGATATCACCAGACTCGAGAGAGTGGTTGCAGCGATCGAGAGAATAGACGGCCCAGTACACAAAGCAGAGCTACTCCACCCAGAGCACCGCGAGCCACGATTCGCTAAGGAGCACTATCACGAGTCATTCAGTCGGTCGGCTGGAAATATCCAGTATACTGGAGAAAGTCAAATGGACCCAGAAGATATCGTCATGTTTATTTTCAACAGCAAGGTCCTCCTTGTGTTGCTTCTAGCCTTACCGGCCGTCTATGGGGGCATTCATTTCATTGTTTCCAATTTCGACTTCCCTTCTCCTCTCGAGAGATTTTTGTGGAGAATAGCCGCCATAGATATTGTGGCCACAATGCCCGTCTTCTTTGCTCTGACTTGGATAGGTCACTTTCTCTCTGGCTGCTTTGGCGAAGATGATGAGGGTGATTGTCTGTGTTCTGTAAGCTATAAGTTTCCGGGTCATGTTTTACTGTTTGGGTATATATTGTGCCGTTTGTATATCGTTATCGAGTCATTTGTCAGTTTGCGCTACCTTCCGATAGGTGTATTTTGGACACCTTCATGGATCCAAATGATACCGCACATATGAATAGAATATTTTTGTCGAATTGAACCATCAAAGCAATAGCTGGTGGAGAAATGCTATGTGAATACCAGAGAGGGCATTATAAATAGCCTCATCAATCCTCTGGATGTAAGTGGCACCCAAGATCAAGACACCGAATGAATAATACTCGCATTTGAAAACTAGGGCGACTTAACAATATTAAGTGATAGGTTCTCCCTCTCTTACAACCCCACCCATGCCAGAAAAGAAGAAAACAAAAGTAGGTAAAACAAATTCAAGAATGCTCCACCCCAGTCACCAAACCACCAAACCTACACTCACTTCTTCTTAGCAGGACTCTGCTTGGACCCCTTCCTCGGACTAGCTCTGGCATTGACAACTACCGAATCACTGCCCTCATCTTCACCCACCGTCTCAGGACTCTCGTCATCAGCATCCTTCCTCGGTCTCCCCCTCGCCTTCTTGACCGTCAGCCCGCCTGAGGTAGGAGCCGGAGTACCACTAGTCGCTCTAGTAGTTCGTCTCGTCGGAGCAGCAGAAGATAAACTCTCGCCCACAATCACATAATCCTCCTCACTCCCCGCATCCGTACGCGCCCTCTTATTGCCCCGCATGCCTGGAACTGGAGCCGGAGTCCCGACTTCCAGATACGGAATTGGGACGTAGGAGTCATCTTCGTCTTCGGGGATGTGCATCTTGCGCTTCGAGCCCGCTTTCGTGGGCGAGCCTGCGGGTCCGGAGCGTTTGCGTGGTGAGGTCTTGTGGGGCGAGCCTCGGACGCGGTATCCGCCTGGTGGAGATGGGAGGAAACCAACTTGATCGACCTGGGCTGCTGTAAGATCATCCCGAAACTGTGTGATCGCATCATCCACCAACGTCGTCAAGGCACCGCAAACGAGCATGGAATCCCCCATCCTGGTCTCGAGTGCTCGTATGAGTCCTCGTAGTTCTACAAAATCTCTCTCAAGATCTTCCGGAATGGGATTTGGCTTGTCAGCAGCTAAAGCGTTAAGTTCAGCCACATTGGCTGTACTTGACACTATCAGAGCGATTTCCCTGTCTTCACAATGATCTTCTCTGACCCTTGCGAACTGGGCGTTCAGCTCTCCCACTTCACCCTCAATGTCTCTGAGTATTTGCTTCGAGGCCGCTGTCTTGGGATCTGGTTGAGCTGCAATTGCATCGGCTATTCGAGTTCGCATCGTGGCGATACGGGGTCTAAATGCTTCTTTCTCCTGGGTACATCTAGCCAGGATTGTGTCTGTTTCATCGCTCAGTGTGTCATGATGTGCACGGAGCGCTCGTAGTCGACGTTGATACTCTGCCAGAGGCCCAGCTCGCTCTTCTCGGCACTGCTGCAACTCCCTTCTGAGCGTCTCAATCTGTGCCCTAAGACGCACAAGTTCTGCGCTGTTATTTCCATTGTCTGCAGCGTTTGCTGAAATATGTTGATAATGATCTACCAACTTTTCTTCAGAAGTGATACCTGCATGCCGGATAGAGACCACAGTGCCGCAAACAGTACCTGTGTCGAGGACCAAAGGACAGTCCAAGAAAGAGTTCAGGTTATGGTATAAGAGATGCGCATAGAGTTCTGCTCTAGTGAAAAGCCCAAGGTTAGGGTTTTCGCAATGAGCAATAGGGCAGTTTCCAAGATTGACGGTGCCAAGGTTGAGACATTCATCTAGTCGTCTTTGTAGGTCTGCGTCGTTAGGAGGTTGGTCTCCTAGCAATCTCTCACGGGCAATGATATCTGCCAGTCGTCTTTCTAGTTCGGCTGCTAGCGTCTTATTGGCAAGTTCATCGGTCGCTGCTTTCCTCATCAAGGATTCCAGATCTACGGGTATATTCGGTTAGAATGAATATCTTGGCAGACTAATCTTTTCAAAAAGATAACAAGCAGCAGAACTTTACTTACAAGCTGGACGAGGATCTTTTGCACGATTGGCTGTAGGCTTGTTCAGACACTCTGCTCGGTGAGCATACAGACCATTGACATCCATTATGCTCAGGTCCTTGCCACACCTTCGGCAGAATGTGCCAGGCCATCCTCGAGGAACTTCACACCTCTGATTGTGGGAGTTGTACTCATTCTCGTTCATGGGTTCGAGGTCGATTCCGCACTTTCTGCAGTTTTCACCAGGAGGTGGACGACAAAGCTTATTGTGAGCTCTTCGTTGGGCGTTGGTCTCATCAACAGGTCGAGTTCTCCCACACTGCCCACAAAAGTTCGGATTCTTTTCCGCTTCTTCTTCAGACGCCCATACACGGCAGTTCTGGTTGTGATGATCAAGCTCTCTTCTGGTGGCTGTCTTCGTATCGAAACTGCATCGGTCACAGTACCGAACGATCTCTGGAGTATGTCCTGCAATATGATCAAGGGCCTTCTCAGGTTCCAGGCCAGTAAGGTCGTCTAGGCAGACTGGGCATTTATACTGTGCCCAGAAGTTCTTAAGGCGGGTGCCCTCGGTTTTTGCGAAATGATCTTCCAAATGCTGCCTCTTGTGATCCATATCCATGAACACCCATCCTTCAGTCTGACAGATGGGACATTTGCCAGCGGCAGCAAGGGCATCGGCATGTTCTTTGTAGTGGGCGACGATGGCATTAGGGTTGTGTTTGGGGAAGGCTTCATTGCACATTGCGCAAGCTGTTTGCCTCTCAAGATTTCTGTTCCTAATCCTCCGATTCTCCTCAACGATTTGGTCGATATCCGTTGCCGTGAGCGGTTTCAAATATATCTCTGGAACATTGGATCCAGTGGTAAGGAGTAAGTCTTGAGACTTTCCAAAGATGGGAGGTTCAGCCTTCTGGCCAGGCTCAATCGCAGACTGGTTTTTGTAATATGATTCACGTTGAAGTCGGTCAAGTCTGTTTTGATTAGCTTGCCAGGGATCGAATGCGACAGGCTTGGCCTTCTCTTCCTGAAGCTTCAGGAGTCTTGGCCTGTTGAATTTTGGAGCGTTCCCTCTGGGGACAGCAACTGGTTCGGGCGTAGGTGGTCGCGATGGTGGAGGTGGAGCTTCGATCTCAGCAAGTCCCCAGGGAGGGTCTCTGTCAAGAACTACACTTCATTAGAAAGAACGCGAACGTGGAATTTGAATCTTTACCATAATCGAGTTGGGCTTGGCTCTTCACAAAGAACACATTGCCTTGGAACCAATCGAAGATATCTCTTCGCCATTCTGTCTCCGTTGTTTCACTAGTGACGACAAATTTCGTAGTGGCCATTGTGCTGCCAGTCCATCCGGGGCTTGTAATCTGGAAAGACGAGACGTCGGTGGCTATTTGTGCATCTGTCTTGCCAGGAGTGGAAAGTCTAAGGAGCTGTTCGAACACCGTACGAAACGAAACTAAGGTTGCTCCTGCAGTAGCCACATCCCATTGCACTTGGGGGGCTGCCACATTTGGTGCAAGGGTTCCAAGATTTTGGACGGTAAACACACGCCACTCTGGGCGGAACCACAGACAATTCGTTGGAGGCCGTGTTCGATTATTGCTCATGAACCGAGTTAGGAACCCCAGAGCTGTCCCAAGGTTGTACGGAACAACTTCCCCACCAACATTCTGCTCCCGGTCGGCTGCTGTATACCATATTCTGTAGAAATCCGGCAGTGCCCCTTGGCGCCCGGCCCGAACTGGGGGATCTGGGGCCTCATCCACCCAAGTTCGAGAAATGTCCAGAATATCTTCTGCGATATCTTGGTAAGGAGCAGCCGGAGAAGTGGCTCCCAGTTGGGAGTTACCTACCATCCGGATACCAATAGCATCGGGAGGCAAATTTAGGTTCACCGGTAGTCGTGCGAGGTTGTATACCAGACGGTGCTGTCCAAGTTGTCCAGACGCTCGTGCAGCTGTTAGTGTAGTTTCTGCAGTACGGTACACGCCTCTTAAGGCTTCAAGTGGTGCTGGCCCGACCTCCATACCTCCCCATCCAAGGTCTTGGCCTTCGATGTTAATGTGGTGTGCTGGCCGAGCTAGGTGTGAGTTGAAATGCACCTGCAGCGCTCGGAAGAATTCTGGTTGAAATTGATTGACACCATGAGCGACTGTCAGCAACTCGCGTGGGATATTCCAGTAGGCATAAAGAGCTGTCGATACAGCAGGCTTGACAGAAACAATGTTTATGAGCTCGCCGTCAGGCTCTCTCCCATCGGCGGTAGCTGGGGCTGCCAGCCCTCTGTGCACGAAGACGCGCCAGTTTCCATTAGCATCTCGAGCGCCAGAGATCTTAGCATACTCCGTGCTTATCTCATCCTTTTTCACTATCAAAGAATTTACCGCAGGATCAACTGTACCATCTGCTTGGTATGCAGTAACCCTAAACCACCACTTTGTGAGCGGGTCTACGTTGAGCAATCTCAACGCTCCATTTTGGAACGACTGTTCGTTGTCTTGTCTGATCCGAATCTTCCCAGAATAGGCGTAGATGAATCCAGTATCTGGACCAGGAGGTGGATCGGTTGGGGTGACAATCGGAGTGACCGTTGTAGAATCACCTGTAGCTGGCAGACCCAGGGCAGGTGGTGGGGGCCTTCTCGTGTTGTTATCAGCTTCAACAACACGCACGAACCAATCGTCACCGCTGTCAAACAGGTATGTCCTGATGCTGCCAATGAAAATCCGCTTAATATTGTCCTGGTCAACAATGATGTGGTGACTGAACCGGAAACCCGCCCCAGGGCCGACTCGATTCAGCTGTCGAGAATGGAAGTCTACTCGGAAAGAAAAATTGGCACCCTGTAGACCGAGCGCCCTCCGAGCAATGTTGAGGAATAGCTGCGTACCCTGATCCTGATCAGTTACTTTCGCTATCCTGTAAGCAGGGCGATCAGTCGGTCCATAGAGGCGTGCTCTCTCTCTCGTCTGATGTACGACGCGAGGAGTAGTTGCGGTTACGTTATACGGCACGTTCTCCCAGGGCGGCCACATTGGTGTTGCGGGGCGCGGGACTCCATTATTGGGTAAAGGATGAACAGAGAGTCTCCAGTCATCTCCACCAGTTGCGCTGAACATCAAGTGTGCAATCTTTTCGTTATATACCTGGTCGCCAACGTTGCTGCTAACTGAGATGTAATGGTTATAGCGGAACCTCGTGCCTAACTGACTTCCGTAAAAGTTCAACTGTAAAGCGATATCGTTGGAAGCTGCAGTCAATCCTAGAAGCCGCCTGACCGCGTTGCGAAAATCCATCCAATCATTCGTGAACTCTTGGCTTTCGTCCGTTCTATCGTGATGGTAGACCCTCCGCCTCTCACCAGTGGGAGGCGGACGAGTTCTAGGTGCGGGGCTGCTATGGTTTGAAGATCGGGGGCTGCTATGGGATGACGGGATGAGGCTGCTATGCTCTGACCCTGGAGGAGGGTTGTCGTCATCGTCGGGAGGAGGATCGTCTACGGGCTGTTCTATATCACCTGGTGCTGGTGGGTTTCCTGGCGAGTCTGCTCCTGGTAGGGCAAAAGTAGCAGGATTTTGACTGGGATTATGTGTAAAGCGGACTACCATAACCCAGTCCTGGAGAGTATTGGAAACGCGATTTCTGATCCATTGCCGATACATGTGGACGAAGTTGGCCTTGGTGATGCGGAAAGATCTGATGAACTCTTTGTTTTCTTCGCCCTTGTTAGACTCTTGGTTGCGATATTGGTCGACAGTGTATAGCCAATCATCAGCCTCGGCCCAGCCAAGCAGCTGAAGTGCGATCGGCCTGAATACCTCAGCTGTGACGGTTGGATGGTTATCTACCATTTGCGCGGTAACTGGTAGTCTGCCACCGTAATGACTGTAAAGCCATCGAACAGGTAATGCTCGCTTAGGTCCACCTCCACGCAACTTCACAAATCCTTGTGGTTGTATAGGTTTTGGTAGAGGACCAGTTCCTACTTATTATTAGCATACCATTGGAGAAGACTACAATCCAGACACTTACGGCGGAGCATTGGAAACCCATGTCCACGTTCGTAATACTTGTCTAAGAACTCCAGTGGTTTTTCTGCCCACATCATTCTCTGGACGCGCGGTGGCGAAGATGGAGCATCGTCTGGATCGTCGTCGTCTTTCCCGGAATTGTTGATGTTGGTCAACGTCACAGGCTCTACAGGCAGACCATAGTGTAACATGGTGATCTTCGTAATGATGTTGTTTTTCTGGCCTTTGAAAGGTCCATTTTTGAGAGCTTCATCGTAGAGTTTTTTGTTATGTGCTTGTATCTCCAGAATGGCTCCAGGTCCAGCATACAGGACAGGCATGAACAATAGCATTTGCTCTTTTGTAAGGTGTGTCTCGAGAACCTCCTTGACAGAGTCCTCAGCAAGTTGGTCTGAAATATCTTGCCGCCTTTGGATGTAACGCGCCTCGTATGGAGTAATGCCTGCTCGGATACCTGCTGCTTTTGCCTGTCTTAGCATAATGGCTTTCTCTTGAGCTGCAAAACTGGCGTCAATCATGTCTGCCATAGATGGTTTGTTTGGATCAGGTGTCCGAGTTCCCTCCTCATCGTCGTCAGATGAACTTTCTTCATCGTCTTCGTTCCCCAACACATAATCTTTGGCCCTTGCAGCCCAGTTTTTCTTCCCACCCCGTTTGTTGAGATCGTTCTGAGCCGCACGCTTATTGTTGTTGGCCGCCATGATCTCTGGACAAGGCGTCACCAAGATCAATTTCGGTGCAAGGAACAGAGCGCGCTGAGAGAAAGATGAAGGGCGAGGCAAGAGAAAAGACAGATGGCGCGCTGCATTCTTAAGGCGTGCGAAAATTGGCCAGTCAGATTGGCGTACATTCCAGAGGATGCAAATAAGCTCTTAGGCCTGCATCCTCAGGAATTGCGAAACAACAAGACAAATATTCATTTAAAGACTCACAGTATCCCTAAAATACAATAGACAAGAAAAGACCCAGTCTCGCAAGGTTCTCTGCCATCTTCAGTGAGGCTGTCAAGTCGCTCAATTGTGCTTCGGTGGTTGTTTGTGGCCGCGAGCCCCAGCATTCCTCATTCAGCGACCCAGCACTACTGCCATTCTTTGCCGTGCTCTGTCGCTGGCATGGTTACTCGATAATGGCTGGCGATACATGTTTCACAACTGAGCGCTGTGGATGCGGTATTGTCGCGAATCGTGCCAGTGGAATTGACGGGACTGTGGAATTGATGCGTGAGGTGGAAGAGAGAAGGAAATTGCGAAGTTTGAAACAGAAACATGAAAGTACACGACGCCATTGCCCACGTGACTGGGCAAAATGCTGGATCTTGGGTCGCTCACCCAGACATTGCAAGACACGGTCTTATCTATATTTAGTTCTCGGAGTATGATATCAATTCCCCACAGTCTGCGGATTCAGAAATACCAAATCCGGATCAACGCTCTTCTTGATCTCCGCCAGCCTACCATAATGCTGCAACCAATACCTCTCATGCGCTTCCTCTTTACTCAAAGTAGGATCTGCATAATTGTAATACATTCCCAGCGTCAAGTTACTTTCAGCAGCTTCAATATCCGAGACAAAAGGGTTAAGCCAAGTGATGCCAGCGTCGTTAAAAGGGGGCGAATTGGTTTGGGCGACGAGTTGCCATTCGTAGATGGAGTGACGGTGGGCGTAGGATGTTGAATCTGCGGGGACGGTGGGTACGTAGGAGGTCGGTCCGCCTTGAGCAGCGACTATAAAGTACCAGCCCTGGAGCTGTGAGAAGGATTTAGGTGAGTGAGGAGAGGGGTACGTACTGTAGGGCTTGTGGGACCTGTAGCGTAGAGACGGTTTATCCATGCATCTACTCCTGCTGGTGACAGATTTCTAGTCATTAGACTCTTCGCGAACTAGCCCTTGTCAGCTGGAGCTCTCGCAAATATCCCATACGTACGAAGGTTGCATGCTGAAAGATGTTAGTAAGAGGAGTGATAAGTTTGGGAGGAAGCATACCGCAGTATAATTCAGCGGAGTCTCCAGCGTTTGGTTATTGTCCCAATTGCTGTACAGTCCGTTGCTGTTGGCATAAAGCAATGCGTCCAACCATCCCACTACCAAAGATCAGCATATCCACCATAATTTCATCTCACCCTCACAAAACACTCACAACTATGACCACCTACACCAGTAACATTTCCCTGAAACCCCCCAATCTCATCCAAAACATCAATCAACGGTGCAATCGACAAATCAAAGTCCTCAATCGAGCCATGAAACGCACCCTCCAACAAAAACAACAACAACCCGTCATCCCCATCAACTATCACCCACCTGACATTCATCGCCGGGGGAATAATCGGCGTCGTCTCCCCACCACAATAAGCTTGCCAAGCATCCCACCCAGCATGGGCTTGCGTCTGATTCCACAAATACGGATAATAGAACAGGATATTCTCCGGTGGTGCAGGAATAGTGCGAAATTCCATCGAAGTCACGATCCCGAACGACATCCCCGCACCACGGAGAGCCCAGAAGAGATCTGGATTACTGGTGTTAGAAGCTGTTGCGACGGAGCCGTTGGCTAGGACGACTTCTGCTGAGACCAGGAAATCGAGAAGGAGACCATAGGTATGGGAACTGTAGCCTTGACCGCCGTGGAGGACATGTCCTCCTATTCCTACGCTAGTTTTCGTTAACAAGCTTCTCAAATAAAAGAGGAGGGGTCTACTGTACCCGGGACAAATCCCATGAGCCATCGCTCTTTCACCTTGGGCATAAAGATCCAAAGCGATATTACCCAATCTGGCTCCGGGTCCAATAGTTGCGACGTTCGTCGCGGAGTCGACTTTCGTCTCTCTGAAGTATTTCAGATCTACAACTAAATGTCCGTCCTCTCCACCGACACTGTGGCCTGCATAGCTGTGACCTCCAGACTTAGGATTGACTTTGATGCCGAGCTTTGCGGCGCAGTTTACTGCTGCTTGAACTTGGGGGACCGTTGATGGGACAGCGATAGCTATTGGTGTGAAGTTCAACCGAAGGTTGTAGTCGAGGCTATCTTGTGAGAAGTTGGAGGTGTTTGGGTAGTCTTGAGGAATATTTGATTCTTCGAGACAACTGATGATAGGTAGGTAACCTTCAGGCGCGCCATTTGCGAAATGAATGCAAAGCAGGAAATGAACAAGATGCAATTTGAACATAGCTGCGAAATCAATTTTGCTCGTTTGAAGCCTTACTTGCTAGACTCATTGAGCATCGAATGGGTACACAGAATAGAATATATAATCGACTGTCTGACAGCAACATACTATTGTCCTGCTTACGAAGATTATTCATCCACTGCTGACGCTCGGCCACTCTGCCTCATGGGGCTCTTGCCCATGATACCCTGGAGTGGCATAAGCTCAATTGCGGCGCAGAAAATGTGATGAGTGTCACTTGACACCCAAGTCATCCGAAAGCAAAAATTCAAGCCAGGAACCAACATTTTGCAGTGTGACTGCACTGTGTAAAGAGTTCAATTGGACAAATTGGCGATGATTGGCATCTTACGTCTCCAGCAAAGCAGGGAGAGAAGATTACTCCACTCGGAGGTTCTCGTCGCTGGCATGGTGTGATGAGATGCAACTTGGAACGGGTACGCATCCCGATTTGGTAAACGAAGCCAAGGACTATGAACGAGGTGCCGAATAATCGATCATGAAGCTAAAACCGAAAGGAAAAATCCACAACATGTTCCTCTATACCGTACATGCATCACCATTTCAAAGTCGCGTAAAAACTCGACAGCTCCGTCTTCTAAATCTCTAATACATCGCATGAAAACGATAAATGTCATCAAACGCCGTTGCTTCCGTCAGCAGAACAAATCAATCCTTACTTGTATCATAATGACTTCTCGCTCTTAAGAACTTTCCCTTCCAAAAGAAGATCCAAGGCACGGGCAACATTGCCAAAGCCACAAAAGCAAAGACGCTTCCCGCCCAATGAATCCCTATCGCCTCATATAGCTGAAGAGTGAACAGCGGAAACACGGCTCCCAGTCCGTAACGGAGAATGCCGTTTGCTGCTACAGCAGAGGCACTGTTCGAGGCTTGGTATACATCGACGAGATAGGCTGTTACGGAGATCTGCTTTCGATGAGTGATGGAGATTCGGGAGGGGGAGATAGACTTACAAAGATATCTAAAGCTCCCCAACCAAAAGGTACGCCAGCAAGCACAGGGACAATCCAGTGAACATCTTTGTGAGGCGACCAAGCGAACCAAAAGAGTCCGATAGCTAGCATTACAGATCCTAACATGGCAGCATACAATCGGTGCTCGGGAGCCGGCTTGCCATTCGCTGCTATTGATGCCTTTGCGTAAAGCGTTGCGTCAAAGATACCAAAAGTTATGATGGCCAATATGAATCCGACAAGGATACCGAGAAAAGTCAGGCCGACTTCCTTTTGATTGAAATGGTAGACGAGTTCGAAGACGTAGCTGTAAGATCCGAAGAAGCTGAACATCATGGCGAATGAGAAGCCCGTATATATACTAAGGAAACCAACAAGAGGCTTGATCATATTAATTATATTCAAAGCCAGGGCATTATGAACATACCTCTACGAACATCATATGCCAAGGTCGAATAAAGCCCTGCCGCACTTTTTGCAGCATGCCTCTGGCGTGGTGTGGAGCTTTACAGCCAAGCTTCTTCTGTCTCAAATGCAAAATGCGAACCTTGGAAGTTTCTTGCATGAATAGTGAGATGGAGAATATTGGTGCTCCTATAATCAAGACTACCCACATCGAATATCTCCAATCGTTGTGGTACTCGCTGATGATATATGCTCCAGTGAGTGGACCCAAGGCGGGACCCAGGAAAGGGGCCATGATGAATCCTAGTGCTGCCTTTCCGCTGCTTTTTTGGTCCCAAAGATCTGCGATAGTTCCTGAAATAGTGTCAATTATAAAGTACAACACTAGGACATAGTAGAACTCACCTGCACCAATGGCCAAAGTCCCAGATCCGCCAGTACCTGCCAGTAATCTCATAACAATCAATAGAGCAATACTGTCAGAAGCTCCAGCTATTCCAGTGAAAAGCAATAACATTGGTATTGTTGTCCAGTATATTATCCGACGCCCAAATATTTCTGAGAGTGGTGCTGCAAGTAAAGGCCCAACGACAAATCCAACGGTGTACAATGAGAGGGGTAGAATCGCAACTTCTCTTTCGACGTGAAATTGTTCCATGATGTGAGGGATTGCTGGAACATAGACAGACGTTCCTATTGTTCTGCAAAATAAGTCAGTTGAGATAGCGGTATAAGAAGAAGGGTTCTTCACATTGTAAACCCATATAACGCCGGCAGATAAGTGTGGAAAAGCTTCTTGCCTTTAGGCCAATTCCGAGGATTGTCTGGATCATCTGGTGATTCCCAGTCGAGAGTCTTCTCAGTACCTTCTTCAAGATCACTGCTAGGATCAGCCTTGTGTGGAATTTTGTCCTTGTCTGTCAAATCCAGCGGAGCAAGTATTCTTTGGGCTTCAAGATCAGATTCCGCATTTGCAGGATCTTCCACAGCTTTGCCGGATAATGTCCTAGAATCCATGCTCCACAAATCGAGCCCTTCGAGCAGGTTTGTTATTCGAGGTATGATTTGGGACTTGAAGTTTCTGACAAAAGAGGAGAGTGAAATGTAGGCGAAGAGCTTAAATATATTTCAAATACTTTCCAAGTAACCTCGAACGATATCACAAGCATGACTCCCGTGATGCCGACACTGGCCCACTAATCTAAATCTTCACGAATTCAACGGAAAAGTGACTTTGATCGGCAAGTACGCACGCCGTGGCCTTGCCAAAGACGAGTCGGCGACGGGACAATAGCCTTCCAACATGGCATTCGCAGAACGGAAAAGGAGAATGCGATAGTAAGAAACATCCAAAGGAACGGGTACGGGCAGCTTGAAAGCCGTCTATCTAGGTAGCTATAGATGGGGATCACCTCACTCGAGACTGGTACGTTTGCCGAGCCGACGAGTCAGATGTTAATCGTCGTCAGGGGGCGTACCTTTGCCCAATCTGGACGCCTTGTCGTGTCTTTTTATCGGATTGAGACGAACGCGAGTCCGTAGACCAGGGTGACATATTTACGGGCGAAGGATGAGCAAGTGGTGTGGACTTGGAGGCGACAGCTTGACAGATGAATCGTTTACAGCTCGTGAGCCGAGGCATGTTTTGATACCACGTGATGCTCTTTAGAAGAAAGACTATCAAAATTCTAATATAGTGAAAGATTATTTTGCACAGATACTATGAGACAATGTAACAAGAAATTCATAAAAGCAAAAATGCCAAAACAAGTGCTAAGCAATATGCGTTGTCTGATTGGCTACCCAGCTGCAGTACGGAACTTTCCGAGAATCATGCGGGCATCTTCAATTCGAAATCATCTCATGTCTTCAAGGAACATCAACTGCAAGCAATGATTATACGGTACCCAACAGCGGGTGCCTTTCGTCCCAATCACCTCAGTACCGTATGTCTCCCATGTCTCCTTCAGATATCCCGACCAGCATCCCGCTCGCTGAGGAGAAATTTCTCCAGGAAATCGAACGTTCAAGCTGCCGCAGTGACCGGAACAGCACCAAGATTACGAGCTGAATATTTTTCTCCCAATTCCTTGCTCGAAAAAGCACGCTTGACGACGAAGAGAGGGAATTTAACATCGACGATACAACATGGGAGCTCAATTGCAGCTGAGAATGAAGCTACGAAGCTTCCTTCAAGCTCCAGAGCTACCACCCCTCCTCGAACACCAGCTCAAGACCTCCCTCATCGACGAAGACAAGCAGCCCGCAAAGCATCAGCAGGTGCCGACCTTGTCCTTCCACAGAACTCGTCCTCGACGTTGACCGAAACGGCCTCCCAAGCTCCCTCAAACTCCATCCGAAGATTAATACCCGTCCTCCTCTCCCTCTCGAAACCACGACTCTCCATCCTCGTCGTCCTCACAGCATGTGCATCCTACAGCCTCTACCCCGTCCCCGAGCTCCTCCTTCCCTCCGCAACCGACACCCCTTCGCTCTCACCACTCACTCTCCTCTTCCTCACCACCGGCACAACGCTCTGCGCTGCATCCGCGAACGCCTTCAACATGCTCTACGAGCCCAAATGGGACGCCCTGATGTCCCGAACGAGAAATAGGCCTTTAGTACGAGGCCTGATATCCACACGCGGCGCAGCCCTATTCGCCATCCTGGCCGGGATGGGTGGAGTTACAGCCTTATACTACGGCGTGAACCCCACCGTATCCTTCCTCGGCGCCCTGAACATCGCTTTATACGCAGGCGTCTATACGCCTTTGAAACGGGTGTCAGTGATCAATACATGGGTTGGAGCCATCGTGGGTGGGATACCGCCCTTGATGGGATGGACCGCTGCAGCTGGGCAATCAGCTACACATGGGGACTGGAAAGAATTGCTGCTCGGTGAGCAGAATATCGGGGGCTGGTTGCTGGCAACTTTGTTGTTTGCGTGGCAGTTCCCGCATTTCATGTCCCTGTCCTGGTCCATCAGGGAAGAATACAAGAACGCGGGCTACAAGATGCTCTGCTGGGTAAACCCCGCCCGAAACGGACGAGTCGCCCTTCGATACAGTGTTCTATTTTTCCCGATCTGCATCGGGCTGTGTTACTACGGGGTCACAGAGTGGAGCTTCGCGGTAGCAAGCGCGCCGGTCAATGTCTGGTTGGTGAGGGAAGCTGTGCGGTTCTGGAAACTGGAGGGCCATAGGGGAAGCGCGCGAGGCTTGTTTTGGGCGAGTGTGTGGCACCTGCCAGTTGTTATGATATTGGCTATGGTGGAGAAGAAGGGCATGTGGCAGCGCGTATGGAGAGCTGTGATGGGTGAGCCTGAGCTGGATGAGGAGGATTGGTTAGAGGAGGACGAAGAGGATGCTGTGTTGTCAGCCAAGGAGGGTATTGTGAAACCTGAAACTAGAGCTGCTGCAATTGCGCTCCCGACTAGATGATCAAGAGACGATGTAAGATTATTAGCCATATGCAAGAGATAGATGGGCTGGTTTGAAGCGGACTGTCTGATATTGAACGATTGATGTATTGTACAGACGGACTATTCTACACAATCATATCTCATTATGATCAACTGACAGATTTTCTCAATGAGCTTCCTTCCGACTCGAACTCCATACTCCATACGCCAGTGCTATCATCCTCCTTCTTGTAGAGCTAACGACCACCAGCGGGCCTATTAATAATAGCATCAATCCCCATATCCATACTCGGCAACCTAGACTGATGCTGCGCATACCTAACATCCATGCCCCTCAAATCCATGCCCTGCCCCATCCCTCCGCTCATCATCCCCATACTCCCCGCACTGCCTCCACTCTGGCTGTAGCCGTGCGAAACATGCGCGTGCTGCGCGCCGTGATCCTGGTAGACCGATCCGCCAGAGCGGTCGCTGGCTCCATCTGCATCATACTCAGCTTCCAACTCATCCGCATAGCCCGAATCATCGGTGTGGTGCTCAAACGCACCTGCGCCTGCGACGCCGTAGGGAGCCGCCCCGCCGGACTGCGAGGTGGACGCCGTGTCGAGCATGCGTTCGCGGCGGGCGCACGAGCGTGCGGAGGTTTGGAGGTTCTTGAGGCCTTGCGACATGCACTGTTGGAGGAATGTGGGTTAGCGAGGGAGGTAGGCGAGGCGAGGGATGAGGATGGGATAAATTAAACTAACCTTTTGTTCAACGACGTTCCATTTCTCGCCGCATTGGGCGGCTAATGGGGCCCAGATCTCGCGGCGCATGGCCATATAGTTTTTGGCCATGTTTTCTAGCTTCATTCCGTCCCAGTCGTCGGCGCTCCTTCTCTCCATCAACCGTTCGTGTCTTTTACGACATGCGTTTGGTGTCTTTGACGGAAAGTATGATTGTTGAATTGGTGCCCAATTCATCCCCTGCGCTCGAGCTGCCATCAACGTCTGATCATCTTGAGGGTTCCATGCCCCGCTAGAAGGACGAATGGAGACTTGAGGAGGAGGAGCTTGTTGTTGGGACATCTGGCTGTATTGTTGTTGTTGTGAATGATGGGTAGACATGGGGTGCTGGACGGGTCCACCGACACCATTGGGGTATCCTGAGGGAGGCTGGCTGTATGCTTGTTGCTGTGACATGGTGAGGGGCCCTGGCGCGTAATAGGTATTGGGTAGATTTGCAAGATTTGGTCTCGAGGACAGTGGAGCGTACTGGGTCGTTGGAGTAGTAGTGACTGGACTAAGACGATAGTAACCGTGGCTTTTGGCCGATCGATGACCCTTTGGCATTTCTAGGAAAGCGGACAGCGAGAGGTGAAGGAAACAATCTTGTCGGTTGACGAGGAAATGTATATTTCGGATTAGGAATTATACCGCCTCGCCAGGAGGTGAAGTTCGTATCAAACGAATGGGTTGTTTGCAAACGAGAGGTTAGGAGAATGAAACGACGGTAGGACTAGGAAAATTCGCATCGGGGGTATATAGGAAACAAATGGAGGTGGCTCTGCAGGAGAAGGGAAGAAGAAGGCCGAGATGGGGAGGACTGGGCGGCCGTTCTTTATACACTGATATGATGAAACATAACGCGGGAGAAGGAATGACGATGGGGGCCGACAACAAAGATTGTTTATAGCCTCATTGACGCCGGCGTCGACCGAGTGTCCTAAATCGAGACCACAATGATGTGCTGAAACAAGCAGGTCTTTCTTTAGACCGTGTAACTGTGGCCCACCTTCCCAAGTCACTGGGTTTCTTGGGGAGGGAGATGAAAGAATGAAACCCCCAGTCGCGACGCCAGCAGGCGCGCAGGTACAATCTGGTGCAATCCGGTCTCCAAAGACTGCTGTTGGAAGAGAAGAGACCCATCATATTGGTCCAGGTGGGCCGGCAGGCGGTTGTATCATTTGCAAGAGTTTGAGAGGACAGCGCGTAGATTAGCGGGCGGTAAAGGGGCGGGAGAGGCTTGATGAAGCGGTAGGGGTGGTGGAGTGGTGGAGGGGGGGGAGGTGGTCAAAAATAGGTCGCTGCTCGACGTTCCCTTCTCCATGATCTGGGGGCGAGGAATTCAGCCTTACCCCGTTGGCGATGATCTGTTGTCTGTCTGTGTGTCGTACCGTTGGCAGCAGCGTCGGCAGATCGTCTCCTGAAACTTCTTGAAGCCCATGTTGTTCAGCGGCATCGGTTGTGGTTGGACGAGCGCCGGGTGGTAAGCGCGGGCGTCAACGGGGTAATTTAGATGGGATGATTAATTTAGATCTCGCGGGAAACAATGCAGGGGAGACTGGTACAAACGACGAGTGGTTTGTGGATATGATGCGATGGGCACGTTTGAAGATATCAGATGTTGGAAAAGATGAGATGCAGCGAGATGGGATGAGGGATGAGATGGGAAAAAGGTTGGACTTCAGACGAAACCTGGAACTAATGGTAAGCTCGAGTCTAGCTCGAATGGGCAAAGCCGATAGCATAGATCATGTGACTCGCTGCACATCTTTCACTCCTGAAAATCCTTGTTAGGTAGAATTTGATTCTTTTTTCTCTTCGAATCATCATTCTCATACTTGACTCTATCTGTATGATTAATATCGCTTTATCCTGTTCACAAGCCACTCAGACATACCTGGTTAGTACGGCGCTTATTCTAGTCACGTGATTCCGGCGGCAGTTTTGAATGTGGACAACTCGAATGGCCTTCAGTGAAACAAACAATCTACAGTAGTGTCTACCAGATCTCAGGCTTACTCGGAGTGATCCTCAATGGATGTGATCTGCCTTACATATCTGCATGTTGTCTGAATAGGTGATAGAGACCAGGTGCTGAAGCCAACTTCTACGCCCTTCCTCTTCCTGTGAGTGTAGATCATTGACAAGGATACAGTAAGAAATGCTCCGTAGATGAAGGATTCAGAGAAGGATGTCACTTTGGGCATTCATCTAGGCTGTCTAGTACAGTATGTAACACAATTGAGGTATTTCTCAGCAAACTCCAAGGAGCCTGGAAGTTCCAACTTGTCTAAGAACCTGATTGTACTGTACCTGCTCCCCGAGAAAATAATGCTCCAACGTTGGACACTATCTTAGTCGGGAATCTGTATCCTGCAGCTTTATGCATATCAGCAGCAGTCTTCCCGTGTCAAGATGAAGCATGTCTTGCTCCAAACATCGGCGCTTAAGATCTCGGAGGTCACGTGTAGACGCTACTGGTAAGGTAGCGAGACTCGTCCACCTGCAGCTGTCGCCATCCCTTGAATGTTTCCATGTTCTCTTTCCCCTCATCACCAACAAATGCTGTCAGACGGATGACGCTCAGAACTCAAACATATAGCCATGTCCCAACTCACATCTGCCTCGCTCTTGGGATTATGCCTCATCGTGGGCGGTATGCACGATCCCTCCTGCAAGCTGCTTTCCCATGGCACAGGCTCAGCTCGAAACAATGGGTGCAATCAAACCGATATCAAATTCTCGACGTCGAATCGAATGAAGATTTTGATAACTTAAACATCCGATCCAATGGGTCCCCCGACTATTTTGTCGGCAGCACAACGTCGGTGGAGGAAAACACCCGCACCAATGTGCGTGCTATTCAGGCTGAATGGTGGCGTCCCGGGTCAGGGTTCGGGCTCTTCTCCACGCTTTTCTCTCTCGTTTACCCCAAACAAGCGACAAATGCGGAGTCTCCAGCACCACATCAATCCAGCAGCGATCATCGACAGATCCCCAGATGCTGACTGGACCTGTCAAATGGAGACTCAGAAATGCCGTTCTTTCCATCCATATTTTCTCATTTACCCAGAAAACAGGCTAGTGTCTACTCCCGGTTGCGGGGAGTCAACATCACACGTGCGCATGCCCACCTCAGCGAACCATTAAGTCTCCTGTATTTTTTCTTTAATGGATTCCCAGGCTCGGGCCCTACGGCTCATCAGGAAGCATACAACCACTCAAGCTTCGCCCGCTCCACTGGTATCGGTCCTATCCACCTCCAGATGACATTTACCCTTACTTTTATCCGGAGCTGTTGAGTGAATGGCTCTAGACTATTTTCTATATGACAGGACAGTATCCGCCAGCGCGGATTTTCTTTAGCCATTCTGTGTGTTGAGGTCTCAATTGCAGTCTTTCTTGCTGCAACATCGCTTTTTGTATCAGATTTCGCAGTCGACGATCGATAATAAGCTTCTGACAAGATGGCGGGTGGGGCAGCTCCAGCTGCAGGCATTTATGATGCTGCTTTACAGCGACGACAAGCCATGATGGGCAAGAGTGGGCCAGCGGCTCTTATCAAGAATGGTCGAGTGTTCATGATTGCCATGTTTGCTTGCATTGGAGGTCTTCTTTACGGTTAGCGAAGTACGTCTAGGTTGATTGGTCTTGACTCACACAGTACAGGATACAACCAAGGAGTCTTCTCTGGTGTCTTGACCATGCATTCATTTGGAAGCCACATGGGCGACTATGTTAGCAACACGAGTAAGAAGGGATGGTTGACATCCATTCTTGAACTTGGTGCTTGGTTTGGAACTCTGCTCTCTGGATTCATGGCAGAAACGGCCTCGAGAAAATATGGAATCTTGATTGCTACCGCGGTGTTTATCCTCGGTGTGATCATCCAAACGACCGCTATATCAGCTGGACACAACTCTATTCTTGCAGGCCGATTTATTACGTGCGTAACAATTCTTCTGCTGTATTGTATCATTTGTTCTCTCGTCACTAACATTTCAATAGCGGTATGGGCGTTGGTTCCTTGTCCATGATCGTCCCAATGTACAACGCCGAAGTGGCTCCCCCAGAAGTTCGAGGCTCTCTCATTGCACTCCAACAGCTCGCCATTACCTTTGGTATCATGGTCTCCTTCTGGATTGATTACGGCACCAATTACATTGGCGGCACAGGAGCATCCCAACACGAAGCTGCCTGGCTACTTCCAATCTGCCTTCAACTTTTCCCCGCCGTGGTTCTCTTCGGCGGAATCCTCTTCATGCCCTTCTCTCCACGTTGGCTAGTTCATCATGGCCGAGAAGAAGAAGCCAGAAAGGTTCTCGCTAGACTCCGTGGCCTTGCCGAAGACCACGAGCTCGTCGAGCTCGAGTTCCTCGAGATCAAGGCACAATCGCTCTTCGAGAAACGAACCGTTGCAGAGCACTGGCCCGCCCTCCGCGGGTTGACAGCCTGGAACACTTTCAAGCTCCAATTCGTTGCCATTGGTTCTCTCTTCAAGACCAGGGCCATGTTCAAGCGTGTCATCGTCGCGACAGTAACCATGTTCTTTCAGCAATGGTAAGTTGGTGTTTCATTTCTCAATATCACAATCTCATCACAAGCCCCCACCTTCCATTTTCTCCGCCCCCAGGTACCCCACATCTGCACCCCAACCGCCATTCCCGCTTCCGTACCACATTTACTTGCAATGAGTCTATTCATACCTAGTTTCTATTTCGAGTATAGTATAGTTACATCACTGCCTTGAGTGCGTGTCAAATGTCCCGGCAGTTGACACGACATTGAAAGCCGAACTTTCCAGACGATCACTGGAACACTTTACTGACATCTCAAACCAGGACTGGTATCAACGCAATCCTCTACTACGCACCCACAATCTTCCAAAACATCGGACTCTCAGGAAACACCATCTCGCTCCTCGCCACCGGCGTAGTCGGCATCGCCATGTTCCTCGCCACCATTCCCTCCGTCCTGTACATCGACCGCCTGGGTCGCAAACCCATCCTCACCATCGGCGCAATCGGTATGGGCGCCTGTCACATTATCATTGCCGGCATCGTCGCCAAGTACCGCGACTCGTTTCCCGAGCATCGGGGCGCTGGCTGGGGCGCTGTCGCGATGGTCTGGCTCTTCGTCATACATTTCGGGTACTCGTGGGGTCCGTGTGCCTGGATCATCGTCGCGGAGATCTGGCCTCTGTCGAATCGCCCTTATGGGATCGCCCTAGGTGCCTCGTCTAACTGGATGAACAATTTCATTGTCGGACAAGTCACACCGGATATGATATCTGGCATTTCATATGGAACGTATCTTATCTTTGGTATCCTGACGTTCATGGGTGCGGCGTTTATCTGGTTCTTCGTTCCTGAGACGAAGAGATTGACGCTGGAGGAAATGGATGTCATTTTCGGCTCGGAGGGTACAGCTCAAGCTGACTTTGAGAGGATGGAGGAGATTAATAAGGAGATTGGGTTGGATGCCTTGCTTAGAAGCCATGGGGGAACGCCCTCTGCTGGCCATTTGGATGAGAAGGATCATCATGATGAAAAGTTGGATGCTTTGAATGAGAATCATGATCATGTTGAGTAGAGGATTGATGGGGAGGTTGTTGATGATGGGTGAGGATTTGCTCCGCCTGGGAGTGGGGACTTGGATATACCATCGCTGTCAGGCGAACCTATGAGGATGGAATGGGCTGTTTACTTGAATTTATCCATACATTCTTTTCAAAAGTTGCTCTATACCCGAGCCCACATCCCGTCCGTTGTACCGATATCACGTGAACGCTCTGCCGAGATCTTTACCGGCTAGGCAGTCCTGCTTTCCATCTCAATCAAGAGTTCACGGTATTGATCAGAACTCACTGAAGGCGGACATCTTGCGGAAAGTTCACACTGCTAGGCCAGGTTCTATGGCAATCACGTGAGAGCAGCCCGCCATTGCAGGGAAAAGAATTTTAGCGCGAAGCTACGGAATGTTTTTGACATCTCTTTTTCAACCTCCAGGGTCTCACCTTCTACTTCGACGAAGGTTCCTTTTTATAATATTCCAGAAATCTCGCCTGATTGGATTCGGGCTCAGCCCTAATCATCACAACCTGTCAAAGTATTAGTGTACCTGATATGTCCAAGTGGTGGTACCGAAAATAGCCGGACTCCTTCGTTAAAGCATTGAAACATCCCGCGCCTTACTATGTACTCAACCTCCTGTAATCATCTCTTTTTTCTTGGTCCCAGTCTCTACCCGCAACTATCCGCGACCGTTGCATGAGATAGTCCGCTTTTGAGTTTTGGTGAGGCCATGATCCTCACTCGCTCGTGTACTAGAGCCACAAATCCTCGGCGAGATGAGGTAAAAGAAATGCTCCACCACGTCACGAGTCCCACACAATCTACATTTCGCAGCAGAGAAATCACTACAAAAATCTTCGGTATCGTGTACGGTACATGGCGATTCTCATCTCTTTTAGGTCAGGACCCTGTGCAAAGACGGGGTAGTGCGTGGTAGTTATCACCCTTCAATTGCTACAAGAAAGTAGTCATGAACGCTTCGTATCATTTTCGGGACCTATACTCGTAGCTCCACGACCAGCGTCTAGACAAAATGCTATAAGGTCACCATTTTCCATTTCTCATTTCCTCTTTTCTCTTTCGTGCACACAACTCCATCACCATGACCGCCCACGCCCAAACCAAGACTCTCACCCCAGAGACACAATCCGACATGGAGAAGTTCAGTAACAAGGACGAAGGAGGCATCCTCCAAGGCGACGTCGCGACCCTCGAAGCGCAGGGGTCAGCACACTTCAATCGTCTGGGCTGGAAACGACTCACCGTCGTCCTGATCGTGGAAGCCATCGCGCTCGGCGCCCTCTCGATCCCCAGCGCCTTTGCAACCTTGGGAATGGTCGCTGGTGTCATCACGACTGTGGGAATGGGATTTATTGCCATCTATACGAGTTATATCGTCGGACAGGTCAAATTGAAATACCCGCAAGTAGCCCACTACGCCGACGCAGGACGTCTCATGATGGGAACCTTCGGGTACGAGTTAATCGGCGCAATGTTCGCACTGGAACTCATCTTCCTGGTCGGGAGCCATTGTCTAACTGGCACCATCGCGTGGCAGAACATAATCGCCAGCAGCACCTGCTCCATCGTCTTCGGCGTCGTGTCAGCCATCCTCTTGCTTCTGATTGCCTTACCACCGAGTTTCGCCGATCTGGCGATTTTGGGATATATCGATTTCGTGTCCATCATGGGCGCTATCTCCATCACGGTCGTTGCTACCGGAGTCAGCTTTGCTCAAGGTGGCTATCAAGCCGAATGGTCTGCATGGCCAAAGGACAATATCAGGTTCACGGAAGCTTTTATAGCTGTAACCAATATTGTATTCGCTTGTAAGTTTTGTCCCCCTTCTTTTCCCCCTCACAATCGCTAACGAGATAAACGAAAGACTCCTTCGCCGTCTGCCAATTCTCCTTCATGGACGAAATGCACACGACAAAAGACTACGTGAAATCCATCTGGGCGCTCGGGTTAATCGAAATCGTTATCTACACCCTAACCGGGGCGCTAATCTACGTCTTCGTCGGGCCGGACGTGAAATCGCCCGCCTTGCTGTCCGCGGGTACTCTCATCTCCAGAGTTGCGTTCGGGGTTGCTTTACCTGTGATTTTCATCTCGGGCTCGATTAGTACGTTTATATCTATCAAAGAAGAAGCTGTGTTGAAGAACGAATCCTTACTGACAAACTGGAATAGACGGCACAGTAGTAGCACGCTACATCCACGGCCGCATCTACAAGAACTCCGTGACGCGCTTCATCAACACGCGCAAAGGCTGGATCTCCTGGATCGCGCTCGTATCCATCATCACGCTGCTCGCGTTTGTAATCGCAGAAGCCATCCCGTTTTTCTCTGATCTGCTGAGTATCTGCTCCGCGCTGTTTATCTCGGGATTTACGTTTTACTTCCCGGCGATGATGTGGTTTATGTTGTTGCGGGAGGGCAAGTGGTATGTCGGGCGGAAGAATATCTTTTTGAGTGTTGTGAATGCGGTGGTGTTCGTGATTGGGATGGTGGTGTTGGTTGGGGGGGCTTATGCTGCTATTGATGATATTGTGAGTCTTTTTCTCTGTGGTGATTGGCTGGGGAGAGTAAGGGCTAATTTTGAGTAGAAGAAACAGTATAATGAGGGGACGGTGAGGGGGGCGTTTACTTGTGCGCCGATTGGGTGAGCTAGTGAGTGGCTCAAGTATATTGTTCAGGTCTTGTTTACAAGAGATACCCGGGCCTGAGGAAGTTATATACCATACTATAACCACATGCAATAACACCTTCTAGTGAGAGTATTCTCGAAAACCAAGAAATTCCTTACATACTAAATTGTTATGGTGTGAGTTGCACTTTTTCCTATAGCCCTTTTTCGCATTCTACGCATCTAGCGCTGTTTGCGTTGTCCACTCCCTCCTGCTAACACTCGCATCTCTCACCCACACATCTCCTTTCATATCAAAAGCATCACCATCTCAAAACCCACCTCATACTCCCCAGCCTCCACAAGCACAGCAAAACTGAATTCTTCCAGCTAAATACCCTCTCATTCCAAACCTCACTTCTACATGCCTCACCACATTTTCCAAGAACATACCGCCCGCTACCTTCATTAGAAAGGGAGAATTCCATCAATACAGTACCTTTCTGGATTCAGGATTTATGTTTCAAGCTACAAATGAACACATACAACCCAACAATATCTCGGTATCCCGGTATGCGACTCTTCCCTCCAAGCAACCTCTTCTTTCCCACTCTACCTTTCTCTTTTTCCATCCTCTGTCCTCTATCCTCATCCATCCTCAACAATCCCAAATCCCGAATCCCACCCCCTATCTGACCACCCCTACCATAGTTAGACCGCCACCCTCCCTTCGTCTCGGCGGTTCGACATCACCTCCAGCTTCGGCAGTAGTTTTGACAGTTCATTTCAATCTATACTAGTCTTCGTCCACTTTAGTCTACAGCCTCTGAACCATAGATCAGTCTAGGCTCCAACCTGCAGTTTACCTAAGTAAATGTATAATTAAAATATCACGTGCAATACAGCAGTCCTTTATTTCCCTTTTTCCTCTTAGATATTTTGTTAAGACGACCTTGCAAACCTAAACTTTTGCCTAAAAAGGGTTTATTTTCTATAAAACTTCTTAAAATAAAAACATATATCCGGCATGCTCGGATTGTAAATACACGTGATTAATTTCTAAATAATTAGGTAGTGAATCTAAACTATCCTAATCATTTCAAATACATCTCCTTTTGTTCCAAAGTATAGCATGCTAGTAATAAGCTTGCTGCCGTTCAATTTAGTTTTTAATTTTAAATTTGTATAGCTTACCTAGGTAGGTTTGCTTCTCTGAAATGCGGATTAGATCCTCTAATATGAAGTGCAGATTGTAGCTTGGAGTATTACTCAGCTTAGAGTACAGAAAGCTTCATCTCACAAACTTTTCCTAACATCGAATCTTATTCACAATTTATACCCCATCATTTCCATTTCCCTTCTTTCTCCTCCTTACCTACTACGTTGGTATTGTATTGTATTCTAGCTAACTTGTCACTTTTAAAATCACAATCACTCACTCACTCCATTCATAGCATTCACTTACGCAACTCGCTCACCCACGCAACCCAACTTAAGTCACCCACGGAACTAAGTTTGCTTCCTTCCCAGAATCAAATTTCAAGACTATGCTATGCAATACGATATTTCCCCAGCAATGCATAAAAAAAGAAAGAAAGAGCTTAGGCTAAACAAGCTGGAAAACTGAAAATAGGTAATACCTACCTTACTCCCAATTATACAAATATCAACCAACCTAAAACTCCCCAACTATAAATTTCCCCTGTCCCTCCTCCCCTTTCCCCTCGAATCCCTCGAACACCCAAGCCAAGAAACATATATATATATATATATCTTCCACGATTTCTTACCACTGATCGGGAAGGAGAAAATTTTACCTACCTAAATTGACGGTTTTGATATAAGTAGACCAGAACAATGAATCCAAAAAAAGAGGGGGATGGGGTGGGGAAGAAGTATAAACGAAAGCAGTCTAATATAACTACCAAGATATCACCTCCCTTTAGAATTCCAAAGGACTACTTTAGTTCCCGAGTATTGTATAATATTGGAGGGAAGGGAGGGAGGGAGGGGTTCACTTAAACCTCTCTCTCGATCGATCCTCAAGCCTTATCCCACTCTAGAACCACTCCTCACGCAAACCAAACACCCTCAAAATGAACAACATGGAGTAAATATTGTTTCTCATTTTCCTCTTCTCCCCCCCCCAAAAATGCCACACCATCCCATCCCATCACATCATCTATCATCTATCCATCTGTCTCAGTTCCCACAACTCCAGCCACAATGCTACACGCAGATCAACCACCTCGTCAAATGCCCGCGCATCCACCCATCCGTCCATGAAAGAACAACCAACCCAGCTTTTCATCAAGATACCCCCCACCCCCAGCAACAACAGGCTCAGACAAATAGATAGCCTCTCCATATGTACCCCTCCCTCCCTTCCTTCCTACCCTCCCACCCCGCATTAAAAATATATGCATGCATCACTCTTCCTAAATAAACTTTTCTATCGGACAAGAAGTGAAAAAAATGATCCCCCAAAAATATCAATACCATCCTTCAATCGTAAATCATCACGCATTCCCATTCGCCCGCCTGGCCACCTCAGCACCCAGCTTCCCCTTCACAGCCGACCTCCGATACAACGCCCTCCGATCCCTAACCTCCTCCACCTCAACATCCCTCGTCACCAATCCCGCAGCCCCAAACTCGGCACCTGGGCCGAAATCCGGAGTCCCGCCTAGAGAGCCAAAAATATCGCCAATATAATTCGTAGCATTAACACCCTTCGCAAACGTCTTCTCCCACCCAGACAAGATACCCTTAACGACCGGCGTGCCCGCGAGGTAGATATTCTGGATCGCGGGCTCGAAACCGCCTTGATCAGCATAAAACAGATTATCCTCGACCGACTCGCCGAAATAGGGACGGTCGAAGTCGGACGCGGTGCGCATGACGATGATGCGGGAGAAGTCGACGGCCTTGCGGATCGCGGCGCGCACCATGGCTTCGAGAGTCGCGTTGTCTTCTTGCGCCGTCATGCAGTAGATGCCGGAGCCGTTGGTGAAGAGCGTGGTGGTGTTTTCGAAGGCTTCGCCGAGGAGGGCGCCGGAGTAGTAGACGTCCGAGGTGGCGACGTCGCATTCGATGATTCCGGGTGCCTTGGTGGCGGCTTCGTAGATGGTGGTATCGGCGCTGGCATAGTGGGCTCGGTATGCTACGGCGGCAGAAGAATCGTTGAGCTTTGCAGTGCTGGCGTATTTGACGGCAATGGCACGCAGAGCTTCATTGACCTCAAAAACCTCGGTACCGTAGATGGAAGTTGGGTATTGATCTGGAGCATAAGCACCTTGGGGAATGTACCCAGTGGTATAATTCGAAGGGATCTCTCTAGCATCGAACTCGTACTGCAGAGCAACCTGCACAGCGTACTTGGAGAAGGCAACATCTCCCAAGGTGCCATATTTGGGGTTGATTCCAGCAATACCAGCAATCATGAAATATGTCCTGGTCAAGTCGAATAGAGGAGTTGACAAGAGTGCCGTGATGGTGGAGGCAGCGTTGATCTCGGATTCACCAGTGGTGAGTTGACAAACGGAACCATCTGCCAGACAATGTGCATCTGGGAATAGAGGAGAGAAGCCTGGGACGGTAACATTGATAGCAAGGAGGTCACCAATTGACCCAGGTGTATCGGCATTGGCGTACCAGATATCTGCTTCGGGGGAGAACTGCATCGATTGTTAGCCATTGGAAGACAACAAAGAGGAATTGAAGTTCCATACCATAGAGATGATGAACACCTTTGGTGACATCCGCGTACAATCCTTATACACCACGGTAAGATCCCTCGAGATAACCGTATTCTCATCCACCCTCTCCAATACCGGGGTAGCAGACACCAGACCAGCTCCGAGTAGGAGACTGGCAATTATTGACCTCCGCATGTTGACTCGTCCCGTAGACCTAAAAGAATATTCCTTCTAGAAAAAGAACGTTTCTCCCAGACAGAAGAGAAACAGACAATTTATCTAGAGAAGAAGTCAAGGAGAGAAGGTAAGAAAGCTTCTGGAAGCTCAGAAAGAAAAGCCACAGCTCCAGAAACCTTATCGTCACCCCAGCAAGAAAATCCTTGTTCTGCAGCGGCGGCGGGGGGGGAGGATCCAAACTTCTTTCGACCGTCCGTCCCAAGAAGATTGGCGTGCATGCGTGCATCTATCTCGAAGAGGAAAGCACTAGTCAATCCCTCGAGTGAGTGAGGGCAGGAACAGCGGTGTTCGCCGTGTGCCATTCATCTGCATCTCCATCTCTAGGTAGCAAGAACAGAAATCATTGGACGATGAGAGATAAAAATCCCCAAGAGAGAAAGAAAGAAAGACTTGACATCCTAGAATGACAGATGCATCATGCCGATGATTGGGAGGCCCATAGAAAAATACAGTACGAGGACCATCAATCCCACTTTTTTTTTGGGCAATCTCGAGAAAGTATGTACGTACCTGATCGGCAACCTGCATCGTCCCAAGAAATCCATCCTGTTCCCTTCCCGCATATTAATTAATTAATTAATTAATATCTGCCGTGCTCTGTGCTCGCACAACATTCTTCACTCTTTCACAACTCACCTCAATAATATAATCCCGTGTCGACTTCTTCTGTACTGTACCTCCTTCGTCGTCGTCGTCGTCGTCGTCGTCAACGTCCTGCCCCTGCAAAAAAAAAAAAAAAACCTCCTAACGGCCCGGCGCCACCACAGAGATAAGAAACCCACCCAGTAGACAAGCACCTGCTTGATCCAGCATAGTCCCTCCGTCCCGCCGCAGCCTCGTATCGTTCGTAGCCTTATCTGAGCCAAGATCTGACGCGATGAAATCAGAAGGTCGTGACTTTTTGCCTTATTCGGTCGGTGATTTCCGTGTGTGGCGTCGGTAACCTTATGTGTTGTGATGGTGATGCGGCTCGGGTAAGGTTTGATGACGAAACATAATCAGCATATTGGAGTGTAGATTCGAGCGTACAGTCAGTACCTACCGTACATAGGTAGGTACCTAGGCATCAGATAGGAAACTAGAAAGGGAAGAAAGAGTCGAGGTCGGCGAGCTTGTGTTTTATTGGTCCATCCATCTAATCTAATCTAATGGAAGGGATCAATAATAACGATAGAAGAATGAATGACTCGGCCTCACCTGATATTGGGGCAAGCGTGACATCGCATCGCACGTGTGTATTAAAGTGCAGATGTTGGTGTGGAGAACCTTGACGATGTGATGTTTCGGGAGAATATGATTTTGTGTATCATCGCCTTGAAATTGTCGACGTCGCAGAATACTGTTGTTACTCGTAAAAAGAAGTAAGTCTCGTTCTATACCTAGGGACAGACCGAAACTCATCCATCATTTTAAATTATGATAGTGTATCGAGATTCCTCAGTGCTTGTGAGTCTCAAGATACTTGTTAAGATACTTGTTCTCTTCCCATTAGTGTTCGTACAGCAGCTACAGCTCCCAAAAATAAAAACGAACCTCCACCAGTTCCCTCCCCTCGTACCACCCACCACACCACACCACACCGCATAATACACCAAGCCGACGACCTGGAACGATACACCGCATCCACCTCTCTACCTACCCAGAGGACAAAGAATTATGCAAGATCATGCAACGGACCTGCATGCACGTTACCGTTGACCCTGCCCGATCGATAGATAGTTCCGGGGACACGGGTTCGGGAGTGACAGACACAGACAATGGAATGCGGCTTTATTTCATTCTCTCATCAACTTTCCATTCCTCATCATCATCGTGAAGCCTTGAAGCTTTTTTGAAAGTCCCCCACCCCAATGCTGCCACGCACCGGGTATGTAATTTACACGAAAAAGGGGGGAAACCGAACGCCGCCGAACCAGAGCAAATCAAATCAAAGTGCCTTCCCTCCCCATGCAACCCATACCGTGAAATCCCCACCGCCCAATGCAATACCATGCCCTAGCAACAAGAAGAAAGAAAAGAAAGAAAGGCCCTCACTCCCATCCCCAATGCTCACCAAACCCCCTCTCCCTAACACACAACCCCCCACCAACCCTCAGCACCACTCCCAGCACCGCAAAATGCACAACCGCCAACCCCACCACGCCCCTCCATCCAAATTTATTGCCACCCGCCAGCTCAAAGGCCGCCAACGCCATCAAAGGCCACCAGATCGCTTCCCTCGTCACTAACGGCGCGCACGGCTTCGTGATACTCAGCATTTTGATCAGGAAGATGACCAGTTTGGAGATCATGGTTACGGATTGTTGATTCCGGGAGAGCCAAGTGTCGAGGTAGTGTTTGTACAGCGAGATGCGATGCTTGAACGTCGACATGGGTGTCGAAGGAGGAGGCATCAGGAGCGGGGTTGTGATGGATGGTTTCAGGGACAATGACTCATTGTGTCGATTATGAGAAGGTTGGCTGCGGGATCTCGAATGTGATGATTCGATTACCAATTGCGAGCTCGGAGAAGGCGTTGGTGAGGATTCGGTCGCGGAAGCATCCTCGATATAAGCTCCTGAGCGCACTCGTCGTTTGTTGGGTTCTGCATTGATTAGCAATGGAAAGGAACTACGCGGCCATATGTTACCGTTGACAGGAGTACTTGGTGGCACGGGAGAATCAAATGATTGTATGATTCGGCCACCAAGTCCTGCATTGCTTGCATGTCTCGTCCTAGAGGGTGCTTCGAGGCCCTTCTCGGTACGGATCGCAGTAAGGATTTCATCAGCACTTGGTCTCTCTGCTGGATCCAGGGCCAAGAGTCGCTTCAGGAAATCGTAGAGTTGATTCGGTAATTCTGGTCTCTCTCTTCGCTCGTCCTGGAAACCCGACCAAGAGCTAATTTCTGCTCTTAGTAGATCAATATCCTCGAATTCTTCTTGAATACTGTCTGCGCTTTGATAAGGGAGTCTGCCAAAGCACATAAAGTACAGAATCATTCCCAGACTGAAAATGTCCGATTTGGTCGTAAAATTTCCATACCGGCCAAACTCGTCTTGCTTCAAAACCTCAGGAGCACAATATGATATTGTTCCTGTAGATCCTGTTGACTTCCGAACCACATTCTCTGCTTGAACTTCTCCGAAATCACTGATCAAGCAGCGAAATTCGTTTCCGTCTTTGTGCAACAGACAATTGCTCGGCTTAAGATCTCGGTGTATGTATTCGTTGTTATGAAGATGTGCCAGTCCAGATGTGATGTCTTTGAAGAAGGAATATATCTCTTCGAAGGCTAATTTTCGTTGCGAGGATCTGACATCTGGTCGGTCGGCTTGCCCTCTTGATCTTCTTCGCATTTGTTCCTTCAACTGCTCTTTTACACTCTTTACCGTAGGTTGTGGTCCAATTATGTAATGTAAAAGGTCTCCCGAATTGCAGTACTGCTGAAGGATATATGCGCATGGTACCGTGGGACCGAATCGACTGAGCTGCACGTCCTCGAGCCAGACATGGCGGTATGAGACCAGATTTGGATGTGAAAGTCCCTGCAGAAGCTGGACCTCAATGAGGACTGTTTCGTCAGCTATGGAGTATCTTCAGTGATCTTTTAAACTTACCCTTCTCCAACCATGCATGATCATCTCCAACAGGCACTCTCTTGCAAGCAAATTGTCCTGCTCCAATTAGCAAAGTAGAACTTCACATTCCTTCATTTCATACCCAGAGAAACACTGTCCAGCTCATGCCTGACCAACAGAACTACTCCCTTTCCACCTCTACCAAGCTCCTTTTCCTCAATAAAGAATCTCTTAAAGTAATTCGGACTGAAAGCTTCCTTCTTGATACTGTGTCCCGTCTGCGGCGCCGGTGTACTCGTCACAAACTCCGCATCCGCCACCGATTCCCCCGTATGTCTGTCTCGAGGTGGAGAAATTGGGAACGCCGGCTGAACGAGTCTCCGAATTGGACTTGAAGGGGGACTTTGATCTTCTGCGCTGCCATAGGCAGACTGCAGCATACGAAAGTATTCGGGGCTAATGAAAGCTGCGGATCGGTGGGGAGAGCTCTGTCGATCGGGAGACGGGGGTCGAAGTGGTCGATGGCATGTTGGACAGTCTGCGTAGGAGGGGGTTGCACCACGGAGAATGAGCTGTTGTGTTTGAGGATCTCGAAGAACAAGAGCATCGTTATGCCGCCTGATAAGAGGGAGATCAGTGTCAAGCTTCACAAGTGCCATCTTGGACCATGATCTGTTGCTTCAGATTGAACTTACAGCACGACCTCTGATCCACGCTCGCGCGAGGAGTAAGGAACGAGGGACATTTCGAGTAAACGACGATTAAAGGTGACAAGATCTCATCCTGATGTCGGAGGCTCTACATCACCTATGCCGAGGGCATGAAGTTGAACATCTATTCGAGGTTCCTAGATGTGCGACGATGTTATTCGACAATGAAGCAAGTTTGGATTGTTATTTGTTTTGGGTGATTCGCTCTAGGGGCGGCGCCTCTCCCCACATTTCGGACTTGTTTCCGCCGGCTTGTGGGATGGCTTCAGAGGCTTAAGTAATAAGGTTAATTGCTTATTCAGCAATCAGATGTCCAACAACAGCTCCACCCTGCTAATGGTACGACGCATGCACTGCGATATTGATCGCAATGCATGCTCCAATAACGATGCTTGGAAGTGCCTTCTTTCTACGTCGAGTGACCGAGTATTCACCAAGTACTGAGGTGTGCAGCCTGACTCACCTGCTACCTCAGCCTCAAGTTCAGGCATCCAGCGAAGAGAGTCATTTATTCAACCCAAAGGTCGCGGGCATAGCTGTTCTCTTCATTCATTCAAACGTCCATCGAGCACCACTGCTACAGCATACTGAGTCTCTTGTCACTTGGACATTCAACGTCAACTTCGAAAAGGACAGAACTTGCGCGGCTTTAAAACCCCAATTGCTGACGGAGTATGAATTCTCGTACCGAATCTGTTTGTGCCCTCTCTTTCAAGCTGAAATAGCTTGTCTCAATGTTTGTAGCAAACTAACATCAGATCAGGGGAATACACTGTGCTGAAAACATGGAGCAAACACCAGGAGGGATACTGCTTGCGATTCCCGCAGAGATTCGGAACAGTATTTATCAGCTGCTCCTTGCCAGCAATGAGCCCATACCAGTCCGCACTCCGCGCCAAAGAACTTTCCGGGGTATGTTAATTTTACCATTGTTTCGTCGGGTATGTTCATCTTCATACCCGACGATTCCGGATGTTCTTTGGGAGCTGCTTGCCAAACAAGATATGTTTCAGCTCTTCGAATACGCTCTTCAGCTCGTAGATTTGGTCAAAAATGTTTACTGATGGTTTGTAGAACTCTCATTTTCGAACACGAGTAGTAGTATATTGTACGTTAATAAGAAGATTCATGACGAGGCCATCAAGATATTTTTTCAGTACAATACTTTTGTCGTTGGCAACGGCACCGAAGAAAATGAAGCTAGCCTCATAGGACTCAAAGCGTTGACGAAATACGTTCCAGCGTCGTTGATTGGAGCAATCTCAAAACTTCAATTCCACGTCTATCTCCGCACAATAGACGATCTTTCTCAACTCCCACCTCGCCGCAGGCCATGGGAAACCGAATGGACAACCCTAATAACTCCTTCCGCGGAAGTTGCAGAAGTCCTAGCTCAATACGAATTCTTGAACTCGGAGCCTATACCCTTCCGCTCCGGAGTCAATTTATCTATGGGAGGTCCTGCTGAAGCCCTGGAAATACGGCAAATTCATCGATGTATCCCAAAGCACTTCGTCAACGTAACTACCGTGACAGTGGACTGGGTGGTGAGTTCAAACAAAGTACAGATTTGGCCTGGTCGGATCATTCCCAGAGAAGCCACGATCACCGTTCTGTCAAAGGCCATTAAATCCTTGATGCAACTTCCAAAACTGCGGCAAATCTGCATGTGGGAGGATGAGTGTGTATATACAGAGGGTATCATTGAACGGCTACTGGCCGAACAAGGTGAAATGGGCAAAGCCATTCAATTTGAGCATCTGCGGTACAATGAAGGGATTTCTGGACGCATACGACGAGAAGCCGAAGAACAAAGAGAGATCCATTTATTGTGGATAGCGTAGAGACGGGTTGGATTCTACTGAGAATCTCGAGTACACCGCAAATACGGCTCATTGTTCCACTCCACCAACTCCATCTCCCAGCCAGCTCCGCACGTCCAACCAAAGACGGCTACAGACAAATTGGGTTACTTTGAGAGCCTCTCGCGGACTTTACGTACACCTCATCCTTCCATTCGAGCAACTTCATCTCGACCTTAAGCTCCTCATGTTGCACCAAACTGCTGAACTCGGCAAACGTCATTCCGTCTTCTAGCCATCGGATCTCCTTCAACTTCTTAGCCGCGAGCCCATCCAGTATCGTCCGGACTTCCCATGCTAACCCCTGAACGTCCCCGACCAATGTTCTTCTCAGAATACCGGGCATCAAGTTGGCTACCGAATTGGTATGCGGATTTTGGCGGCTTGTCTCATCACCAACAGTCAAAGATATCATCTCGATACCGGAGAAATGCTTCACAAGAGACGTGCCCAACCCCTTCAGCTCTTTGGTGTCTCTCTCCTTAGCCAAGCACCGGCCAAAGTTGTCGGGTTCTCCTGCAAACATGATGATATGAACATGTCTGATCAGAGAGATGCATTCCTTCGGGACCCTGCTGATGAAAGCCTTCAAAGCCATTACAGATCGAATATTCACGTTAGCACAGTCGAACTCAAAATCAAATATTCACGCCATTACAGCCGAACTCCCAAACGTGAAATCGAAACTCGAAACGTGAAACCGAAATTCGTCACTCACCTGATGATTCTCCTGCGTCTTCGATCCCCACCAGCCGTTACCGACCACAAACGTATTCTCCGCATAAAATACGCCTTTGGCCTCCTTGTTGACCTGCTTGTTGACACGGAGTAAGCATGCAAAGGCTGTTGCTGGAGCCGTGGTTTTCTTCCGGTGGTTGCGAGGACTTTTAATCGAGACAGGGTGTTCGTGATCAAGGGCCAGACTATAGACTTTATTCCGAATCTCTGAGAAGAGATCGAGAAATCTGAATGCTTCTTGGACTGAGCCACTCTTTCGGGGAGCGAGTCTAGCCGGTTGGTATGCCATCTCGAAAAAGGATGTTTGTTCGTAGGGAGTTGTTTGTGGAGAAACAGAGACCGGTCTGAAGGTTGTGGTTATTGTCTGAGGCTAAGAAGCGGCCGAGGCTATTTGGGTCATCGAGTAGCTGTTATCGGCACAACAGAAATCGGGCCTGAAGGTCGTGGTTGTGGTGTTTTGGAAGGAAGTTGTTTGCAGAAAAACAGAGATCGGGTCTGAAAGTTGTTGTATAATGGAAAGAGTTGTCTACGGAAAAACAAGGATAGTGTTTGAAAGTTGTAATGGTTGTGCGAGGCTACGAAAGCTACGACAGCTATTCAGGCCATCAAGTAGCTGTTATCAACAACTATGGTACCAAACACATTAAGAGAGTCGGGCAGATCACAAGGCTCGCAGGCGGTGAGGATCCGTTCCTTCCATTAGATGTTGCTTATTAGTTTTGAATTGTGCTTTTAGCTCTGGATATAGTACATATCACAAGGCTCGTAGGCGGTGAGAAGCATTCGTTCCTTCCGTTAGATATTGCCTATGTTTGAATTGTCCTTTTTCGCTTTTAGTTGTATATACAAGGCTCGAAGGCAGTGAGAAGAATCCGTAGCTACGAAAGCTATTGTGGATATCGAGTAGCTGTTATCAATAACCATGGTTCGAAATACGTTAAGAACGTCAGGCAGATCACAAGGCTCGCGGGCGGTGAGGCATCCGTTCTTTCCGTTAAATATTCTTAGTTCTGAATTGTCCCTTTTCGCTTTCAGCTCTAGATATAAGATATCATGCTTCTCACCCCTAAATGCTATCTTTCTCCTTTACTCCCCCCTTTTAGCCTTTAGTTTTAAGTGTCTTAGATGTTTCATGAATTCTCTTGAACTTAGCTATAGACGTCGCCACGACATCCGTGCGGTGTCGTGGGAGCGTCTAAGTGTTTTCGTAGAGTTAACGTATAAACTAGAATATATAAGAATATGAAAGAGCGGGGAAATAAGAGAAGGCACAAGAGAACGTGAGACAGAAGTATTTTGGCAGGGAGAGAAGTAGCTTAACAGGAGAGAATTAGTCTAATAAAGGGGCCAGTAGCCCTGGCAGAAGCGGCTCAAATCGCTTACCCCATGCACAAGACGGCTCAGACGATTCACCCTATCCAAGAGGAGGCTCAAGCACACTTGTTATGATTCTTTAGGCTGCTATTCTTTAAGGTTTTTAATGTTTTTAGAGTCTAAGATGTTCGTACGGTTGACCCTTAATCATAAATGGAAAACGAAGGATTTGTTTGGAAATTATAATTAACTCACCTCTTTTAGCTAGTTATTGCGGCCTACTTATTCTCAGCCATCTCAACATTGTCTGCCCCCCTTAGTACTGTCTACTCACCTCCATACTATCTAACCATTCCAATGCTCTTTGCCTCATTATCAGTACTACTCATTCGCTAGATCTATACTATAGTGAGTGAGTGAGCGAGTGAGTAAAAGAGCAGGGCAGAGAGTAGGGTACAAAATGGAAGAGCCGGAGTTGTACCGGTTTTTTTCTTGATTATGCACGATTTAAATTAGGTTTAATTTTTCGGACGTCGTGGGAGCGTCTAGGAAATTTCATAGAGCAACAATTGTTGTTTATAAACAGGACCCCCGCAATTATGAATGGCAAGGTATTTCTGATGGCAGAGTGTTTATATATAGCACTTCTAGTTCATTAAATAGCCCTGCGATTCATGAATAGTATGGCCCGCTCTATCTAAACAACGCTACTAACCGGAACAATGCCTTGCTTTCAATAATGCTAGCACTCTGTGTACTTCAAGACTCCAGGATAATACTCCACTTTACACCTCAGCTACTTCCCTATGGCCCTAAAGTCCTATACTGCTTCAAGACTTAAGCATGGAGGTGCAGTAAGTGCTCTACAATATTATAGTGCTGAAGGGCTGAGGTCAAGCAGGGTCTTATTCCGGGGCTGTTTTTCAAGGGCCTTATTTAGCTCGATATGCTTTAATTGTTTATAAATGGCAAGTGTAGTTCGTAAACCAGGGGTGCCATATATACATCCTGCTATTCATGAATGGCGGGAGGTCAGTTCATAAACAGTAGGTGTTGACGTATGGACTAGAACATGTCACAAGGCTCGCAGGCGGTGAGAAGATTTCGTTCTTTCCGCTGGAGGCCACTTAGTTCCGCATTGTCCTTTTCGTTTTCAGTTCCCAGTATAGTGCCCTCCTCACGTTTAATGAACACTCTTCCTATCGGTCCTTCTTAAAGACAATCCTCTTAATGCACAACCTCAAAACCCTAACACTTCTTCAAAGTTTGCACAAATCTCCCCATTCTCTTATACCTTATCTCTTTTCTCCCATCACCACACTTACAAACAAGTTAATATACCTTTCTAACATACCCCTTAGAAACCGACAAGCTCATCCGGGAATCATTGTCTCCAACAATTAACTCCTCAAAATCTCGATCCACAACAGAAAAAAAACACAAAACAAGTACAAAAGAAGACTTCCCAATCCCCCCAACCCCATGCTTAAGGATTTTCGCCTGTTTGCTTCCCCCTACAAACCATCTAAACGCCGGGAGGGCGTCTGAAGAGCTATGTCTGAACTGAATGGCGCACAGTCGGTGAATTTGACGCGGTAGAATTCCGAGTAACTCGAATTTGAAACCTTACTCTTGACGTAGCTTTCTAATCTCTCACTCTCTTCCCTGAGGCCCTTCATCCCCAAGGTTAGCCAAGTCCGAGTCGAACTCGAATCAAATTCAACTGTAGACCTTGCAAGTCCAGTTCCACCTTGGTAAAAAGGGGCTAAACTCGCGAGTCCCGAGTTTAAGGGGCTGATCTAGCCTAATAAGGACATATAAATCTAGATGAATGCTGTCGACTCCGAGTCCAATTCACTACCAAAATGCTTTAAACCCGACTCGGACTCGGACTCGGACTTGCCTGACCTTGTCCATCCTGAAGGCTTGTATCTCTCTCTCTCACACACTTTCTTTCTCTACCTTTCACTTATTTATAGTTTCTGACCTTTACACATCGTTAGCTATACTAATAGTAAACTTTTAATCTTAGAATTAATGTAGTTGAGTGCATAATTCTGAGATTGATCTTCATTGCATAAAGTTTCGCGAGCTTCTAAGGCGGGGAAAACATTACAAACTTGAAGCTCAAGAGAGAATGTAAGATTACAAATGCGAGATATAAGCCACTTTCTCATAGCCTATACATAACTTGGATCATCTCGCAAGTTATTGTTCTGCCGGCCTACATACAACACCTACACAATTCACGGCTCCCCTATTTCCTCGGCTAGTCATGTGCACGTGACCAGGCTGCGTCCCTAGGTAGTAGAGCAAGGTGCTAGCAAAACAGCCTGTCGACAAGTGTCCACAGGCTGTAGAGACTCGACGGCTTATAACTAATCCGCACGGTCTTTATAGCTTATGAAAGTTCCGCAGCCTTTTCTCAGAACAGGGCAGTCCGCTAAGGTAAGTATAGGGAAACATACTTACCTATGTGTTAAAGTATGTGCACGCTAATAGTATGCAAGAGTCTCCCATGGCATCTTAGGAGTTTAATGGATCGGGTAGCATCCAAAGGATCATTCTCTCAACCTCTAGCCCGAAATTGTGATTCTAGGTTCTGATGTCTTGACAGCTGTGAGCATTAACACTTGAACAGCATACAACCATAATATAAGTAAATGTCTGAAAGTCTAGTTGATATGTTTCAAAGCTATATAAAGATACCTTTGCATTCTTTAAATAACACAGAAAGCTCAAATTACCTCGATTGTTGTTGCCTTCCTTATCCATTGAAATCTGGTAGGGATAGATCGGTGAATCGCCATGAACGAGGCTCCGCCTTGCCTCTTTGAGCCATCGGAATCAAACAAACCACTTCGAACCAAAGCACGCTTACCTCTTTGGGCTACGCGTCTGAAAAAATCACGCGACGAGGCGGCTGTCCGATCTGCTGTGCTGTATCTTTACCCTTTCCGTTCACGATCAACAAGAACAACCAAGAACAGACAAACTCAACACCAATTTCACAATGAGCACAAACTCCACAATGAGTGCAGACTCTGGCGCAAAAGTCCCAGAGGACTCTCCAAAAGAACTTCAGGTCAGCTTCCTCAAGTTCCCTCCTGAGGTCAGAGACATGATCTGTAAGTCTAATTTCGCTTCACTTCGACATCATTTCAGGAGGCAGCTCCTCCCAACCCTGGAAACAACTCCTCTGATGAGCTCCTTGGCTCTCAGATCTCTGTGAAAAGTGTATACTGATATGTCAATAGACGATCTTCTGGTGGAGAGCGAGTACTCAATTGACATATTGTCACTAAAGAGAAAGAGTACGTCAAATCCTGCCTTTAGTTTTGTAATCATCCTAGGGCTGAAGACTTTGAGATCCTCTCTTCGTATAAGCTCTTCGGTTTCTAAGTCTCTATGAGAGCTGCACACTGACATGTCTATAGCTGGTTCGCGCAAGAAGTCCGATTCCGCAGATCCCAACGCCATCCTCAGGGCAAATAAACAAACATACAGTGAAGGAAGCGCAAGACTCTACACCGTGAACACCTTCACTGTTGGCAACGGATGGTGGAACTCCAGCACAGTTCCCAACCTCAAAGGTCTCCAATCGTTCATCCGAACAGTTCCCAAAACCTTCATCTCCTTGATCAAAAACCTCAACATACGTGTCAGCTTCCTATGTAACTTTGACGGAGATGCTTACTACTTGGATGTCCATGCCACCGAAGACCTACTCGATACTCTCTGGATTGTCCAGAAGCACTTCGATGGTGTGAAAAATTTGGAATGGGTTATCACTATGGACAACATCCGCAATCTTCGTGGACCATCAGATCCGGAAGCGGGAACCTGGGCCATAGCATATTCTGGCCATCATATTGTTCGTTATGCAGTACAGAGCTTGTTAGAGAGTCTGACACCCCTGAATTCATACCACTATACATTTGGCGTACGCCTGAAGGACGAAGAGGTGAAGAGGTTCCTGGCAGTTGTTCTTGGTTGGAAAGATAAAGTATCGGAGTCGCAGGAGTCTATTGACAAGTCATAGTGGAAAAGGATTGGAAAAGGGTTGGTAACGGCGGTGTTGAGGATTGAGAGTAGCGGTTCGCTGGTCTACTGGAATGGCTGCCTGTCAAATTATATGGTCCAGAATCACTTCTTCAAGGGGATAATGTCTGAGACTATGATTTCTTCTCTTAGTGTAAGCACTCCTGGAGGGCTTTTTGCATGGTTTCTGTAGTCCGAAGCAAATCGAATATGTAAAATTATCAAGGAATTACTTGAATCCCAATGAACATTGGCCGACTAGAGATTTACCCCTTAACAAAAACAGCATTCGCTCCATTGGAACTAGGTATATAAACATGCTAGTGCACTGTAGAAAGATTTTCTTACCTTGATTTCCGTATCAAATGAGATAACACTAGACATGATATAACTAGCTCACACAACACAGCTGCGGCCGCTCTAAGCGTAACTCCTGAAAAAGATTCGGCCTTGTTGCAAGGACGCTAAGGATGCTAGAAAAGTTAACTGGATCTCATTCCTCTTCTTAAAATATCTTCCCATATCAACCACCACCTTGCTGCCACACCAACATCAACAAAAGTCAAGAGAACACAGTACGAGCACTTGCATCTTTGCTTGCAACAATTCCAGATATCGAGATCCTCGAATCCAATCAACACACCACATCATTGTCACTTGCGCCTTGCTCCGACCTACACCATGGATCCAGTTATCGTCACAGTCGAAACCAAGGCGAAGGCCGCTCAAGAAACCTGTCGCTTTCTCATTATGCTCCCTCCAGAAGTGCGAGATATGATCTGTATGTCAAGCCCTCTTAGTCTCATTTGGGACGACTCAAGAGCTGGGTGCTCGGAACGCTCTCTCGGGAGAACTCGTCTTGGTTCTTTGATAACTTTGGAAAACACATACTGATATATTAGTAGATCGCTACCTCCTGGTAAAAGACACACCCATCAGAATAACACCACTGCCTCACATCCCAATTTCGCGCCCGCGAACCTTCCATTCAGCAATCCTCCGCACAAACAAGAAGATCTACGAGGAAGCACGCTCCATCTTCTATTCAGCCAACTTGTTCGTTGTAGGCAATGGGGATACGTATACTCGCAATGTTCCTAATCTAGAGGGCCTCAAGGTCTTCATCAAGCGAGTTCCGAAATCTTGCCTCCCAATGATCAAGAACATAGAGTTGGAAATGCGCTTAAAGCCGCTTTATCCGACCTTAACACTGCCTGAATTTGGTAACGGGTATATCATGTCTTCTCTGTCCGAAGACAAGTTTACCACCATCTGTGCCATTCTAAAGGCCTATTTTCACGGCTTCAGTACTCTTCGGATTATGAGTTGTGTCCGTGGGGGTCTTTCGATATCAAATGGTGTGATTCTCACGAGCGCGCAATCGCGTGGACATATGAAAAAGGGTGTAGACTTGTTGAGAGAGTGGGGTCCGGAACCTGCTGAGGATAGCGACTGCATCGATTTCACGTTCTTGGAGGACCTGCGATTGACGAAGCAGCAAGTAGAAAGCTTTCTGGACGCTATGGCTGACAAGGAAGCTCTACAAAAATATTAGGAGATCCTAAAGAAGACTTGAGAGTTGGCTCGTACGTATCGGAATGCCGTGGCTTGGAAGAAGACCTGACCCTGGTGTTGTACTGTAAGACTTATATTGGGGTTTGCTTTCCGGTAATTGATTGAAGGAACCTTGAGACACCTATTGCGAGTCTCTTCACCTTGTCTTGCAGTTGGAAGATTCTGGTTGGACAAATAAGCTGCGGATAAGTGGTATGGAGCATTGACGGATCAGGATTTAGCTCTATACCCAATACCTCAGAGAGCAATGTATTACCTTCTTCTACATGGCTTAGCAACTTGAGAACTGTTGATTCAATTGCTTGACTCTTTTGGTCCATTGTGACCATTGCGAGACTCTAAATCAATTTGAATGTTCTAATATTGAGAAGTGATGAAGAATCTGAAATCACGTGGAATTCGTTGAGGCAAGGACATTAAGAGGTAAGGAGATCGAATGTACATTCCGAAACTTTTACGAACTCATTACAGATTAAATTTAGATGAACAACATTTCCCTTTCAAAATGCTTCAAAAGCTCCCTTAGAGAGGTCTGTTTTGGAGGAGCTGTAGAGTACTTTACGTGACTTACCTCGCTTATAAAGTTGAAGGCAACACTTGACTCACTTGCCGCTTTTGATCGACTTCTCCATCCGAACGCACCTTCCCGACGACAACAAAACAACAAAAGCTTTCGAATCCTCCAATGCTGCTCCCAATTCAAGCCTCAGTATATCTTCGAGACAATATAAATTTCGATGACCGCGAGCCTTGCCAAACGGCGTTCCCGAAAACCATATCAGATCAGCTCCCGAAGCAATGGTGCGGACACGCTCAGGACTTCGTACCGAGCCACCAACCTTCACAGACTTCCTGGGACTGATTCCGGAAATGCGCAACAAAATCTACGAGATCTTGCTGCTCGAGGACCATGAGATTGATTTCGATAAACAACGGAGACCCTTGTACGACCTTCGGAGCCTCTCTCTTGTCAATAAGCAGGTCAGCAACGAAGCCCGATGGATCTACTTTTCAATCAATACCTTTCGTCTCGAGACCGGATTCTTGTCAATCAATAGCCCGATTCAGTTTCTGAGACGCATTCCCATCAAATGTGCGCCGGCAGTCAGACGTCTCACCTTCACCACTTTTCTCGGTATCAAGCTTCAACCAGAGACAGATGTCCTACCTAAACCACGGAAGTTTGACCCAAAGAATATCACCGAGGTATCACGCGCTGTGGATGGCTATCTGAAGAAAATGACTGATGCAAGACGCGCCGAGGATATGGCTAACTACCGCTTCGACATCAACGACCAACAACGTCTGAACATCGGATCTCTGCATATGGCCATCCGCAATCACTTTCCGCACCTCGCGTCATTGAACATTGAGTTCATCAAGGTATCTTTTGTTCCGTTCTCGCTGTATGCCGCAGATGGGATCCTGGGTGATAACGCTGCGGAGCTGGCGCACCTTTTACAGCCTCTATTCAAGTTTCCTGAATTCCGCAAGATAACCTTAGTACAAAAGTCAGATGTGAAACTGGACTGGCTGGCTGAGAAGATTCGGGAAGCAAGAGAAGCTCCGGTGGGAGTAGTCAAAGTGGTTCAAGCGTGATTAGTGGGGTCTGTCTTGGTGGCCAAAGGCGTTCTGGGCTTTTGCTATTTGATGAAGAAACGCGTATAATACTGTACAATCGGTGGAGTTCGCAATGACTTTCACACATTTCGGGGCGTTGTGCGAACTTGCTTCTGGGCAAAGCGTACTGTACATGGCTTGTTTGATTTACTTAGCAGGGAGTCTCTTACGCAGCTTTGCTCTTAGGAGTCCAGCTAAGTCCTTGAAACTCATGCCTCCTTCCCAAGTGACCAATGTTGCTTATTCTGCATGCTGAAACGTCCCAAGTATCATAAGCAATGCCGATTCCAATTCTATAACTCTGGTAAATTCAACCTTCTCCAAGAGGTAGACCTAGAAGAGTACATTTGAGACCCCATAAACAATGCCCAGAAGTGCTGGGATATTTGTGATTTCAGACAATGTACAATCGTGGGGTTGACTGAGCAAACAGTGCCTCGGAAGCAGCTTGATGTTCTATTGTCTCTTTTCTCCACCTCATATTTAGCAAATCCTTTGCTGTACACGCTCTCCATACACTTCCAAGATACTTCACATTGTTCGGAGTGATCGTATACAATCTAGATCAACAAGGAAATATCCCACACAACACCAAATCTATACCAATGCCTACTTCACTCAATTCCTGCATGTCTCCAATCTACTCCATCCACCTCTCATCCAACGCCTCAATGAAGCCCACATCAACATTAACAAAGCTCTTCCAAAGATCAACCTCCTGCCTCCACGGCCGCGTCTGAATCGCAAACGTCGTCGCAGACGCCAGCCTAAGCAAATCCTTCTCATCAACTCCCATAACCAAGTACTTCTCTCTCTTAACCACAACCCTATCTTTCAAGTATTTCTTGAACGGCTCAACTCGCTGTTGGGCAGTGATATGGATAGACCATTCAGAACACGGCATGTCTTTCGGCACGAATTTCCAGATGAAATTCCTACCTTGGAGGTCTCGGAAGGACGTCGCGTCGTGATTGTCGTGTCCGATCATGAGCGGGTAGAAGTGTGGCGCACTCCATAGAGACAGGACTGCGAAACGGGCACCGGGATGCTTCTTAGTGAAGGCGCGAGCGAATGCTTTGAAGGATGGGACGTCGTAAGGATTCTTCACATGGGGTGGCATTCGGACTGTTTCGATTTGGTCTCGTGCTTCGAAATAGAGGTCATATTTATCGCGCCCGGGCTCTTTAGCTGCGAAAGCTTGAGTTTCGTGGTATGTGTCTGCTCTGGTGCGGATGACGCCAGCCTTGTATACTTGACAAGATTGTTAGATAGAAAGTTTTGGAGAAGTGGGAAACTTACAATGGGCTATTATTGGTCGAATAACAATGTCCCACTCTTCAGGAAAATCTTCAGGAAGATACTGGGCAGCTTTGGCGGCGGCGTCGAACTCTTCGTAGAATTCAGCTGGGCGAGTCTTATTTGAGTGATGCGAGCGCTCGTCTTGAGGGGCTTTGGCCCGTTCTTCTTGTCTAAATAAGAGCGAGTCTTTGAAGCCTTCACCGTCTGCCGAGGCAAAGAAGTCTTGATGGAAGAATGGAGTCATTTTGGCAATGGCTTTGTGGAGATCCTTCTTATCCTGAGAAAGATCTAACTCGTGTATCAACTTGAAAGCCAGTATCACAGGCGCATAATCGAAAACTTCATGATTGTACTTCCGAATCTTTTTGATCATCTTCGTCATCTCGGTGTAGCGTATTTGGGCGTGGGGTGAGAGGTCCGCTTTATGCCACACTACTTTGAATACTGCATTGCTGAGTCAGCTTGTCGAGCCTGTCACTGCCCGATTTCTATTCTCTTGGCAAACTAGGATAGGAGAGGAGGAGCAATTGATCATGAAGGAAGAGCAGTAGGGGCGAGGCAGGATTCTGAGTTTTCTCACCCTTTGCTTTCTCCCTATCTAGGAACGTCATGAATTCTTCCCTCATTTCCGACTCTTTGGGCTTAGTATTGGGCCGAACTCGGTGAGAATGACCGCTCTTTAGCGAAAGTTTCTTCATGGCTTCTTTCAGTTCACTAGAGAAAGGCATCCGATGGAAGATTTCGTTGGGCGTGATTGGTAGATCTTCATGTGTATCAGAGACAGTCGACTCTTCTTCTTCATGGCCCTCTTGAAGGCCTTCGGAGCCGTTGTCCTCCGATAGGTCGGCTTCAAGATCATCCTCGTCTTCCCACTCGGAGTCGTATTCCAAATTCTCATCGTCGGTGTCTTCCGTGTACTCAGAATCCCACCCTTCGATGAAGCCTTGACAAGTGAACGTCTCCTCCCATTGACTAAGCGGTTCAATTTTTCCAATCTGAGAAGGGTCCAACATCTGCGCCTCACGTTCTTCAGGAAACAGGACCTCGCCTTCTAATTCGTCGGCTTTAGTGTAGAATAAATTCATTGGAAACGTGTTATCCTCCTCGAACACTTTTCTCGCAGGTGCAAGCCCAGACGCATTCTTACCCCATGGGTCATCAACTGTGCCGTACCTGAACTTTACGTCTGGGCTATGTGAGTTGTCGTAGATGCTCTTCACGTCGTCTCCCGGCTTAATATCTCTTACACGATGGGTAGTTTCGTCTTTGTAGAGAGTTCTAATTACTGGAGCTACAGGATTGTAGAGGTCTGGAGGAGTACGGCATCGCAGGGCTTTCGTAAGTGTCTATAACTGGTCAGTGACAACGGTCCATGAGAAGATGCAGATACAAACCTCCTGCACAGCGTTGTACAAACAAGGGAAAGGCTCTCCAGCTTCCAAGTCCCAAACATACACGTCGTAGTATTCTTTGAATGAAAAGCTCCATTGTCGAAACTTATCCATATCATCGAAGAAGTCCGGACCAATGCTTTTGATGATCTGCCAATCATCATTCCGGGATACTCTTCCAAGTCCCGATTTTTGACGATAGAGCCAGCGCTGATCTTCTGGAGGTTTGATTAGAAGACGTCCAGACTCTGCATCTCGGACAAGAACCAGAAGTCGGTGACTTTGCATGGACAAGTATTGAACCAAGCGACGACTGGCTTGGTTATCCCTTTTTATATGAGCACAAATGAAGTTTCGAGCTTCGAATGCGTTATGGGAGCGTCGGACTGGGCCACGGCGTCCGCCCTCCTGAATTCTGACTGTGAGATCACGCGCATCAGGTTTCGCACTTTCGAAATAAACAATAAAGCCCTGTTAGAAGAGGATATGTCAGCAGTGAGACAAGACTATAGACTCGGGCATGCAAAGTAAATAATGAATTACCAGCTGCAACATTTGCTGCCGCCACCTATTTCCAACCCATTCAGCCCAATTCTTCCCCGGAAAATAACCCCAAATTGCAAGGACATTCAGCTCGAAGAATTCATCCCAATGTCGACATAGCGCAATGGCGTCGTGTAGATTGCTTTCTTTTGCCATGACGCAGAAGTGTAGCCAACCTCCTCGGTTCATGGCTTTGCTGCTGGGATAGTTCCAGATTGTGCGACCACAGATCTTGACTTTGATCTTTCCAGTGGGCGAAGGGGAAGCGCCTTGGGTATTGCCGAAATCGACAGCACCCCCACCCTCCCCAAGCATTTCACTTACTGTCGGCATTGGAGCCCCCATTGCCTCTGCAGCTCGCTTCGTCTTTTCTCGCTTTGAAACCCACTTGTCCGGCAAGTCCCCCTTTCTCTTCTGAAACACATGCAAGTCAGAATATGGAGCTGCGGGTTCCTCGGCTTCTTCTCGAGACGGCTCAAGGTCTTCATCGGTCTCTTCGTTAACTCGAAAGAAATCTGCACATGCGTCACGGATATCCTGGAGGCTTGGATTTTCCATCTTCAAGCACAAATCTCTAAGCTCTCCAGTTGTTACTTCTTGATCTGCTAGGAACTCCTCGACGATGTTCGCTCGTAGAGCTGCTGGGAGCAAGGCCGCGTGGCCAAGAAGTAATCGACAGAATAGAAGATGCTTGATTTGGAAAATCTCGTCTTGTAAGCGTTTGATCTCGTCCTCTGGAAATGTGATCGTTTTGGTTGAGATGACTGGATTTTCGATGGTCCCAGCAATCATCATACCAACCACATTATCGTTGTTGAAATCCTCGCCGTTTTTCAGTCTATCGTGCATTTCTTGCCGTGTTTCTATGAGGCTCTTGTCTGGTTCGGGAGCAGGAGCTGTTGTTTGAGTTGAGGAACTGGCGCTGTTAGAAGTTTTCTTCTTTTTCTTTGACTTTGACTTGGGCTTCGGCTTCTTGGCGGAGTTGGATGCAGAAGGGCTGTCCACTAATGTGACGTTGGAATTTGGGGAAGAATCGGGAGGGTCTTTCGATATAGCGATCGATGCGCCAGTGGAGTCCTCCTTGGTGATATCCGGAATGCTTTCAGACGCTGTCATCCAAAGAAAGGTCTGGATCAGATCTGCACGAGTGATTAGTAAGTAGCTGGGCGGGACAGGTCACGAATTGGGGTAGAGTACCGATATAGCTTCCTCTGCTATCCTCCAGGACATCCTCGATGGGATCCCAATCCATTTCGTCATCCTCTTCCGCTCTTTCACCATTTCTCTCTCGCTCAGCCATTCTCTCCTTATAAATCTGCTCGAGAAAAGCATCTTCCCTCAACTTATCCTCTTTAGCTCTCTTGTCATTTTGCCTCAGCTGAGCCGCTTTCCAATGTCTTCTGAACATTGCAGCTTCTGCCTTAACCTTCTTCTGCTCTTTCTCCCCGTTCTTTCCTTCATCGTCCTGGCATTCTCTGACCCATGTGTACCACTTCTGCTTCTTGTACAAAAACTCTGATGTCTGTCGCTCCAGCTTTTCCAGAGCTCGAACAGTTGAGGATTTCTGGCTTTGGAGATGTTCGACCCATTTGACATGGCCATAGTCCATGTCCTGTGAACAGAAGCGACTCATATGCAGTTTTCGGGCACGGATGACCCTTTCCAGGAGCTGAAGTCTGAGGAATAGATGATCGTGAATTTCCTTGAGTGTTTCATGACTTGAGACATCTTCATATGTCAGGCTATGCAGCGGCGCTTTGGCTGCAGCAAGGTAATTTGGAGAATTTTCCACGAGGCGATCAAGCTTTGCATTTCGAAGCTTGTAACCTCGATAGAGACCTGTCTGTGTAAGAATGTATTATTTAGGCACAGTGATCCAGAGGTGCCTACCTTGGCATTGTCTCGAATGGAAAGCGCAGAAGAATCCGTTCAAAGAAGTGGCAGTCTCGATGCACCTCTTCTCGTCTGAGACATTCAAGGCCTGACACTGCGAAGGATTATCCATTTATGACCAGCAAGATGTCACGACTTGTTACACCTGAACAAGAAAGAAATGCACGTCCCCAGGAACTATCTGTGGGGTTGAAAAAGCAATCCACAAGTCGAGGCGGTGAGGTGAAGTGTTAGTTGTGGGGAAGCGCGTCTACTTCGCGAGTGCCCGTGCAGAAGAAGCTACGCTTTATCAAGGTTAAGGATAGAAATGATCGTTGGACTTTACTCGATTGGGCTGATACATGATCACGTGAATAAAAGGGGGTTTCATCAAGGTAAGTCGAGATTGCTAATGTGTACGCACATTGCCACATCTCCTGATTACTATTTGCCAGCTGCTACATTCCGTATTGCAGACTTCCGTTATCCGTGCCAGGAAAGAAACGCCAGGTATCAAGCTACCAGCACATCTCCAGTGGACGCTAAAAGGACGACTACCTAATAAATATCTCCAAAACTGGTTATTGAAATGGTGTAGCCCTCGCAAGGACTCGAACATTGCTCACTAAACCTTCAACCAATGCCAAATACTCGTTGGTACTGCCTGCTGCCGCCTTCTGGCCTTGCTCGCGGACTGCTGCAGTAGAGACTTCGATTTCAAGTTCATGCTCCTTCACTATCTGAGGCCCACCGACCTGTCTGAAGTTAGCATCAAGACCTGGGGCTTCACGGAAATAGAACTTGCCTGTATGTTTGAGGTTTGAGTGACTTGAGTGAGATCGAATTGGTACACAGATTGAGTGTAGCTTAAACGATCCTTATTACGATCAGGTTGCCGATCACTGGTCGAGGCGGCTATGATATCTTCAACGTCCATGTCGAATTTCATTTCGAAGTTGATACTGATGCGACAGTCAAGAGCTTGTTTCGGCATGTAAATGTCAAGGTTTGCAACTCGGCACTTGATAATCTTTGCCAGGACTTGGCCCGTCTTTTGATCGTGACTGATCCGGACCCTGATTCTTTGGCGTGAATTGAGTTGCTCTCTAACTGCCGCTGGGAGACTAGAGTACATCGTTTGTGGGAGTTCATAGAATGTGTCTCTTTCTCGGCGATGATTGTAAATAATCTTGACGCGCTCCTTTGAATCAGGCAAAGGATTTGGTGCGTAAGATTCTTGTACTCGCTTATTTAGGAACTCGTTGAGAGTTCGGTGCTGAGTCTGGCAGTATTTTAGCATTTGCTGATAGATTCAAGGGGATACAACAAACCTCGGTCATGGAGCTTCTGAAAGTAAGTCCAGTGTTCGCCCTGAGAACACATTCGGAGTCGATAGGTAAGATGTATCTCTCGTTCGTATCTTTGTCAATGATTTGACCCAGCTTGGCTTCGATTTCGATGTCAACACCTCTGCTTGCCAACTCGCCCAGATCGTTGCGGGAAACGACATGTGAATACAAGAAGTCGGCTACCAACTTTGATATATCATCTTGTGGCCTGGTATTGGTGATGGACTGCTCCCAGGGTCCTAGGATCACCGACGGATCCTCTTTCACCGTGTTTGGAAGGGGTGCAACTCGGATAGATGGAGCAGGAAGTTGGTTGTTGCCATTCATCTCAGTTTTGATAGGTGGAGGACCTTGATTGGCAGGGTATATTCCCAGAGGAAGCTTTCCATTCGCCTTGAGATTTGTCTTAGTGCTCATACTTAATGGTGCTTTGCTTCGGACACTGCGAGCCCAAATCGGTGGTTCTGTATATCGGATACGCTTTTTAGGTGGTGGTTGAGGAGAACTTGATACGACTTTACTGTCGCCGTTTGTCTGTGGCTTGGCTTCACGTTCTCCTACTCGCCGAGGCTCTTCAATTGCGGCGTTCCTGTCTTCAATCTTGCGCTTCGAAGAATTGTACCCGTTTTCCGTCTGCGGGATCATAATATCTCCCCGAGGTTGGCTTGGTAGACGAGTCTTGGGACTCACACTAACACTGCGCTCCCTCTCGCTCTGTGACCTCCTATGTTGTTCACTTGTTGATGTTCTCTGTGAATGTGGATCGTAAGCACTCGGTGTGCTTGGTAATCTTGGGATCGAGGCGGGTACTGGTTGGGCAGGCGAGGTTTGAAAGTGGCCGAATGGCCCAGGTGGGATACCTCGCTGCTGATATGGACTTGGTGGTTGTCCAAACGGTCCTGAAGCTTGCCTTTGAGTTATTGGAGGCCCAAGAGGTGTTCCAGGTTGCGAGTGTTGAGATTGCTGAGACTGCTGCCGCTGGTGCTGGGTAATCTGAGAAGGTGGAAAAGGCGTGGTTGTAGAGACTGGACTGTCTTGAGAATACTGGTTGCTGAAGTATTGTTGTTGGCTGTGGGCAGATGTGGGTGTAGAATTCGAAAGCGAGGATTGTGACCGCTGGTGTTGAAGGATTGGATGGGGAGCACCAGGTATGCCAATTGGAGGTGTTTGAGGAGCAGGCGAAGCTTGACTGTACGAGTTATGGAGATGAGGTGGAGGAGGAGGAGGATTCGATTGCGGATAGCTCTCTCTCTGCTGAAGATTGGGCGGATACTGTTGATGTTGCGCGGGACTTTGAGGTGTCTGGTAGGTTTGCGGAAAGGGATATTGGCTGGCAGAGGACGAAGGTGTGTGCTGGTAAGGCGATTGAGCCGAATAAGATCTGGCAGGAGAGCGCAAGTCGTTTTGAGGAGGTGCTTGAATGGGCGGTGGTGGAGGAGGTCGACCTTGATAATTGCTCTGATATGCAGTTGGTGAATTATATGGTCCACTAGGTTGTGCACCGTAGTCTTGCGATGGATGTTTGCCCGGCGAGGGGTGCGGCGGATGACTATATTCTCGATGAAAGCCTTGTTGAGGATGAGCTTGCACCGGAGTGACTGGCGCAGCTTGCTTGGAGACAGAGCTCTCCCCAGCTTCCGAGTTTATGATCGATCTGAGGTCCATAGTGTTTGCGATTCGGCCTCGCAGCTCCAGACCAGGCGCACCTTGCCGCGGGCTACGAGTGACTCGGAATATCGATCGAAAGGGCGTTCATCTGACGAAAGATGCTGCTGGTATCTGGCTATACACAAACATCCGACAACGATTACTGATGCTGGCGCAAACGGATCAGGACAAAGGATGGACGAAAGCCCACACAAGAGACAGCGAAGGTAACAACGACTTAGGTCTCTCTCGTTGATGTCGTGAGGATCGCTGTAGGGAGTCGCACAGTCTACAGATACATGGTCGAGCCCGCGGTCGTGATGGCAGGGAAGAATCACAGATGAAGATGGTCTTGAGGTCAACAAGATGCCATTTTGGAAATTCCCTTGGCTGCCGACGGGACCTCCTGAATACCTAGTGTTCGATTTCATGCAGGTAGATGCGCACGTGAGGCACGCCGCAATAGCTTATCTAAATGTCTGGAAGACGAATTGTACATTCTAGAGAAGGAAATGGTTCATTATAGATTTAATAATTGAGAATATACCCCCATTCGCTGTGCTTTTGTTTCGCGGACCAAAATTGAATTTTTGGGTGACGCGCGTGTACGAGAGCGGCCTTATTTTCGCCTGAGGCATCAAGTGAGTTTTTGGCCTAGCTCAGAATAGGTTGCCGCGACCCAGAGCTTGTCACGTAACCAAGCTGTGCCTGGCGAAGTCAGTCAAATGTAATCAACACCGAGATCCTTTCCATCAAACAACTCCACTGCACAACGACCTGTTTTCTTTCTGCGCATCCATCGTCTCCAAGATAATACAAATCTTCCCTCCTTTATCTATCATTTATTTCTCATTCGACCATGCCTGGCCTGACTTCAGCCTCCGGAGTCTTGGGCTTCCTCCACGATGAAGAGCCCGAGCTCAAGGTGTTTGCTCTGCAGACCCTGAACGACGACATCGACACTCTGTGGACTGAAGTTGCTGGGTCCATTGGTCAAATGTAAGTCCTCGTCCATAGATTGCTTCTCCTTGCTACCATATACGTCGTTGAACTGACTCGCCCCTTCAGTGAAGCCTTGTACGAAGATGAAACCTTTCCCGAGCGACAACTGGCGTCCCTAGTATTAGCCAAAGTCTACTATCATCTCCAATTCTACAATGAGAGTATGACCTTTGCTCTCGGCGCGGGCGATTTGTTCAAACTTGACTACGAGGGCGAATTTGAGGAAACCATCATCTCGAAATGCGTGGATACATACATCAGTCTCTCGGTCACCAAGCACTCCACTCCCCAAGAATCTTCGAAAGCTGGGCCTCTTCCTACCTTGGCAACCTCTTTCGCAGCTGGGACAGATGATGCTGCAGCCGCTGCAGCTCTCACTTCGCCTACGACTCCATTCTCTCAATCTACCTTGCCTTCCAAGTCACTACTATCAAGAGCCTCAACGGAAAATTTGTTGGATCCAACTGGCTCAGAAGGGACAACAGGGGCAATTCCGATACCGGATAGAGCTACACAATCGGCCCTGAACCAAGTCATCGAGCGACTGTTCGAGAGTTGCTTGCGCGAGGGCAGATACCGTCAAGTCGTTGGCATCGCTGTCGAGGCGAGAAATCTTGAAGTGCTACGCCGGGTCATCAAGCGTGCGAGCTCCGAGTCTCGCACTAAGCAAACCGAAGGTGTACCTGGGCCTTCAGAAGAGCTGATGGAGTACGTCTTGGGTATCTGCATGGATGTAGTTCAGGAGAGGGCCTTGCGAACAGAGATCTTAAGGTTGATCCTGGATTTGCTGAACGAAATTCCCACTCCCGACTATTTCTCGATTGCGAAGTGTGCAGTGTATCTGGATCAAGACGAACAGGCGTCGGAAATGCTACAGAAGTTGACAGTATGTATAATGATTATTGACTACGCGCGTTGGACTATGTTTTGGCTGACATATTCATAGGCCAAAGGCGATATCACTTCGACGGCAACCGCATACCAAATCGCTTTCGACCTGTACGACAATGGAACTCAAGAGTTCCTAGCTAAGGTCATTAAATCTCTTCCAACTAACCCCGAAGGAACAGAAGAAGCAGAGGATCCGACCATCAGCCGAATCCGCAAGATCCTCAACGGAAGTGAGACCATCAGACTCAACCTCGAATTCCTCTACCGCAACAACCATACAGATTTGAGCATTTTGAATAAGGTTCGGGATAGTCTGGAGGGACGAAACTCCATCTTCCATACAGCAGTCACGTTCTGCAATGCGTTCATGAATCAAGGGACTACAAACGACAAGTTCTTCCGTGATAATCTCGATTGGCTTGGCAAGGCTGTGAATTGGTCCAAATTTTCAGCAACTGCAGCTCTTGGAGTTATCCATCGTGGCAATCTTTCCCAATGTCGCAAGTTACTCGAGCCGTATCTGCCCAGAAGAACTTCGCTTGGTGGCTCCATTTTTAGCCAAGGAGGTGCTCTATACGCTTACGGATTGATTTATGCCAATCACGGTGCCGATGCACTTGATTATTTGAAGGAACAGTTCAATGATGCAAGCGAGGAAGTCATTCAGCACGGCGGTGCTCTTGGTCTTGGTATTGCCGGGATGGCTACTGGGTCGGAGGAGATCTATGAAAGTCTTAAGAATGTCCTCTACACCGATTCTGCCCTCAACGGAGAAGCTGTGGGTCTCGCGATGGGCTTGATCATGTTGGGTACAGGCAACATCAAGGCATTGGAAGACATGATTGCCTATGCCCACGATACCCAGCACGAAAAGATCGTGCGGGGTCTCGCTGTCGGCATGGGTTTGATCATGTATAGTCGCCAAGAAGGCGCTGATGAGCTCATTGAGGGTCTGCTCAACGATCCTGATCCAACTCTTCGCTATGGAGGCATTATGACCGTCGCTCTGGCCTATTGCGGCACAGGAAGCAACAAGGCTGTGCGCAAGTTGCTGCATGTCGCTGTTAGTGATGTTAACGATGATGTCCGAAGAATTGCTGTGATGAGCTTAGGGTTCATCCTCTTCCGCAAACCAGGAAGTGTGCCAAGAATGGTCGAATTGCTCTCCGAATCTTACAATCCCCACGTCCGATACGGTGCAGCTATGGCCCTTGGTATCTCTTGTGCGGGTACCGGACTCGACGAGGCTATCGATCTTTTGGAGCCTATGATCAAGGATCCAACAGATTTTGTGCGTCAAGGTGCTTTGATCTCACTCGCTATGATCATGGTGCAACAGAATGAAGTCATGAATCCGAAGGTCGCTGCCATCCGCAAGACCTTGAAGAAGATTGTCGGCGACCGCCATGAAGATGCCATGACCAAATTCGGTTGTGCCCTGGCTCTTGGTATCATTGATGCTGGTGGTCGCAATTGCACCATTGGGCTCCAGACTCAGACTGGCAATCTCAATATGGCCGGTATTGTTGGAATGGCAATATTCACACAATATTGGTATTGGTTCCCCTTCACCCACTTCCTCTCATTGAGCTTTACCCCGACCTCAATGATTGGACTTGATCACGATCTTGAGATTCCAAGCTTCAAGTTTCACAGTGCCACCCGTCCAAGCTTGTTCGATTATCCCCCTGAGCAAGAGGTGAAGACTGACGAAGCTCCCACTTTGATTGCCACTGCTGTTCTTTCCACCACCGCTCAAGCTAAGCGACGAGCCCAGAAGAAGGAGCGTGCCCAGCGCCGCGAAAGCATGGATATTGATCAAACACCAACTACGCCAAAAATCAGCCAAGCAGCTGGTGACAAGATGGATGTTGATGAGGAGACGAAAGACAAGGAAGGCAAGCCCGAAGAGAAGAAGGAAGGAGAAGCCGAGAAGGAGACTGGCACTGCTGCTGAGATTGCCAAGAAGAAGTTGGAGAAGGAGAAGGTCGGCCATGAGATTGAGAACATGTCCCGGGTCCTCCCTGCCCAGCTCAAGTTTATCAGTTTCCCAGCCGGCCGCTACAAGCCTGTCAAAAAGGTAAATAACTTGTTTGTTTCATTGGAAATCCTTTGCTAATAAAGCACAGCCAACTGGAGGTGTCATCTTAATGATTGATTCCCAGCCAAAGGAAGAGAAAGTCTTGTTGGAGGAGAAGCTGAAGAAGGCCTCAATTGAAAAGGCTGCCGCACCAACAACTTTGGAAGACATGCGCAATGAGTCTTTTAACCTGCGCCGACAAGCTGATGCACATGGTGAAGCATCTGGAGCCGCGGCTGCTGCAGGTGTCCTGACTGCAGTCGACGAAGATGAGGAAGGCGGAGCGGAAGCCGAAGTCCCTGCAGACTTCGAGTACTTCACGGATAATGAAGACGAGAACTAGATGATGTGTACTTTTAGATACTCTTCGTGTGTAGCCGTCCAATACGGATTAGGAGGCAGCGTCAGCACAAGAGATGTGTTAAGATGTTGTACTGTACAATATATACCACTGAGCATTTCCGCGCTGCTAGAGATGAGAACCGAGTGTGATCTGAACTAATGAAGGTTCCAGGTATGAATTTACAGGTGATCCAGTGCACAGGAATCATTTCCAGCTCCATCAAGTTTATATATGTTGTATATATACCTAAATGTATTATTATATCAATCGAGGTTCGAAGTTGACGAACTTAGCATCAATTTCACGTGCCCCTGATTGGGAGACAAAAGAAATTGGTGCAGTAGTTGTCTTCATACATTTGGCCGGCAGGTATCAGTAATCCCCAGCTTCAACGGACGGCTCGCCATCTTTCGAAGTCCGGATACATATCAGACATTTCGAGACGTTGCACCAACAAATTCATGATCACTCGATGACCCTCAATCTCGATGCATGCTCGTCAGATCTGCTTTTTCTTCACTAAAGTCTCGACACCATTCGCTCTGCAGAATTTCCTCGAACTATAAATTACCTGGAAGGCCCAGATCAGTTTTAAACTTTCAGAGATATCTCCAGTGTCCAGGTGGACGGGAACACATCAATCCTCACAGCGGCGGAAGCGTCAAGTCTCGGCCAGGGTAGCTCTCCGCGATCTTATCTCTGTGGCTGGTAGCTCTCAGGCCACGGAGGATCCCGCTGGATACTTAATTGGGGGCCCAACATCTGAAACAGGAAACTATGGCGTCCAGCCTTTCGGATGCCATGCTGTTTGTCTGCGGTGGGGGAGAAACATGTGAGCGGCCCCTTCCTGAACAAGACAACATTTCCCCGGAGTCCGAGACATTATCATTGCTTTCTCGAGAGCCTCCTCGCTCTCGTTTGCGTTTACCAACAGGCACCTTCACTTGTCCAGAGTATGCAAGTCAGCCCAAACGATGTCTGTACAACCATAAGCGGCCGACCGCATCGTGGTTGAGTACAAATACGGATTATGATTGTTCAATCCGACATCAAGACGTGGGATTTTCGCTGTGAGGTGATGTTACTGCTGGGTCAGCCTATCTCTATCACAGATTGACGTCTCTGGTGTCATGGCGATCACAATGAACGGCCAACCCGAGTCTGGACAGGGAGCTCCGGTCGAGCAAAGGGCCCATGGATAAAAATGGAGCATTGGAAATGCAGATTGCACTCTATCATCAGCAGCCGCATCCAATCAGTACCACGCATCAAAAGTCGCCTCTACCTGCCCACAATTCCTTGCATGTCCTGGATGTCGCTGCCCTGCATGCTGACGCCCTTTCTCCATCTTTCGATATCGCGCGCAGCTATCTCGGACTCCAGAAAAAACATTTCCAATCGCGCTGACTGGTTCCTAGTCCACTTGGTCGGTCGCTACTGTACGGGAGGAAATCCGTCAGTTTTTAGAGCGAAACGACGAACTACTCGCCATCGCGTTCGAGGCCAGGCCCTAGATAACACTGAAGTTTCTCATTCGTTGTACATACCGCCACCGATCAACCCAGCATGCTGCTAGAACTCTTGGTGTATCTTTTCTGTTCTTCCAGAATCATGCTCGTCCCATAGATAAACAGTACCATGCAGTCGGACCGGGCACTAGGAGACAGGCGAAAGACAAGGGCATCGCAGTCTACCGATGGCCTGCCGTACAAGGAGGGGGAGACAAGCTCTTATCTCTTATCCACAAGGTCATATATTGTCGTCCTCCCCTCCCTTGGGTGGTGCATAGCATCCAGCTTCAGCATTCATCTTGAGGATCTGAGGATAGCTTGGCCAGCTGAGGCATCGACATCATGAAGTACATTCCAAGCAGAGAGACGGTCAAGAAGCGATGCACTACGGTCAAGGCATGGGAACTGCCCAAGCAGAAGTCGGCGTTGGCTCCTGAGCATGTATGGACCAATAAGGATATGGATCCTGTCACCATTGAGAATCAGACATGGACAATTTGGACCTGGATGGCTTATGTACGTTTTATTTTCATACTCTTCTTTACGACGTCTAGCAGTACTGATTCCTTGCACAGTGGGCTACCGATACGATCAACTTGGGTACCTGGGAGACGGCCAGTTCCATCCTCAAAGTAGGATTGAGCTGGAGAGAAGCCATCCCCATTGTAAGTCACCCCACTTTTCTCCCGCAACGACCATCAGCTCACATGTCTAGATTGTGGTTGGAACTTCTTGTGTGGCCATTCCCATGGTCCTCAACGGTGCGATTGGTGCCAAACTCCACATCCCATTCTCAGTTGCCATTCGAGCCTCCTTTGGATACTACTTCGCATACTTCGCTATTGTTTCTCGGTCTATTCTTGCTATGTTCTGGTTGGGTATCCAGGGTGCCAGCGGTGCACAATGTCTTACCATTATGGTGAGCGCGATTTGGCCATCCTACGGAAAAATCGGGAATCACTTGCCGGAAAGTGCTGGTATCACGACGCAAGGAATGATCAGGTATGGCTTCTTCGGCAATAATGTTTTCTCAAAATTGCTAATGTTCGTACAGTTACTTCCTTTTCTGGATCATCCAATTGCCTTTGCTGTTGATCCCACCTACGAAGCTTCGCTACTTGTTCGCCGCCAAGTTGATTGCAGCGCCCATCACTGCTCTCGCTACTATGGGATGGTGTGTCCACAAGGCTGGAGGATCAGGACAAATTTTCGCACTCAAGGCCACCGTCTCCGGGAGCACGAAAGCGTATCTCTGGCTCAGCTGCATGTCTTCTGTCACTGGTTCGTGGTCAACACTCGCTTGCAACATCCCCGATTTCTCTCGGTATGCTCGCACCAGCAAGGGACAATACATCCAACTCCCCCTCCTTCCACTCATCTTCACACTCTGCGCAGTCATCGGTATCGTTACCACCTCCGCAACTGGTGTAATTTATGGGACACTATATTGGAATCCTCTCGATATCATCAAGATGTGGCTTGATGATGGTCATGGAGGTCGTGCAGCAGCGTTCTTCGCAGCCACTTCATGGTACATTGCTCAAGTTGGAACAAACATCACCGCAAACTCTATTTCTGCAGCCAATGACCTCACTGTCCTTTTCCCCAAGTATGTCAACATCAAGCGTGGATGCGTTATTGCTGCCATCATCGGTGGTTGGGTTATCGTCCCCTGGAAGATCCTCTCATCAGCTGAGACCTTCCTTTCATTCATGGGCGGATATGCCGTCTTCCTCGCTCCCATTGCCGGTATCCTCTGTGCCGATTACTGGCTCGTCCACAAGCAACACATCGATGTCCCAGCTCTCTACGATCCACATGGCCGCTACTCCTACTTCCACGGCTGGAACTGGCGCGCACTCATCACGATGCTCATCTCCGTCTGCCCCAACCTACCCGGTCTCGCCCACAGCATCAACAGCAACGCTTCCATCACGGCAGGTGCCCAGAACCTCTACACCTTCGACTGGCTGTTCGGCTTCACGACCAGTATCTTCTTGTACACAGTTCTCAGCTACCTTTCACCCCATCAGACTAGCCAGATCCCAACTACGATCTACGGCCACGATTTGGATGGACCGGAGCCCGGGAGCTCGGATATCGAGAGTACGGGCGTGAGATACGAGAAGGATTTCGGGAATGTTGATGCAGTTGATTTGCACCATTCTCATCACGACGAAAAGCACATGGCCAGCGTGGCCATTTAATTAGACTTAGATCTGGGATTGGTATATGGGATGATATAAAGGATTGTTTTGTACATTGCTTAATTGGTGGGGATACCCGTTCTGTCGTTTTAAGGGCTAGATTTTATGGTTGTATGAATGATGATAAATTTACACACCTTGACAAGGTTTGAATATGAGCATGCTCTTCAATGCCACAACTTTTCACAGAGCACAAACTTTCTGTACATCATCGCAACCCAATCTCAAGGAAGCTTGACACACACCGACCGATCTTTTGCTCGAACTTTATTTGCATCTGAACTCAAAACTTCAGGAAGCGGTCTGAAAAGACAAATTTAAGGTTTATTACTAATCGGGGGGTAGAAAGCATATGTATGTCGAGCTTGAAGAGAATGCATGCATGAACCAGGAATGAGAAAATGACTGCAGGTGGGCAGCGAGTCGTGAGAGCACGTGATACGGGACTTTGAGATGATGGGGAGGGACTTGGTAATAGGTAGTTGTAGGTTGACTTCAGCTGAAGCTCAAGAAAGATCTTTGTGGAGAGCGTCTGAAAGGGTAGTGCGCTTGTGAACGAGGTAGGTACCTAGGTACTTCGGGTGTGGAGATCTTTGGTCACGTGGAGAGTGTGGTGGTTGGATCTCAGGCCGTGAAAGTGCATCGCGAAATCTGGTCGCTAGGAGAGAGCTGACTTGCATAGCTAGGTGTGTTGTTCCTTGTCTTGAAGATCTGAATAGAATGTGAGACTGGATAAGGTTTGGCTTGGATGTTTGATTGCAGCTGGGAGATGCATGGTTGTCCAGGAGAAGGCGTTTTGTGGTGTTTATCACGGACCATCTTGACTTTTTGATTCTCTGACGTATCATCGAGTCTTACTAGCTCTAAGATTTTGTTAAGAGCGGGATGAGATAGAGAGGCTAGTCATTTTCACTCTGAAGTAGGCCAAGTGAACTTGGAAGTTCTAGCAACAGTTCATTAGATGATAGTTGAGTATACGCTTGATAGCACTTCTAACTTGACAACAACAAGAGTTGAAAATACTACCCAACGAAACTTATAAATCTACCTTTCTTCATCAAGAGAATATCCCCAGGCTGTTCTCGGGATACCGTGTAGCGGGAACGGTCGCCAAGAGGTACGGAGTGTTTTGGTGACCTTTTTTTGGGAGGCCGAGAGGTGTTTATATAGACTGTTCAGTCGAACAAATGCCTGAACAAGGTGAATGGAAAGGATAGTGGACAGGATATACAGCTTCAAAGTGAATGAGAGATGGGAAGGTGATGAATTCAAGCAGAGCACGTGAAACGCGAGAATATAGATTTCGAAGGTGGCCATTTGGAAAGTGGATCGGGCTTTGGGCTTTGGGCCATACAGATGAAATATAAGAATTAAATAAAGCGTCGGCTTTGAGGCTGGACAGTCATAGTGATCCTTCTAGACTTGATTCATTGCCCTATCGGTCGAAAAACAACATCTTAAGTGACGACGATGACTATAATATTGGAGTAGAAGACGGGTGAAAAGAAGAATAACGTACTAAAAAGGAAATGGCTCTATGCACCTCTCACCTTCAAACTCGCTTTCTTTCTCACCTGCACTTGTCCTAAGCTACTTACTATTTCAAGCTGCGCCTACGTAGGTAGGTAGCTCAGCCTCGTCTCGCCAAATCCCACACATAGATCTAAATAAGCAATTCCCTGCCATCCAATCCGGTTGGGCCGTGGGCCCCTAGCATGACCGGGTTGGTGTCCCCTCCCCAGTAAAATCGCCATATCGCCTCGACGCCACCCCTAACACGCCATTTCGAATTCGGACAATGCTTCGCGCTTGGGCGGCTGGGCACACAGAGAAATCTGTGTGCCCAGACGTTTTGTCTTTTTTGCTAATTTGTTCTTTCCTCTTTGCAATAAGCGTAGGTAGATATGTGTGCTCTCGTAATATATCAATTTTTTTCGTTCATATTTATTTTTATAGGAAAGGGTCAAGCGAGGATGTTCAGCGACGAATATTTTATAGTAATTGAGCTTTGATTGAAAATGAAGAGGAAATCACACTGTCTTTATTATTGAAATCTTCTTCCAATGCAAAGGCATTATGCTCATTGAACGCTTTGCAAATACTATGATGATGTAGGTACTCAGGGGAACTACGGGTGGGGCGACCTCGGCTACTTTAAGCGAACGGGCAAAAAGGGAAGAAATGATGCTTTTGGATTAGCTTCAAGCTACCTTAGCATAACCACATCTAAAGGTCTTTAAACATCTCTTCTCTTCCAGGAGTCCAGCTCTTGAATCCTCAGATTTCGCTATTTTCTTCACTTTTTTGAAATCCTCAACAAAATGTCCGCGAACAGCGCGAATCGCGCTGAAATCGCTTCCATTGTGAAAGTTCAAAAATGCCGAGGTTTTTGAGCAAATTAGTCCAATGACACAACGATGTCGATCTTTCAAGCCGCATTCGTTCAAAACAATGTCGCCGATGCTCGAGCTATGCATTTGCGGGGTTTTAGAGCCTCGAGATTTTGAGCCTTAGCTCATAAGCTTATTTTCTATAAATGTTCTTGGATCTCTTCTTGTCCAGCTGAAGTAGGACAGTTCAAATTTCAACAACTCCCAAGATGCAGTCGAATAACAGCTTTCGTTTGGCTGCGGCCACAACTCTTCTCGCAGCTTGTGGTCTTGTATCTGCCCAGATTCCTGTGGTGACCATGTTCCCTGTCACTACTCAAACATCATTTCCTTCCCCACAGTGCACAGGAACCTCTTCAACTGAATCTTTCACAGTGAACTACAATGTACGTCCTCAAGTTGAAGAAAAACATGAATAGTTCGCTGATAATTAGAAGTTCGAGAGTGTGGAACGTGGAGACCCCATCATTGCAACAACTGAGATTGCCGAATACAACCTCCTAAACTTCAAGTCCATCAACTTTGTCGACACAGACACCGACTTCGACGGCAACCACTTGGGACTCGCACCTCACACCTACCCCTACGTCGCCACATTCTCTCCCGGCACCGAAATAATCGACGACCTCCTCTCACCAAACATTTCCATGATCACCGCCAGCTATATCGAATCCACCCTGACTTCCTTCACACCCAAATCATTTTGGTACGGCTGTGTATACCCATTCCCGTACACAGCAGGTTCTCTCCCAGTAGACTGTAACATCACTGCGACAGGATTCGACAAAAGCGGAAATCTTGTCGCCAAGCAATCTTTCGAGTTTTCGGGCAATGGAAGTATCATCCAGGATCAGAATTATGGCACATTTCAAGGCTTCAGCCAGGTTTATTCTGTTGCGTTTGGTGTTTCTCCCATTATCGCTGCAGCGTTGGTTGATAATATTATTGCGACGCTTTACCAGGAGGAGTGCGCGCCGTATTATACGGGGAGTTATGGTAATGGTACGTAAGTGTGGGGAAGTTGTGATGGGGGCTTCTTCAAGGCAGATCATATGGCATGTGTTGGAAGGATGGAGTGAGTGGCGTGATACATTCATAACATCTATTCTCTTGGATTTAGCTGCAATCCATCCTCCCATCTCTAACTTCTCTGGAAACTCTTTGTTTAGATCCTCTTCATGGATTTACACGTCAGGTCTGTCAGGCCATGCACGCTACCCTTCTCTTCTCCATTCTATCACAACATTCCAAACACCAACGTGAGCAAGAGAGTTTCATAAATCCAACTCAGCCAGCCTTGTTTCCTCCCCTTATTCAAGGCACGAAGCTTTTCCGCAAGTCCCTCACTAGGCATGAATATAATTCCGTTGAGATACACAAAATTCCTCTCAGCCTCCGGATCGATCTCCAATCTCAGCGGATGCGTTCCATGCTCAACTTTCTCTCGCAGTTCAAGTGGAAACACGTTGGCTATCTGTCCATATCTCTTGACGTGATGAAGGCAGAATATGCGTGCTTCATGATCAAGCGCTCGTCCTGCTTTCATGTCGGGTAGAGTAATCAATTCGATGTTCGTGTCTGCCGTCCCCGAGTCTGCTGCGGTTGATTTGGCGGCTGGAGCACCAGAATCGAGTTTGTGTTCCTTAGCTCTGCCTAAGCCTTTTCCGCCATGTGTCCAATTCGCGTGTCTGGGTGTGAAGTTTCTTTTCCATTGTTTGGGTAGTGGTGGGGTTCGTAGAGATCTGATTGGTGGACTTGAGGAGTTTTTGAGGATATGGGACGAGGTAGGTCGTGATAGTCAGAAGAGAGATGCAGAAATCATTGTTGACACGATGCAAGAAGATTTATATGATTGAGAAAGATAAGGAGATCTAGCAGAATCTTTTGACCGCGTCGTCGACGGATTGGTGGCGTTTTGATTGGCCAGTCAGAGCGAAGCCATGAAGCGAAGGGAGACCTGTCATGTTGACAACTTTCATGTATCTTAATCACAAATTGAAAAGACGAGTGTGAAAGGCTTTGTTAGGGATCTTTTTTAGCCCAAAGCACGCTTACCCAGCGTCGGCCTCACTCCTTGCATATAGCTCACAAACTTCAAGCATACTTATGATCAACACAGCTGTCTCGGAACGTCACATCGCTGTCATGTATCAAGAATCAAAAGCACACGTAAGCTTGGCTTCTTAAGTTGCTTTCCATAGATGCAAACTCTCAAGACTAGGTAAAGGTCACACCTTCCACCAATTTATACCCAAGTTGATCAGAAAGGAGACCAAGAAGCATCCAAACCCCAACTCCTCGATTGCTTCTGTGTTGTAGAAGTGATCCAAAGCCCTCATCTCATCATATCTTTCAGCGCCCCTCTGTTTCTCTTCGCAACCGCAAAGTTCACCCAATACTCCTCCCAAGCCTTAACGCTTCCATGCCGAGGGTTGCCCAAATCTCCGTGGATCGCCTCCAGTGCCAACTCGGTCCAATCATCTCCAAGACTGTAAGGAGAAGGCAAAAAGGCTGGAACCATCACATACTCAGATAATCTGTTGTCGGGACTTGGCAATTCGAAATGGGAAAGGTAGAAATCTCGCAGACGACTCTTGAGGTGCGCAAGTGGCGAGCTTCTTGCGGCTGGCGTTCTCCAGTTTTCAGGCTCTTCAACGAAAACCCATTTGTTGAGAAACCGAGCCTCGTGTGTATGACCAGTGACTTCGTCATGGAAGGTCCATTCACGATAGTTCCTCATGAGTGTTCCGTAGTATAAATAGTCTAAGATGGAACTTGAGCCACATTCGTAACATGTGTAACGACCACCTGCCTCGTGACCGCAGAGGCGGATACTAAGAGGGATTGGAAAACAAACTTGATTCGAACATTTGACATAGTTCCAAAGTTTGCTGCACGTCAATCCAAGACATATCGTACCCTCCTCGCCGATTAGCTTGAAGATCATGTACAGGACGTCGTATGGAAGGAGATGGATGGTGTTCTTGGGTTGATGTTGAACAAGCGCATCTCGAAATGACTTGGAAAACACTATCAAAGGCTGGGCAGACATATTTGTTACTGCTGTTGCGTTTTGGGGTCGTTTTGGGTTGAGGTTGTGACGTTTTGTTGGATTCATGTTGTAGTGTTGTGGTTGTAAAATGTCGGAGATATCTGAAAATAGAAGAGGATGGTTCTTTATATAACCATTACTCCAATGCGAATTGGCGCTATATTACTAGTGGACCACAAGTCTTTTCCATTGACCCCGAATAGGCATTCTGACGCCATCGTGATAAGGTTTTGAGAGCCTACAATTGTAGAAGATAATCTCCGCCATGTCTGTGGTGTATTTCTCTGTCTTCTCACTTCCTCCAACTTTCTCCCCACCAGAAAAGCATAAACGAGAACCTTTACTTGCACTTATATAACAAGCAATAGCTATCCGTAGATGAAGTCTCCTGGACGAAACTGCTTGTCTCAAGTTCTAGAGGGCTTTCAACACCTTTTTATCACTTCCTCAGGTTCTAAAATAGTAACATGTTTGTGAGCGGAGATGATGATATCAACTTGCTTTCCTGTTCTCAAAAGGCTGCCTCTGCTGATAGCAGCACACATGCCTATTCTTAGAATCTGTTTGTTTATGCCAAGCACCTGAGTGAAATTAAAAATCGTGTCCACTTAATAAAATCTGGCATCGATACACACAATGGCAAATGATGAGGGAAAATCATTGCTAAGTTTATCCGGTAGAGACCGACTCGGGTTTAGCATGATCTTACCTTTGTACGATGCGCTACCAAGTGCATGACTTTTATCTCCCGTGCTTGCACACAATATAAACTTTTGGAACGGTCATCCTCACCCAAGCTAAGTGCTCTTCAGGATTATTTTTGACTACTCATCGAGTAATTCGGTCCAGTTCCCTATAGTGATGAGACATGGCGTCAAGGATATCCATGTCCAGGTCCAGGAATACCTTGCTTGAGTGTAGACCGCGGTGTGTCGGCATTCGGAATCTTTTTGGAGAACGACTCTAGTATCTAGCAATGTAAAGTATTTAAGCTACGCCCCATGGAAGTACTTTTACGCAACCTTTTATTTCTCAATTTGACTTTTTCTTTACAAGATTCGCTAAAACCCTATCCAAGGTGGAGATTTAAGTCGAGTATATAAAGCCTTTGAAAAGTGACTAAAGTTTCTACGAATACTACTCTGCGTCATGTTCTATCTTGTCGGATTTCAGCCTTCATTTCGATAGTGCTCTGCTTGTTTCCTTGCTTCAGAACTTCTGCAGGGATGAAAATGGTATTAGTCATGATTCGGAGCGGCGATAATATTACCCGTACTATTAGCGTAGGTTGCATTACCTAACAATCCGGAGCGGCGACAATGTTGGCCGTGATATTTGTCATTAATAAGCAAAGCAGCCTCATAGATAGGACATCTTTGGTTTCACGGCTCTTTACAAATTGGTGATTGATAATAGTATCCATTCAGCATAACGCCCATTTGCAAGTCTAGATTTGTCATAACGGAGAAAGAGTTGTCCGCAAGCCTTTCTGGTAACTCTCAACAGCTATTAAAGTCATGTATCTCTGCAAGATTTTAGAGGGAAGTAAGATCTTACATCTCTACTTGTCCTCCGAAAAGCATATTCTTAACTTCCATACAACTCCAACAAAGGATACACAACATGTCTCGACTAAGTGGAAAGACAGCCGTGATCACCGGCGGAGCAACAGGCATCGGTCTCGCAGCAGCAAAGCGCTTCATCTCGGAAGGCGCCTTCGTCTACATCTATGGCCGCCGTCAAGACGCCCTCGACGCAGCTTTAGCCGACCTGGGGCCCAACGCCCGCGCTGTGAAGGGCTCCGTCTCAGACCTAGCTGACCTCGATCGCCTCTACGCAGCAGTAAAAGCCGAGCGCGGAACCCTCGACATCGTCTTCTCCAATGCCGGAGCGGGCAGCCAGCTGAAGCTCGGCGACATCACCGTTGAGCACTGTGATGAAATCCTCGACACCAACGTCAAGGGTGCCGTCTTCACGGTGCAAAAGGCGCTGCCGCTCATGGGCCCCGGTGGCTCCATTATCTTGACCGGATCCAGCGCGGGCACCACGGGTGCACCCGCATTCAGCTTGTATGGCGCGAGTAAGGCGGCGGTACGTAACCTCGCAAAGACCTGGGCCGAGGACTTGAAGGGTACTGGTATCCGGGTCAATGTGCTGTCGCCTGGGCCGACGGCGACAGAACTCGCGAAGGGGGCACTGGGCGAGGAGGGGATGAAAGCCTTTGCTGCGGGTAATCCGCTCCAGCGTATGGCTGAGCCGTCGGAGATTGGGGCGGTAGCGGCTTTTCTTGCGTCGTCGGATAGTAGTTTCATGACTGCTAGTGAGGTTGCTGTTGATGGTGGCCTTGCGCAAATTTGATGCAGAGGCACTTGCCAGACGGAAGATGGATCGTTGGAGAGGTTGGAGAAAAGACAGCACAGATAGTTGGAGAGGAAATAGGAAAGTTGACAGAAGAGAAATCAATCATTTTGGAGGTATCTGATATCCAAAACAAGAAAGTATCAAATTGTACAAACTTAAGCTCCTCTCCTCCCTTCTTTACTCCTCCGCCTGAAGATGATTAGTCTATTCAGAACTGAAAAGAGCGTCCGAATCTTAATAGTATATTATATCATGCATATACAAGTCTCAAGCTTCGGGCTCAGATTCTTTGGCCTTCTGAAGACCAACCAATACTTGGCGAAAAATCATCGTGGAAGAGGGCCATAGACATTTTCACCGTACCATGAATAGTCTTCCGATCTTTCCATCACGGCATACAAGCTCATTGAGATAGTGATTCGGATTCTTTGCTCTTCTAGGAAGTCTATGGCGCCTTGAAGCTCTCACGTCTCGTAAACGTCTCTTCTTTCAGACTACAATATCAGAACAGGAAGTTAGTTGTTGCTAACCCCGTGGAGTGTATGTATTTGATAGGTTGCGCACTTTTCTCACTGCTCTCTCGATCGTGGGACCCCCATATGAAGACTTTTCGACGCGCCACTGATCTCAAAAGACGAATCTGGACTCCAAAAACAGGCTTCACTTACGAATATCTCGGCCTACGAAACATATTTTCCTGTCTTGATCTTGCAAGCTGAAGAGAAATGCGGAGGGAAAATTGTTGCAAATTTTGTCTTCCATTATGTGCCAGCTAGTCTGAGACATGGCGTCAACGCAAGAGCTACCACATTTGTTATACCCTGATCTTCAGTACAGGTACAATATGATAACAAAGCTAGGCTCATAGCCGGAAGAGAGGTTGAAGCAACAGACCGCCTGAACTCATACTGGAATTGGGACAAGTACAGCTCCTTCAAACTCCTCTCACTTCTTCTTAGACCCCGAATCTTCATCCTTCTCCTCTCCTTTACAACCATCCTTCAAATCTTTCGTCGTGGGCATCCACAGCGCACGTTTGGCGTCATTCTGCGGTCCTTGCACTTTAGGTAACAAGTTCTCCGCCGCTCTCATAAATCGTCTTTGCTATTAAAAGAATCAGCTCACATTTCAAGACTTCCGAGGAAATGAAACAAACCTCTGCAATCCATCTGTGAAGAGGACTAAGTTTCAACTTATGCAGCACAACATCCTTCCAATCCAATATACCAATATGATCGCTAGCTTGCAATTCCCTCTCCAACAACTCCCGCTCCCCTCTCTCAACCTGTCTCTTCCGATAACCAATCATCTCCGCCGGATCATAGCCCGCATTCATCATGATTATCATACTAGTATACGTTGCCTCATTCTCCTGCCGGGTCTTCAACCACGTATTATGGAACAGAACCAGCATTCCATAATAGATGAGATACGGAACAGCAACCGGTCTAACGACCCTAGAGTTCCATGCTACTCCACCGAAGAGGATGGCAGGGATACTAGCGAAGCAGCAGAACACGAAGCTATTCAACGTCTCGCAGTCGTGGAACATCGCTTTGCGGACGATGCGAGGTGTGAGCAAGGCGGGGAGACCGGGACTGCCGAGGTGTGGGAGAGTGGTTTCTAGCTCGCCGTAATAGACGATGATGGATGTGGGGTGGCAGTTGAATTTACTCTCCATGAAATCTAGAATCTCTATTAGAAGATTTCCCAACACCTCTCTCCTTATGCGGAGAAAGACTTACCATTATGATCCACCAAATGCAAATCAGCCCCCATCACCGGCTCCGCAGCTGACGCTCTCACTAAGTGCTCGTACACTGCGTTCATGTCCCGATAAATCTCAGCCAGACCAAATTTTCCAGGCACCGGATTCGGGTCCCCGAAAATGCCGTAGAAATGCTCAAAGTCATAGACACCCACTAGATCCAACGTCTTCTGGATTTTGGCTCTGATGTAGTTGTCAATGTCCTCGTCGTTTAGGATGCAGAGTTGCATGCGCGCCAAGGCATAAGTGGGCTCTCTGTATTGGTAGAAGGACCAGAAGAGACAGAGTGTTAAGACAGAGGCAGTGTAGGTTGTCCATCGGAGCCAGAGCGGTTCGTCTCGCCATTTTCCTACTGGCCGTGTTTGAATTTGTGGCCCGTCGTGTTGGAAATATACAGGCACCTTCTGGATTTGTGATCGCGGAAGGTGGTTGTATTGACGCGGTTGCGAGTCGAAGTTCGAGACTTGACGATTGCGCGCAAGAGCGCCTTCGTCGGGACGAGCGGGGTGAGTCAGAGCTGTTCTCAGTTTGGGGATACCGCGATTTGAGGCATGTAGCCTCGTAAGTCGAGGAAACATGTTGGGGCTGGGAGTCGCGTTGCGATGGGGTGGTGCGCGGTGGAAGTTTCGAGTTGGGAGGAATCGAGAACACAAGTGAAAGGTCAGTTTGTTGACGACCGAGCTAATTTTCATGAACTTTGGCAGCTTTGGCTAGTACGCTACAGGCTAGCAGTATCCCCTGAACTATCTCTTTGATTATGGACAATCTTTACTGTGTTTTATCCTGCTATAATTCGCTTCTACCTCGATCTTTCTCGAGTTTCTTTCCCAAGCCAGCAGACTTGTATGACCACCCCGAAATTGGGATATAAGGTAATATTATTCCAGAGCCTGCAAAAACCAACATAAGTGAGACAGCAAACATTTCTAAGCCGAGGGAGTTTACGTCGTACTTCAATCTTTTTAAATCCCTTTGCTCCCGTAAATTTTTTATCACAATTCGGACTTAGCTTCCTTATATTATCTTAGAAACATTAGTACAATGCTATTATATTGTAAGCTTCACAGTACTCGCCACGATCACTTGTAGATTTATCATTTATAAAGTCGGTTCCAATATTCTCCATTGCTCCTCTAGTCTCGAATTTGGACTTTCTCAACGGTACCGAGACCGCAAGAACTCTACATGAATACTCTCTCCATCCAACATATGCTACTCCCCATGTCTATCTTAAAAGTCAATCAGCCATTCTTCATCCTTCTCCAAGACCGACCCCATCTTCGATAAATCGGCTTCCTCGAGTCCGGCAGGAAGAGGTACTTCGCATGCATCTGGAGTCTCTGGTTCGGATGTCTCGGGAGTTGCTGCCTCAGGTCCATCAACAACTGTAGCTTCCATCTCCGGGGTCTTGTCCTTGTTCATCCCTTCTTCCGACATCAGATTGTATAAGAGAACTAATCGCCATCCTGATGTAATCGATTTGACTTCGGGCGTAACATCCGAGATCCTATTTCAAGGTGACTTATTAGCATACTTCCAAAAGTATGACAAGTGACAGCTTACCAGGCAACACAGAGCAAGTTAGTGTGCGATTTTGTCGAAGTCTCCAATAAACTCGTCTCGCCATCATGAACCGCATGAATGTCCCCGCCCGTATACGTACAGGGCAAGATGATGGACATCGTACCTACGACTCCGGCCAAAGGCTTGGTCCTGTATACTATCAGCCACTTGATCGTTGTGATGAGACAAAATGAACCATGGAGTAACTTACTTCTTGGGTGCAGTGGGTCTCCTGCTCTTCTCGGAGATTTGCAACTTCAGAAGCTCAGCTCTAACACCATTGGAGCCAAACCCAAGCCGGACACCCGCCTCCTTCGCTAAATCCTGCACAAACGAGATCCACGCCGCATTGGTGACCTGGACCTTGTCGGTCGAGAGCTCCCAACACAGCGGTGTTCGATTGTCCAGAATCCTCATCTGCCCGTTTAGGGCCGCCAATCTGATCTTCTTGCCATCTTCGGATGATGGCGGGACTCCAACCAGACCTCGCTTGTCCAGAGTAATGCCAGGGTTTGGGAAGTCTCGAATGACGAGAATGGTGATGAAAGAGGACTCGGACTTTGTGATTGTCAAGTTCTCTGAGACTTCGGCGGCCGTTAAGGGTGGCTCAATGCCCCTCTTCAGCGGCATCAAGGTGGAGTACTGTTCTTGGACCGTACCCTCGTCCAAGAGATGTTGAGGCGAGGTGAAGAGGTCATCCATCTTGCAAGAATGTCCCGAGAAGTGTGAGGCGTTATCGGAAGAGGAAAGTCTGAAGTTGTGAAGTGAAGTCTGCGGTTCGAGATCATTCAGTCAGAAATGTAAAGGGAACCAATGTCTGAAGAAGTCTGAGGCGATATCGGAAGGGAAAAGCGTGAAACTGCGAAGTAAAACTTACTGTTCGAGATTGTATGGTTCTGATCAAAGTGAAGACAGCGGCTCGAGATTGATCAGATCGGAGGTGTAAAGGGTAACGGCAATGTTTTGAGAAGTATGAGGCGTTATCGGCAGTGAAAAGTCTAAGACCACGAAGTGAAGGTTGCGGCTCGAGATTGTTCAGCTGAGGTCTGGCTGCTGTTCGAGATTGTTCAGATCGGAGGTGTAAAGGGTATGAGAGAGAAACACAAGTACAAGCTCTAGGATCGGGATACTGTCAAGACCTGAAGCTCACAAAGCTTTCCGATCTCAGGTTGTGGATGTTGTCTTGGAAGAGAAAGAATACGAGTGAGAGTCAGAAGTCGCATGTTTAAATAAACAAGAAAATCGGTGAAGCCTTGGACGCGTAGTGAGAGCAACAGTTAGCTCCGGTCTCTCGGCCTCCGCCCCCTATCTCGCAAGCGGCCGCCTTGCCCTAACCTCTACACCTCTAGCTACTTTACAAGCCATTGACTGTATTGAAACTTTCGAGAAGGATACTTGGTACTTGAAATCCTCTTATCAGCTCTTCATTATCTCAACTCCCTCAAGAACACTTCAACTCCCAACTTCTATGTCTACCCTACAAATCATCTGTTAGTCCTTCTCAAGTCTCCCTATTTACTTCCAGCCTGCATATAACCCTCGAATCTTTATTAAACGCTCCATTACCATCTCATAGGTCTCAAACAACCAGGTCTATCTCTCCAACTCCAGCCGTAGTCTCACCTAATCAACGAAACAGATCCTTATTGCACCAACTATTCGACTCTTGGAATCGAAGGTTAAGCCCTTTCCCTGGGAATAGAACAACCGGAAAGCACCCAAAATAAGAGCTAGGAAGGTGAAAAGAGCGTCTGGAAAAGCGCAATGGAAGGAGCAAATTGGCTTGGTCAAGACACCCTTAAGGGGCATCTCCTAGCAAGAATCAACTGAATTATCGGCAAGGGCTACGCTTGAACACAATAAGGATATACTATTGAATCAACAAAACAGAGCTTGCAAGAAGGATTCTGGCCGCTGACACATAGGAACGACATCCGCGTCTAAAACACTAAAAGCTGGATGGATCAAACTCCTTATTCTGGAAAGAATTAGAATGGAACGATTTACACCCTGGAAGTCCCCAAAAGCCCTCGAAATAGTACCAAGAGCAATTGGCTGGATGGAAGATCAGAGTGAGTGATCTACTCACCTCCTCAACCTCCTCCTCCCCCAGCCCGGCCTCTCGCAACTTCTTCAACAAAACAGCCGCCTTCTGCTTCTAATACTCCACCATCGACTCCATACTTTCCTCCACACCCTCCCTCTTCAGCGCCGTATACTCATCTCTCAGCTCCCCATCCTCCAACAACACCCCCTGAACGTCCAAATAGTTCCTAAAAGCCGTACAGCCTTCGAACACCACATACACGTTCCTCCTTATCTCCTACTCTGCACATCGTCTCGAGTTCTGTCTCGCGGCCGGTTGGCGAAACGCCCAACATATTGGGATCTGGGACTCGCCAATCAGAATGTAGCCAGAGGAGGACAAAGCGGTGGTGATGGGCAGGAGTTGGGATGGAGGGATAATGGTATCGATGTCGAGGAAAGGTTTGGATGCTAGGGAAAGGATGGAGGGGCTCCCTATGTGCTTAATAGGGACTAAGGAGCTGCCTCGGAGAGTTTGAAGAAGATAATTGCGCATTTGGGCGAATTCGAGGGTTCAGGCTGGATTGTGTTCTTCGAGGAGGACGGAGATTCATTGTGGGTTTGAGAAAGGACATTTGAGCTGTTTGGTATACTCGAGAAGTTTCGCTCCTGCATACTAGGGAAGTTGTTGACTGGTTCAGTTTAATGATGCTAAGCAGGTATTGCGTGTTCGTACAACGGTCTAAGTGGTTGAGTTTTGGAAAGAGGATATAGGTAAGTTCTGACTGTTTGGGTCATCGTCGCTGCTCTCTTGCTAACAGAGCGGTTCTTGCCTTAGAAACTTTACCACTTACGTCCAATCGGACAGCGAGTTCAAGAAGGAAACAACAGAACAATCAGGGATAGGCAAGATACATCAAAAACTATGCTCGGAATACTAGGATACGATAATTGCGCTTTACCAAACCAACCTACAAGACTCAAGCCTCCCTCAATCTTACCCACTGTTCCTCCTTCCGAATCTCCTATGAACACCGAGTCAAGTACAGCCTTCGGAAAAGTCGAATTTTGGAAGGATAATATGAAATTTTGCCGCCTGGGTTGTCGCACTTACTCTAAATCCTGTTGCAAAGGGCCAGAGCCTCGTCGAATCATTTACAACTCACCTCGAAGGGTACAACATATTGAAGAAAGGAACAAGAAGTTCAGCAAGAAAAGTGAAGAGAAGATACCTCGAAAACTATGCATAAAAATACCACGTAACGAAAGCAGACAATTACGTCTTACCACCCCAACTCACCATCCACAACCCCTCCTCAAATCTTCCCCACCGGTCCCTCCTCCCCAAACATCTCCCACAAACATCCCACCAAATCCTCCGGCCTCTCCCACGCCGCAAAATGCCCACCTTTCTCAAACCTCTTCCTATGCACAATCGGCCCCATCGTCCCCCACCAGCTCTCCGGCGAGTTGATCATCTCCTTCGGAAACGCAGCTACACCCAGCGGGAGGTCGATATATTGCTGAAAAGCGGAGAAGTTGAGGACCGGGTCGTGCATTGCTTCGTAGTAGGTGTAGATCCCGGCGTAGGGACCCGCGGTGGAGAAGTAGTAGATGGAGATCCAGGTTAGGATTTGCTCGGGTGTCCAGGGGTAGGAATCTGTCCACTTGGGAAAGGGTGAGTTTTGGAGTAGGGTGTTGAGGGGTGGGGGGAGAAGAGGACTTACTGTGTGGAGTTTCTCATAGATCCAGGCGAGAAGACCAACTGGTGAGTCTTGGAGGGAGAAGGCGAGGGTAGCGGGCTGGGAGATGTAAGTTTTGTGCTAGATCTCTTAGGTGGAGACTTGCCTTCGATCCTTGGATGGCGAGATACCCGCTCCCTTCTGCTCGGAAGGCTTGCTGCGTTGCCATTCCTTCCTTTTCGTCCTCGGAGTATCTGGTAATTGGGGATTGAGGTTAATTGCTACTACTCTTGAAATTTTACAGAGAGCCATCTATGGAGTAATTTACTCCTTCTCTAGGAGGGAATATATCTTGAAGACTGAACCCTCAGATTACTTACTCTGGCTTCGGATTCTCGGCTGTCCAAACTGGCTCAGCGGCACTGATCATATTGATGTGATTTGCTTTGCAATGGTCCGGATACTTCAACCCAATCGTTCTAGTGACGAAAGCACCCCAATCTCCCTGAATTATAGTCAGTATCCTGCCAACCATCACTACCGCTAGCGAAGCCACCTACTCCTTGAGTCACTAGATGCTGTCAGTAGTACTTTGGAAAAACTTGAAGGGAAATATACCATAACGATCGTAACCCAAATTCAACACTCCAGGAAGTTAGTACTTGCTTTCATAAAAGATTTAAGAACCGAATCTTCGGCAATGGGATGAAACCTGTTCGGGAGCCCAAACATGGCTTGAGTGAAGGAAGCGAGGAGAAGGAAAAAAGAAAGGGCATGGTTACTAAGCTTGTGCAAAGCCTCCGCATGTTGTCCAATTCCCCACCCTTTCTACCAACCGTTAGCCCCCTCATTCCTCCAATTCCTTTTCCATTTACTCTCACCTCAGTAACCCTTCCCGAGAACCCATAATTCGCCATACTCGGCGCAACAACATGAAAAGCCCTCTTCCCCTCCCCCTCCCCTTTCTTGAGCAACGGCAACATCTTCGTCACCTCAATAAAACTACCCGGCCAACCATGCACGAACAGCAGCGGGATCGCATTTGGATCTTCACTCTTCTGGTGGACGAAATGGATATCGACGGGTTTGAAACCTTGGACTGTTATTGGGGTGATGAAGTGGGAGAGCTCGTTGAGTTTTGCTTCAGTGGTGCGCCAGGAGAAGGTTTCGAGCCAGTATTTGGTTAGGGATTTGATTTCTGATCTGGAGGGAGTGAGTTGTAGTTTTTCAAAAGGAGGGGAGGGAGAATTTACAGGGAGGCTCCGTAGGTCCATCCTGCGCCTTCGAGTTCTTCTGGGAAGTCGACTAATTCGAGCTTTTGCTTGAGTTTTGCTAGACACTTCTCGTCGACGTTGATCTTGTAGGGCGTTATTTGAGACATGACTGTTGAATTGGAGTTTGGAAAGATGGGATGTGGAAGGTGATGAAATGAATAGTGAGGTAAATATAAAGTTTAGAAGCTAGCACGTCCGGATCCTGATGTCAGATAGACTAACGTGAAACACGAGCAACGATTGTTCCTGTATTCGCCTGTGAGTAAGAAATAGGTGGAGCAGAAGTGTTCACTCTTATGACTGATAGGAACATCTTGCGAGAGCGAGGGGTAGTGTAGTGGCGGAGTAAGGCGGGGTCAATATTACCAATTATTTCCGTGAGAGAGTTTGTAGGGGCGGATGCAGGAGCGGAAGCTCGGAAATATAAATCACGCTCAATGTCCGAGTCCGAATGTTTGCCAAATATACATACAACAACCCAACATTATTCTGCCTGTCATGTTGGCATCTCAGCATATTGTTGCACAGCCACAGATTTTCCATGAAGTTCCTGGCCTCTATAATATCCATCCAACTCTTGAGTGTTCCTATTTGCATCCATCTCTGTCGTAGGCTCTGATACCACCTTCGTTGGGTTATACACAGTTTGATAGTCGGCCATTGGTTCTGTCGGCAGGCCTGTATCCTTGCGTCTGCGCATGAACAAGAACACCAAGCCTGCAGCGATGGCCAGAACACCCCCAGTAACACCAACAGCTATCCCAACCTTGGCCCCAGTGGTCATACCACTACTTGTTGAGTTCGTCGGCATTGGTGAAGGAGTCCCAGTACTACTGGCGGCAATGGGTGCCGATGTAGAAGAAGATGAGGTCGATGGCAGACTCGTCGCAGTGGAGGACGCAGAGCTCGAACTGCTCGTAGATTTCGTCAAGGAGACTTCATTATCCACAATGAACATCCCCTGCCCGGCATCACAGCATGTAGCATTATTTTGTCCACAACAATAACTCCCATCATCGCATGCAGTTATCATCGAATCGCCCGTCGCTCCTGTCGTAAATACACCATCAGTAAATAATCATCGGGTAGAATGTTAGGTGAGGCACGTACCGGCACCTGTTGTACAGAGTTTCAAGCACGATGGAGACTGCCATGTCTGATCTGTACATGACTCTCTCCACAATTGAGTCCCCGTTACTCCACACAGTCCATAAGTAGACCCAGATCCACATGCATCTCCATTATTGTTCGACACCCCGAGATGACAACACACTTGGGATGATAATGTCAGTCAAAGTCCTCATTCTGGAAATTACGTGGCCGAAACCACTTACTTGACACGGGCGCGGTTCCATTGCAAGGCTGGTAGGCAGAATCAATTGCTTGACCCCCATATAGGTAACATGTCGTCGCAGATGCAAGACTCGAGGAAAACGAGAGACAAAGCAGGAAATCCGCCCTCATCGTTTCGTGCCTCTATACACAACCAGTAGAGAACCCCACAATTGGAAGTCGGCAAGGAAAGAAGATTCAGAATCAACAAGATCCTCTCACTTGAGGGCACAGTCTGGTTCCTGGCGGATCTGACCTAATTCACCGGCCGCCTCCTTTCGTCCCATTCAAGGGAAATGAGTTTCTTGGCCCCCAAACGTCCGCATGTTTGAGAGTGCGAATGCTTCGAAGATCAGACGAGTAAACCGCTCTCCGGATCCTATCTCGTGGGAGTATTGGCTGCTGGCTTCGTCGCATTCGCACTCGTTTCTCGTCGATGGAGGTCCAGTATGTCCTGTAAGGTTAAAAAGAAAGCGGCTCATGAAACAGCAGCCACCAAGCCACCATCAAGCCTCAGCGCCTCCAACACCACGTGCCCCTCCTTCCTTCCTTCATTCCCAACTAGGTATTATTCCCAATAACCAGAAACGATAATCTATTGCCACATTCTTGTCACCTTATGTTGCACGTCGACGGTGTGGCGGTTGTTTCCGCGTGGGCTGTTTGAAAAGTGGATTCTCGACTGAGGGGCTTTCCGCTGTGGAGTGCTGGAGTGGGAATTCGAGCGCTGGGTTCCGTGCTTGACTGAGAAATGAGGGCGCTGGGTGTTCCGCTACGGGGAGTTGTTGTGAATTAGAGCTTTGATTGAGTAGTAAGAAGTTGGTTAAGATTCAAGATGCTCTGGTCAAAAATTGGGTGGGTTGGAGACGGATATGAGGGGCAATGTGGCGGAGGTTTGTGTGGTTGATCCTCTTCACTTGCAACAAGCAGAAGAGATACCGCACTAATAAGAATTGACCTCCATCTCAGACCTCAAATCGCTCAAAATTAACTCGTTGGTATTTATAACGCATCGCCTGAACTCCTTCAACAATGCTCCAGCAACTATACAAACGTAACCAACAAGATCCTACGATATAATCATAGTAGCACTTCCACCAACAACTCCAATCAACACCAAAGCCGTCAAGAATCCCGCCCCAACCCTATCACCCATCGTAACAGGAGTAACAAGCAAATCATCCGCCGTACTCGAGCTATCACTCCCAGCATTCACATCCCCCTCACTCGTCCCCGTCCCCTTCACAGCACTCACCCACCCCGGTGCAGTATCAACAAGATTACTCTGCACAATCTCCAAAACAGCCATCTGTTCACCCACACCCAAACTCCCATCATTCGCTCCAGTCGTCCATCTAAGCCCACATTGCGTGCCAGTGTTTCCTGCCGTGCAAGTCTTGACCGCTGCCGTTGCGGACGAAGCTAGTTTCTCCATGATGGTATCGTGGGTAAAGGGTGCTATTTCGGCTGTGGCGGCGAGCCAGCGCGAGAAGTAGGCTTTGAAGGAGCGTTGGTCGATGTTGCATTTTGAGGATTCGCAGGGCTCGTACATTACGCCGTCGGTGAAGAAGACGAGGGATGCGTTCAGGAGGCCTGTGACTCTTTCTTGCCAGATGGCACTGCCGTTCGTCTGGTTCCTTGTTAGATTGTTTCTACTACATGAGGTGTGGGAAGTCTCTGACATAGTTGTACATGGTTGCACTTCCTAGCAGGAAAATTCCTGCGTTGTATGTCCAGGTGTTGTGATCTTTTGCGGTGCAATTGTCTGTATTTTGCGTGCCGTCGAAGATCTTGTATTCTGGAGACATCAACCCAACTCCGTACATCCAATCAAACGTCTTCACTATTGACAAATCAGTAAGTGCCTTGCAGAAATATCAAGTAGCCGAAGTGAGCTCTCTCTCGAGAGTGCGACGAGAACTCGATTCCCAGATTGTCCTTGGAACCAAGGATGATTTTGACGTACCAGCCCAGTCCGAGTAAGTCGAATTTCCTGTATACAGCGCTAATCTGGCAGCAAGATTGAAGAAACATCCGTTCGAGATACTGTTCTTGTAATTGTACCCATTATTGAAAGTAAAGATCTGCCACCTCAGCCCACCAGCGCATGTCGAGGTATCCCATCTCGCAGCTTGTGTGTTGAACACGCCCTGTGCTAGAGCCAACCAACCAGGTTGCCCTGACGGCGGATCTTCGAACTTCGTTTCTGCTGCTGTCATGGCTGCCATTCCCCAGAATCCTTGATCGTCGTTCCCTTCGGTCTTGGTTTGATTCAAGGGCATGTAGTCGCCGTCGTCGCCGGCTTGGTGTAGGAGTGCTTGTTTTGTCACTGCGTTGTATGTCGTGTCTCCTGTGTAGTACCAATAATTTCTACTCTACGAATCAGCATAGGAATATGTAGAGAAATCTCAAGAAAGTGGGGGCTAGAAATTGCAAATCTGAAAATGCTCACATCATCGTTCCGAACATAGCGCCTGCTTCCCACCTAAAACTTCTATTAGATACCTCTCTGCTATTACTTACAGAGCAAGAACTGGGCGTGTACCTACCAATAATAAGGATCTGGAAGATTTCCAGGAACGTCACCAGTGTTATTTCCAGTGTAATACTTCATCAAATCAAACGCTACGGTACTTGCAGCTTTCTTGATCGAGTCAGTCGAGGTGAGGTCAAGTGTGATGGCCGCATCTCCAAAATTTGCAAGCAGACAGACAACCCCCACATGATGTGACCTGATTCTCATCGTTCCAGTAATATGAAGGGATTTGTTGACGGTGCAGGTTAATATTTTGACCCTGTCCAGATAGAGAGAGGGTTCCGGAGTGTGAATTAAATGCCAAACGAGAGAAGTAGGAAATGAAATACGACTTTAAGAATGACGGTGGTACGTAGGAGAAATCACAAATGTATCAACAGCAGAAAAGACAGACAGCGGGAATTTGAGATATGAACATCAAGGGACGCCAAGTTGAAGCTCCAGCACAGCCATGATCAGTGTCTCTGAATTTCGCTGCCCAGACGACCAATGCTCATTACAAGATGGCATTATTGCGCGTCTGCCAATATTCTCAGGGGAAAGTTGATGATGCCCAGACTCTTGGGTGCAAAGTCGATAGGATCAGCGGTTGAGATGTGGAGATGCCAAGGGCTCGGAAATGTGGTACGAGACGCCGTCTAGTGTCGGAAACATTGGCAGAGGAACTTCGGATGATACTGTTCGGTCGAACCGTATGTCGGCACCTTTCAACGTGTGACTGTGCCTGATGATCCAGAATCTTTGAACTTTGCTTCGAACTGGTTGTGTGGTGGCCAAGAATATCCATGTCTTCAACAGCCCATCACGTGAGAAGGTCACGTCAAGTGAACAGAGCAACTTCGAAGAAGGTTCTATGGAATACAAACCTACGTGCTTCTATCCTTTACATTACAAAGACAACGCGTTTTCTAGATGAGGCGCGAGCGCCAAATAGACGACTTCTACTGTACACATTTCCACACAGCCATCCTTGTAGTCCACTACAACATCATTGCTGCCATATCATCCGTCAGACCATTCTTGTTTATGTCCACGGAAGGCACAAACATGTGAAGAGGGAATCGAAGTGCGTCCTCACAAACGTCCCAATTGACAAGGAACAGACTTCGCAAGTCGGGATCTCGAAGGTGCTTGCAATCACGTTTGTGGCCCTTCTTGTTCCAGGCAACTCCTTGACAGACCTGATCACACCCATATTAGCACTCTGATCAACATGATAGGCCAGCAGTAGGAGTCTTACGCTGTCGCAATACCAGAAACTCGAACACCTATGGCATTTCTTCAGACGATCTGACAGCTCATCACAACCGTGGCATCTCCTGAGACCATCAATTTTGTTTGAGAATTGTTGGATTCGGTCGTTCAACGCCATCAATTCCTTCGGCGAGAGTGAAAAGCTCTAGAAGTTGCGTGTACTTAGTGACCGCTAACGAAAATAGATAGGAATGGTTACCTTGATCAGATTCTTGGCATCCTTCGGATGGATAGCTCGCTCACCATCGTGAACCGAGTCATACTGCGCGTAGAGAATTGCGACTGCGTTGCCCTTTCGCGTGTTTGAAAGAGCTACTTCACTGTCGGGTCGGGTGGTGATATAGTGTAGCGGAACTTCGTCACCATCAATCACCATCAATATCCCAGTATCTTGTCCCTATCAATATTCTAGTGCTTAAAACCGATAACATGCTTTGGACGTCTGTTGAGAAGATCTGGAACCTCTCAAGTGTACAAATATTCTCACTCATCATAATCTATGAGCATAGATTTGATGAGCGGCGGAGAGGGGCTTGCCAATGCAGGACAGCGCTCGCGATATTCCTGGATTTTGCAGTTAAGATGGCCGACAGACATATTCAGGCGATAAATCTCAGCTACGGTCCCGTCTGACACTAATGGATCCGCTATTACTCGGTCAGGGTTGCAAAATTGGAACAATACCGGCTTGCCGACACGAAATTCTTGAAAGCATAGCCGAGCCATTGAATAGATGACGATTTCTTTGTGTTGTCCACTCCATGCCAGGTCATGTCCAAATATCTTCTCAAAGTGTCTAGCCTCATCCATATGGATCGCAATGCGAGTATATGGCAAGCGGCTGAAGAGAGCTAGCACAAAATCGGTGACCATCTCGTCAATATGTTCCTGATTCCATGGATTGATTAAGGGACACATAATGTCAGAGGCCCAGTTGACATAGATGTTTGGATTTTCTGAGAGATAGAGAGGCCCTCCGCCCAGTGTTCTTTTGAAGTGGGTTCCAAAGAAGGGCTTGTAGTTCTCCAACCCAACCATGCGGGCCTCATGCGAGACGTCTAAGAGTGCCAGTGTCAGTGAAATGTGAGGAAAACAGCTCTATTCGTTGATGACTTACATAGAATAGCTGGAGGATTCCGGTTGCTGGTCCGAAAAGTGATCTTGTGAGTCTTGTCATCATACTGCGGCCAAAGGTCGAGGACTCGTGTAATATGGCACACTTGTTTCCAAATTTGGCATCGAAGCTCGACAGGAAGTTCGCCAAATATGGTAAACGACATGTTTTTGGCCTTAATCGGAAGTGGCTGCTGCTGCTTTCCAGATGTACTTAAAGCCGAAGATTGAAATGCGATGTTGCAAACGAGACTTGAGATCCACCGAGATTGTAGCAAATAATATGATAGTACACTCGGACTGAAGTTTTGGCGCTATTCCTTGGATAATAAGGTATCAAGGAGACGAGAGAGCTTGTCTTTCGTTGATGTTCGCTGGGCTGGTTTGATAAGGTTGGTGACGTAAGCGACTTCGACATATAGTATAATTTTAGAGAATGGGGGGGCACTAAGAATGAACAAGAAGGCGGGTGAAGATGAATTTGAGGATATTGTGTTATTTGAAGATATAGTAAGACTTAACGACAGGTACAGTACATTACCTACCTACCTAGGTACGTAAGTAGCAAAAGCCAGCATCCATCACGTGATACTAGAAAATAGCAACACCCATGGACATGAGCAGGTTGTTCAAAAATGTTTTAATATGGATAGTGATGGAGAGTTCCAAAACGAAAGAGGCTAATTGGAATAGTCTTGGGCCTTTATGTTGCTGTGAGTATCAATCCAATAATGGCAGCTCAGTCAGGACTGGAGATTCCGATGTAATCGACAATCTGTCACAATGACGACGACCACAAAGGAGATAGTCTGAGTCCACAGTAAACACTGTGAGACATAAGACACTGTTTCAGTGGATTCGTACGTTGGAATCTGAGAGTTGAGGTAAATACCATCAAGCCCAAAAAGGCATGGTCTAACACGTGATCATCTCGTTAACATGGCAACCGGTAGCTCCCTGGGCGCGCCTTCTGTTTACCTTTCATCGGCGATTCATAGGCTGCATAAAACTCCAACAACAATAGATCATCGACCATTTCGACAACCATCCATCATTCATATCGATGTGAATTCACTCATCTCGTAGATTGATTTCCAACTTATACAACGACCATGGACCCTCAATCGCCACCAAAGCGCGTCACTAGAGCTCGCGCCGCAGCCAAAGATACTGCACCCGAGCTCAAGACGACCAAAATCGCAACTGCCTCATCAAAAGCTAAAGTTACTCGGAGCGTATCTACGACAAAACGCAAGACCAGAGCAGACGATCATCATGAAGAAGAACAACAACAACCAGAACCCGAAGAAATAATCGAACCAAAAACCAAACCCAGCACACGCGGGAGACCGAAGAAGGTCGTCGAGCCAGCAGCTGAGATGGACGAACCCCCAGTCAGAACCACTCGAGCGAAGAGGGCCGCAGTCGAAACACCTGCACCTGAAGCTACCAGAGCTACGCGAGGCCGGTCAAAGAAGATAGAGGTGCAAGAGGAGGAGGCTGTCGTTGTCGAACAGCCTGCGAAACGAGCTCCCCGCACTCGAGCTGCAACTACTACAAAGGCCGCTCCCAAGAAGTCTGTGAAGTTCGACGAACCCGACAAGGAGAACATTATCCCTATTGAGATCAACGGGAAAGGCAAGGCAAAAGCTACCGAGCCTGCCACTGGCCTACGTGCGAAGCCCGTCCGGAAGCCTGCGGTTCCTGCTCGTACAACACGAGGGCGCGCCAAGTCTGTTGTGGAAGAGGAGAAATCGTCTCCGCTCAGTCCAAAGAAGGCTACACAAGTTGGCAAGGCGAAAGAGACTGCCTCTGATGATGAGCTCGCTACGAATGAAAAGACACCAATGAGACCACTCATGAAGAGCCCCATAAAACCTCCAGGAAGTGCGTTTGGCACTGCAAAGAAGCTCGATTTCTCCACCACCGTCACCGCTCACAAGGCCGTGATGTCTTCTACTCAAGATTTGAAGGGGTCTATCGTCGCTAGCCCAGCTCGTCGCCCTCCTCAATCTCCCTTCAAGGAATCATTAAAAGCTTCTCCTCAGAGATCCATGATGGGTGGGTCTCTGCTTCAATCTCCCTTCAAGCCATCCCTTGCGGCACCAAGAGCAGCTCCAGCGAACTCTCCTTTCAAAGTCTCGCTCCTGCAGTCCCCTGCTAGACGACCACAGTCACCTACCAAGGTAACTGAGACTGGCTCACCTACTCGATCTGGTAACAGTAATTCCATGTTCGCAACAACACCTAAGGCCAGCACTTTTAAGATATCAAGGTTTGCGACGCCTCGAACCGTTACGAAAAGTGCCATCAAGACCGGTCAAATGCTACCTCCAAGTGCGTTCAGAGAGACGCCTGCTGCAAGCTCATTAGCATCTTCCCTGTCCACAAATGAAGCATTAAGTGTAGAGCCAAGCCTAACCTTTTCTGGCCGCCTTTCATCTATCATGCCACGGGAAGCCGACCCAGCATTTACGAGAGATGACTCTGTCCAAGACACGATTGAAAATGTCGAGGCGATTTGTGAAACTGCACAGGTGGATGAGCCTATGATGATCGATGAACCACAACACATGGCTGAGGAAGAAATTGACACCATTGTCGTTGATGATCAGATGGATGAAACGACCACCACCCCACCATCCTCTCCTCCTAGACATAGTACTGGATTTGCTGGAGCCTTCACTCTACGGGAAACAGACGAAAACCCGTTCCATGACTCTGATTCTGAGGACGAACTTGCCTCGAGTTCTCATCAATACTCACCTGGTCCTCTTACTGGCTTCAGAAGCTCGTCTCACGACTTTACTTCTTCGCCATCCACCCCAACTCCATTCTCTGTTCTCTCGAAGTCCAAGACACCGCAAACAGCCACTCAACGAGCTGAGCGAAGAGACAAGATTGGATTCACACCCCTTGCCAGACAATTAAGCGACTGGATGGCGGCTAGTCCCGCAAAATCCGAAAGCAGTGCTTCAGATATAGATCAGCTTTCATACTCGACTACCTCTTTTGCCAAAGCAATCGAGGCAGATATAGCTGCAAGTGCTCGACCATCGCCAGCTAAAAGCACGTTCTTTGAGGACGAGATGTCCGTTCGAGATGAGCTAGTTGATGCTCCAGACACTCCTCTAATGGGAACTGATATGCTCACTGAGAACTTTGAGCCTGTCGAGGTCGATGAAGAAGACATGGCACTTGCACACGAAGCTGATGAGATGTCGCTACTGGAGCCTGATCAGATTGAAGCCCCAGAACCAGAGGAGATGTTCACTGCTGCTGCTGTTGCCGACGCCGAGAACGTGGAGGACGATCATGACGATATTGTTGGTGAAGCTACTCCGTCAGAAGCGAGTCAAGAGTATGGTGATGAAAATGCAATTCCAATCGACCCAGCATTGCTCGCACTCGCTGAAGCTCCTCAGGCCTCAACGCCTCGAGCTTATGCCACTCCAAAACGGGTTCTATCCGAGAGAGTCTGCCACACAGTTTCCAAGGTTCCTCTCAAGCCAGCTGCTGACCATACACCAATGCGGCCTTCACCTGTGAAGCGGAGTGCCAGCATTTCTCGACTACCCACGCAGAGACCAACAACCTTGTTGACACGAAAGAATACCGTCATTTCTTACTCCCCAACTAAGAGCACACCCCGAGCTCCAGCAGTTGAGCAGAATCAAGATGTTATAATGCAAGACACATTTGCCACTCCGTCAAAAGCTGACGGTGTAGCATGGTCGACTATGGGTACACCTGCCCGGACACCAAGACGCGATATCAACAACGAGCTTCTCAAAGGTGCTGTTGTGTTCGTTGACGTTCACACAAGCGAAGGTGCTGATGCGAGCGCGCTTTTCACGGAGCTATTGACCCAAATGGGCGCTCGCTGTGTGAAGTCATGGAATTGGAACGGTGAAGATGGGAGCAAAGTTAGTATCACACATCTTGTTTTCAAGGACGGTGGAAAGAGAGCCCTTGAGAAAGCTAAAGAAACGAATGGAGTTGTCTCATGTGTTGGCGTAGGCTGGGTCTTAGAGTACGTTTACTGTCCTTCTCCGATTCTGTCACTCTCTAACAAATTACAGCTGTGAACGCGAGAACAAATGGTTGGATGAATCGGCCTATGCGGTCGATACAACCATGGTTCCCAGAGGCGGCCATCGACGACGTAAGAGTATGGAGCCACGCGCCTTGGCTAATCTGAATGGAACACTCGTTCCTTCTTCAGCTATGACTCCTGGCCGGAATATGTCACCAACAAAGGAATTTCTCAACCTTGATACTCCAGTCACCAGCAAGAGTCGAAGAAGAGAGTCGGTACAATGGGTTCACTCTCCATCTGGCTCGTCTCCCGATGAGAATGACCAGACATTGATACTGTCACCTGTCCCTGCCACTCCGGCACCAGAGACTATCTCAGCTTATGGCGAGGAAGGACTTTATGGAGGGGAGACTCCGGGTGGTCAAACACCTTATTTCCTCCATAAAGAGCAATTGGTACAGAAGACTGCCCCGGCTGGCAGACGATTTGTTGATAGTGAACAAAATGAAGGTGAAAGCAGAATGTCAATGGGGACTGGGTTCCTGAGCGAGAAGAAGGATGAGAGTGTGATGATGCGTCTGATGGCAGCGAGGCGAAAGAGTTTGCAGTGGGCTCCCAAGGTGGGAAGCCCACTTGCGAGGGGCGAATTATTTTGATTTGCTGGAGAATCGTTATGGGATTCCGCATACGAGGCGTTTTGTTCGGTTTTGACTTGGGTCTGGGAGATGTGTTGGAGTATTGTTCGCACTTATGGTTGTGCTTTTAGTGCCGCTGTGTTTGTTCCTGCAATTGAGATTGGAAATGAACATATTCATAGCCATCAGAGCTCATTGCTAATATGCTACATGTGTGAGATCATCGAGGCGTCCTTGATGATGCATGTTGTACGAGTGTGGGAAAGTTCCCCAAGTATCTAGAGATTCATTTCATGTTCAGACATTCTTTTTTCCCCGCTCTGCTGTCCCATGAAGCATTCTTATATAAGGTTCTCCGGCAAGGACGGCTCCAGCAATGAAGTCTTTTCTGGAATTGTGTGATAGCTCAACTGGAGAGATCTTCACATTCCAGAAGAATAGATAACTGGTTTCAAGCAAGGCTGTAACAGCGATCGTGAAGAACGCAGAACATGGTACTGTACTGAAATACTTCTAGACTCTGCCAAAACTTCAGGACTCGAGTGAGGCTGTATCCAAGTACCTATGGATGTGGGTGTCACGTGAAACGTTTGGACACTTCTTGGCTGAAGACAGCCGAAGCCATCTGAGCCAAAACATGTTCCATTTCTACAGCCAAGACCATGCGAAGCGAGACTTGCCGATCTTTTGTTCTATTCTCAAATACTTCCAAGGTACCAAGAATAACCAAGCCGTCGGAGAAGAGTAAGGAGAGGTGTATTTTATGGAGCGTGGCGATTGAGAGATTGATCAGATATTATGGAGCTGGTCCTCACTTGGGAATTTGGGAAGGTTTAGTGCTGGTTCATTCATTTCTCTACATTTGAAATTTCTACGGTCGTATACGTTTATAATATTATCTATTTTCTATCATGAAGCTCATCCATATCCTCACTGTGGCGATTGGTGTCCAGGCCATTGCTGTTCCTAGATTCGTTTCAAAAAGAGGAACTGGAATTACAGGTGAACCGTCTCCCTGCATGGTATCGTATCGCGATCACTGACATATCCTCCAAGTCAACGGTGACGGCAGCAGCAACGTCGGAGGCGAATCCGGCATAACGACGAACGCAGACGGGTCCCAAAGCATCGGTGGAGCAAGCGGGATCAATGTCGCCGCGCCGAAGGGAAACAAGACAACCGGAGCAGCAGGTGGGACTGGAATCACCGTCGCAGGATCCGAGATCAATAGAAGTAACCAGACAACAGGAGCCACAGGAACGGGAGCCAACAAGCCTCAGGGAACGGGTAATGCAGCAGGTCTTGCTGCTTTGCTTGGTGCTTTGAACAGTGCTGGGTCGTCAAAGAATAGTACGTCGACTGCATCGAGCAATTCGACGACTTCGGGGACGGATGGATTGGCTGCTTTGGTTGGGGCGCTGGAGGGTGCGAATGCGGGGTCGGGTGAGAAGAGCAATAGTACTGCTGCGACTGCTGCTTCTGGAGAGGCCGCTCCTGCTGCTGCGGAGAAGTGAGAGGTTACAGCCTCGATGAAAATGGAGAGAAAAAGTCGAACAAAAGGTCGCAGGCGGCCTACAAAGATGTGTAGAAACTAACTGAGTGTGATTACCAGGACTGTATGATAACCGACCTGAATTGAGAACCTGGTTTCGCTCAAATTCACTCTTGGAACATATATAAGCAGAACAAGGAGAAATAGTTTGGTACAAAACTGCGTTTGGCAAGGAACCGTCTTGAGTTTTCGCACGGTTTTGATTATACTATACTATTTTCCCTTCATTATCTTTGTTTTGATTGGTATGGTTATCGGTTCGTGCACATGGGGCTGAAAGTACGCGATGCCTGTGCAGAACAGGTTAGCCCACGAATTATACCTGCTATCAAGTTCAGCCATGCAAGCCACTTTTGTGTCACTTGAGATAAGGCTCAAATATATCTCCAAGAAGAATTTCAAACTTTTCCTTTTCAAGTTTTGTTGCCTATAGCTAACAACACGACGTTCATCTTACTCCAGTAGCTCATTCCCAAAGAGCCGGGCTAAACATTTCGACAACATCACACCATCCTAGCTATGTTCAGGGCATATAACATTGTCCAGGTCATAATGTCCCTCATGCTTAGCCGACCGTTCTTTGTGAAGCTACCAGGAGACGTAAGACCCTGGAATTGGGAGATCTGGAAAGGTGATCGACCAAGAAACACTGACCAGCGTGAATCAGGAGCATCGAGGCCTGCATCATTTCTCTCTTATATAGGGACCGTTCTGGGAAACGTTGCTCTGGCAATAGGCGCTCCTTTGCTGGCAGGCAACTCCATCGTCAAAACATACCCAACCGCAAATCGGTGGGTGGTGGGCCATCGTTCAGCAGTGGATGACAAGGCATCACGCTTCGGTCTTTGTGATTCTCGCCAACTACATGGCATCGAAAGATGATCCAAAATCAAGTGGCGCCGAGATCCATGTCAAGACGGGATTGACGGCCTTTGCAACTGAACTTGTGATCGGTCTATTGAGTGTCAGCTTTCTTATGAAACAGGCTGATGTACCACTGCAAGACTTCGACCCATCGCAACCTTGCAATTCGACTCAAGGAGTTTCCAATTGTCCGGCTATGCAACAGGACGCTGAGCTTCTGGCAGGGCTTGTGTTGACCAATGCCGCCGTTGTAGGGTTCTTTGTACTGTGCTCGCCATGTATTTTTGCAGACTTCCAAGACGACTCAGAGGGACCGCCTCATATGAGGAATAAGACCGCGTAGGAGGCCGAAGAAACGCCATGCTCTCAAGTCTCGGGATCGGAGCGGGATTCGATTGCCTGGGCGGTGCGTCTTCAATTGTTTCCAACTTTGCATGGTTATTTTATGGCTTCTGATCTATGTAGCGAGTTGGGTTGTATGGGCAAAATTTCTGAGCACGGTCCCTGAAAGTCTCTATTGCATTGACAATTCTGTTATTATCGATGTTATATATTGTTTGTTGCCTGTCATACTTTGGCTTTGGATGTTTTTATGGGATGTTGGATTTTCGAAAGAGGGGATTGGCGATGGTGCAGTCGGCGGAGAGGTAGCGTAGTCTAGAAACAGCTTCGATGGAAGATGAGGGATTGATGTTAAACATTTACCAAAAGACATAGGAGTTTGCTGTACCTTATAGTCTTGAGGTTGTTCGCAACTCGTAGTTGAAAGTCGAACACTTAGAATCGCAAGATATCTCTGTTTGGGGACGGCTCGGCCATTCTTTGGGAAACTGCGAACCGGCCCCTCGTGCCTGCTTCATCAATCCACGTCGTGCATCTTCTTTCTTTTCCCCCATCCGGTCTGATTTGCATCCATTTGCCAACACATCAATTTTGGAAATCATGTCATCTCTCGACACTGGCCATGTCGAGCGATGCATTTTCTTAGAGATCCCAACAGGTAGTGCCCATTCCCCCAGATGAGAGGTGCTTTACTGACATAAAGGTAGAGTTACGCATCAACGTCTACAAGTTACTTGTCTGGAAACCAATAGTGTTTCTGGCGTCGAAAAATATGCATACCGCCATCCTTCGGACAAATTGGAAGGTTTATCAAGAGGCTCAAGGCATCCTCTACTCAGCTATTGTCTTCAATCAAGGGGAAGATATCAAGTGCCTTCGACCTGAACCAGACCTCTTAGATCCTAATGGCGTCACAACCCTCTGCTCGGCATCGGTCGGCGCAACGAGAATGGAACGTATACGTATGCTACTGCAGAGATGGATGGATACATGGAACCCCACGTTTTTGCACGTTTCCAACAGTTCCAATTCAGTGCCTATTTCTACTTCGGATCTTGGCAATTAGATCGTACTATTCGGATCCGTATCAACAAAAGTTTCAACATCAACCGCAAAGACCGAAAACCCTTCAAAACTTTCCTTGCTTCTACAAGCATATTCAAGGATCTCGCCAAAGTCATATCAAACTCAACCTTTGTCAAAGTCCTCAACGTGGATATCGGGGTAGAGGTGGAAGTTGTTCATCACTTTGATCCAGGTCATGAATACACGAAGGTTGCGCAACAGAAGGCTACCGATATCTTTCTAGATTGCGGCCTGTTAGAGCCACTGCGCGAGCTGACAAATGTGGTCAAGTTCAACGTTTCCTTGTTGGCATTGAAATTCGCAGATCCTGAGTATCAAATAACCGCCCGTCAAAACATCATGCTTCAAGAATTGGAGGCAACTATTGAAAATAACGCCAAGCATCTGGCAGTTGAGGGGCTGAAGATTCGAGATTGAGGGGACATTACATACTTGGCAACGCAACAGCTGTTGGACAGTGGCTTAGTATAGGATATCATTAAGGGAAGAAAGAGTTTTGTATCGAACGCTAAACAGAGAATCAAACACTACTATCATGCTGACTTGCAGATGACTTAAATTGTGCAATTTTACAACACCTCACCAGCTATTGTCTTTGTTCGGCAAGTTGCCGACTCGTACATTATCGCAACATTCCACCATGACTAAATATAAGTTTTGGCATGCAAGTGGTTTGGGAATCTAAGGACCTCTCGTCTCCGCAGCGCTCACACATTTCAACCTCAAGTTGAGGGAACGTTGGACACAGCCTGGCTATCAGCGCAGAAAAGAGTTGCAACCTTCTTACACTCGTCATTAAGCACATTTGGACAAGTTTTGCTTCTTTGACTTCATGCTAGGCTTGATCCGTCGCCGATCCCTCTTTCCGGACTGCTTCGTTGCCGGGGCTAGTCTCACTTGCGCTACCAGCCCTCACGATCCGCACATTTCTTGTGTCCCAACCTGGACTTCAGATGATTTAAGGTTATGTGTTCCGTGTCCGATGCATCCTAGAGGGCGATCATCCGGTAACGTGGGTTACCGAATTCAATTGCATCTCGGAATCCCTTGATCCCATTTTCCAGCCTACGTACAAGAAAAGTGTCTCAATTATTTGGTGGCTTGAGTGACAGACTGACACCTGGACTGCCGCTGTGTCGTCGGTGGCTTACAATTTGGGCAAGACAGACTAAAAGTCTGGTTTGGACCAATGGTACATCTACTGGAACTTCAAGCGTAGTTGAGTAGAAGTCAATGTTTCGAAGTCAGAAGTTGGATATCTCGTTCATGATGGAATGCGCATCGCCTCACAGATTTTCTTTATCGTCCATCTGTCTGCTATATTTCGAAAATGACTAGAATCACTCCTCGCACCTGTCTATGGCCCCTGGCAGGGAGTCTCTCTCTCACATTCGCCCTCTCGATCGGATTGACCTTCCGTTCAAATCATCATTGCTTCGCAGGTACTTGTGGAGAGTGGTTATTTCCACTCCAGGCTCGATTACATGTCGTTATTTGGTACTGCTTTCTTGGGATATCGGTCACAATCCTCGCATTGCGGGCCTTCCAGCCACGACTCCGGAAAAGGCTCCAGAAACCACTTTTCGAGGGCAAGATTCCCATCATAGGGAAACAAATTGGTTTGGGAGGACTGCTCATCCTCTTGTGGATCATATCGCTTTACGGCATCATCGTTGGAGTATGGTGGATTCGACTAGAAGCGTACTTTACACAACGTGGCCTTGAGGGTGGAGTGCTGAATGGCAACAAGAGACTGGCAGCTATTGCGTTGACAGGCCACTTATGCGATGTCACTATGGGCATGGCGATATTGCCTATTTCTCGACATAGCGCTCTGGCTTCGTTCTTCAAGCTTTCTGTGGCGACAACTCTCACCTTCCACATGATCACAGCATATACGTTATTTGCTCTGGTTGTCACACACGGGTTTCTGTACGTTTCCTGGCTTCCTGTCTTCGAAGCTTTGCCTGCTACTCTACGGATGGTATACCCTGTCTTGAATCCTACTTACTTTTATCGAGAATGCTGGCCAGGAAATCAATCCAGTCTCGGAGTTTGGCGAGCTTCGTTGATATTTACTGGCATCACGACTTCGTTCATTATGCTTCTGATATTCATCACAACTCTTCCAGTGATCAGATTGCGCCACTTCAATGTGTTTTACTTCACGCATCTTCTCGGCATAGTCGCTATCATTACTATATGTCTTCATGCTAGCACCATGTTTTATTGTACGGCGCCAGGGTTGACCATGTGGGCTCTTGACTGGGCAATGCGCCTCTACGAACTCTGGGCGCCGTTGGATGGACGAATTAAGGACATGGGAAAAGGGTGGTATTGGTATGAACTTTCTTTCAGTAACACAATACTCCACGTCTGACAAGTGCATAGTGTCTCCGTACCTCTTCCTCGCCATCGGCTACACGGCTGTGCTTGCACTTCTCCATTAGCTCACTTCTATATACATCACTCCGGATCGTCAGTCCGTGAACTGCATCCATTCACAACCACAACTCACCTCGCTACACAAAATACAATCACAAATTCCGTAAGAGATGACATCGATATCCAGTTCCTATTCAGAAAGCGTGGATCTACAACATCTCCTCCAAAGCCAGAAACGAAACCCGGCTTCATACCCTCAATAATGAGATGCCTGAGACGCCGCACACCCAGCGCACAATGGACGAATAAACTTGCAGGCTTCTCACAAGACATAGACAACTCCTCGAGCTCCACCAACGACTCTTCAAGTACCTTAAGCACTCTTACCAAAGGTCTTCCCGTCAGCCTCAGACTCGAAGGACCTTACTTCACACCAGCCGACCCGTACCGATACAAAACAGTCATTTGCATCGTTGCAGGAACAGGTGTTAGCGGCGCTCTAGCGATAGCGGGAGCGTTCAAAGAACTTGAAAGGCAATCCTTGCAAGTGACAAGTACACCCAATTCCGAGGCTGAACGAAAATCTTCTGTGTCTACTTCTCGGATATGGACGAGGTGTGTTGTGATTTGGAGTGTTAGAGAAGAGCATTTCATTCAGCTTCCCGAGTTGAGTAGTAAGTCCTACTTTCAAACTTTCATCGCGTTGTCGCTTATATTCTTAATAGGCGCACCGAGCTCTGGCCTGGATGTGAGAGTGCATTTGACGGGGCCTGGGAAGCAGCGGTTGTCTGTTGATGATGCTCTGGATCGGATTCTGGGCGAGGGTGCGTCTTCTACGTGGGTGTATATTTCGGGTCCGAATGCGTTCATCGCTGCTGGAGAGATGGCTTGTAAGAAGAGACAAGAGAGGGGCGTTGAGTGGTATGGTGCGAGGTGGGATATTTGAGTTCTAGTGTCACTTAATTAATTTCGCGGTATGGTCAATATGAGTGCTGCAAAAGCAAGGGCAGAATTATCGTCAGAATTGACTCAATGCTTCTCCTTACCTTCCCCAGTGGGTTAGTTGGGGATGTGTTCTTGTAAGCTGCGAAGTATTCTTACCTGAGCTCTTTGAAGCTATCTTTAGCAAGCTTTTCTTTGGATCCACATTGCTTTCACGGTCTTCTGAGGACCCATTGCTAAAGCCAGCTAGTGACAATCATCAAGTGAAGGTTTGATCATATCCAATGCTAAAGTAACCATGAGAAAACACTCAAAATGACTCCTTCCGACAAGTTCTATCTTCTTGGAAAGTCCATCAATCATCATCCCCATCAAGCCCGGCAAGCGCACTCGCACTCGGAGCAAAGAACGTCGTCCCCGTAACAGCCGTCGAATAATCCAACAACCGATCATGCATCCCCTCCGGAACCCCCACAAACATCCGCTCCATCATCTTCTCAATAACCCAAAGCTTCCTCGAATACCCAATAAAATACGTCCCAAACTCGCCCGCGCCAGGACTCCCAAATGGCATGTTATCCCTCAAGATATCATGCTCATTCCCATCCTCGTCTTCCACCGTCGCCAGTGTCTTGTGCGCTTTCTGCGAAGACGCAGAGCCGTCGGGGAGTTCGATATTATCCCACTTCGTGCGTCCGATAATAGCTTCCTGCGTCTCGTTGGACAAAGACCGCCACCCCTTCAAATCATGCAGATATTTCTGAATCACGATATAACTCCCCCCAACCGCCTCCGCATCATCTTCCAGCGCAACCAGAACCGCCTCTGGGACAGCAGGCCCCACCGGATTCGCCGTCCCGTCCACGAACCCGAGCAAGTCCCGGATATCGAAATAGCGGAACCCGGTCGTCTCGTCGACGACTTTGATGGAATCGCCCAGGAGGTCGAGAAGTTGGCGCTCGAACTCGAAACAGAGATCCCGCCGCTCGGAGCGGATGTGGAAGAGGAGATCGCCCGGTGTAGAGACGGCGGAGTGTTTGGCGCCGTGGACGGCAGGGAAGGGGTGTAGTTCGGCTGGGCGAGGGAGCCGGGTCACGCGGTCCCAGACGTTGCTGCCGATGCCGATGGTGCAGGCGAAGGAGGCGCTTAGGTCGCGGATGGCTACATTTTTGGCGATGGCGTCGATGCTGGCGAGGGTTGAGCGGACGGTCTTGGTTGCGTTGGGAGAGTCGGTAATGGAGACGACGAGGAAAGTTGCAGATTGAGTGAGGGGTGCGTCGACTTTTTGTGACTCGATGGGGACCCGACGGCAGGAGTCCATTTTCCTCCAAAATCCAGTGGTGGTATGAAATCGACGGTTTGAGTGTAGCTCTAGACTTCGAGATGCTGGGAAGCTTTTTGTACGCCGCTGCTGCAGCCCTTGCGATATCACAGCCAAACTTACTCGATGCTCTAGCTGCGGGATGCTCGGCCTAGAAAGCAGTGACCTTCGAACTGAAGCGCCGTTGAATGTTCTTCCGGTCATACCACAATGATACCACTTATTACTATCAGATTTATAATGATGGAGTGAGGGTTCGTTGTGGTCTCTGTTGGCAGACCCCGCGCTCGCTTACAGTAATTTGTTGCAGCCCTTCCCCTGACAATGCTTACTGTGCAGCTGCAGGTTATGAGCAATTTCATCTCCAATCATTTTCTTGTACCTCGTCTTATCTCGGCAATTACGGCTCTCGATGAAGTCCAAAAGCAATCACTCGAGTTGATGCTCTTCAATTTTCGGGACCACCGTGCACATTGAAAGTTGATGGTTGGAACATCTTATCTTCTGTTTAGCTAGCACTAGAGAGCTAGTACCTTGGTTCATTCAGAACCTGTCCGCTCCAAAATTTGATACCAATAGCACCCTAATAGCCCACCTTCAAATAAAGCGAGTAGCATTTACAAGCATTTATGTCTCTTTTTCACCACTGTTTCTCAACTCGCGAATCTCAACACCACCGTCTCCACCTTTCTCTTCGGGCAAATGGGTGATACAGACTTTCCAGCTCTAGCTCTTCTATCCTTCGGCACTCTCGCGAGCCAATACCAAAACATTGCTAGAGCGATGTTGACCACGACATAAACCCAAAGAAGACCAAAGTCTCTCCAGCGAGTGTCATATGAAGAGCTCAGAAGGGAGAGGAACGCATTAGTGTCTTTGAGAGGACAGTATGAGCAATCCGAGGTGGCAGAAGGGTTGGCGAGATATCCGCCTGCAGTTTCGAGATAAGAAGAGAGGTAAGACGAGCATGTGGTGTTTGCTAGTGGTTCGAAATGGAGAAGCTCGATTGAGGAACATGTTACAGGGGCATTGGCTAAGCCAGTGCTGAGGACGGCGGAGACAAGATAGGTGAATGGTGAGACGCGATACATGAAGATCCAGAAGCGAGGAAGAAGACTTGGACCGATGAGCACACTGTTCTAGTCAGTTTCTTTTTCTCTTTGAAGTAAGTGAAGAGCCGCTTACCCGCAAAATATGAGTGAAAGCATGAAGAGCAAATTAGCATAATTACCACCCATGTCTGCAAGTTCAACACCAGCTTGCACCATGTGTCCGAATGTACTTGTGAACATCATGTAAGCAAGCATCAACAAAAACATAGTTGCGCTTCGCTCATTCACAGTATGAGTGAATTGCGCATTCCGATAGAGACCTGAAGGATAGTACCAAGCAAAGAATATAAGAACAGCCATCAGAGCATTCCACGGAAGCTCGACAAGTATATTCGAGAGTAGAAACACAGGCCAAGAATATGTCTTTGCGGGACGCTCTCGTGCTTCGTAGATAGAACGCTGAGTGACAAAGTTTGGGAGCATTTGGGGGACGAAGTTGGATGAGAGGGTGCTGAGAAGGACGTCAGCTTATGCTGCCAAGACGACGAACAACCGAAACTCACATTAGCATGAAAATGTTAAAAGTCTGGTCTTGCAGACCTTGAAGGGAATTGTTAGATTTGTAGAATGTGAAGCCGAGAAATAAAGCCTATGAGAAGTCAGTGATCAGAGATCAAAATGAGATGAGGCTGCGGCACATACCGACCCGATACACATAGCAGCCTTTGAATAGATGTACGAAGGAGTCCTCCAGTACTGCTGATTGACTCTCTTCAAACACTCCCAAAGCTGGGCAGAGAATGGGGCTGCAAATTCCTTGAAGCCGTCATCTAGTTGAGCTTGCGACGGCAGATTCGATCTGGCATGTTGAGCCATATGATCGAGTTGGTGATGGACTTCAGAGAACTCGGGGCTGTTTCTCCAGACTTCTGGCCACTCAATATCGCTGTGGGAGCCAGGAGTGCAACCAATGACTTCCAGCATCCATTCAGCTGCGCATGTCAGTAGCTAGAAATATTTCAAACAGGGTAATGCGTACCTGGATTTGCATCAGGAGGGCAGGGCTTAGCACCGTTGCGCTCGAAATAGTCAATTACGGTGCGTGAGTCGTCGCCAATGTCGCCGAAATAGACGGGCTTTCCTTCTGGCGCAAGGAGTAACAGGCGATCAAAGCGTTCAAAAAGGGCAGCCGACGGCTGATGGATGGTGCAGAGAATAGCCTGACCATGACTGGTAAGCTTTTCGAGAAGATCAAGTACTGCCCATGACGTTTGACTATCGAGACCGGAGCTCGGCTCGTCCAGGAAGAGGAGTAATTGAGGTCTTGCAGCAAGCTCAACAGCAATTGTAAGCTTCTTGCGTTGCTCAATATTCAGGCCTAGTTGTTGTTAGTCCAAGAACAAGGAAAAGATCAAAGTTCTTACCTTGTCCAGGAACACCAATGATTGCATCGGCATAAGATCCCATGTCCAGCAGCCCAATTATTTCCTCGACGTAATCAATCTTCTCTGATCTGGACTTGTTGGCAGGTTGGCACATGATGGCGTTGAACTGCATCGCCTCCCTCGCTGTCATGGTTTCGAGATGAATGTCTTGCTGCTGAGCATAACCAGTCTTCCGTTGGAAAGAAACATCTCGGGGCCTGCCAACGACCAAAGCTTCACCAGAAGCGATACCGATGGTATCCCGTTTCGCAAGGACATCAAGCAAAGTTGTCTTTCCGGCTCCCGAAGGACCCTGTTCGCTGATTAGTAGTTGATTATGGTTCAGAAAAGTGCAGGAGACAATAAGGGGATGAAATCGCAATCATCGTAGGTAGAGGGCATCAGTGGAGAGACAAGTAAGAAATGCTGAATGCGTACCATGAGTGCAGTCAACGTTCCAGGTGAGACCCAGCCATCGACACGATTTAAGATGCGACGATCTTCTTTCTTGATTTTGATGTCATAGCAGATGTCCTTCCATTGAAAGACCGAGGTCTGCTTCTGCAAGTTTCTCTTTTTCTCCGAAGTGCTCAGAGTAGTACTGAGGTTAGACTCAGGGTGATGGTTCATCCAGTGAGGCTGCTCTACATCGTTTTTGTTTCGAGGACGGCTACCACGCTGAAACAGGAGGATTTCGCCCTTGGATTTCTTGGCGGTGATGTATTCTGTGGATGCGAAGTATGTGAACGTGAAGAAAATCGTCAAAGCGATGATGATGCCCAGGTTTCTGTTCAAATCAGCCATTTATAACGCTCTCAAATCAATCAGGCATATTACCTCCACAAGTGTGCAGGTTGGTAGTCGAAACTCAATCTAATGTAGTCTGTTCCAGAAACAACATCTGAGCCTGCAACAGCTCCGACTGTAGCACAGATATGATTCAAGCCACCAACATTAAGGTATTCGGGACCAGCCGGGACATATGACTTTGGGCTGCATATGAAATAACGTCCATGGTATTCGTTGATCATCAGACTTTCGAACGCATATGCAATCGGGTCGATATAATTGATCCACCGAAACCAGGGATGCATATCTCCTATAGGAACAACAAATCCAGTGTATGTGATTAATGCCAGGATCGTGATAGTCGATGGGAATAAGGACGAAGCCAATGTGCGAGCACTTGCACCGAAGCTACGGAAGACCATTGAAAGTGACACTGTCATAGAGAACGAGAAAAGCAAGAATACGAAGAAAGCTCCAGGCTCTCTGCGCAAGTTGGACATGAAGTACAGGACAAGGTTGAAAAAGACTGCGTTGCAAACTTTGAAAGGCATATCGCACAACGTTGAGGCGACAGCTTCCGCAAATGGATGGTATAAACCATATTTGGAATGTTTCTCCACAATTGGGCGTTGATCGAAGATGATCAAAATCTATGATTCATGAGATTGAGATTTGCGATCTTGATAGAATCCTTACCTCTAGTGCACTAGCGAATGCATTGAGCAGGATGGCCAGGAAAATTAGAACAGATCTGCTATAGAAGCTATCCGTAGTTTCGTCTAAGTTGTAGAACATGCTTCCTACGACCAAGGCCAAAACGGCGTTGGCCACAACGCGCGAAATTGTGACGGAAGCGTCACCTCGAAGTCGTTGAAATCCACGCTCCACGCATATCATAACCTGTTGATACAGCGATAAAGTGTACGGCGACCCAACTCTCCTGGTACAATGTGAGCACAAGAGTCATCACCACTGAGTTCTCCAAAACTTACTGCTGTACAGCTTGCTGTGCTCTTCGTGATTCGGTAAATGCTTGTACTGAAGCTCCACCTATTGGAAACTTCTGATTGTATCGGTCGATATCGTCAAGCAATCGCTCATACGCCTTGCTGCACATCCACCTTTGGGCGAACTCGTCCGCGGTACTCGGTACTAGACCCTCATATCCAGGTCTTACACGACGTTCAGCAGGACTAGTCAAAGCCGTAAGAAAATCGGCCGTAGTCTGACGCGGAGCACATTCGAAGCCCATGTTATTGAAGAAGCTCTTCGCATCTCGGCAGGGACCAAAATATACTTGGCGTCCTTCATACAACACCGTGACCTTATCAAATACCTGCGGAATGTCAGTAGGTTTGACACTGTATACGACTTTCGTTACGAACCTCGTAGGCATCTTGCGAACCTTGGTACAGGGAGACAAACGCAGATGTTCCAGCAAGGCTGGTTGAGAGCCTGATCGTCTTGCAGAATTCCAATGCATTCGCACTGTCAAGTCCTCTTGTACTGTTATCCCAACACTGCAAAGGACTTCCGCTGAGTAAAGCTTCTGCGACGCTAACTCGTTTTCGTTCACCACCGCTAACACCTTTGATGAGGACGCCTCCTACAGGGGTATTGGTTGTATGTTTAATACCCAAGGTTGCCATGATGACATCTCGCATATGCTTTGCCCACATATCCTGTGTAACTCCTGGAAACGTTTGATCGCGGGGAGCTCGAGCTTTCGCGGCAAAGAGGAGCGTGTCGCCAACGGTAAGTTGTGGGAAATGGACATCGTTCTCTGCCATGTAAATTGCCTCGCCTCGAAATTGCGATGCCATTTGCGCTGCAGGTATTCCTTGATAGTTGAGTACCGAATCTGGGCCGATGAAGAAGCCATAGGTATCACAGGATATCGTCTTGAGTAATGTTGTACAGCCGCTACCGGGTCGACCCAACACTAAACACATCTCTCCGGCTTCCACCAAGCCATCGAAATCTCTCAGAACCTGTATCCGTTGCTTCTTCTGCCCTCCCATCCATCGAAACAAACTCGTGAGCTCCAACAAGACATTGCCGACATTCTTCTGGTAGTCTGTAGGGCTGCCAAACCCATATACTTCGAGATTCCTAAAAGCAATACCCGCAGACCGGGGCAAGTATCTCTTTGGGTCTTTCTGAATGAATCCAACAAGGTTGGACAGCCACGAGTTCGCGTTGAAAGTGTTGCTGTTTGGGTCAATGGGTGAGTCGATAGGGAAAGTCCCAAGAAAGGGATTACTAAAATCCTCCATTGTCCAGTCAAAGTGCAATGAGAATTGAAATTGAGATTAAGATTGAGATTGAGATTTGCCCTCATGACAGACCCTATTGCTCTGTCAGGTAGAGGGAGTCACGAGAGCAGGAGCACTGAAAAGGAAGGAGCCCCAGTATGAGTCGCGCTTACCATGAAAGCATAGCTGGACTTTAAAAGTGGGGCGGGCTCTAGGAGCGTAGCCGGATACATCAGCCCAGCATTCGTTGGATCTTATAATGTCGACAGGTAAATTGGATTAGCAGTGGAACCGGGAAACACAAATCGATGATACCCACTGCTAACATCATGTGCGACAAAGAACTGTAAACTAATGCAGGCAGAGTGCAGGATCTGACAATCGAGCAGACCAAGTTCAGAGACACGCGTTTGACAGACGTAACGTAGTAACATTCAGGACTCTATGGGATACCTAGGTACGATGAGAAGTGTGGCGATGAGAAATATGGCGTGGTGATACCTTTGTGGCGCTGTTGGCGGAACCCACGACTGAACCAGATAGGGCATGTGGTACAGTCGAGCAGGTGCTCAATCCAATTGCGTCTTAGATGGACACAGATGATGGACATAGATTGGGGTATACTCATCCTGTACGAGGCCTCGCAAGCGGGAACGATTGTGAGAGGAGAAGACTGAATGCTGTTCAGACTTCAATACATTCCTGCAGCGTTTGCTGTGCCGTTCTGCGGGGGCCAGCCGCAAACCTAGACCTGCATGCGACGCGGCAGGTGTCCTGCATGTTGGTAAAACCTTGTACTGTACATGTACGTCTTATAGCAGCAACAAAGATGCAGATGTGACGAAGATGGGGCGGCACAATATGCATACCTAGGTAGTTGGTCTTGATGTTGCTGTTGGTTCAGGTGAGACATGATGTCCAGGGTACTTACACTAAACCCGGTGCTTACATAAGATGATACTGTACTGTACCTAGGTACTGTCGGAATAATATTTTCTCCTTTCCTCCGACGCACATCTGCTCGCGTTTCTCGTCCTATCCTCACGCGTGCGAGGCTTGGCAACCGCTCTGTTCCCCTCAGTCCTGCGTTACCAGTTACCACTCTCTCATTGTTCACACCGTCAACTCTGCCGGCCATAGAGTGCTCGATGTTTGCCTCTAATTGTTCGATAATCCTGTACATATTTTGCCTTCCCTCGTTACCACCCATGACGCGCTCGTCTTTTCAGAAGTTTGGCCATCGTCTGCTACGGACAGCTGGTCTCAGTATCGTCTGCACGCATAGTTCTCGTCGGTGATCTGGGGTCATGCTTCTTTTCCAAACCCTCTTTCGGACCTGGCTCGCTCTCGTTGCCTTTTACATCGGCTGGACCTGCTTGGCCCTGCTCCGAAATATACGGATTGCTAAAGCAACTGGACTAAAGTACGTCGTTGTCCCATGGTTCAGTTACAATGCCTTGGTATCTCTGTTCATGCGTCGAGTCTTTTTACAACTGTTGAACAAAGTCCTACCTCAATCCTCGGAAGCCTCAGTCACCTCCTGGCGAAGTCTTGTGACAGGCATCTGGCCCCTTCGATTCCGTCACGCTCCCTTTGCGGCCTTTGGTACGGACACGTTTCTGGCTGTTTCTCCGGGTGGAATCATCCTGAACACAGCCGATGCCGACGTCGTTTCGCAAATCGCCGGTCGGGGAGATGACTTTCCAAAACCTATCGGCATATATCGAGCTGTCAGTATTTATGGCATGAATGTAGTCACTTCAGAGGGTGAAGAATGGCGCCATCACCGCCGACTTACTAGTCCCGCCTTCTGCGAAAGCAACAACCAACTTGTCTGGAGGGAAACCATTGATCGTACTCAAGCAATGCTGGTTCTGCTACTTGGCCGATACACATCTAGCAAGACTGTCCAGCATCTTGCAGACGATGTAATGAGACTGAGTTTGGAGATTATTGGCAATGCTGCTCTTGGTCAGAAGATATTGTGGCCCACTATCGAGGACGGAGAAGAACCAGAAACACAACACTTAAAGGCTGGGCACACCATGACTTTTTCTGCATCACTCGGATATATCACGACAAATATGATATTCATGGCGACGGCGTTAACAACTTTCCCTCTCTGGTTAATTAGTAAGTACTCGTTGGAGCGCTTGTCTAACTTGAGACTGATCATGTTAGAACGCATTCCATCTGCTCGTGTGAAGAAGCTTTACGAGGCTTACGATAACTGGAAGAGGTACATGCAAGACATGATTGCTGAAAGAAAGTTAGGCCTTCATTCAGAAAACGGATCCCCCCAGAACATCGATCTCATCGGACAGCTCGTCAAGGGTCAAGTCAAAAACAAAGCGAGTGCCCGAGGGGGCGTAACACAGCCGGGCCTCACAGACACCGAAGTCCTGGGAAACTTGTTTGTATTTATCGTTGCAGGGCATGAAACCTCTGCTAGCAGTCTGTATATGACAATTCTACTGTTGGCGCTTCATCCGCATGTCCAAAAGCATTTGCAGGAGGTATTAGAACATATTTTGCAAGGACGACCTCCATCCGAATGGGATTATGAGCAAGACCTACCTCCACTTATGAACTCCTTCCTCACTGCCGTCTGGAACGAAGAGTTACGTCTTGTGTCTCCGGTCTTGAGCATTCCAAAGGTTGTTGCTTCTTCACCCCAGGAAGTTCTCATCAACGGGAGATACACCATCCTACCACCAGATATGACAATTAGACTCTGGTACGTCAATATCACTTTCGGTTTCAAAGACAATTGAGAATCTAATCCCAGGGACACTCTTTCCGGAGAGGTCACCTCGGCTCTTTGATAGGTACGTAAAAGCACATACTAATTTGTCAATAGTGTTTCGGCAGTCCATGTGAACCCCAAATACTGGTCCCATGGGCCTCCTTCCGATCCAGCAAATCCAATATTCTGTCATGATAATCTTGATAACGACATGGAAGAGTTCAACCCTCATCGATGGATGAGGCCTGAAGCCTCGCCGCTTCCAACACCTGAGTGGGACAGCTTCAAGGACGGCTCAATGCCCAATACTCCAACATCCGGCACATCAAGCACCCAACGTTACAATCGGCTCCGCTTTCCCACCAAAGGTTCCTTCATCCCTTTCAGTGAGGGACAGCGCTCTTGTCTTGGCAAACGGTTCGCTCAGATCGAGATTCTAACTGCTCTAGCAGTCATCTTCTCGCAATATTCTGTCGAACTCGCAGTCGATGACTGGGCCAATGATGAAGAGGTGAAGAATATGACACGGGTGCAGAGACAAGAGACATGGAATAAAGCAGCAAAGAGGGCACGATATAATTGGCAGAACAAGTTGACTTGTGCCATCACGGTGCAGATGGCTTCTTCTGGTCATGTTCCTTTACGTTTTGTACTCAAGGGTCAAGAGAGGTTTTTTGACCTAGATTGATGCTATGATCTGCACTCTAAAGAAGGATCAATTCTATCTACTTTTCACAGTATGCATCCCTGATTCTTTGTGGGCCTTTGCGAGTCTCCCAGAATTTGAGGGTCATTGAGATTTTCCTAGATGTCGTCGATGTTCCAACGCCTCGCGACTCGGACAGAAACCAAGTCGACTGAATCCGTGCCTGAGATCATTGACGTATCAAATTCCCTCCCTCGCTCGTACTTTCTGGGCCAGTCCTGCGCGTTGCCTCGGAAGCAGCAGCACCTGGCGAAAATACCAAGTGGCACAGGTCTCTTGCCGTTCCTCCCGTCTATTTCTTATTCGCCAAGTCTTTCTGATCATTGCGGGATCATAGTCTCTCAGCTCTCTAGACATTTCATGTGGGACCGGATTGGCACTCGAAAACGAGAACCCTCTTTTTTAATCGGCTGCTTTCTTGTTTTGCGATACACAATAGAGACGCAGATAAGCGCCCTGTCAGCCACGGCAGCATCCGAATTTTCCGACACTTTGGAATTCTAGCTGCGTTGCTTGTGTAACTTTTTCTAAATCCTTCGCGTGGAAAGTAGTGTATGTGTCGTTCACATGGCGAGATCATTCCCCTCCTTCGCCAAGGCCTGCTTATCTTCCGCGCCGCATTTGTGCTTGTCATCTTGTCCAACAAATGCGGGCAGAACGTGGAGGAAGGGAACAAGTGTACGGTCCATCTTGTGGCGCAGCCATCTGACAACGTCTCGGTCCAACGTCCCGTTGTCATACAATACTCTATCGACGGGAAGGGCAAAGATAGGCGGTTGGGGTCCAGATCTCAGCCCTGGAAGCAAAGTAACTGCATGTCAGGTCCGGGGAAAATCCTCAACTTGCGAGCTGACGTGGGACGCTTGTGGCTTTTGAGTTTGGACTGCTCCTAAAGGCTGGTTCGGGTTTTAAGTGCATCTGGAGTCGTCGAATCTGAATTCCCATCTTACATTTGGCATCTTACCTATGGTGTTGGCCCCCAACCAAGCCTCGGGTCTACCTCGATCTACATCCTATCAATGACTTTCATCCTTCGTACCTCGCTTAGATAAATTCTGGGGTCCACGAACGTCGCTGAGCGAGGCTGAGATGACGGACGGCTCGAGTTGCTATTCGATTGTTTTCCGCACCTTGCATCTGACATACATTGAACTATATTGTTGCACGTCGATCGGTTCCTCCTTCCATTGCTGCTTTTGTATATGCATTTTCGGAGCCCAAAGCTATGGTTCCTGGTCCTGCAGAGACCGCTTCGAGGATGTTTGTTCAAGCCTCATTTGTCCCTGCGTACCAAGTTTGCACGTCGAGACTCCAGCCTTGCCGTCTCGTCCTTCCTCTCGATAAGAGTTGCATGGTTAGTATTTTTCTACGGAAAGAGCGGATTGGACTTTGGGACGGTACGCGCCCGTACTACTGATTTGGATGGGAAGAAGGAGAACTAGTCTCCTGTAATGGTTGCTACATACATGAACTGGACTTCTTGAGAATATGTTTCTCTGTCCATGAACAGAATGCTGACCGAAGGTGGTCGGCAGAGCGTATCAAGCCTGGTTTTTAGACTATTGATTTGGTTGGATTCTGTGTGGAACAAAAACGGGAAATCTCAAACGATACAGGTACTTCTACAATCTTCCCGAGCCGACATATCAGCTTGTTGGAAAGTGTTGGCTAATGCGTCGGCCACGATGGATCTCAAACCCAACCGACAGCAATATGGAAGACTCTATGTCACAATAGAAGCTAGAAGAATCCAACATTGAATCCTGCAGAGACTATTGAATCAAGCAGTGATGGGGCGTTCTCTTGGTTTTCTTCTTTCCGTCGTCCATCGGTCCGTTGCATGTTTCTGTGGCTGCATGTCTGAGTTCAGCACAGATCCATGAAACGTGATACGACACGATGAAAGAAACTGCGAAAGTGGACGCAATTCTTGAATGGAATTCTAATGACGATTGGATCAGGTGGAGGGTCAGGCCATTAGGAGATGTAAGTGGTCACAGCAGATCAAAGTTGGGCGAGAAGAAGCGCGACTTCCTTCTCCACCTCCAAGTGAAGTCAATAGCTACCTAGGCACCTACTCTTTTTGCAAGCGAACTTTCTGTTGCTGTAAGAAGGCAGTTTTACATTTGTCGCTTCCCTTCCTATGAATGACGGATGAAACAGCAGACGGGCCCGCGTCATGGTTGACATGAGCAGTCACAAGACCTAATTCACCATCCTCCTTAAGAGGCACCAACCACCTTCCCGTCTTCGGATATCTTCCTCTATCGTACCGTCTTCTTCTCAACATCCATGTTATTTCTGATTGTCGCCGATTCTGCAGACTTCTCACAGTAGCCACACGCAGACCTACACTTGTAATAGCCAGTATAATGGACAGCGCAAGTGTAACATCCATCCCAGAGCGTCCAAATTCGCTGGACGCACGCTCATCCCTCGCATCTCCCCTCACGCGTCAGTCTTCATATGAGTTTAATGCCGATGTCGTCGCGGTCCCTGTCCCACCTGGACTTGGTGACGTACTTGTAGTTGGAGGCTGTGGCTTTGTAAGTAGACAGCTTCTCTAAATGTTCAAGAGCCTGCTCCAAGCCATGCTATCCTTGAATAGTGAATGAACAACGCTGACTTTGTCTCTCAAACAGCTTGGCCATCATGTAGTAAAGCTGCTCCTTAAGGAGCCCACGGTCACCTCAGTCTCTGTGATGTGCCGTTCTCCATTCAAGAACAAATTCGATAATGTAAAGTACTACATTGGAGATGTCACCAAGCGTGACCACTGTCGTCACGTTGTCCAGCAAGTCAAACCGAACATTATCTTCAACACTGCTTCACCTCACGCATACAAAGACCATGAGCATGTGCCCGACATCTTCAAAGTCAACGTCGATGGCAACGTGAACCTACTTCAAGCCGCTTATGATGTCGGTACCGTCAAAGCCTACGTCTACACCTCATCTGGTCCCATCATTGCTGGCTCTGGTGGTGGCTATGATCATGCTGATGAGACACACCCCACTCTGGTTGTCCCACACACGAAGAAGGGAGATCCATATCACGTGGCCAAGGCCTTAGGCGACAAGATTGTTCTAGAAGCTAATGGCAAGAATGGTATCCGTACTTGCACTATTCGTCCTACTGCCCTCTATGGTGAAGGTGACGGCCAAATGGTTGGACCAGTTATCAAGGCTCTGGAAGATGGTCAAACAACCATATGGACTGGATACAATGACATTGATATGGACGTTGTTTATGTCGGACATGTCGCCATTGCTGAAGTTCAAGCCGCAAAGGGTCTTCTTGTGGAGATCAGTGATCCAAAGGCTCCCAAAGTCAGTGGCGAAGCTTTCAATATTACTGACGACCAACCATCACCTCCCCTTACCTTCTTCAGAAAATATTGGGCTCTGGCTGGGGACGAGACTCCATTGTCCAGTGTCTGGTACATTCATCCAACCTTGGTTCTCATCATGGCACATATCGCCGAGTGGATTGTCTGGGCTAGGACTTGGGGTAAGCTCCGTCCAGAGTCTTTGATCTTAGAGCGTATGGAATTCGTTCTTTTCACTCGGACCTACTCTATTAAGAAGGCCCGTGAGCGCCTCGGCTTCAAGCCTTGGGGAAATCAGCCATACGCAAGTCAGGATGAAGCTCTTAAGGGTGCTGTTGAGTGGTATCTTCGTCCTGAAAATCACGGTCCTGTCAAAATTGGCGGATCTCCATCCTGGTAAGTCTTCCTTGTCTGGCTATGCACCACTTCTAATCTTGTCACTAGGCCAGAGGTACCCTTCAGTTTGATTTCAAACACTGGAGCTCTTGACTTGCCCGCATCTAAGCAAGACCACTACTGCGTCAAAAATGCTCGCATCATGGCGCAGACACACAATACCATCTTCCGTGCACTCAACTCAATTTACCAACAAGCCCTGAGCATCAAGCCAGGCACCCAAGAAGCCATCGACATGCTCGCATACTGCGGCATTACCTATGACTTCATTCACCACCATCAGATTGGTGAAGAGTCAATCTACTTTCCAGAGATTGAGAAGGCCACGAAGATTCCAGGTCTCATGGAGGAGAATATTGCTCAACATCACTTCGTTGAGGATGGTCTTGAGCGACTTCGTAAGTATGCTGAGACTACGCGTCCAGAGGCATACAGTGGTGAAGAGCTTCGCCATATTATTGATGAGTTCTCTGGAGCTTATGAGCACCATCAACATGAGGAGATTAAGACTATCTTGAATCTTCACGATAAGATTGACTCCAAAGTCCTCAAGTCTATTGATTTGCGCATGCGCAAGGAGGCTGAGCGCCAAAGCGACATTTTCAAGTAGGCATAACCCAACTCAGCGTCTCCGAATGAACTGACAAGCATTCCAGGGCTGCCCCCTTCGTCTTAAGCTGCCAAGACAGGAACTTCAAGCTCGATGGCGAGATCCGTCCATTCCCGGGCATCTCCGCCCTCGTTCCCTACGTCGTCCACCTCTTCTTATCCAGTCGTCACGCTGGAGTCTGGCGCTTCGCCCCAAGTACTATGTATGCTCAACCTCGTCCTTCCCCCGCTCGCAAGAACGACGAGCCCACCAAAGCTGAATTGATTGCTCCGCCTAATGCCGGTATGCCAAAGGGATTCGACTTGACGGGTATTTTACCAAGCACTCCTGTCATTTTCGCTTTCTTGTTTGGTTTGCTGGCGTATGCTTTGTACTTTTAAACAGCTTGGTCTGCTTCCTTTCGTTAGTGGTTGTGTTCATATTCCTACAATACTTAGCATGGGCCGCGGTTTGGCGTCTTTACCTGTTTTTTATCGGAATACCTAGACACGCTCTTTAGAAAGAAATAAGGTCCTCGTCCGCAATTTATTTTACCACGAGCTTTTGGAGCAGGATTAGCAAGCTCTAGCTGCTTGGGGGTGGGGATATGGATCACTGATAGGACGGTCGCACATAACAGATTTTCTGCTTGGGCTTTTGGTGTACTGCGGTGCACCACAGAAAGCTTTCTGGGAAATCAGAGAATAGAAATTAATCCCTGTTTTTTTTTTTCAAACTCTGGAATACTTGATCCGTTGCTTCGTGACATTCGTGTGTTATATGAACGTTGTCTTTTAAGCATGATTTGAGAAAAGGTGAACACCCACAAACGACGAGGAGTCCGATGATTGAGGCAGGCTAATCACTACATGCAACATTTATAATGATCCCAAAGTCCCAGACTCTTGATCTGAAACCTTCGAGAGGTTCTCCATCCCCAACCCAGAGCTATGAACCACCAATCACAAACCAGCTATCAGAGCTCTTTCTACTTCGCTCCTCTTCTACTCCAAGATTCTTGCCAGAGGATGCTGATGTATCCTCTACCTGCATCTCAACAATAATCTCCGGAGGAGTCAAAACCCCAATCGGGCGCACACTATAATCGTCCGTCCACCAATCTCCTTCCGCTATATCCCGAATCAGCAAATTTCCTACGCAAAAGAATCTAATATGAAAGGAAAACTCACTCCGCCAAATATCAGGCCAGCACTGGTTCGTGATCCCGTCTCTGAGATGGATGTGGCCGAAGCAATTGTACCTGTTTCCAAAAGCGGTGATTTGGATGTTTGACTGCCCAGATGGTAAGTGGCCGAGGTCGAGAGTGTGAGGTTGCAAGGCTATGGCGCCGAGTTTCTGGTTGGCAGAGGTGTGGACTGTGAGGACTGGGGAGGAGAAGGGTGGGACATGGAGCGTGGTGGTTGATTTTGCTGTCTCTCCTGTGGGTGATGTAGGGATGTTGATACTACAGTTATAGGTGACGTTCCCGACGTAGAAGGGTAGAAGCTGCGTTGTGATGTCGCCCCATGATAGTGTCGATTTCTTGAGGGGAGTGAGACTTGGTCGGCCGCTTGGGCCTTTGAGATCTACACCAAAATCCCCAAGGAGATATACACGCTCGATGTTGGTGAGGATGCCGAACGGGAATGAGAGTTCGATGGAATTCTCCCCTTTGGTGATGATTTGAGGAGGGAGATCGATGGTTCGGATACTTTCGTCAACCCAGTAGTTCTCTGTCTTATCGATGGGAGAATCAGCACCCGGGTGAGGGATAGAAAGACCGTTTACAGTGATGTCCATCGTTTCAGGGTCTTCCAGGGCAAGCTTTGTAGTCTCTTTCAAGGTGAGATCCGAGTGGAACTTGAACATCAGCTTCACACTTCCGAGGGGCTTGCGTTCAGAAGCTGGGACAGCCCAGGGCTGTTTCCATGCTGCTCCTTTTCGTGGAATGTTCAAGCGGGAGCGAAGGATGTTGTCGATCCGAAGGACTTCCGTAGGTGACGACCAACCGTCGTTGTTGAGCTTGAACTGGGCATAATCGAGCATTAAGACATTGGGTTCGGAGAGCGTCATGCTATCTAATGACACTAGAACGGTCGTCCGAACGACATCCAATCTATCACTAGGGAATTTGATGAGTGCCAAAAGGTCACCTTTCGAGGGGTACAGCCGAAGTAGTAGGCTCGCACAGCCTTCAAAACGATATGGAAAAGATGTCCAGCCACCTTTGTACGAGCTGTGAACTAGGCTCTCGTTGCCGGACAGTGTGTCTAACTTCTCCACTTTCCAGGTACCTTTCAACTGAACAGTTGTCTGGTGAGCGTTATTTCGATCCGTGTTGCAGATAAATATGAAACGCTCATCGCCGTCTTGCCGGATCTGGTGGAGAAGCGTCTCAGCACGATTTCCCTGAACATCTGTGATCTTAATCTCTCGGTGTTGCTCGAGGGCACCAAGAATGGCCTGTTCGCTCCAATACACACTAGTACTGTTGTCAATAAATGGAGGAGAACTGGGGACCTGTGCGTCAATGAGGTCTGGCGCTGATCCGGCAATAATTACTTTTCCACCTCTCTTCGCCAAATCTCTGAGAACTTTGAGGGTAGTAAAACGGATTGTACGAAGATTGGGTACAATGACTACGTCGTACTGGCAATGTCCGACTTGCAAGTATTTTCCGTGCGGTTTGCGAGGCGACTGATTTGGTAGAAGACTCTCAGAGATAAAGTCGAAGTCAATCAAAGCATGGAGTAGCCAGTTTGTCAAATCTCCGAATGCTTGATCACGGCGTCCTAGCTCATCTCCACTTCCATTGGGTCCAAACGCCAGCCAGTAGCTCTCTATCGGATGAATGACTCCGACTCTGGTGACAGGTTTTCCTCGAGTCATGGCAACACCAACTCGAGCGAAATGAGTTTCGATATATCCGTATTCTTCATACCAAGGACTCTGGTACCCTATACAAGCAGGGTAATCTCTCTTGCCTTCACCGGCCATGCTCACCCAGCAGAGATGATGGACTCGAAATGTTATTCCAAGAGCGGCTTGCCAATCGCCGCAGCCTTTGTGACCTTCGAAAGTAAATGTCCAATGTGTGACACCATATAATTCACTCATAGAGCCTTTAGTACCATTTTGTCGAGATACACTTGAGACTTGCTTCGCAGTGTTGTACTCAATCCAATCGACTAGCAGATCCATGCCTGGCATGTCCATATTTCGGTAACATCGCATTGCTTCGCCAAGTGCCGTGGTTTGCGAGTGCAACGTCGGTTCCTCCATCATGTGGCCGTCCAGCATGAGATTATTTTTCCTGGCCCATTGAGATAACTGATCCATGAACGCTGACACAAATCGTTCGCAAACATGATCATGGTAGCGATATCGTGTCAAGCTAGGTCTACCATTTGGCAGATTCCAAATGACTTCTGGTAGGCCTTTGACCAGATCAGCCGAGTACTCTTCCTTGAACGTTTCGGGAATATCTGTTGTCCATGGAAGGAAAACATCATCCCCTGATTTGGGATTTGAGAGCTGAGTCTTGGTTGCGAATTGTGGCTCATCGGTAAATATGCAGGGAATAACGGTTCCAAACTTGTCTCCTACCTTGGACTTATACACTTCGTGGGTAGTCTCTATGAAGGTGGCAATTGCTGCTGGGCTTAGACTGTCGACATATGTCTGATCATTGAACCAAGGTGAGCTTGGATTCGTTTCCATGTACGCATACCAGACATTCTTTCCAGATTCGCCTTTCTTGAGGGCTCGGTACGACTTCAGACACCCGTTGTCGTCCACTTATTCGAGTCAGTACAAAATTATCTCGACTATCAAGATAGAATCTGCCATCCAGCGGATCTCTCGAAAGGATCTCAGGATTACCTACACTCTACATCGTAGGATGCCAAAAGCTTGCCATTTTCACTACGACAAGCTCTGGCTGATGACGAGGTCCGATCACTTATTGTGTTAGCTTCATTTTACATCAAGTGGGGCACTGCTTACCCTCCGAGAGGTATTGTTCCATATAGATGAGGAGTAAATAAAATGTGTTTTCCTTTGTTGTTCGGGTCTTGCTCGATAACTTTTCCTCCAGCAGCACCCGAAGGCCAACGGTCATCGTCATAACTTTTCAGAGTGAGTTGAGATTCAGAAGCATGGCAACCAAGCTTACAGGCAGGCAAGCATTTCTTGCTTTTCAGCATGCTCAACGCAAGCACTGATCATGTCCATGAATTCACTGCCCATATATTCGGTGTCAAGACCGGTCCGAACATGTGCATGAAAACCCCCCATCCCCATGTCTTTGAAGTTATCAATCTATATAAAGTTAGAAAAGAGGCATCAGAAGGGCTAGCAGAAGCCCTGTTTCTAAATAGATGGGGTAAGAAAGGAAGTAGTTTTACTTGTCGAAGCAATTGCTCTTTATCAAGCTTCGTATTCCATGCCCAGAAGGGGGCACCTCGGTATTCCGAAGTTGGAGTTTTAAATAATTCATAGCTGAATCTCTCTGAGCTCTTAGGATATGATAGTGGGTTCGGAGGTTTCTTCTGAGCCAGCTCAGGTTGGCTTGGAGCTCTCGCAGGAAGCAAAGACACCAGGTAATCCATTCTGAGACAGATAAAGGGTGACAATCAGGCCTTGTTCAATAGACTATCAATATCAGATGAAGTGCATTGTAGTTGAGCTTGGAGCGGTTCACACGCATGGATGTTTCAGGTCATGACGAGACGTCACGTGCTGTCCAAACACGGGTTGAAGCCGTCGCGTTAATCCTTCTCGAGATGCGCGTCGAATGATCAAATACCCTGCAGCAACCGCCATCAACATCGACGTTTTGCTCATGATGGCTTGTATGTAAATCAAGATGATACCCAGTACTCTGCTAATACATGACAGCGCGAGAAGAGCGCATGCAACAGCGTCTACGTGGAGCACAGTAAGGCGAATCTACTACCCCACATCATCAATTATTGCTAATCATGAAGCAGACGGCGACAAGTCAAAGATGTTGACTTTGGTTTGGTCTTCCCGGGCGCTGCTCCAGAGCCAGAATCGGAACCTCCTGCTACACTCGAATCTCCACAACTTGAACTGCCTCAATCCGAACCACTCCCACAGCTATCCAGCCGCAGAACGCCTGCCAGTCGTCAACGAGCATCGAATGCAGCTATTGCACAAGAGATAAGCAGACCACCAGGATCTCATAGCACGATTGATGCAAATACATCCGCGAAGCGACGCAAATTAGACACAGATGATACACCTGTTTCTTCTGCTCGAAGCACTCGATCGCGTCCTGCGCCACGACCCGATGTTTATACATTGAGGGATGATCCGCAAGATGAGACTGCGCTTGATATGCTTCTGGATACTACAAATGACTCTGTTACAAGAGAACCAGTGTACACTCCTCTTGTGGAACAAGCTCTTGTCGCAGGAACTCCAGCTACACGTTCTAGAGCCAAAACTCCTCTGTTACAAAGCCAGGTCGTTGACGAGGTCACCGAAAGCCCGAAGGATGCCCCAGGTAGTGGACAGAGGGTACATACTGGTGGTAACAATGCAGGGACTTCAAGTTCGCGCCGTCAAAGCATACAGGGCGACAGTACCATCCAAACAGAGTCAGAAACTCCCATCCGGCAGAAGAAACGAAAGCGGCCAGTGTCTCATCCGCGACCCTCACCCAGAAATACTAGACGATCACTCCAAAACCAAGTGCTACAAGATACGTCTCTTGAGCTCGATGAGTTGTCGCCAGAACAAACAACTCGACATACACTAGCACCAGAACTTGAATCGGAAGCACCAATGTCCGAAGATGAACCTCTAGAAGAAGAACCAGAGGAAGCCGAAGCTATTAGCGATGAACAGGCTGCTATGGTTCTAAAGAAAAACAAGGGCCGGAGAATATCTAGGGGAGTTCCTAATGTTCCTGCGGATGCCAGCGAGCAGATATCTTCACCAATGGCAAAGAAACGACGAGGAAAACAACGTAAAGATTTGAGTCCTGTTCAGCAGCGACATGCTAAACAGGCTCCTCCGAAAACGAAGCAAGCCAAGGCTATCAAGAAAGTCCGCCTTGGCAGTCCAATTCCTATCACTATTCATCGATTCACAAATCCTCTAGTATACGATGACGATGAAGCGGACGCGGATATCCTCAACTCAGAGATTCCACAAGCCAAGCGGCCCGGTGTGAACACTATAGATGTTCTGAGTGAAGTTTGTGGAGAGGTCGTGGCGGCTGCTTTGCAGACTCTCGACGAGGGTGGTACCGCCTGTGATGATGCTGCTTTACGTCGCGAGTACAAGATCAAATGGCAAGCTGTAGCTGCTTTTGGGAAGGAAATACAGACACGTTTACTGGAACATGTACGTTATTCCAACAATGAACATTCTGATGGATTTCACTAATTCAACCTCCAGACTATCAATCTAGATAACGGATACTCGCTCGAAAGACGACTTCGAGATGAGCAAAAAAAGAAGCTTCGTCTTCGAGACGAGATTCTGCGCATCCGAGCCGAGCGGGAACAAGTAGCTCTGCATATGGACGAAGTCCGAATCAAGCACGAGAATGCGAAGATGGATGCTCAAGTTCGTACCCATTCTTTTCTCCCCTACTATCTGTGCAAACGCTTCTCTTCATGCTAACAGTCAAATTCCAGAAGCGAGATGACCTCAATGCCAATGTTCATGACATCGAGATGGCGATCGACCTGGGCAAGCAGAAACAACATGACGAGGCCGAACAATCGACCGAAATGGTTGGCACAGAAGTGCTTCTCAAACGAGTGGCCGGAGAAGTCAGTAACAAGAGTGACTCCGGAGGACTACTGAGGCAGATCAAGGACTTTAATGCGTTTTTGGAACGAGCTGCATTAGCGTTGGAAGGCAAAATGGTTTGAGGGCGACACTATACCCCTGAAATGAGTTTATGGTAACCAATACGTCTACATTCCAGGCTTGCAGACTGGTCTATTAGGACATAATCACATAGTATCATCCGTTTGCAGCCCTTTGGGGTATATATCCCTGCTCCTATCTTCAGATGAAAGGACGACACTCAAGTCTTACATCATGTCTAACAGGTCTGACAAATGTTGCAAGATTTTCTTTGTGGGAACCTAGCCGAAAGCCAACCGCTGCCACACACTGTTGCTCAAGTGAGTCCTAGGGTTGTTGCCCAAACATGTTGGAAAACCCCCCTTCTGGCACTTATTCCAAAGTTTTGTCAGGTAGTTCTTGTTCTGAACACTCCCACCTCCTTACTAGTAGAGTCGATACCAGAATTTCACGCTCGATCTCGACAAAGGGACGCGTTCTCGGCCTTCGTTTGTTCAAGCTGGTGTTTGAGAACTCCAATTTCGGTACTCAATTCCAACAATTGGAATCTCAGCAACTTCGATACTTCTTCCGCAGCAATAGCTCTTTCCTCGAATCTCTGTCTCTCCTCCAACCGTCTTTCTCTATAAATCCGCTGCGAATTTCTATTTTGAGTTCTCCGCCGCTGTAGAGCGTCAGCCCATGATTGGCAATCTTTTTTTGCCAGCATGGTCTTACATGGATACGATTCATGATGGGATCTCTTCCACTGCTATATGCAACTCTTGGTCTGCCCTTTCCTTTCTCGCCGCTGTCGTCTATATTGATGGAGCTTGTTGGCTCGTTGATCGTGGTGCTTTGATACGAGTCGTCTGTGCCGGAATAAGAGCCGTTGCGCTGATGGGGAATCTCTTCAAAATACTGTTCATGCTCAGCGCCATTCTGATATCATATGCACAGGTTCGGCTTACGTTGGGATCAGGATAGTAATCATTCCAATCCACGCCACTGTCTTCGGTATCCATGAACGCCCCACGCTGTTCTGCACCAACTTCTGCATTGTTGAACTGATCAGGGAGCCACTCGAAAAAGTCCATGTTGCCGGCAGCTACGTTGAATTTCCTGGTACTTCATGGCTATGAGCTAATCTCGAGAGTTATGCCCCCTTATATCGAGGACGAAAACCTCTGTTCCACTGACGGACCGTATATCGCGTTATCCAAAATAAGTAAATCGCAAAGTTCGAACTCCAACGTCTTCTTAGTCATGATGGTAGGAGGGAAGATACGTGACCACACCTCTCGGGAATCTTCAACAAGTGGATCAAGAATGTATGCAACGTGCTTTCTTTGCATACCAGATTATGTAAGTCGATCTCCTTTATCATTGGATTCGCATTTGCTGGACGCCGAAGGGTTGTTAACTCGATCAGGAAATTGGCTGGGGTGCAATGACCCAAAAGGTCAAGCTCCGGGTAGTAAGCACATCAGCTCGCTTTATTGGATGCGCGTAATTTAGGCTCTGCAAGAACCATGATGCTTTCGAGCTGACTTCGGTGCACGGAAAAATGATAAACGCCTAGAACGCCTGGAACGCTTTGGGGATACGCTCATCCAGGCTAGAAGCGGCTCTTTCGTTGCTGCTACTAACTGATCGGTCAATTCGTCTATCCGATGCTCCGACATCGAGCCTTGAATGTCTTGTCTGCGAGTTGCTTCAAGAGGACTGGTGCAGTGAAAAACGTTTCAGCTTGTCGGCCGCTTGTCATGATGCCGTGAGCGTCCTGTCTATTCCTTTCTTTATATCCCCATTGATTAGAACAGTTTTACTAAGTAGCAAGCAGCTTGAACTTTAGTCTACCAAGCAGTAGTACGAAAACACCATTGAACAATACTCAATTCCTGAACCACAGTGACAGCAGATCATCGAGGCTTTGGATTTCTAAAGGCCTTGGCTCCAGGAAATTCCACTTACTCAAACTTCCACATATAGTTGAATTGTTGAACTCCTATGATGAATAATCAAAAGAGGAAGGGTAGAAATGGGGGTGAAACAACTTTTAAGATGTTTCAACCCACGAGCCGCAGTGAGTCAGTCTTGATTTAGACTTTCAGTGCAGAACTGACACCTGCTCCAGCATTCAATCAGTATGCAGCCCTTTGACTTGCATGTTTCAGCCCATTCTAACTTTGTCCGTCAGAGGCCCAGCAGATGTAGCACAGCCCAGCGTCTCCAATTTTGAATTCATAAATACTGAAGGATCCAAACCTAAGGCTCCTCCAAGTGCACGCCGTGCAGCTCGTGTGCATGTAATGCGTAGGTACCACAACGAGAAACGCAATAAGAACAATCCCACTCCTGCATCTCGCCAAGGAGAAACTACTCCACAACCACTGATATTGCCTCTGCGGAGCTCTCCCCGCCTTTTAACGACTCCACAACCAGCGGCTCCATTTGGTACAACGCAGGAACAACGTTCAATCGAGTCAGAGCTATCGCAGAGAATCGTAATTCCAGCTCTCTGGAGAGGGTGGTGTCAAGGATGTCTGAAATTAATACCACCGAATCATCGTTGGTTGGTACCTGAAGCTTCCCTTTTGGGGCAATGCACCTGCATGCACCCATCAATCCCACATGGACTAGAGCCAGCGCCTCAGAGCTCGTTCCCAGTTGATCCAAAGTTAGTCACGTTGCTTCAATTCTGTAAGTAGTCATTACTTGGATATTTTCCCGCCCTATCGCGCCGTCGAAAATTTACCTTGCCTTTGAGTCGTCTGAATAGTGCTAATTGCTTCACCACAGCCATCAGTGGTGTGGCTCGGGCTATCGTGCCTATGGGTTTACAGGGAGAAACCTCTTGGTTCGCACAAGCATTGAAAGAGCCGGCATGTTTTCATGGGACACTTCTCCTCGGTGTTACATTCAATGCTCTTCTCAGGAACTTCACAACGATGCCACCGGAATGCTTCTATCATTACGATGAAGCTATAAAATACACTAGCGCCAAGATTGAGAAGGCAGATGATCAGCTGGAAGAAGGGACTGTTGCAGCTGTAGCCTGTTTGGCAGCTTTTGAGGTTCGCTGTCCAATCCCTGGAAATGAGTGACTTAAGCTGATATAATTTGTAGACCGTCATCAATCACAACAATACCAGCGAATCGGTGCATCTGAACGGACTTGAGAAAGTCATAAACTTGCGAAGATCTCGTCTATTACTTGGGTTGTCTGATTATCTGCAGAAGTTTATTTCGTGGTAAGTTTTACAATCGCGATATTGTCATGTGTTCATAGGCATGCAATACAAAATATTAGCGAGAGTTATGACTGCGGACTTCCACTGACTTTCAAAGGGTCGATACATGTCATGCGGTAGCTAATATAACTCGTCCACGCTTTCTGTCAATTCAGATGAACAAAACTATACCCCTGAATCCGACTTTCGAGCAGGAAGATGTAGTCAAGAATTGCATAGAGAAAGAGTGGGGTCCAGAGTTCCCCTTGACTGACATCAAGATGTATGAAGGGATGGACTCCTCCATGGCAATTCTCTTTCACCGACTCCGTCAACTCTGCGCCCTCGCTACTCGCTATTGCGGAATGAAACTTGATCCTGTTCACCAAAGACAATTTACCGAGGGCTTGTTGATACTCGAACGCCAAGTCGTTACAAGCATCTGGAGCATGTCGTCCAACAATCGCCGTCAGCGGGGAGAGGACAACTCTGTGAAAGCATGTGCTCGTTCGGTAAGCAGGAGACCTCTTTACTCACGTATTTACTCAGATCACTACGCTTTGACACTTCTTTCGGGCTCCTTCCCTTCGCTTTATACACCTGATCTCACATCAAGATCAACACAACGCTGACTTCCTGTAGTGGCATAGCTCTGTCCTCACTTTTATCCATGTCTTTCTCAGACACACTGCTCCAAGTGCCTGGAGGGTTACTGTTGACAAAGTCGCAGCGAGGGTCAGATACTCTTTAAGGATTCTCTCGCCCACAGAGTTATGGGTCAACTTTCCTCCCAAATTGTTGCTCTGGGTATTGGTCGTTGCTGGTGTTGCTGCAGCTGATCATCCTGCCAGGAAGTGGCTGATGGTGTTGTTGAGTCAACTAAGGGCCGGTCAAGGATTAGCAAATTGGGATGAAGCACTACTGATATTGAAGGAGTATGCGTGGGTAGACGAATTCTGCACAGAACCGTGCAAGAAGTTCTTTGAAGAGTCTACTTTTGGCATTGAGACCGACGAGAGACAGCAACAGGGGACAGCATTCACAGAAGAGCTTCCACCCGATGTTCTGGAGAGATGTACGAAGAAATGCTATCCTTTGGGCTGCGTTCCTGAGAACGAGTTTTGTGACAAATAATGTACATCCTGGGCATCTAGCATCTTAGCATTCGAAGTGGATACAAGGCGTTGGATTTTAGCTTACACAATCACAAACCAATCTCCCTCTCTTCATCCACCTCATCTCCGTGCTCCACCACCACCGCATCTCCGTCACCACCACCGATATCACCAGCCTCCTCCCCAGACTCTCCACCCTCACCCCCGCTCACACCCGAAGTGTCCATCTCCGTCCCAGCTCCGCCGACCATATATGGTCCCGTTCCTTGTCCCTCTCGTGGCTTGGTGATTCGATAAAAAACCTCCTTGCCAATTGCCACCAAGACCAAAGTCCCAAAAACCACGCCGACAATGAGACCGGCGAGGGCTCCATAGGCCTGAACAATAGCTGTTAGTATTCAAAGTTGCGCAGGAGACTCCAGAGAACTTACGAATTCAACCATTATTGTGATGTTGGAGATTGTGATTGGTTGAATGTTTATGTGTGTATTTGTGAATTTTGAGTCTGCAATTGGTCTTGCGTTTGTTTACGTTCGGAAATCCTGCTCGGAACGTAATGTAAACGAAGGGGGTGGCTCGCTACCCCTTTCGGTGCACGTGACGCCACATTCAAGGCCGCCACTACTGACAATAGCTCAGGCTGCGATGTGTTTATTGTCGGAGGCAGGCATGGAAACCTTGATGCTGTAATGTCTTCATCTCATTTTCGTAATCATGAATAGACTTCGCTTTCCCTCATCTCTGACCCCGTTATCTCTTGCATACGGCATCTCCACTGTCCACGACGAGCAGCATCATCTCCTAATGGGTCTACTTGATTTCATAGCTCGCCATTCTACGGACACTGCTGACAGCACAGAATGTATTGTTTTCAAGATTGCAATTGTCTATCATCAGCTCCCACAGTATTCTCACAACTCGTTTGGCTCATAACATCACCACTCCTCCAACCTCTCACACCATCAGTCATTCAAGCCCGGTTCCTAGCATGAAACCTCCAAAAGCTCCATAAATTCCCACCCAGGGTTAACAAGCCGCCCGATGCAATCGCAAACTCCTTGCTCCTCCTTTCCGATAAACCCAGGCAGTTGTAGAGCTGATCAAATGCAAAGATGAGTGCAAGAGCAATGCAGAAACCTACAATGAAGCACAAGGACAGGAACTATGATATAGTTAGTTGATCCAAGCACCTCAATGATGGAGGAGGGAAATGGCTTACAGTTTTCAAGACCAGATTCTTGGTGAAGGCATGGCCAGCTTCGTCTCTTCCTCTGGGTGGCTGGGCTCGTGTCCGTATCGCTCGACCGTTTACGGTATGGAGTGGATTCTGCATTGCTTTTGATTTGATTTGAAATGATTATCACGGCGAGAGGTTGAAGTGTTATATAATTTTAAAACTGAGCTGAACATGTCCATGTCCTCCTCTTTCACTGTATCCTTTGTGCTGCTGTAGATGGGATTGCATTGCACAGAAGCTACTAATGGACTATTCTTTGTAGATGTGTGTTTGTTTTCTGCTAGTAAATAAAGCGAGCATTCATGTCAATTACAATATCGGTCCCAAAACCAAGTTTTTGACACCTTTCGTTCCTCATTGGCACTCGGACTGCTCCCAGATGGCCCTCGATGCCATGCTTCCTTCAAGATCTTACAGACATCCTTTTTAGCCCCATCAGCCCGCTTTTGTAGGATCCATGCAATTCGCAAGAGAATGGGCAAGCCCGCTACCACCAGTAGTGCTGCTGCGCATGGTACCAAAACCCCACGAAAAGAATTAAAGTCATAGTAAATGTAGCACGCAATTCCATCAAAGACAGCCACCCAGCAGATTAACAAAGCGAGGAGAACTGCGCAAAAACTTCTTTCTTGGACCTAAAGTCAAAGGTTAGCAAATTCAAATTCAACTGTTATAAGGTTGAAACGTATCTAGCAATAGTAACTCCTCAATGGGTAGCGGCATGGTTCTGGTGGGCATGGTTGTGGTAACTTCTGGACTCGGTTACCAGGGCATATGACTTTCTGGGTGTCAGTGCTGCTTTGTCCTCTTTCCTTTGGATTTGAAGAAGCAAGAAATTGGAAATTGGCAACGTGCGGCAGATTTAGGAGTTGATGGAATCTTCAAGCACCATCACACAAGCAAGGGAAAATTCTTCGACGTTCTAGTCTAAATTTCCATTCCCAACAAGCATATTCTAGGCCCTTACTCTTGAGATTAAAGATCTGAATGTCACTTCCAGGTAGCAGAGAATCTGGGAAACTATGGGAAACATCATATCTGAGTAGCCGTGACTATGTCATCTTGTTGTCCTCTGAAAATGAGTAGACTCTATGATCCACCAATGGAATCTCAAATCACACCGACAGATACACATCTGAAAGAAGTTATGTTCAGGTGCATTCCTATTGGCATAGGTTACACCATAATTGCCTCACTCTTACTTTCACCATCACTTTCAACTCCCTTTCCCCAAACTTTCGCTTCAACACCCCCAACACCCATGTCTCACCCTCCTTCCAAGTCTCTAGTCCCATATTTTTCTTCCGAAGTCCGAGTCTACATCCAATACCTCCCACCCGTCAGCCAAATGTGCAACATCCACCCAACAATCGCAACCCGAAGCCAGTACCCGATAATCAAAAGCACCAACCGAAGCTCTCCCGGCAAGAACCGCCAGCAGTAGACCATTTGGATCATCATGGTGTTGAGACAGAAGAAGCAAGCGGCGCGGACAAGCTGGTAATGGAGAAGAGTGCCGGTGAGTGGGGTTGGACCTGGCTGCTGTTTGAGATTAGCTGGGAGTTGGGTCGATCTGGGCGAGTGCTTACTCTTCTTGGCATGATGAGTGATGAAAGAGGAGATCGGGGTGGAGTTTTCGTCCGGTTGAGGAGTGTAGTTGTCAGGGACTGGAAGGTTGTTGTTCGATTAGAGATTGAGCCGAGCGATCTTATGGTAGTCGAAGTGTTTGGAAAAGCTCACTATTGGTATAGATAATAGACGAGTAAAAGCATGTTTGTCAAAGGCTACTCTTCTTCCGGCTTCGGCGGCCGCCTCACCACAACGATACTTAGGTAAGTTTTGCTCCTTCTGGCTACAGTATAGGCTCTGTCGCATATTCCGAGATCTTATTTATGAAAAGAAATAGGAGACGTGGCAAGGCAGAAGGCTGTGAAAGAGGGTAGACGGATAGTCTATCTGTGTGTGGGCCAGATGTAGCAGATTCTCTAGATGCTTGCATGTATGCAATACTATGGCGGAGACGCTCCTCTCTCTCCTCTTGTATGGCTAAGTCGGAACTAAGAGAAATAACATATTGAAGGCAAAGCCAATGAACATTATTCTCTAGTCTACAAGAGTCCCTGATTTCTGCAGAGCACATATCAGAATCCAAAGTCATTCACTGGAGACGGACATTTTGAAAGAATTGTGCTAAAATTTGAAGACAGAAACTCTCCATCTCAAAAGTCGGTCACCAAACTCAGCAGCCACCAGCCTTTCACCTTCGAAATATCTGTCCCAACTTCCAAATCCAATATACTACCCATCCCCTCCCTCTACCTTCCTCTCAAACCACCCCTCCCCAACTTCAAGCACACCAACCCCACCGTCGCAACGCAAGCCACTATCCCATCTGTATTTCGTTCCTTGATATACTTTCTCAGCTGGACCGAGGCGAAGACCACAAGGCCGATGCCGAGGAGTTTGGTTGTGTTTGTGTGAGGCTGTGACGGTTAGTCGGTCTCGAAGAAAAGAGAGAAGAGAGTGGAGGGTACTTTTCGTGGCATTTTTTGATTTGGATGGGATGGAGATTTTAGGTGAGAGGGAAGTTTGTTGTTAAGGTATTGATTGTCGTTGAGAGGGGTTTTGTTACTGTTATTGATGAGGGATTTTTTTTGAAAGGCTTACATGTCTAGGGCGTTCTTTGAGATCATGAGGTTATGTAGTGTATGCATGGTCACAAACAAAATTCAAAGGCTAGGGCATCGAGTCAGGCCAACAGCATCTGCAGCTGTTGACTTAATGACCATAAAAGTGTTCAGTCTAGTTGTGACCATAAAGGGAAAGAGGCTATTTCTCGTCTTTAAGCGAGATGAGGAAATGTACCTATGTAGGATTGGAGCTGTCACGTCATTGCAGCTATTCACTTGAAGTGATTAGTTCTGATATAAGAAAATGTTTGTTGTAGTGATGCAAGACCTGAAATGAATGATGAAGAGCCTTTGATAAAACAGCTATTTGTTCACTGACCGGTATAGTCCAACACAAGGATAGTGATTTTGAGCTTCATAAACTCCGTTCTTGGTAGGCCAGCAAGAGGTCTTTCTTCTTAGAAATGAAGTCCACCACCATTGTCCCAAAGGCTTTAACAGATCTTCTACTTCAAAGTATCTGTCCTCTGCAAGCACGTTTACCCTACCTAAAACCCTAAGCAAACACCAGACTTTCATACTATGAAGATCTGTATCCCGCAACCTCACATTAAATGCCGAGAAGTCTTTCCAAAGGCAAATGTATGTGCCCATAATAAAGATCAAATCGAAGAAAGACATCTATAACCTTCAGATAAGATCAATGATCTCTATATATATCAAACCTAAGCCCTCCCCTCTTTTCCCCCTCCTACCTATTCCTTAGCCCCACAATGGCACCCCACCTCCACCACCGCGACGACACCTCCAACACACCGCCCTCAAATTCCAGCACCGCCCTCCCTGTACCCCTCATCGTATTCCTCGTTTTCCTCGGCATCTTCTTGGTGTGTGGCTTCATCCTGGAGATGGGGATGTATCGTTGGCTATTACGCGCTACTCCGACCACGAACGGCCATGCCATCCTCCCATCTACGCAAAGATCCCTTTTAGCACGGCTTACGGCTCATCAGCCGGCGGTCCAGCTTGAGGACCAAGTCCCGGTCCAAGATGAAGATCACGTCCAGCCTCGAGCCGAGAGCAGAGTACCAGAAAGAGGAAGGCCAAGACAAAGAGAAGGTTCACCTTCTCCCCCTGAACCGGAATCCCAGTCCAACGATCTTGGACCATTATCTTTCGAACCAGAAGAAAGAACGAGAATAGCGCACCATATATCGAACGCAGAGCGGGCTTTCGAGGCACTGAGAGGGGTTAGACTGCAGGTTGCTGATCCCGAGAGGTACACCGAGGCGTCCAGGATCAGGATTAGTGTTGGAGGAGGGAGTGATAGGCCTGAAGTTTTGACTGCTGTGAGGCCGATGGGGGAGGGTAAGGGGAGGAAAGTGGAGGAGGGGAAGAGGCATGAGTTGAGGGATGGGGATGGGGAGTGGGTTGATGTTGATGGGGAGAGGGATGATGTTTTGGAGGGGAGTGTGCTTGCTTTTAAGGCTGCGCAGGTATTGAGGGAGAAGGAACGGAGGGAGAGGAGGGTCAGTGGGGAGAGGAAGGAGAGTAGGGGGTTTGAAGAGAGGGTGGAGGGGGGTAGAGTGAGTAGTGGTGCGAGTACGAGGACTGTGGTTAGGGCTGGGATGAGTTCAAAAGATAGAGAAAGAGCGAGGGAGAAGGCGTATCAGAATATGGGTGTGTTGGGCAGTGTATCTGGAAATGGGAGGAAGACAAGCAGGGTAGAGGAAGGAAAGAAGAAGATTGCAGTGGATGATTATGAGTCGGAGATGTTTTGATGGTGGGGGATAGAGACAAGGTGGAATGTGCAGCAAGGTTTGAGGAAGCATTACATTGTTAAAAAATGTTGCCCAATGGTCAAAGCATTTGTTTTGTCAAAATAAAAGCAAAGAACTTGAGATAGGTAAAGGCATTCCTCGGAAAATCCCGAAGACTTTGTAAGATACCAAGTCCCTCAATGTCTCTACCTAAAAAATGAAATCAACGCGAATAAAATCTTCCAGGAACATCGCAACTCTTGGTAACACACCAGAAAGCAAGACTAGGCATTGTGCTTCTCTAGGCACCGACATTAACACTAGTCTCAATGTCCCAACATATTCCAGTCCTCCGAACGATATTGTTCCTCAATATCACAACGCTCACGATCTCACAGGATCTGGAGCCGCTCAAGAGCACTTCTCTACCAACCTCAAAATCTCAAAGCACGTCCTTCCTTCACCCCTTCATCGACATACGATATACAACAAAAGTATTTCTAATGCCCCAGCAAATCCCACTCTTTCGGCCGTCTAAAAGCACTTGCTTTTCCCGTCTCAACATCTCAAGCACGTCTTTGCTTCACCCTCTTAACGCTATGCGATGTGCAACAAAAGGATTCAATGTCCCACCACATTCCAGTCTTTCAAGCAATATTGTCCCTCCACAAGACCGCACTCGCGCCCCAACAGGATCCGAACCGCTGTCTACTGTAGGAGCACTTACTCTTCAACTCGCGTCACTCCAAGCATCACAAAATCACACCACACCTCTTGCGTAAAAATCGTCATAAATTCTCAACTAACCAACCTACTCTCCCTCCTCCGTTTCCTCCACGCCTTAAACTCCTTCAATACCCCCATCACAAGCGGGACACCCACTGGTCCCAACAGCGGCAAATAAACCGCAACCTTGTGCTCGTCTGGAAAGTAGACCATAGCCACCATACTCTTCTCGAAGAAAGCTTTCTCTGCCGCTTCTTCTGCTATCCTGGCATTTTCTAACCCTTCTTTGCCGCCTAGGCCATCGCACGCTTTTCGGAGGTGGGAGATGGTTGTGTAGACTCCGTCTGCGACGCTGCGGGGGATGCTGATACTTGGGAGGTTGAGGGTTAGTCGGGCGAGACTGCCCATGGTGCCGCTGGCTTTGAGGAGGAGGCCTAGACTTCGGACTCGGACTAATGTCATTAGGCGTAGTGGGAGAGATCCAGCTTCTGGTGCGCCGAGGAGGGACATCAGTTGGTTGGAGAAGATCAACATTGCTGGTCGTAGGTCTGACATATCGGATTGAATAACCACACCACCCCATTGTGGGATCAACCAACTCTTGCCACCCCCTTCAACTTCCATGTCGCCGACGTAAAGGATAAAATTCACAGTAGGAGCACCTCCGATGCTGGGACTCAGAGGCCATTCCGCTGCATTGATAAACCCACTTAGATCTTCCTTCTTCAGCACATTACCGCTAACGCCAGGCGTAGCATACAGCTGAACCTGAGTATCAATTGTGAAGTTGCTGATCTCCGAGAAGCTTGCTAGGAGAGGCTTCATGTGTTCTTCCAACGCAGCTTCAATGTCCCAACTCGAAGGAGTGGCTGTCGGTGTGAAAAGAGAAAAGGTAATGTGATATGTTCGGGAGTATTTCATGGATCGAGTTGTCCATTTCGCAAGAGATTCGGCAACATCTGGGGAGAGTGCTTTAGGGCTTCGCTCTGGTGGAGCAGAACTGGTAGACAGAAGGTAGGCAATCATAGCCTGTTCTTCAGCAAATAAGCCTCGAAGTGTGTTTGCGATGTAATTGGCTAGTGAAGAGGCGGAGGAGGAGCTCGAGGGAATCTGGTTTGGGGTATAATAAATATCGAGAATGGGCGAGTATGCTTGCAAATCTGCTTGTGTGGTTGTGCCTGGTAATAATCTGATCGTAAGAGCGACCTCCTCCTCCTCTGCAACACCGGCAGAGAGGCCTGTTATACTGATAGAGGCATTGGCGGGTTGGGAAAGTTGCAGTCGTAAGTGATGCGCCGAGAATTCGTTCAAGTCATCTAATGCATGCTGGGTCGTTCGCAGAAGATGCTGAGCTTCGTGATCCTGCAGAGACTCCGCTTCAATCGATATGCGCAATGGAAAGACAGGCCGACATGCCTATGGCTATTAGCAGAAGCCTGTATTTTGATTTTGAACTACCAAAGCATACTTTTCCATCGGCCCATTCCATCATCTGGTCCATAGGCAAGCTTGCCCGGTATATTGTCGTCGTTCTCCACCATATTGGCAGTCCCACCAGTATAATTATGGCCCAGAAGGAAGCAATAACAAGAGATCGCAATCGAATGCTCTCTGGGGATTCAGGAGGTGGCTCCTTTTTCTTCGGCGCGATGTGGACGGCATTGGACGGAGCCTCTGAGCTTCCTTCAGCTTCCAGAGGGTTGGGAACTTCGTCTTCAGTCGGTGCTGACATGGCGAGACTGAAGTTGTCGCATTGGTTAATCGACAGCTGTTCAATAAAGAGTTTTGTTGGAGATGCGACGCGGACGCGATAGCGATAGCGATCACGGAAGTTCCCAATGAGCTTGCCGATCGTTGGCGCTTGACGAGTGAGGCTGATTTGGGCCAGCGAGACTCGCGGCTGAGGAAGCGATGACGATGACCCCTGCTGTGCCGTGCCCGGCCGGCCGCTTGCTGATAATGCACCGTGTCATCATCGTTACCAGAGAGATGCGCTTGATGCGAAAAGTCCAAATTCGAAGAATGTTGAATTAATTGGTTATTCTGATATCACGTTATGTGAATGAATGTATTTTGAACAGCAATAATACAAATAAACAGCTCCTCTTTTCCATTCTACCCCACGTTAAGCATACCCTATCGAGCCATAGTCTGGCTGCGGAATGCGGGGAGATTTGCTGGTGTGGCGTTCGCATATTAGTCCGTACCGAGGTTCGCAAGCATAGCAGAAATAGCGGAATTTGGAATCTGTAGTCCATTCAACAAACATATCTCACCCAATCTCAGGAGTCGGAGCAGGAACAGGGTCAGACGGCGCGGGATGGACGCCTCTGCTCTGCTCTGCTCCTGCTGATGCCTTTTTCTTATCTGTCATGCTGTCCCTGTTCCTGATTTACTACTTATGTGTTTTCTCTTTCTCCTCTCTTCCCCATAATATAGAAGAAAGCATTTACACGGACCATCCCATATCGCTTATCTCACGAACAATTCGGTCGCTGAGACACTTCACTGCGAACCTCTTTCTCCATCGTACACACAAATCCTCGCGATGCCGGGTAAGCCCCCTTGATTCCTATTCCTCCGAAGCATGCTGACAACGATCAACAGTCCCAATTGCGCTCGCAGCTCCTGCTGCTGTGGCGGGGGCCATGTACCTCGACGCAAGACTCGGCTTGACGTACGACTATCGATTACTGGGAGCGGCCATGAAAGCAACGATTCAAATGGGATTCAACGAGAAGAAAGCCAGGTTGAATGTCTTCTACGTCCTAGAAGGTTATGCCACCAATAGGAAGACCGCGAACAATACATTCATCATCTTCGAAGGTCGACGATGGACATACAAGCAGGTCTACCAGATTGCCTTGAAGCAAGGAACATGGTTAAAGACGAAGTATGGTATCAAGCCAAAGGAGATCGTGGCTATGGACTTTATGAACTCGGAAAAGTTCGTCTTCATGTGGATGGCATTATGGAGCATTGGTGCCAAGCCAGCGTTCATCAATTACAACCTCACCAAGAAGGCCCTCGCCCACTGTATCCGAGTCTCTACCGCCAGGGTTGCATTCATCGACCCCGAGGTTCAGTCAAACGTTACCCAAGAAGTTCTAGATGAGCTTCCAGAGGTTCAATTCGAGGTATTCACACCAGAACTAGAGGCGGAAATTGCTGTGACCGAGGCTGTGAGAGTACCGGATGCCGATCGAGCAGAAGACAAAAGGCAGAATATGGGTATCATCATCTTCACCAGCGGCACCACCGGACTACCAAAAGGAGCAATTGTTAGTTGGTCAAAGATTATTGTTGGTAGTGGATTGGTCGTTCCATGGATGTGGTTCACTCAAAAGGATGTTTTCTACACAGTGAGTTCCAATTTCTACGTCTTGTTAGCATGTCTAACACGCAGTAGTCTATGCCTCTCTATCATTCCTCGGCCTCTGTCTTAGGCTTCTGCACAGCACTTCGCGCTGGAGCTGCCTTCTCCCTCGGCAAGAAATTTTCCACCAAAACATTTTGGGAAGAAGTCCGGGCTACAGAAGCAACCTACATTCAATACGTTGGAGAGACTTGTCGATATCTTCTCTCCGCCCCTCCTCAACTCGACCCGGTAACAGGCGAGAATCTCGACAAGAAACACAAAGTCAAAGTAGCCTTCGGAAATGGTTTGAGGCCCGATATCTGGAACCGCTTCAAGGAACGGTTCGGCATAGCAGGTATCGCAGAATTCTACTCTGCGACAGAAAGTTCGTCCGCAGCATGGAACTTCAGCCGCAACGACTTTAGCAAAGGCGCCATCGGTCGCGCAGGCAGCATCGCTTCCCTAATCGTCAAAGGTACTGTCGAGATCGTCGAGATGGATTGGGAAACAGAGATGCCGTATCGATTCCCTGATACCGGGTTCTGCAAACGAGTACCGCAAGGAGAGCCTGGAGAGGTCCTGTATCAGTTAGATCCGGACGATATTTCGAAAAAGTATCAGGGGTATTGGAATAACAAGGACTCTACGGAGAGTAAGATAATGAGGAACGTGTTTGTGAAGGGCGACGCATATTTCAGGACGGGTGACATGCTGTCTGCTGATGAAAAGGGCTGCACATATTTCAACGATCGGATCGGTGATACCTATCGATGGAAGGGCGAGAATATCTCCACGAGCGAAGTCTCAGAGTCGTTCGGTACCCATGGCGCAGTCCACGAAGCGAACGTATATGGCATCGAACTTCCACACCACGACGGCAGAGCTGGCTGCGCTGCTCTTGTCTTGGCCGAAGAGCCGAGTGAGAGACTGATGCAGGATCTTGCGAGACATATCCATGCCGAACTTCCAAGAAGCGCTGTACCATTGTTCCTGAGATTGACGAAGCAGATGGAGTTGACGGGCACTAACAAGCATCAAAAACACGTTGTGCGAACGCAGGGCGTGAATCCGGAGAAGGTAGCTGGTGATGAGCTGTTTTGGTTGAGGGGTGGGACGTATGCTAAGTTCAGCAAGAAGGATTGGGAGGAGTTGAATGGTGGGAGAGTAAAGCTTTGATCGGGCTGCTCTTTGATCCGTACATGTCGCTTCAGGCTTCAGATTTGCTTGTATTTTGGGAGGGGCGTTGGCATGGTTGTTCCTTGGACTGGGTATGGGTGGGTAGATCGGATCACGATATCTACAAAATTTTACTTTGCTCTTGAAGATCTTGCTCCTCTTCTCCTTACCTCATGAAGGGAGAATACTCACAGTCCTCGTGGTCGTGCCAGCAAATACATCTTCCGAAAGTCGCTAGAAGATCGCCACTGCTACTGTACTCTATCACAACTTCTCTTCCTTAATTAAAGCACTACCGGTAGCTCAAAACTCAATCCCACAACCCAACCAAACTTTCTTTCTCCCCGTAGCCCACAACCTAGCCCAAAGCCACGACTCGTCACCACAGAGCTACACCGAGCTAGTCCGAGCTATCGACGTCTACCTAAACATGGGACGACGAAGACGGGAGAGCTAGTATCCGTGAGCTTGGCTTGGTTAGTCGACATGATATGATATGTATCTAGGAACGTTTTCTCCGGCAGATCAACAAATAGTCTAGAATTGATTCACGAGTCATTTTTCTACCATTTTTCTACCTTCTCCTTTTCCTTTCGCATTTCCTTAACTTCGCAAGAACCATGACGCAATCGAGACATACCCACTCCACTCCACTCCAATCCACTCCACTCGACTCACAGTTTATTGATAGATCTTCACACCCGCAACATGTCTCACCCCCCATCCCATCCCATCACGTGCCCCACCTCTCCCATCATGCATCTCGTCGGCAATTAAACTTGGAACCGAAGTGGATCAGCCCGCCCCCCTTTTCCCCTCTCGCCTACACTGCGATACTTTCAGCTAGCCTGTCTATATATCCTCAGGTACCCTAACCCTGACCCCGGAGAACTGAAAAAACATGTCTGATCTCCATCCCAGAACCACGCATCCAGAAACCAGACATCCATCCCAACACAACCCAATTAGAAACTAAAACGTTCCTGGATAGAAAGAAAGGAAACACTCCACTTCTTATTAGCTTCTAGGGCCGTTATCGGGTTCCACTAAACTATAGCGGCGGAGCATGGTGGAGAAACTGGTGGAATAGTGGGAGAAACATGTCTCGGAAGTCAGAAGGGAGTTAGAAGAAAGGAAGGAAGGGAGGGAGGGAAGGGAAGGAAGTGCGAATTAGGATCGTCCCGTCGTTTTGCGTGGATACGGGTTATTGAGACAAGCTTTTTGGGGGCTTTTGTTTCTCGGTTGGTTTGATGGAAGAGAGGGGGTGGGTTTCGGGAGTTGTGGGTGAGTTTGGTTCGGGGAGGATAGTCGAGGGGAGGGTGAGAGTTGAAAGGGGGAGGTAGTAGGTTTGGTGAGTGGTGAAGGGAAGATGGAGAGAGGATGGAGGATTTGGTGGAAAGAGAGGAGAGGATGTGATGAGAAAAGAGATAGTCGATGTTTGCAAAATCGCACATACGAATTCCCAACTCACAAGAATGTCAATGAAAATAAACACATAACATTAACCGCTAAATTGGTATCATATATACAAACGAAAACAAAAATCATCACCATCCCAGTCACATCATCAATCAAGCAAGCCAACTCTTTTGCTGCCGCTCAAAATCCTCCTGCTCCTCGTCCTTCCTCCTCACCAAACTCCTCAAACTATCACTCCGCTCACTCCTCCCATCCCCTCCCGCTCCCCCAGGCGACCTCCCCTCCTCCACCGACCCCTCTTCGCTCATAACCACGGTCTGACTAACAACAATATCCCCAAACCCCTTCTTGCCCTGCGACGCACTGTTCGCCACGCCTACATCAGACTCCATCCTATTCATCCTGATACTCCGTTCCCTTTGCTGTCGCTCCTCCTCTCCTGTCCTGAATCGCCTCAGTGCGTTCGTGTTCTCCGAGTATCCAGACCCGATCATACCCACTGAGCTCTTCACCAGCGCTTTTCGCGTCGAGATATAAAGGATCACGTCAATTGCGCCGCAACATGCCATGAGCGAACCCGCTACGGGGAAGAACACCAAAGGCGGCGTCCGGCCAGCCATAGATGCTACACGGGCAGAAGCTAGCGGTAACGTGAGCGCGACGTAGGCGAAGGGGTAGTAGACCATGTTTCTCGCTGTGCGCAGGATTCGTTGACGGGAAAGAGCGAAGGCGTTATTGGATTGCGAGACGATGGTCGTGGTAGTCGAGGCCGCGTGCTTGAATTTCGAGGACGAGGTCGGGTCCTGGGAGTTGGATGATAGAGAGGGATTGGAGAGAGGTCCGTTGGAGAGCCGTCCGCGTAGGAAGAAGAATAAACTGATGTAGATTACGAGGGAGCCGAGTTGGGAGATGAAGATCCAGAGGTAGTGGAGGTAGAGACGCTCGCTCTCGTGGGTGTCACTTATCCAGCACTGGGGAATGTCAGTTGTGTTTTTTGGTGAGAAAGGGGAATTGACGTACCCATGCACCAGCGGGGACGAAGAAATCGTCTTTGCTGAGTAGTGGTCCAATTGCTGTCAGAAAGAGACAGAATGTCCATAATGATATTACGCATGCAACGAAGGTCCTATGGCGTATCTGTTTCTGGCCAACCAGACTAACGAAAGTGTGGACTGCGATGGACAGCACCCAGAGTCCGGAGGACATATCTCCAATTTGAATGAGCCATCCTTGAGCAAAGCATTGCGTATTCGGTCCAACCAATTTTCCCTGCGCCAACCAGTGGAAAGATATCAGGAAACTCAGAGCCTGCTGAAAATCGGCCAGAAGGAGGTTATAAATCAGGACGAAGACTTGATTCTTGTGAATGGGTTGATCGTAGTACCGCTTCCAGTATATCATACGATAGGTGATGAAGGACATCAAAGTGAAGGTCGAGATTGTGGACACCAGTCCAAATAATCCCATTGCAATCATGCCATTTCGAATGTCGTCTGGTAGCGGATCGAGCGAGGCGTTCGAGTATGCTGAAGCCATTGACGCCTCGTTTTGCCAAGCCTGGGCAGTATATTATGCGTGTGAAGAAGGTTGTCCCAAGGTCAAAGCTGGGGATGAAACTTTAATAATAACGACGAACGAACGGATGGTTGACAGCGGGACAAACAGTGGCGTGGCTTGTTTATGAAAGTGTATCTGAAGGGGGGACTAGCCGTCCTTAACTGACTCGAGATAAAGGAGAGGTTGTGGAGCTATCAGCACTAGCACTGCTGCACAGACGGTCTTTCTGATGCAAGATATGAATGAGGAAGGGACTGTGGCCGATTGTGGAGTTCAAGGACCAGATCATGGTCGATAAGGGCTCTCGAAAACTTTTTTCGAGACAGGCATCCCTACTTAACTCCTCAGAGCGGGGAGAGGTGCATCAGCTAGCTTGAGCAGATGGGCCGTTGTTGGCTGCACGCTTAATTGCTTCCTGAATGTGGAGAAGGGTGTCTGGGGGGGGAACAGAGGCAGAGAAAGGAAGAAGTCCCAGATGAGGAAGGACTTGTAACTGGGCGACTTGGGGGGGGAGCACCGACGAGGTGAGACATTTCCATTGGGAACTGACGGATTATTCGCTTCAGAGTTATGCCCTTCGTCCGGGATCCGCTGCAGGTGCAGTCTGAGTGCCAGGGGTTCGCCAGCGTGTTTTACTGTAGTGACGCCAAACCTCGTGTGTAATTCTCCGAGATGACCCAACATGGAGCAGGATAAAGCTTACAGTAGAAGAGGTGATTCGTCGATCTTGCCCAGCTGGAAGAAATGCGACTGGAGAATGGAAGCGTTTTGGGCGGATGTCTGATGTCTGCCTCCCTACAGTAGTGCCCTGCCCTGCTGTCTCCCTGAGCGAGCCCTTTTGACTTTCCTGTGAGGTCCAACAGACGCCGTCCCGAGCCGCGTCCACCAACGGACCACTCGAACGTTGAACGTAAGGTTAGCGGTCACGCGGCAACGACTGTCTACCTCAAACCTCGGCGTGCTCACGTCGCTCACATCGCTCTGAACTGAATTTGAGTTCTTGGGACATCCATTGGAACAGCTAGTACAGTATCTCCTTCCCCGCGATCGCGGTTCGCGATCGCGGTCCCCAACGCGCACTTTCATCTAATTGACTTCAACCAGTGGATTCCAGACTCCAGACTCCAGACTCCAGACTCCAGAGTGCGGGCTCGGCGGGCTCTACGGGGCGGCTCTACGGGGCCATGCTGGGGGAACATCGTTCCTGGCGATATATTGCCCCCCATTAATTTACGTTATTAATGGATTACCGAAACGAGTGGAGCGAGTTTGCAATGTCGAGAATGTCTGGCAATGTTTGGCAATGTCTGTGCGGACGACGATTGGGTTTTTTCCCCTTTTTTGTCCCACCATTTCATCTCGAGCACTCTGTCCGCAAAGTTCGAGCCGGGTTCCGCAAGGGCGCTCCTGGCAAAGATTGATTCGAAGACCCAGTGGAAGGACGTTTGTCGGCCAAATGGTCAGCGTCTTGCCCCTCCACATCCTGGATCGTTGGCCTCCCGAGACGGGTGAAATGTCTTAGTGGAGGGTAGTCGATATGGGTGAATTCCAGAGAAGGCAAAGAAGAAGCTTCGCGCTCTCCGACTCCCCTGAACATGGGTGCATGGCGAATACAGTACGTATTCATAGAATCTTCATAGAATAGAATATACAGTACGGACATGGGATCCTTCATGGATTGACAAATTATTATGGATCGATGATGAAGTCTTCCTCCATCTGTCTCGAAGGCGTCGAGGCTTCTTTTTGCCAGCCCGGATAACACCTGGGCAATTGCGGCCGCTCTTCAGATGGCCCCTGAATCACGTGCTCGTCTCTCCCCTCCCGAGGTCGTTGTCATCCCGCCTCTCGGAAAATCCTCATCTCAACCATCCCTCCCCCAGCCATGCAAGACACAAGATCGACTCTCAGACCTGCTCTCGACGAGGATCTTGCTCCCAAAGTCTCGTGTGATAGCCACGTGTGTGAGATGTGCGGGACCGTTCTGTGGCCAGGGTTTTGATTCAATTATCATTCGATTGCCCAAACGGGGTTCCCAATCACGACTCATGTTTCATCATCACGGCCATATTATGCGTCAATCGAGCAAGTGATCGCTGGTGTCATCACGGGGAGGATGAACCTCTTGGCAGCTAGAACCTTTAAAGGTATCGTAATGTCACTTCAACCTCAATGTGGCTTAAAAGATGGTCGAGGTGCACTCGAGCGCAATGTCAGAGTCTGCAAAGGGCCGACAGAGAGAGGCTCTAGCACGGTTTGGGGATACATCTCGCCCTCGAAGTCGATGAAGGTGCAGATAGGAATTGTTCTGTTCCGATGTTGTTTCATTCAGCATAGTATCAGATCAAACTCTGTTCACATCCCTTCCTGCCCCCTATCTGCCGTCATTTGTTAACGCGGTCATCCTTTTCAAATTCAGTATCGTCGATTTTCATCCAATGTCTCACGTTCTATCGGAAGTTTCAATTATTTCGGTCTTCGATGGCCCCCATGATGTTTCAATCGGATCACAGATTCAAACCTTGACCGATAGCCGACGAGCATCACCAAGGCCATTGCATAATCTGAGGATCCTGAGCAGGGAGTTCTCCGTGTGCGAAAGTGGTAGACTCGGACGTCATGAACAGGAGCCTTGGCATTGAATAACTGGGGATGTCCGGAAGCCAATTTCGTTTGAAAGTCGTCTCAAACTTCAGGCTTATCATGATGCTGTTGACCATCACTTCTATTTCAAATATTGACTTTTGGAGCAGCACGAAAGTTCATGGGGAGGAGAGAGTTCTCTCATTCAAAATCAATCGGGGAGGCACCTCTCAGGACCATCGTCAAACATCAGAAACCTCTGATCCTAGAGCGGTCCAAGTCAATCGCAATCTTCACCATAACGAGATGCGATCACCGAGCAAATGATACGACCATGCTTACGTGTAGCTATCATGCTTGTGGTATTCATATGATCTATAATCAATGCTCACGGCATACCAAAATGTCCATTAATTAATTCCTGCTTCGTATTCAAGTCTCTAGTTTGTTGTGCTGATATTCAGAGATGGAAAGGAAATTGGACAGGAACTGGACGCGTTGAATGGAGGGTATTCAGACATCATCCAAACAACCATCGCATTAACGACCAGAGATAAGAAACACACATCGAGTTTCAGCCCTCAGATTCTCGGTCGTGAAGATAAAGATAAACTGCCGAGCAGAACATAGAGTCACACAAATTCTCGATAAGATTGATACATAAGCTTGTTTCAATTCATCCGGATTCCGGACCAACGTCTTCGCATTCCGTCCAAAAGCGGTTGCTGGAGTCGGCACCTCAAAATGTGTGGAGGCTGCAGTGCGCGCCGCCGCCACGGGGTGTTCATTTAGCCTCACGGTCCGAATGGGACAGGGAAGAGGCGAAAGTATTCAGCCGCCCCTCAGTGACTGGTCAGCATCCCCGCTGCAGCCCCGCTCCTCCGCCCTCCTCCTCCACGCTCCACCAACAGTCCACCAACATTCCATTCCACTTCCGACGCCGCCCCATTAAATCATTCTCGCTTACGGCCCTGACAGCCAACGGCGTCTTCTTCTTTACTGTTTATAGAAAATGATCGTCGCTCATGACAGAAAACGATGGCAAGCCCCTTTAAGGCTGTAACACCAGTCGCATCGATCTACTCTCGGAATCTTCTGACGGCATATCTGAGATCTCATGCTTACTCAGATTCTGTCTTTTCTAGAAGGATGACTGGCTAGTATTTGTGTTACCATCTCTGTCGCCTCTCAAATGCACAAAATCCTCGCTCTCTGTTCAACGTCACTGCATGATAGATCCCTGCCGGAAAAAAAGGCCGTTGTGTTGGTAGTGAGGGGAAGTCTCCATCCTCCAGATTTTACCCCATTCATAAATTCATGCTATGATCCACTGGTCTTTTTTCATCTCGTCGTTGCGTATGTCATGCCCGATTCTGCGGGAATTTCCCCTTGCTCATAATACCTACCTGCTGCCATCAGACGATTCTGTAATCTATCTTCTTATTCTTGCTTCGAATCTGCTCACAGTTGCGGCCCTGGCAAACCCACAATCATGGACGACGGCAAAGCAGAAATGATCGAAATGGATGGGACCGGCCACTCAACCCCAGTGAATGGGGCAGCGAATGCAAATGGGATTGTTGAGAAAGATCACGCTCTCGGTGATAGCAGCCACCTCGAGGGCGGACTCGTGGATGGCCTCACTGCAGAACATCGAGATTACCTGATCTCTCGCCATGGCACCACAGATCTCAACCCGCTTCCTACCATGGATCCGGCAGATCCACTCAACTGGCCTGCATGGAAGGTGAGGCTCCTCTCTTTCACGTTACAGAATAACAAAGGACTAAGAAATGCTAGAAAAATACCAATCTGCTACTGGTCTCTTTCCACGCCATGATCACTACCTTCACAGCCGCAGCCGTGATCCCAGCTTTCGAAACATTCTCCATCGATTTTGGCATCTCCATCACGCGCGCCTCGTACTTGACCAGCATCCAAATCTTGATCTTGGGTTTTGCTCCATTGTTCTGGAAACCTATCTCGAATCGTTTCGGTCGGAGACCAATCTGGCTAATCTCAACGTTATGTTCGATGGTGTGTAACATTGGTTGTGCGGAAAGTCATAGCTATGCTAGTCAAGTGGTTACCAGATTATTGGTTGCTTTTTTCATCAGTCCTGCGATTGCGATTAGTAGCGCGGTTGTGACGGAAACGTTCTTTGCAAGGGAGAGAGGGCAGAAGATGGGGATCTGGACTTTGATGGTTACATTAGGGTTTGTAGCCCCTTCTGCACGAAGGAAGAAGAAAGCTGACTAAAAAACAGACCACCAATGGGACCCTTCCTAATGGGCTTCGTAGCCTTCCACACCAACGGTTACGAATGGATCTACTGGACCCTCGCCATAACCAACGGCGTCCAATTCATCCTCTACTTCTTCCTCTCCCCCGAAACCCTCTACGTCCGCAACCGCGCTTCCCCCAACACAGCCTCAACCTCCGCCTTCAAACGCCAATACCTTAACTTCGGCCGTCTCGGCCCGCACCCCCTTTCCCTCGCCGACTTCTGGACCCCCATCAAATTCTTCGCTTACCCAAATATCCTCCTGCCTACTATTGCCTACAGCATCGTATTCAACTTCTCCTCCGTCCTCCTCACAGTCGAGATCCCCCAACTCTTCACCCCGAAATTCCACTTCAACGCCCAGCAAATCGGCCTCCAATTCATCGGCATGATCATCGGTTCCGTCCTCGGCGAGCAGCTCGGCGGCCGCGGCTCAGATTTCTTCATGCGAGGGCGTCCCAAGAGTCCTGAGCATCGAATCTGGGTTTCCTACCCCGGGTTTCTTACCGTGATTATCGGTATTGTGGTGTTTTGCGTGCAGACGCAGAATTTGCAGCACTATAATGTCACCCCGATTGTCGGGATCGCTATCTCGGCGTTTGGGAACCAGATTATTACGACGGTGTTGGTGACGTATGCGGTGGATTGCCATCATGAGCATGCGGCTAGTATTGGTGTTTTTATTAATTTGGTGAGGAGTACGTGGGGGTTTATTGGTAGGTCTTTCTCCTTTCTTTTCTTGTGGTGCTTTGATGGGATGGGGTGGCTGATTTTGAGTGGCATAGGTCCGTTTTGGTTCCCGAATATGTTTTCGTCGTTGGGGCTTAAGGGGTCGGCGGGGTTGATGGTGGGCATTATTGTGGTGGTTGCGGTGGTGCCGGTGGTGTTTATTCAGTGGAAGGGGAGGGCGATTAGGGAGAGGAGGGAGGATAATGAGTTGGATCAGGTGAGGACTATTACGAGGTGATGTTGATTTGTTTGGGAGGATGAATTTGCTCGGAATATGCATAGCAATGAGCAATGATATTAATAACTCGACTCGTGCTGTGAAAGAGTAAGCGAAATGAGATGTATGTTTTATACGTTGTTCGAGCATTATGGTGAGCTATTGAATGGATTCAGGAGAAGACTTAATGCGAAGGGGGGGGGGGGTCATTCCTGCCAACAGCTGCAGCTAGAAAGTTGATGACCATTGGTATGGAGAGTCTCGAAAGCTTAGTAGCTGAACCAACGCTGGACAAAAGAAGTCGTGGTGCGTCAATGGATGGCTCCTGTTGATAGGGTAACCTCTTTGGATGCTGAGAAGACTTTCCAGAAAGAGTCTGCACGCTAGTGCCCCTTCGAACCAATACAGAGAGAGCTCATGAGTTCAAGTTTTCTTTAATTGGTACCTGCACGAATTTGTTAATGATGTGGTGAGAATGTTGATGAGTTTTTACACTCCAGTTTTTGCTGGCCTCGAAGATGAGCGTCACAAATGCAGGATAGACGGGATCATGAGTGAGGTTCACCATTCCCTCTTTTGAAAGCATTGCCAACTACTTTAGATTGAAGGCACTTTTGGAAGTGTCCACACACAAGTTCTCGGTCCGCCTGAACCTTTCTTTAACACCATTCAGACCATCCCACTTCCAACACTCATCACCTATTAGCTAGACCAGTTGATCATAGTCTTTAGCATGGCTAATGACGAGGAGCTGATGCGACTCGGATCCCCAAGTCCATGACCTCGAGAGAAAAGAAGAACTTGACCCATGAGTTGCTGTAGAGGAATTGAAGTGGAACCGCAATGGACGGACGGTTGAACGGTTCTGTCATCCAGATAGCCAATCTCAGATCTAGTGACCAAAGAGATGGATCTGTGTTTGAGCGGTAACTTTCAGACATTGGGCTTTTTACCTTAGGAATGATGGATTTTCATCTCAACTCCTCAGTCCAAGGGAGCTGCAAGCAGGTTTTACGTCCAGCGAAAACATGACGACTATCACATTTAGCTCCTCAAAAGTGAGAAAATAAGCTGTATATATGTTGATTATACATGTGTGCAATCTCCAGATTCCCACTAAGTTCGGGCATGATGCAGTTATCAAAGTTTCACGTACAAACGGAGATCGCTCTGAGTCTGACTGTCGCAGCCGTTGTCAGTGATCTCACTTTCAAGAGAAATCGATACCAAGATATGTACCCGAATTTCTGCTGCAATGGCACAGAAAGTATCTGCTGTATGCTGCTATTGAGTATTGAGAAATGTTGGCATTTTAGTAATGAGGTTGAGAAGCGTTGAAATGAGCAAGCAGGTGTGGCAACACCTAAGACAGGGGTGGGTATAGAGAGACCTTGAGATTACAGGGGTTCGCGAACAATCGCGTCTTCCAAACGCGAAATACAACGTGCCTTCGACAAAGTTGACATTGATACGAGACATTCAACACTGTTGCTCCTCAATTCGTGAAGCAACTATGTCAGACAACGAGACTCAAGTCAAGGACCCTTACGGTTCTGAAATTGAACTGAAAGAAGACCTCGACAAATGTTTGAGCGGCCTTGAGGGTGATGGCTCTTTTGCTCTGTTCGAGCAATTGCAGTCCCCTCCGAATCCTGGTCTCTGCCTCAAAGACGGTGGCTTGATCGGGCTTCCACTTAATGATCATGATGCAGAACTGATCACCCGAGCAAGTCACGCTGCACCTTTTGGCAAGGGAGAAGAAACCATCGTGGATACCACCATTCGAAAGACGTGGGAATTGTCTCCCAAGGACTTCGAAATCAGGAACCCAGCTTGGACGACTGTCGTAGAGCAGATTGTGGCGAAGGTGAGCACAGGTCTTGGAGTTGATGCCGCTGGAAATGGAGTTTCTGCAGAACTTTACAAACTGTTGCTTTACGACGAGGGGGCTATGTTCAAGCCGCATCAAGAGTAAGCACCCCATATGAGCTCGAACGTCTGAATCTAAGCTTTTATACAGCTCAGAAAAGGCTCCTCGGATGTTCGCGACTCTAGTAATTGCATTACCGTCAAAGCACGAGGGAGGAGAAGTGCATGTAACTCATGCAGGAAAGACGAAAATCTTCGCTACCTCTACATTCTCTGAGTTCGATGCTTCGTATTTGGCGTGGTGAGTCCCTAAGCTTGACTATCCTACTATTAAGCTCATATGCAGCGCAGGTTCTCTGATGTTACACATGAAGTCTGCCCAGTAACAGAAGGCAGGCGGCTTGTGCTCACATACAATCTCATTCATACCACACTAAGTTCACGAGAGTTAGGAGCCCACACAAATGTTGCTACGGCCCAGCTTAAGCTGGTATTGAAAACTTGGGAGGAAACCCTTGGATTTGATCAAGATATGCCGAAGGCACTGGCTTTCTTGCTCGAGCACCAATATACGGACTCCAGTCTCTGCTATGATGGGTTGAAGGGCCGCGATAAGAATGTTGGAGCGCACTTGCGGGAATGTTGCAGCGAGGTCGGGTTCATTTCATACTTGGCTAGCTTTGAACTGTCTGTCGAGGGTGGATGTGATGAGGACGGAGGAGGCTGGAGAAGCTCGTCGTACCACGAAATCATTGAGGAGGTTGATCGTACAACAACTCTGAAGAGAGTCGTGGAGCTGGACGGTTTAGAAGTGGCCAAAGACCTTGACTTCAACGAGAATGACTTCGTCCAAGATAACCCTTTCAATGGGATGCCGCCAGACGATGAAGATTACTCGGGATTCACAGGAAATGAGGGCGTATCAGCTACGCACTTCTATCATCGAACGGTCAGTTTCTTTCCACTTGTGAACTACCATACACTTCTAACAAGAGGTTTGAGGGATTCAGGTGGCGATCATTGTGCCTAAAAGCTACCGCATGGAGTTTTTCTTTCCAGTGAAGAGTTTTGAACGTCTCAGCTATCGCAGCTATATGGGTGATGATAATGATCAGTCCGATATCTCGACATGGATAGACCGCTTTTCCAACAGAGTGTCAGAACATCCGGATGATGCTGAAGCAGCAGAATGCCTCTCTCAAATTTGCAAGATGGTGGTTTCTCGGACTCGATTGCACTTGGCTCGTCTACCAACTCATTCGTGGGAGCGATCAACACCTCCGTTTCCCGACGATGTACTGGCTCGTGTTGTCGGTATATCAGTTGACCTCGATGACAGGGTCATGTTCATCGAGACATTCAAGCTCTGTCCTAACAAGGCAGCATCCTCTACGTTTCGAGCTGTTGGGATAGCCCTTCTCCGAAACGATCTTGAATCCTTATTGCCAGAGTGAGTAATTCAGACGACGGCCGTGCCAAATTTGCTAACCATGATAAAGTCTCTCGACACATCTGAGTAAGGAGAACAGCCTAGCTGGTCGATTAGAGATCATTGATGAGGTCAAAGCGGGCTTACAAGTTGAAGCCGAAAGGTCTTCGACCACCGTGGGAAGCGCATTTCAGACTTGGCTTGAGTCAGAACTTGATGACACATTATTGTCTACGGCAGTGGTCGTTGAGTCTCCAAGAGATGGAGCGATGCTTGCAAGTCTGTCCAAAACTTTCGCAACTCAGGAAGTGTTCAATAAGTGAGCGAAATGATTTTCAGCTGAATGGCGAGCATGCTAACCTACATACAGAATTCTTCCAACTGTGAAAAGAAATGTCAACAATACAGTCATGGCTGTCGCTTTTGCGATTGGGATCGTCCAAGCAGGTGCCGAAGGAGAATTAGCTGAGAACGTTGCCGATACAATATTCCACGATGTTACTTCAGATCTTGCAGACTGTTTCAGTCTTGGTTGCTTGGGGCCGTCCTTCCTTCCGCAAAAGAAGCCTGTGGGATATTTCCGTCGTCCGCCGCCAGAAATCATTATCGATGCTGGGAACAGCAGCAACATTGCAACGTTGCTTTGCTATTGTGTCAACTCTAAACTAGACAGCGAGATTGATCAGATCATACTTAGGCTCACTGGTGAGATGGAAACGGTTGATCTCACTTTCTTCGATGCCATCTATCTGCCATTCTTGAAGACGATTCTCAGCAAGCTATCGGAGAGGAATGCCGGTGGTCAGGATTCCCGATTCTGTAATCTGTTCCGATCTACCCTAGTCACTTATCTTGCTCGCTTCGTCAAAGAAGAGCCACAACCTGCTGCGGATTGGGCGCAACGAAGGGTGGGATGCAATTGTCAGGACTGTCAACGCCTCAATGCTTTCTTAGTCAGTCCACACGAGAAGGTGGGGAGATTTGCACTAGCAAAGAAACGTCGGGGCCATCTTCATTCAATGTTGGGAAGTTCAAGTGTTACTCATGAGACCGACAGACGAGGTAACCCTCAGACTCTCGTTGTAACAAAAACCAATGCGCAATATCAGAATGCTCACAAAGCTTGGACTTTGCGCTGTAATGTTGCGAAGCAGCATCTGAAAGAGCTTGAGACAGAAGCTCTGAAGGACTCCCTTGGGGACTTGTACGATCCTATCATGTCGTTATCACCAAGTGTTCTTGCAGGTTCGCCCCCAGGAAAGTCTTCACGGCCTGGGACAGCACTTAGTCCAAGTGCAAGTGCCTCAAATAGAGTGCTGCCACCGATCACGAAGAGAAAGGTGCCAGAAGTTATCGTTATTGATGACTGAGTCTTCTGGACGAGGAGCTTGTATTCCGACCGCATTGTAATTTTACGTATAATCACAATACCAAATAATGAGCAACTGTTCAATCAAACACTTCCAATCCAACCTCCGTTCTCGCCCACGATATACCAGCATTCCACTCGGGCATGGTCGAAAATTGTGACTGGGGTGGTAGTTGCAATAGAGCATCAGAAATCTCCGAAACAAGGTCTCGACCGATGTGAGCAGTCCACCATGCTTGGTCACTAAGCACATTCAACAATACACCCCAATACATCAACATAAAAAGCGCCATGGGCTCCTGCACCCTCATTGCAGCGGTATACTCCTCGCCGGCAAGCACCGGAAAAGCGATACAAAACCCTCGAATCAAGCCCCTGCTCTCCTGCTTGAAGCAGTAATGGAGCTTTGTGGCAACAGCCTTATAGGCTGCGTGTGAGCGCGACTCCTCATCCTTGCCCAACTTATCGATTATGGATGTGAGGTCTTCGAAGGCTTGCTTCGTAGCTTCACTGATTGGCTCTGGTGCCGGCTTTTCCATTAGAGACAGAGCAGAAAGAAGCGAAGGCGAAAATGGGCTATCCAGCATCCAGTTGAAGTTCAGTACTGCGATAGAGCAAGCACCCATGAGTAGCTCGAAAAGCACCACCATTCGCTTCAGCATTCCTCCGAGGTGGTTACCGTTCTCGTCTGGCATTGCTAGATTTATGATTGTGGCAGCGATCGCAAAGATATACAAATAGTGCTGGTTTTCAGATGTAACTGAACAGAGTGCTGCTCGGAAAGATTCGCTCGCCCAATCATAATACTCCATTGCGATACAGATGTATTCCGGAGATTTGGCTGGATCTCCAGACAAGGCCATCTCGAGTGCGGTAATCGCAAAGACTCCATGCAGCAGAAAATCATGTCTCAGCGCCCCGCGCGGAACTTCGATCTGCAAGTAGTGGTAATCTTCTGGCACACTACAGAGACTTTCGTAGGTCTTTGTCGACCAGCGATGCATAAGCTCCAGCTCCAGAAGTCTGCGACTGTCGAATGTGTGCTTTTTGACAATAGGGGTCGAGTTTTGGGTCTCGCTGTTGGAGGTCGAGGTCGATACTACCGACGAGCCTGCATCTTGAGCCGGCGGGCTGGTCTTGTAACTGCATGTACTCGTGAAGTCTCGAGCAATGCATGCAGCGCATGGTGGCCCTTGTTCATCACACTATTCACGAATCAGTCGCTTGAATTCTGCTGAAGCGAAATTACGCGTATAAAAGATGTGAAGCCGGGCAGCAAGCTAGACTTGATCTGACGGCCACAGGATCGGGGAAGAGCATACTTTGACATGTCGTTTCTTGCAGTTCTGACATCCGTTACGGGATTTGTTATGTGATATCCGCTTCTTCATAGCTGTTTGCGTTTTCCAAGAGTTTTTAGTGAAAGACTCCCTCTGATGTTCGCTTTGGACAGTATTATATTCTTCTGTCACTTTTGTACTGATACTTTTAACTTTCAGTATGTGGATATGGGGTAGAGGATATGGAGGTAAAGTACGACCAGTCCTGTAAGCTGGGGCGAGTACGCCCCACCTGAGATTCTAACCCCGATCCAGAATGGTGGAGAAATGTGGCTGCGGCTGTGTGGACGAGCAGGCCAATAGCAGCCGATCCTAGAATACACAAGATTCGCGACAAGGGTACGTGCAGATACGCGTAAATACAGGGATCAACTTTATTTTCTCGCCGGGCATACTTACACAATGTACACTCCGAACTAAAGCCTAGTGGAAATAGGAAGACTTCTATCAACATAGAATATTATTATATACGATCAACAAGTCGCTGCTCTTTTCCAACAATTGCCCCATTCTCCCAGGATTTGGGGCGATAGAACACGAGGTTGATGAACCTCGTTCTCATCACTTTCCTGGCATAGAAACAGCTCAAGAAGCGATTGTATAACTTCCTATTGATCCGGGTTGACTTTAGAGCGATATTACTTTCCTCATTTACGAATTCTAGCAGGCATCAATGGATGCTCTCTCTCAAGCCTGCCCAGCAGCATGGCAGTGCGCGAATACGCGTAGCTCTTTTCTTTGAGTTCTTTCTTGTGACATCAGGCTACCATTAAGTGTGACTAGCCGTGCCTTTCACGATAGTAGCTATTTCAGTAGCTATAAGAAGTCGCTCCGGTCTCGTCATCATGTTCAGAAAACCAAGCGATCAAGCGATCTTCTCATTTTTATCTTAGCTTTCTTTCCGCATCCGAAGGAATTCATCCTCAATCCATAATGTTTGCAAAACAATCCGCACTCATAGCATCGACAAGTTGCATAGGCTGCATCGTCAACGCCCTTCCTGCAACCGTAGCCAACTCCATCATTTGGTATCAGTGCGACCAGAATAGCACGATACCCTACACTTGCGGGAATCTGACAGTCCCTTTGGACTATTCTGAATCTAACTCGAATCAGACATTCACTCTCTCTCTAACCAAAGTCAATGCAACAACCCAACCTTCAATGGGTAGCATTATTTTCAACCCAGGCGGCCCTGGCGAGACCGGAACAGATTTTGTCACTGACTTAGCTGGTCCCCTACTCATGTATGCCTTTCTGATATACGATACTGAATACCGTCTAACAAATTAGAATGACTGGTGGTAATCGTGATTTGATCGGATTTGATCCACGGCAAGCACGTCCTACGTTCCAGCAGATTGTAAATTGCTAATAAATCATAGTGGAACGGGCGCTACACTTCCAGTTTCCTGCTACGAGAACGATGCGGATCGATTACTTGCTTATCTTCGAACACCAGTAACAACGAATACATCGGACACTGCATTAGGGACGATGTGGGCTGTCAAGCAGAGTCTAGCTCAGGTCTGTTACGAGAATGCACACGAAATTGGAGACCTTGTAGGAACTGCATTTGTCGCTCGAGATATGATGCAGATTGTCGATGCGCTTCGAGAAGATGGCATGCTAAGATTTTGGGGTCAGTAAAGTCCTTGGTGCCGACATGGTCGATACGGGCGGACACATTAAACCCAAAAAGCAAAAGATGCATGCTAATAGGTGCGCAGGTTTCTCATATGGAACTCTCTTAGGAGCAACTGTGGCAGCAATGTTTCCTGACCGAATGGATAAAGTGGTGCTGGATGGCGTGCTAAATCCTACGCAATACTACGAGGGCCGGTAGGACATTAGAATTTCGTTACAATTACATTTAGCTGACTTTTATCGTTGAAGCGACATTCAAGAACTTGCCACGAGTGACGCAAGTTTCGCTGGATTCTTTAATGGCTGTCTCGCAGCTCCGCCAGGTAGCTGTGCCCTGGCACGTCCAAATGTCACCGCATCTCAGCTCGAGCAAGACATTCTTGACTTGCTGTACGATCTGAAATATAACCCAATCGCTGCTGCCCCAGCTGAGGCGACAACAATTGTTGATTACGGGGCACTAAAATCGGCAATAACGCTCAGTCTCTACGGTCCCAGTTACTGGCCAGGCCTAGCTGTTGCTTTTGATGGCCTTCTTCAAGGTAATGCCTCAGCGCTAGTTGCATTTGTAGGATCTGTGCGGTCCTCTACCAGTCTGAATCTGATTGAAGTCAATGCCGCGATCCGCTGTGGAGACAATTCGCTTAGAGGCAAGTACTTGAAGGACGTCCTTCCTGTTGTGGATGCGCTCTACAATGAGAGCTTCATCCTCGGTGATATCGAGGCTCAAGTCACGCTCACGTGTGGAACCTGGCTTATGCAAGCCAAAGAGCGTTATGAGGGCGGCTTCAACGAAATCCACACCAAGAATCCGATCCTCTTCGTAGGAAACACATACGATCCCTTGACGCCTCTTGTCTCAGCTCAAAACGCCAGCGCAGGGTTTTCAGGAAGTGTGGTCTTACAACATGATGGCTACGGTGTATGTTGATCCGTTCTTTGAATTCGTTGGGACAATGAAGCTAATGTTGTTGGGTATGCAGCACAGTTCCCTTGCACAGCCGTCTCTTTGCACAGCGAAGACGATTCGAGCGTATTTCGTCAATAGTACATTACCTGCCCCAGGGACAATTTGTGAGCCTGATGTCCCACTATTCTCAAATGTGACGATGCTGGAGGTTCTTGCGCCTATTGCCAACTTGACGAAGAGAGGCTTGAACACGGAGGATGATGTAGCCCTTCTAACGGCCATGAAACGCTTGAGCGGGAGAGTGGACATGAGCAGAGTCTTTTGAAGACGTGAACACTGTAATAATATACCACATGGCTTGTGGAGCTTAAGTTGAGGCAGGAGCGTTGAAAGATCCAAGGACATTAGATACACGTGACCCTACACGTGCAAATTGACTCCACTTTTGATACGACGTCCTTCAGCTCACTGGGCGAAACAGAGCGGCCTTCACCGTCAAGCTTACATTTGCTATACTTCGTATCCACAGACTCATTAGTACTAGATCCTCAAAAAATCATCGGTGTGCCCAGCTCCAGAAGGACAATGACCTTGGCTAGGTAGTTGATAGGAGGTTGGTGTGCACGTGCCGACTAAGTGCAATTGAAGATGGAGGACAACACGCAAGGAGCAGGTAGTGGGGAGGGAAATGTCGAAGATAATTATGTCGCCAATTCCGCATCTCCCGAGAACAGTACTGCCTCGTCAGGCGTTCGAAAACGAATAAGCAAAGCATGTGATCACTGCAACTCTGCCCGGAGGAAATGTGATGGCCATCAACCCTGCAGCTACTGTCTACGTAAGTGAATCAAGATATTATCAAATATGATATCTCCGTCTGTTTAGTCTCATGTTACCAGTCCATACCTAGGAAGATCGTTGTTAATATATCTGGTAGGAACGAGAAGTCGGTGTAGCTACAAACGGCAAGCAAAAAAGCGAGGCAAAACACCTGCTTCAGCATCCAAGAAATTATCTGCGTCACAAACAGTGCGACCACCATCCCAGACTCCTCTACAAGAACTAGCAACGACTTCTACAATAGCGACAGAAGCCAGCCAGATCGCAAATCACGTGCATGGTATTTCCCAGGAAGTGCAACGAGATAGAGATGTTCATAGTGTACCTACCGATGATCTTAACGAGAGTACAGTTGAAGGTTTTACATTCTCTCCCCTAGTGGACGATTATCAAATGTTCGACTTCGACCCTGGATGGGGCATCGAGGACTTTGGAGACGCAATCGAGAATGCATCGCTATTGAACCTTAATGGGAGCACAAATATCCACGAAGGAATGGTGATGGGACCTTCTGAAATGCTTCTGGAATCTACGAATCTTGATCCATCAAATCAATCTCGAAAGAATGGTGCCCCACGAATCAGCTCCAGCCATCGAGTGACCTATGGTATACACTCTTTCATGGCGGATGATGAAGGAGGGACCTGTTCAATAAGAGATACGAGCTCAGTGCCTTCACAAGTATTGAACAATACCCTCAAAATCAGCAGATCTGGTTCTTTGCCCAAGATTCAGGGCGATGGAACAACATCTGAGCAGCAACGATTGAACGGTACATTACGTCACACAGCTAGTCTGCAGCAGGAATCAAGTGGCAATTCGACTATTCAATATCCTGTTCTCGCAGACACTATTCATCTTTTGCGTCCCATTATGCCCGATACATTGTCTTTCGCCCTTCTTGAAGCATATTTCAATACATCACCGGTCACAAATGCATATTTGCAGCCATGCGTTCCACCATCTGTCTACCGCAAATTCTCCTTTCTTCGTACAAATGAGCCCCGGCAGAGTAGTCAGGTTTTGCTTGTTAGTATGCTTTGGTTATCTGCTCAAACCGCTGATATTCCTCTGCTAAATGCAAGCATCGCAAGGAGGAAATACGTGCGACGAAAATTGCTAGAGTTGACTACCCGGTTATTGAAGCCTCTCAACGAAGTCAGCCTTGATGGCAATCCTCCACGAAGACAGAAGCCGTCGTCAACAACTCAAAATCAGACCGAAGAAGGTATCTACTCAGAAGTCAAGCCGCGCAACAGCATGAACGATGGTTTGGATGAGATCATGGCATATGTCCATCTAGCAATGGTTACTTCGGCCAGCGAATTCAAAGGTGCGAGCTTGAGGTGGTGGAACATAGCCTTTTCATTGGCACGTGAGGCGAAGTTGTATCAGGAGATCTTGGATCCTCTGCCAGAATCACAAGGAAACGACGATAGTGGAGGACTATCACCAGATTCTCCTCAGCGGGCAAGATTACAGAGCTACCGCCAAGGACACGCCTTTGGAGAGCATAGCATCTTTGCATCTCTAATCAGCGAGGAAGGGAAGGAAGAAAGGCGAAGGGTCTGGTGGTTTCTTTATGCTATTGACAGACAGTTATCCCTGTCCTACAACAAGCCACTAGCACTCCTAGACTCTGAGTGTCAACATCTTCGGCGGCCATGCAACGATGCATTGTGGCAAAGCGATCAAAGCTTTGAATTGATCCAGTTGTCGGATATTGGCAAAGGCCCATACTTTGAATGTAAAGGCGCCTCGTTCTTTGGCTTCTTTTTGCCACTAGCAGCACTTCTTGGCGAGATAGTCTACTTTGTTCAAGCACAGAACCACCCCCGCTTTGGCATTTCTCAAAGTACTTTACTTGACTGGAAGCAATGGGAGAAAGGAATTTCCGACAGATTACACTCTTATGAGCACAGTCTTAAATGTTTACTGGAGCTAGACCAGGTGCTCCCAGATGCCGGTCTACCCAGTGGCAGCTATCCGTCTCTCTCGCCGCAGTCTATCGGTCAAGAATCCCCAATCCCACTCCAGAACCGCATTTCCTATGCCTATGCAAAAGTCAACATACACATCTTACATGTTCTCCTCGCCGGTAAATGGGACGCCTTGGTTCTTCTAGAAGAATCGAACACGTGGTATTCATCTCCAGCCTTCGTCGCCACGATCGGTCACGTAGTGGATGCTGCGAAAAGCGCCGAATCGCTTCTGGACCTAGATCCAGATGCACATTTCATGCCGTTCTTTCTTGGAATCTACTTGTTTCAGGGTTGCGTACCTCTTATCGTTGCCGCAGATCGGCTGAAGACTGATGCAGCGGAGATCATTATCAAGGCCTGTGATACTATGATTAGAGTACATGAGGCTCACATCATTCGCATGCCTTCCGAGTACCAGGTACGTTTCTTTTTTCGAAACTAAATTTGTGCTCATATCGACTGTTACTGATGTTTGCCGTGCCAGATTCTTTTTGTTTCTGTCCTTCGAATGGGCCTGAAAGAAATGCAGGGGCGTCCATTTTATGCTTCTGGGGATCCGACGAGTCGGTATAGACAAGTGTTCGAGCGATATAGCTGGGCATCTGAAGGAAGGGGGTTGGCAGGCTAGATTGTACCTGCTAATTTGCTGCCTGGTGATCAAACCGAGGTAATGTTGGCAAGGATTTCGTGTTCGGATTGTACGAGCGAATGTAGATGATGGAAGGATAAGCGAAGGTGTCCGATGTAATTGTGGAATGTTTACTTCTAGCTGAATCTGTAGAACAGAATCGTACAGTACTCTTTTCTCAAAACCCGGCCGCAGGGTCGCGCGCGTGACAGTTTCTCAACTTATAACTTTCAACGTATTGGTATCTCTGCTCTAATTTATGCCCAAACACACAAGATTCAGAACAATGTCCCATCGCTTTGTATCTCAATGGGACTGCCCTTACTCTGCGGCCTGTATTTCGCAGCCAGCTCTCTACCAGCTTTCCAAGTTCCCGCCTCCAACAGTTGTGCTAGAGTGAGCGGTTCAGCAACTTCCCCAGTTTTCTCGGCAAGTTTTCGATTCACTAGCTCAAGCGTCACATCTAGTAAGGAGACTGTCAAAGTCCGCCACTCCACAATTACATCGTCTGTCGGATCAAACAAGGGAACGTTAGTCCCGGATGCTGCTCTCCCACGATCCAAAACTTCAGCCCTGAGCGTCAAGACTCCCATGTCGACAAAGAGTCCTCCGTTTCTGTACTCTGGAAGTCCGGTGAGATGTTCTGTGCCTATCCATTTGATGTCTAGGAGACGCTCGAAGATCACAAGAAGCGAGTATGTCAACCACTGAGTCAGTTTATGGAAAGGCTGGATTCCGGTTCCGGATGGATCATGTTCACGCTGCTCGTGAAGTATCTGAAGTGGCCAAGCATCCCCGATGGGCTTAGCGTTGTAAGTCGTCCTATTCGTAGGCCAAGTTGGAATCAGGAGCTGTTGAAGAAGATCCCAAAGGTTCTTTAGGTCAATTGGGTTATCTCTACTCTTTGAGAGTAGTAAGAAATCTGGACAGAAATTAGCATTTCTTCAACTCAAGTTAACGTTAGCGTCATTTACCAACCATGTTTCCAGGCCTGCCGGTTTCACCAAAGATCTCTGGGAGAGCTAGTAGTGAGCTGCCAAGCCTTTGAAGCAACTCTGCTCGTCCTGCCAAGCCAAGAATAGGGTTATCTACTGACGACTGCATAGCACTGCCGAGACTCTCTGCAGTAAGCGTCTTCAGTCCCAAGGCTGTAGCGTCAGGTCAGCGGGGTGCTTGGTTTGAGATAACGTCGGACCATACCATTAACCTCGTTACTACTCTTAGAGAAAACTCCATCTTTGAAAGCATACAGACTGGCAACAGCGAGACCTTCACTACGCTCGATTTCCAAGCCAGTACTCTTTTCAGTGAATTTCCATAAATCACCGGCGCCAGCATCGAGCAGGACGGACACTAGAAAGAGGTCTACCAGTCTGCGAGAGCATTCCAGGTCGTCTGTTCCAGCATTCCGCCACTCTTGCAGTAACTCTTCGAGTCTAGGAACGTCTTTCGTCTCAAAATGCTGCCATCTGCCGTGAGGAGGGATCGTCTTGAATTGCTCTGGCGAGAAGTCGCGCTACAGAAATGTCAGGAAATGAAGACGACCATTGGAAATCATATTGCGTTACCATGATTAAAGAGCACACATGTTCTGCTGCCTCGTCTAGACGATCGGGGTGGAAGTCAAATGATCTTAATTTGTTGAGCTGTGCTGCTTTGTAGGCACATTTTGCACTACTCCGAACACTTTCCAACGAGAGCAGATATTTATACTGAGTTTCGGCGTCCATTGGTAGATATCTGACTTTCCAAATTCAATCAGATTATACCGTCAGCAATAAAAGAAAGATCAAAGAATGGATATGAAGAGGAATGTTCCAAAACTGTAGTATCATGTGAATGATTGCCCCACTTGACTGCGCCTCATAGACTGCGGCTATTGCGGCTGCGGTGCGGGAGAAAACATTGCGGCTTGAAATGATACTCGATGACAGAAAGCACAACTTATAATGCCCTAGAGAGGTGTATTGCCGCAAGTACTCATCTCATTAAGTCGCAATGTGAACATAAAATGTCCCACTCGGTTTCGTACATTCGTCCGCTTGAGATTGAAAAGACTTTCTCTAAAATCCACACTTCAGACACGCCTTTTCGATCGACTTCTTCATTTGCAAAATGGCTCTCAACGTTACCGTCGTTTCTCATCCTCTACTCGCTGCAAAGCTGGCATGCATCCAAGACAGAACTACCGATTCAGCAACCATGCGTCGTCTCGTAGCTCAAGCGGCACAAATCATAACAGTTTCAGCGACTGCTTCTCTACAACCAGGACAAAATTGTGCCCTGGTTCCACTCATGAGAAGTGGTCTTGCGATGGTCGATGCAGTACTCGAGCTCTTGGTGCCAGGAAACAAGGTTGTGGTCCATCACCTAGGACTATTCAGGCAGCGATCGCAAAAGACATCATTAGAGGCAGTCGAATACTACAACAATATCCCAACAACGAAGCCACCGGTGGAACATGCATTCATTGTTGATCCTCTGCTGGCCACTGGAACTACCAGTGTTGCTGCCATTGACACGTTGAAGTGAGCACTTGCCCTGTTTGCTCTTTCCTAAAAGGGAGTGCATACTAACAAACTACCTTTAGGGAGTGGGGTGTTGGAGAGATCACTTTCATCGCATTGATTGCAACACAGAAGGGACTTGAGAGAGCAGCCAAAGTATGGCCTGGAAAAGTAAAGTTTTTTGTAGGCGCGATTGAGGAACTTGACGAGAGTGGTCACATCACCCCAGGGGTCGGTGACATTGGAGACCGACTGTATTTCAATTGAGTTGTCTTAGCAATAATAGAAAGATTGAAGCTTCTCTCATGCAATCCTGTCTTCGTCGTGAAACATCTCGCGGGACGAAACTCTGAAGATGCGGTTAAATGCGGGAAAATATGTAGACACGTGATCAGTATTCACCACCTTTCCCGCCTCATGGCTCCTCCTCTCCTTCCGCATCACATCGTGGAATCTGTGATAATATCACCAGGAGTTGCAACCGCAACCGCAGCCGCAGCCATGATGCGGCGACATATGTCCCGTAATCACGGGACTGTACATACTATATATGTCAAGTGGGCGAGTGCTCGCAAAACATTCAGGTAAGAATTTGTATGTGTGTTTAAGCGTCGTTTGTTGACCGTGTTAAAATTCATTTACTTTCCACTGATCGTCTCTCTATCCTTTTAAATAATGACCCATATTCCAGTCGACGTCTTGGGCAATCCATATGGAAGTAAAGTCGTCGTGCGTAACTCAACAGACCACCATGATCGAAATCGATGTTCTGACAAGCTTCGCAGTTAACGACTTATCCAGATATTGGCGGAGTTAGACCTGTTCCATTACGATGGGGTGAGAGTGAGCCATCACAGCGCGGACCTGTCATCGCCACTCGGACGGGGACAGGTGCCAAAACACGCAATGCAATCGGTGCTCATGGAGGCTCATACTCAGTCTACAACGCTCTTGCCATTGCTGGTGGCGACTTGCCACCAGATTTCCTCCCCGATTTCACAAATACTGAGCCAACCTTTGACTTCAAGCAACAGCCGGCATGGGGAAGTGCGGAGAAGATTGTTGCCATGGACCCATTTGGCCATATCATATCGACAGCATACAAGAAGTATCTTCAGGAAGGATATGATGTTCGTCCTACAATCGCCATCACGCGTGCAACGATGAGAGTTGGAGAAATTGCCGAAGCTGTGAAGGATGGGAAACTGCCAGTTGACGGGGACATTGTCATCGACGATGAGGGGAATGTCAGGGTGACCAAAGTTGCAGTCGAGCCGGTTTGGTATCTTCCAGGTGTCGCGAAACGATTCAACATTGAAGAGAACCACCTGCGTCGTGCTCTTTTTGAGCACATGGGTGGCAGCTACCCGGAATTAATTACACGGCCCGATCTCAAAATCTTTCTCCCACCGATAGGAGGTTTGACAGTTTACATTTTTGGACCTCCTGAACGTGTTTCTGACCCAAGTTGTAACCTTGCTCTTCGAGTTCACGACGAATGCAATGGCAGCGACGTTTTTCAATCCGACATTTGCACGTGTAGACCTTACCTCGCGTTTGGCATTCAAGAGGCTATTCGTGAAGCTCAACAAGGAGGAAGCGGCCTCTGCATCTACTTCCGAAAAGAGGGCCGTGCATTAGGTGAGGTTGTGAAGTATCTCGTGTACAACGCAAGGAAACGGGGCGGAGATACAGCAGACAAGTATTTCCAGCGAACAGAGAATGTTGCTGGTGTACGAGATATGCGGTTTCAAGCGCTCATGCCAGACATTCTTCACTGGTTGGGCATCACCAAGATTGACAAAATGCTGTCTATGTCGAATATGAAGCACGACGCAATTGTGGAATCTGGGATCCCAATTATTGAGAGAATTCCAATACCGGATGGTAGGTTTGGCTGACTTGATGTTGATGAATATTGCGGCTGACGATAGACAGATATGATTCCCAAGGATTCAAGGGTCGAGATTGATGCCAAGATCAACGCTGGGTATTTCACTACAGGCACTGTTCGGACTGCTGAAGAATTGGCCGAAGTTAAGGGTCGCGGTTGGGAGCAGTGGGAAGATGTTGCTGTAAGTCTTGTTTTGTCTTTCTGGATCTTGAGGTAGGAACTAACTTGATTCCACAGCATTAAAACGACAATTTCATGCTGCATCTCATTTTACTTTGCATGGCGTGCGGGGTTCGCAATCGTGGTATTTCCCTAATTGAGCCTTTCACATTCCCGACTCCACTTGCAGTCTCTGCTGTCGAGAATATCCATCGCCATTAGAATAGATAGTGTGTGATCATAAAATGTCTATATCAATTGTGACCCTCTATTTCCGTTCTTGAGATAACAAAGCCTTACTCTCAGATCAACCAAGTGAGATTGGGATCACACTGTGATGAGTACTAATTCAGGCGTCGCAGTGAAGTAACGGGTGCTATGATCGCTGAAAATTTGCGCTAATTGCGCCGAATGCGCTGGTTGCGCTGGTTGCGCTGATGGCGCTGATGGCGCTGACTGTGCTGACTATATACTAAATGAATACGTCGCTCGGTGTACTACTGCTCCAATACTACTTTATCAATTGTACTACAGAGATCAGTATTAGGCCCGTAGAATCCTAACAGTACTGAAATGAGGCTTTGTAGTCATTCCTGCGGCTTTTTAGTACAAAGCTTACAAAACCTAGCTTCTACAGCCAGTACTTAAAATTGTGTTATAAACTCTCAAATTTCAACACAGTGTTTCAATACCAATCATAGGGTAGCAATATTTGATAACTTTATTATTCTAAAAATGAAAAAGAACAACAGTTTTTTGATATCTATAGGTACATGGCGTGCTCGCTGGCCTGAACCTGCTAAGCGAGCCCCTGGTTTTTAGCGAGCTTCTCCAATAAGTCATGTGTTGACAAGCATTGCTGATAATTGATGACTTTTGCATCTACAACCTTTGTACCATTTTTTTTCGTTTACATATACTTTCAGTATGGAAAGAAACAGCTTTCTAGATGTAAAATGCACAGAGGGATGACATGCATCTCCGACTTAGCGACAGGAATTACCCCGCATGTGTAGTTTCTTCTCAATGCATTGGTTCCTGTTTAGAAGACGAAATATTCCCACCATTCGAAAAGCAGCATTAAGATGGATTTTCCAAAGTCTGAAGGCTTAAAGTTCAGCTAGACTATTCAATCTGTTGAAGCGGAGTCTGCACTTCGGGGTTGTGTTTCTTTCCTCGAATAGGAGGGCCCACGTCCCGATTGCCGAATACAAACCTAAAGTAGAAACGATACCATACAACTAAGCGGTATTCCCTACCTTCTTTCCAAGACCCTTGCTCTCCTTCAGGGATTTCTTTCTCCGCAACCTCCTTTTCGACCTCATCCCCGACCACCCCCGAGCTCCGGATTATACCCGACGCACGTGGATATCGCTTTCGGTGGCGGCCCGAGCAGCCCTGGTAAAGGTGACGAATTGTCCAATCTTTCGGTCGTTTGGCAACATTCGCCCTCATATATGATCCGTCGTGCATGATGGAGGATGGACCCGTAGGCCATATTCGCCTATTATGTCACTAGACCTTCTTGGTTCACGATTGAGGGGAGATCTCCCAATGCATATAATTGCCCCGCCTTAGCGGGGCAAGGTGGCTAGGTTTCTCATCTCAACATGCACAGGCTTGTGGAGAGGGGTATATGATTTTCTTTCATAAGCAATCTCAATTCCCACGATTTTTTGGTTTGAAGAGCACGAACTTCGTCACTCCTTTAACTCGCCACCATGTACCATCCAAGTTTCCTTACTAGAGTCTTCCTTCTTCCTTTTTGTATTCCTACTTGTAACTCCTTCCACAGCCGATTCAACAACAACCATCAGCCCAGCTACTACCTACGGAAAATGGGAAGGGTGGGGCGTTTCTTTGGCATGGTGGGCAGCAGCCTTTGGTGACCAGGACGATCTTGCGGATATCTTCTTCTCAACAGACTGGACTACTTTCAATGGCGTATCAATTCCAGGTCTGGGCTTTAATGTTGTCCGTTACAATGCCGGAGCTTGTAGTTGGAATACGGCTCCAGATGGTTCTACCATGGTCGTATCGCCAGACATGATCTCGACCCGACAGATGGACGGATATTGGTTAGACTAGGATAGTACCGACCCTACCTGTAAGTTGTGTGTGGAAAAATCACATCTACTCGTATCTAGAAGCTAGTGCTCGGGACAATTTTGTGAGGTGTCCTCGTACTGATCTCTCGACAGCATCTTCATGGGACTGGACCGTAGACGCCAATCAACGCGCAATGATGACCAAAGCCCAGAGCAGGGGAGTCAACTACTTTGAGCTATTCTCCAACTCGCCAATGTGGTGGATGACGACGAATCATAACCCTTCCGGAAACGACGATGGAAGTAACAACAATCTTCAAGCCTGGAACTATGACCAGCACGCCATCTATCTCGCCAGTATTGCCCTAAAAGCGAAGAGCTCTTGGGGTGTAACCTTCACCTCTGTCGAGCCGCTTAACGAGCCTTACGATTCTTGGACAGGAGATACTGGTACCCAAGAGGGATGCCATTTCGATCGTGACACTCAGAATGAAGTCGTCATATACTTGCGTAACGAGTTGAACAGTCGTGGTCTTTCGTCAATTTTGGTCTCGGCTTCTGATGAGAACACGTATGATCAAGCGACTGCAACTTGGAATTCGTTCAACAGTACCGGGCAAGCGAGCGTGGGGCGGGTGAATACGCACGGCTACCAGTACGGAGGCGGCGATAGGGTTGCGCTCTATGATGCCGTCACAGCGTCAGGATTGAGTGTCTGGAATTCCGAATACGGTGAAGATGATGCAACCGGGGAGCAGCTTGTCAGTAACCTCATTCTGGATCTCATATGGCTGCATAATACGGCTTGGGTGTATTGGCAAGCTTTGGATGGAGGTGGATGGGGATTGATTGATGCGGATGTTGAAACTGGAACCATTGGCGATGTCAGCCAGAAGTACTATGTCTTGGCTCTGTTCACCAGACATATCAGAGAAGGGATGTACATCTTGCAGGGCGGTAGCGACTACACTGTCGCAGCGTACGACTCGAGTGCTGAGAAATTGATCATTGTTGCGGTCAACTGGGGCTCTGCTCAGTATATCAACTTCGACCTTTCGGAGTTCAGTCAAGGAGGCGTTGATGGTGCATTGGTGAAAAGATGGAGCACTCAGATTGGAAGCGGTGATCAGTATGCCAACTTCACTGATACTTACTTGAGTGGGACCAAGTTTTGGTCATACTTTGATGAGGATACAGTGATGACTTTCGAAGTGGATAATGTTGTTATTTAAGGCAATTGTAATGTACTGAACAATTCAATTCCATTGAGTCGAAGAAGAGAATAAAGCTGTTCAGTCGAGGCTGCATGTTATGATGAACCACTTCTCATTCGTTACGCGTTAAATTATCTCAAAGAGCTCACGTCATTCCACCTTAGACCCGTTTTTGATCAAAAAGTCTCCCACGACTTGCAGATACGCCTCCGGCTCCTCAAGATGTGCGAAATGACCTGAATGTTCGAACTTGACTCTTTCAACTTTATTTTTGATTCCCTTGAAGAAAGGCTCCATGGTGCTATCCGTGGTTGGGTCATAGTACCCATTAAGTAGTAGAGTAGGCACGCTGATTTCATGGACTCTATCTTTGATAGACCAATCTTTTGTGGATCCTGTGCGCTTGAATAGATATGGTCCATTCCTGGTTTTCCAACTTAGTGTTTTTTCAATGAGGCTGGAAAGATTTGGATAAAGCATATATTGTGGTATTCACAGTAGGGTCCTCCTGCAACCCCTTTAATGATGCCATTAAAACATCTGGAAAAGGTTTTAAGCGGCACAGATGCTGACTGAAATAGAACATCTTCGCTTGCTTGTACTGTGGGTCATCAAGGGTTCCTGCATCTTCATTCTTAATGAGAGCCTCTTGGATGTCTGATGGGAGCTGGTCTCGGAGCTTTTGGGACGCTAACATTAGGTCAGGCTCTTGGAAATCATTAGTCTAAGTCCACCTGATACATAAAGTAAGAGCAAAACATAATTCGGTTACAAAAGCGATATTGAAGATGGATGTCTTTGTGTTTGGACGAAGTAGGAATGTCGGCTTAGCAGGAACTTACTACTGGCAGGTGAACTCGATAGAACTAGTCTCCTTAAACCTTGTGGGTGGAGCACCGCATGTTCAGCTGCGAGGCACCCTCCCCAAGATTGACCTAGAATGTCATAATCATCTTGAACTCCCAGGTGGCCAAGAAGGTTGTCGAGCTCCAAAATGAAGAGCTGCACAGTCCAGAAGCTCCCATCTCCAAGCTTTTCTGGTAGATGAGTTGAGCGTCCACAACCAAGCTGGTCATACATGATTACGGGAATCCTGTGAGTACGCCAAAGGTTTTGCAATGGGCGGAGAACATCATGCGGGACACCGGGTCCTCCATGCATGATGACGAGGGGGCGTACGCCGTCCGGTGAGGGTAAAATTCCAAAAATCGTATACCACTGTACTTGTATGAGCAGTCAATATTACGAGACTGCATAGAAGAAGGAGAAGGAAGAGGTGATAGCAAGAGCCGTAGGCACTTCTCTCGAAGTGACATCACACACGCCCAATTCCAATGGTGATACGAGAAACTCTCATCTCGATCGACCGAGAGGCCTTTCAATCAAGGCGGGGCAATTTGAAGAGAGCGTAGAGTATCGTATTTGAAAAAGACGGAAGAGGATTCTACGTACTGTCTTACATGGTTTTCCAGCTCCCTCGACGTGGAAATCTACTTCTGACTCGATGACTGGAATCGCTGCCATGTTTCGGGGCTTAGAGAGCCGTAGATTTGATGGGTATAGAAAAGAAGCTGTTTCGTTTCATGGATGGGGCAGAGCTCGCTCGCGGGGCAGGTTGACGTTATACGCCACGACTAGCGAGCGAGGCACCGGTTAAGCTTGACCTTGATTACTTCAGATCGGCGGCTGAATCTGTCAAGGTGCGCCAATGCATGTAAACTAACTTGATTCTAGTCTGTGCCGTAAGGCTGCCCCCTCGTGTATGCAGTTGGAATTGCGGCGCAGTACCAATGAAATAGCAAGATACATGTAAGGAGAAGCTCGGATCTTAAAGCAGCGCAAATATGTAACTCTTTCCTTGGCATACGGGCGGATGTTGGTTCCCAGCAGCCAACTTCCCTAGGGGTAAGTGTCTCGAGACTTGACGATGCAAAAAGGTGCCTCTTTCTCCCCGAGTACCCACCTAGCTTGGTCTAGGTCACAAACAAAAAAGTAGCTTTTTATATTGATTTGCAGACTTTACGTTGCTTTTTAGAGGAAAACAAATTCCACATGAAGGCGACTTTGTCGCTTAGATACGCTACTATATGGAGAAGCGATATCTGGGTCTTGTCACCGCTAAGGACTCTTTGGATTCTGTCCCCGACACGCAAAATATCCAAGGAAAACAGGGCTCGTGGAGTTCTACCAGTAGGAAGAGAAGAGCAGATTGCATCACAATTTCCTCTCGTTTCTTAGGGATTTTCTAGTGCTTGTCATGATAATTGAAATTTTTCTCCTTGCCAAATACTCGGATCTAGCAACATCTTTTTGAAAACCTAGCAAGCCTTTCCATGTTTACATGTTGACTGGATGATCCGGTCTGACATGAGACATGTTCCAGTCAGATTGAGTAATGTACGAAATGTTCAATGTCAACCAGAGTCTGAATTAGAAACTTTTCTGCGAAACACCAACAGCCCTCTTCTCAGCCAAGCTATCCTCGTCACGACTACCAGTGATGCTGCTGGTAGTACCAAGATGCTCATCAACGTGAACGAAGAATTCCTCGTCATCAAGATGTCTGAACAACCAATAGAACACAAAGGCAGAGATAAACCCAACAACAGACGGGACAGCGAAACACCATATTAGATAAGGGTCTTGGATGGCGTCAGCGGTGGCAAGAGAGATAGCAGTCGAGATGGCAGTCATGAACAGGGACAAAGCCATAACAAATCCTTTCATGTTCTGTGGAGCCCGAGAGTATGCGATACCGTAGGCGGTGACGTTGATAAAAACTTCAGAGCAGGCAGTGACAGCAGTTGGGATAGCGTAAAGCCAGAGCGAGAGGTTAGAAACACCGGTGCCGATCTCACAAGTTGAGGCTTGGTAACCACATGGTGAGGTTTGATAAATCTCGTATTGGATGACAGCGTAAGATGCAGCGCCGATAGCGGCGATGAGGAAACCAAAGGTCATGCGTGCGATGGGCCCGAAGCGGATGCCGAGCTTGCGGAGGAGAGGATAGACACCGTGGTTCATGATTGGGATGAGGACAATGATAGCCAGGGGATTCAAGTTGTCGAGAACATCGTTGGGGACACCGTTGGAGGTCAATGAGGCAGATTGTGCGTTGGCGGCAGCACCAAGGCCACCATCGTTGATTTGTTGGATAGGGAAGAAGAGGAAGATAGCGCAAGCTGCCATGGTTCTCCGAACGTCGTCGACCTGCAATAAGGTTAGAGAGAAGAATAGCAGATGGAAATAATAATGCATACGAATTGATCATCCCAGTGAACGATTCTCGAATCACCAGAAGCAGCAAGAACAGATGGCTTGGCTTTGTCCCAGAAGCCCTTGCGACCGAAGCCCTTGAAGCCGTTCTTCTTTAAAGCAAGGAGAATGACACCGCAGAAGTCGCCCAAGGCACTTCCTCCAGCAGGAAGTTTGATGAGACGCTTGTTGACGAAGAAAAGAAGGACCGGAAGCATGAAGTAGATGATGCCTGGCAGCAAGTACGACGCCCAAAATCCGACATATTTTGCAAGGTACGAGGTAGCAACACCGAAGAAAGCCCCAATGTTGATGAGCAGATAGAACCAAAGCATGACAGACTCCGAGGTGGCCTCAGGGTCAATGATAGCTTTGCTCCCATCGTTCTTCGTGACAACGTGAGGCCTTTTATGGGGATTCTGGTCCAAGACGGTAGGAGCAATATTCGGCTTGAACATTGCAGCGCCGACGGCGAGCATGTAGAGACTCAGGGCGAATGGACCGATAGCGTGGCCAGCCTGGATGACGCTGGGAACCGCAGAGATAATCATGATAAGGTGAGCAACGCCGCAGATAGCGACACCAATACAGATAGTCTTGAATCGTCCAAGGTGGGCATCAGCTAACCATCCTCCGAATATGGGACTGAACATATCAGCTAATTTCTCAGATGTCTGCCATCTTTCAGACTTACAGCGCATATGCAAGGAACGTGAAGGCATCAGTCATTGCAGAAGCAATAACAGTACCCTTTCCAAGAGCTCCAGCGGTCTTTTGCGAGCCACGAGGAGGAGCTCCAGCACCGTTGCCACCTTCGGGAAGGGGGGCTCGGATGAAGTTCTTGAAAACTTGCTTGCAACCGTAGTACGAAGCACGCTCAGCGAATTCTACTCCGCAGAGCATATACGCAGCCCACGGCATTGTACCAGCAATCCTCGGAAGAGTTTCCAATTCTTCTTCAGTTGGAATGACGTGACCGTTCTCATACATCCCATCGGTGTGAACATCTAGGACGCCATGATGCTTTCCATCGAGACCAGTGACCACAGGGGCTGGAGCCATGGTGAAAGTGTCTTCAATGACCTTGTCACCTAAGTAGAGCAGTCAGTATAAATGTATGTTCTACTCAATAGATGAAGCTGGAACGTACTCATCGTGGCGAATGATTGGATGTAGATTTTGGATCGATAGAACAGGATGCTTGTGCACAACCTGGTTCTTCAACCCTCGAGGGATACAGAACTCCTCATATATCTTTTCGTATCTTTGGGAATTCGTCCTGGGACCATTGCCCATGTTCGCCAAGAACATTGGAGGGTCTAAATCAGTAGTATATCATATGCAGCATGCATGCCGCCAGGATGATTGTGGCACTGAGTAGGAGTGGTGGAAAGAATACTTGACGGACCTCCATATCGAAGCCAGAACATTTCTAGAATCAACTCCAAGCATAGATTGCCAATCACGACGATAGATTGATATGGATATCATGATACTTTGGAATCCTTGACATTAAAGAAAGACTGATGGCCAAGGCTTGAACCATGTTATCAAGTCGCCTCCCTTCATATTGCTAAATCTATATTGTTTGAACAGCCGACGGTGAATGACGGCCAGCTTGCTCAGACACCCAAGCCACCGATAGACACGGGAGTTGGCTCAAAGAAGCAGGTAGCCGTTTCTTCATTCAACCTCCAGTGCATGCCAAGGCTGTTCCAACGCTTGGGCACCAAATGAGCCTTGCTAGTTGGTGAGCGAGGCTTGAAATTTGGAGATAGTGAAAGGTTTCCAAGAGATAAGAATGAAATGGGCCACGCAAGCCGAGGCGGATCTAGCAGGAAACATCATAACACCCAAGACAGGATTCGGATTGTGTAGGGAAAGTCAGGGGCTTGTCTACTTGGACTCCTACAATGTGGAGGATATCACTTCCCAATCTGTGACCTGAGAACAGACTTTGCGGTGTTATATTGTGTGATAGTGCCTGTTGCAACATGGTTGCGGTAGTTACACAAACTCGTGGGTCATTTCCGTGATGAACGAAAGAAAGGACGGACGGCACTTCCCTTTGCCTGCGTCGGTAATCTTGACTTCACTCCACCAGCTCTCCTACTGCATGTTCTCCACACGCCGGGATACTCACTCGAGTACTCGGAGGCCATCCCGAAGCCTGCGAATAGAGTGCTGGTGTCGGACGCAGTTCAAAGCATCCGCCGCGGGACAACTGAGGGTCGTCAAGCAGACGCCACTTGGCTCATAAAGGAAGGTGATCTTAGCCTTCGAACCAAGTCCACAAGTCGGCCAGCATTGTAGATAAATGCCAAGGCCCCAAGATATATTTGCCCGCGTCGAAATGCTCTGGGAAAATGCTTGGGAAGAGCTCCAGCTTGTTTGCATGCCTCGATGCGGTCGCAGTGCTTGTCCCAACTCCTTCTACACCAGCGTGAGATGGCATCTCATCTAGCAGTGCACCGCATCGCATACACACCAGCTCCAGCTCGAGTTCTCGGGGTACACCGCAAAGATCTGCATCTTCTCGTCCTCGATCCGCTGGCCCAGCTTTTCGACTTTTCCTAGGTAGCGAGAAAAGCTTTTGTTGTTGATAATGGATTTTTGTTCTCGGTGAACTTCGGTGATTTGCATTGCGTTTTCCACTGGTCTCGAACACTTCGGAACACCCCCGAACGCTATTTCTTCTGGAAGAAAGAGGAGCCTCAATCATGGCCGGAAGATAAGCAATAATGGGCTGGGACGTCCTCCACTTGAATTTCAAGCCATGGCTTCTTCGTTGAACGTGCATCAAATCATGGTAGAAGTCGAAACTATGTTGGAGGTCCTTTCTCCTCGGGACATATCGTGTGACCGGTTTCGATGAACGCTTGCATTATGACCAAGGCCTTGGACCTGTCTTGGATCCTTGAGAAGGAAGGTGTCTATTTCCAGTCGACGTAGCGGATTAGATGCTATGGTGGCGAATGTTAAAGGGCCAAGAAGAGGTGGTGGAATAATCGCGATTCGAAACTCAATGACACCGCCTCGACGATAGAGATTCTGTCAAGAGAAAGAGAAAAAGGAAGTGAGCAAGACATATATAACATTGATGCAGTCTCACCCGGATCAATTCTACGCCGCTGGTGACTCATGAAATACAAATCTGGATGGGCTATGGTTCCTCCGTTCTTACTCTGCCTCTGATCCGGGTCGTTTGCATCAACTGGACTTCCGATACGTCCAACAGCTTGCTTGGCACTGCCATTTCAAAATCCAATGTATGTCTGCAACAAACCTCTGACTGTGAACATTTCCTTATTCAACTTCTATGCCCATGACTTCACATGTGCGAAATTTAATGGTTCACGTATTCATTAACTCATTGGTCTAGAGAGACTCTGACTACCCTACTTCTACAAGAAACGTCTTTACTCCACTTCCCATGAACTCCTGATAATGCTATCAACCTAGACTCTGACAATAATAAGACGCCATCTTAACTCCAACAAGCAAACAACTGCAATGAATTCAGTGTTCGGCAAGACCTGAATCACCCCGCAATGCTCAGAAATGCCGAAACAGAACAAACACCACCTCAAGCCGATTGACCTTCCTCATAGGGCAGAATCCCCTCCTGAACATCTTGCAGCAGATACACCTGGTCTGCCTTTCGTTCGATGGCTCGAAGAAGCCTATCCATTTCGGACTTCATCTCCTTACGCATTCGCCTCTTCATAGATGCATCAAGAGCCATGTACTCAGACGTAACCTGGTTGTGCTCCTCTTTCAGCTCAGCTAGTTCTTCATTGAGTTGAGCCATAACAGTGGCCAATGCTTGTTGAGGATCAACAGAAGGGCGTAGAGTCTGTTCCTCAGACGCCGACTTAGGTCTGAAGGTCTGAGTGGATGCTTTTCGGGTATGGAGTTTCGAAACTTCGATTTGAACATCCGTGTCTGTTCTCTGCAAGTCGGTTCCCGAATTTTGTCTATGGCTACGAGCTGATGTTCGTCGAGCGTTCGAATTCGCATCCTCGAAATGCGTACTGATCTTTGTTTGGGACTCAATTCTGGACTCTGATCTGAGATTGCGAGTAGTTGTCTGTTGACCTTTCGGCTTTGGAAGCTCAAATTCCATATCGGTATTGGTCTCCTGGGTTTCAGCTCTGAACTCTCTCGAAGGACGAGTAGAAGTTTGTTGAGCCTGCAGATTTGGAATCTCAAATTGCATATCGGTGTTGGTCCCCTCAAATTCGACTCTAGACTCTGACCTAACGGTATGACTGGTTGATTTCTGGGTCTTTTTCGGACTTGTAATCTGTATACCGGTATTGACTTCCTGAGTATTATTTTCTTGGAAGTCGGCGCGGAGTTGAGCCAATTCGGTCTCCAATCTTGCAAGCTCATGGCCTTCAACTTCCTTCTCATTGCTCAGCGCCGCATTCTTTGCCCTAATGGCGGCACTCTCTGCCTTCATCATGGTGTTCTCTGACATTACCACGTCCACCTTTCGAGACATCTCCGTGATCTTGACCTCAAACTCGGAAGCTATTCTGGTCTTGAAATCGGACACTTCTCGTAAGATCCTCGCGTTCTGCTCCTGCAGACTGTTGTTGACGTGTTGTTGATAATCGGCTCGAGATCTGAGTGCCGCGTTCTCTGCCTTGAGCTTTTCGGACAAAAGCCACAACTCTTTCTCTTCCTCCGGAGTTCGAATGCCACTGACGCGTTTGAAGCGTCGCGCAGACGACTTTCGCTGCTGAACCTGGCCGTGCTCGACAATAACCGGAAGTCCCAATTCCTCTGTATCTCTGGCAGTCATATCCCCATTCGCATGAATGATGAAAGAGCTTTGGGTAGGTTGCGCAACTGTTTTCGTGACCGACTTCGCTGGCGACGTGAACCTGGCCGAGATATTTGCTGGTATCTGTTGTTGAGAATCGACTCTGTCGGATTTGTAGTTCTTGGTCTGCCCGAATCGTGATCCGCGTACTTTCGACGGAGGGAAGGTGGTGGTGCCTGTTCGCTCGGTGCCCATTGTCGAATTCTCAGTATCCGATTGAACTTGAGCGCGAAGCTCTGCAAGCTGCTTGCGATCGCCAGAAATTGTTCGACTGGCATTGGAGACGTATGGCGAAGAGTTGGGAGCCATATTCTCTTTTTGGATGTTGTTGGTAGATGATTTGTTAAGGACGCGTTGGCGAAGCATATCGGTGTTCGTGGAGTCGACGGTGCGATATTGTATGTCCGGCAATGACGGAGATTTTGGAAAATGTTGAATGGTATTTTTGGCGCGTCCGAGATCTATTGTCAAGTCGTCGGAGGTGCTTCCCTGGGTAAAATCAGGAAAAGCAGTCGCGATGGCAGCTGTATCAACAGAAAACTGCTGCTCCTGCCGAGTCCAGCGTGCGTATTTGAATTTCTTGGCTGTGTCTCTAATCCTGAAGTCTGAAGATACTGTGAATGAATTATCCGGGCTGGAATGGGACATTGTGGGAAATGGGTTGGTGATGGGAATTAATGTTCGCGAGATTTGTTATTGTTGACATATGTTTTCATCGGGCTAGCGTGGTATATGTGGGCCGGGTTTCAGAAGCTCTGCGGAGAATACCGTAAATCCACCGGCAACTACAAAAATGTCATTGATGCTGTTAGCCAAAAGGAGGAAGGAAGATCGAACAAGGTCTAATAAGTCCGAATATCCTCGAGTAAGCTATCTAAAGTTCTGCAAGTTACAGATCAAACTCCACACGCCTAGAAGGAATTTTGGTCACGAGTACGCTAACGAAGTGTCGACATTTAAAAATTTCTTATCGATAAGCTGCCGGGTTTGACGACCACAGCCGTTTACTGTAGAGCAGTCAAACCAGGAACATCTACCTTCAATTCTGCGTCGCTCCCTCGTGGAATCTTCCTCGAAGTCGCCACCTGCATAGTCATTATCGGACAGGACCCTACGCTGCCTTCAAGACGGACAATGAAAGATGGCGCAACCGTTGAAGGACAGCTTCCTGGACCTTGAGAGGCATCGCCAACTCCTCGAAGAGAACATCGAGAAGCTACGGAAATCCTTGCGTCACTGGCAGATGTGGGAGGCGGAATATGAAGGGTTAAAGGAAGAGATCCTAGCTGCAGAGACAATAGATCAGGGACAGTTACTTGCCATCGCAAATGCCTACGATGGCGAGCTTGTTACCAAGAAGGAGGTTGAGGAACTAATAGGAATTTCCAAGCCGCGGTCTGCTGCTCAAGTTGTGAATCTGCTGGATAGACGGATCGATTATGTCGAGCAAAATGTTCGGACAGTCCAGAAGCAGCTTGAGTCTGCAGAACACAAACTTGCAGCAGCTAGCATTATCAGTGCTCCAGAGATCAGGAATGAGGAAGGTCTGCCAATGACAGAGATCATTGAAGAAATAGACGAAGAAGGAAATGTCATATCGAGCCACACATCAACGCCCGGTGACGCGAGACCACAACTTCTAGAAGTGTTGAAAAAGGCTGGTGTAAAAGATTTGCCAACTACATCGCCGTCTCCAGTATCCTTAAGTCAAAATCCAACTTCCAAAAACACCCCCAAGCCTCGCCAAGATGACCCGAAGTCTGCAAAGAAGGGTGTGTCGTTCGCAGAGGATACCAAACCTGGGCCTGAATCACAGAAATCGCATACCGCTATGAGGGTGGAAGAGATCATGAAACTAGCAAAACAGAATGAAGGGAAGTCATCGGAACCTCCAATCATTCCCAAAAACGAATCTGTCGAGGATGCTGCTCTACGTCAGGAGATGTTGCAATATGGCATGTCCGAGGTTGGTGCAGTGGTCGCCGAATTAGAACTTGAAGAAGCCAGTGATTGGTCAGACGGAGACTACGAAGATGAGACAAGCAGTGCGGATGATGAAGATGCTTTTGGTAGGTCGACAGGAAAGTTGATTGATGACGAGTTGAGGCAGCGAATGTTGGAACTCGAGGAGAGACTTGGCGTCCGTTCCATGCAAAACGTTGGCAAAAGTGGCCCCGAGTACGACGTTGTGCAGGAAGGAATTGGACGTGTTGCTATCAGTGGTCAAGAGAATATTCCTCCAAAATCTACGATGATCGACAAGAGCCAGGCGAAGAATACCGGCGACAAGTCTAGCAAGAAGTCGGTCAGATTTTCAGAAGAGCTCGACATCTCAAACCCTTCACCAGAGCCAGTCGCCTCAAATCCCACACCCAAAGAACGATTGCAAGCCCCTGTTGGCGACATTGTGGAGCGAGCTCCTCCTGCCCAAGCATCTAATACCACAATCCCACAGCCACAAAAGAAAGCATCACGGTTTAAGTCATCTCGAACCCCAGCCAACGTTCTCAATGGCCCTCTTGCATTACCGAACAGCGCTTCATTACCCCTACAGCCTGCAAGATCCGCCAACCCAAAGCCATTCTCTTCACCAATCCAGTTCAGCCCTGCCACAGATTCTGAGCGCAAAGTGCCAATAGGTCCAGAAGGCGTAACTCTGGCTTCTAAAGTGGTAGAACGCGATGTTCCCTTGGATACATCCGCAGCAGCACCTGATGAGTTGGATCCGCACCTTCTTAACCAGGAAGTTGCTATGGAGTACCACAAGATGAGGAATAGAATGATTGGGAAACAGGGCGGATTCATGAAGGAGGAAGAGGGTGAGATGGTGCCATTTACTGAGGAAGAGGGTGGACCGAAGAAAATGAGTAGGTTCAAAGCTGCGAGGTTGGGAAAGTCTTGAATACACAATGCCATAGTACCAAAACAGGTTCGGGAAATAATCCCGAGTAAACATGTATCAACAAAGAGCAAGAAGCTGCTTAGGTCATAAGAACGAGGCAATCTTGCATGCAGACATTCACTTTTTGAAGAGCAAAGCAACATGATCAAGAGTCCATTCCTTTACTCGACGGCTATCCAAAAAAATAAAAAAATAAAAAAGTAAAAAATTGGCCGAGTTGCGATTGCTCTCACAAGTCTGGCAAAGTGAAGCCACCCAATTCTGTGAAGTACGTCGGAAGAAAAACGACAAATTGTCAAAGTGTTCTTGTTGCTCCTAACCTCAGGCATCAAAGTTTCGGCACAAGGCTCGGTACACGGTTAAAGCAGCAACTCCATCCTAGTCTTAATGTGGAAAAAAAAATTCTTCATGGTCTAAATGACCGTTAGACCATGAAGCATTTCCCGATTTCCTAATGCGGAGCGGACCTTTGAGAAACAGTCGTTCAATAACTTGACCTGGTCTTGATACTCGACAACAACCTCAAATTTTCAGATTCAGATAGAGGTTAAATTTGATCTACATTAATGAAGTTTATCAATTTGTTTTCACACAAAAAAAGGCTTCAGGAGTGTCTGCTCAGTTCGACTATCCGTCTGAGTAGAACGACACACGGGATACATCGTATTTGACGACCTTAGTAGGCAGAATAGACTATTTAATTGAGATGTTGTACATCAATAGGAGATGTTTCTTAAAATTATGCTGTAGCTAAAAGTAGTTGTAAAAAATATCTAGAACGATCACATTCACATCGCCAGGTTCAACAGGATCAATCGGTGCCGTATCTCAAATGCTCTACGGCAGCCGAGACGTGCTAATCCCGTAATCTTGGCGGATAGGTGTCACTTCGAAAGTACGCGGCTTGAAGCTCCACGAAATTCAGCTTCATACAGTACAACCACCACAATGCGATTTCTACACTCATTAATTCCCTCTTTACTGGTACTGGGTGCAGGCGTGGCCCAGGCAGCTTCGTCATGGAGTTTTGACGAAGCAGTCATCTCTGTTACTGGAAAGTCTGGTGCTAGCAGCGCATTCAAGGACAAGTAAGCTTTGGGTCTGCGATGCAATTGAGGACGATGAAACTGACGAGTACCCTTAGACTTTCAGATCATGTCCCTCTTGCGAAGCCAGTGACACTAGGAGCTACAGATTCGCTGAAAATTGTCTTGACAGCTACTGAAGCCGGTACTGCGAAACGACCACATCAAGCTTTCTTGCTATTGAGGGATCAGGATACTGGCCTAGAGACAACTTTCCCCTTTTCCGTGAAGGAGAACGGAAAGGGAAAGGTTGACTTTGTGTGTATATGAATACTCAATTCCATAACAGGATGGCTGACAGCTTCCCAGACACAAAAAGACCTCCCAGTCCAACTCCTCCTCTCGAGCCAACCTCTCCGCGCAACCCTCCTTCTTGCTTCCTTTGGCTCGACCCAAGCATTCAGCAACCATGTCTTCAATCTCGAAGTCAAGACCGATCCTAATGTTCCTCTGCCAAAGTATGAGAAGCCATTGAGATACGGGAAGCTGGATGAGATCCACCACATATTCAGACCAGATCCAAAGAGCGGACCAATGATCATCTCGTTATTCTTTGTGTTGGCTGTAGTCGCTACCGTGCCGATATTACTTGGAACCGTATGTGGCCTCCCCAATTGCTAATCTTATAGTGGCTGACAATTAGTTAGTGGGCATACCTTGGAGCCAATCTCTCCCACGTCTCAAAGGCTATGGGCACAGCACCAATCTCTCACTCCCTATTCTTCGGCTCGATCCTGTCGATGGAGGGCCTCTTCTTCCTTTACTACTACAGCTGGACTTTGTTCCAGATCTTGCCTGTTGCTGGCGTAATCAGCACTGTCATTTTCTTGAGTGGAACTAAGGCTTTGTCCGAGGTGCAGAGCCGTCGCTTGGCTGGCGAACGGTAGAGCGTCAATGGGAGAATCAGATAGGGGCGACTCGAGGTCAAAATCCAAAATTAAGGGAAGAATGTACAACTGGGATGGAACTTTGTACAATATCAAAAGCGAGATAACGTGAAATTCCTTGGCGTTAAGAGGTATTCCAATCAAGAGCGCCCTCAGGTGGAAGTTTACTTGTGATTCAAGTCCGATCACTGGACGTCTATAGCCGTCACGCTGATTTTGACTATTACTCTTGCAGGTGTTCGAGTGCTCTGCAAGTGACTTGAATGCTGCACAGCCTGAGAACCTAGGTACCTAGCGAGGTCTGTTACAGCAAATGCACTTGAATGTCCGTCGAACCATAATAGCGCCTTTTGACCACTTGTCATATTTCCAGTACAGACATTCCAGAGGTAGGAGCAACATCGGACGGGTATAGACTTTTGTTCATTCCTCGTAATCCATAACACCATCTATGCCATTCCACCATTCGTCCATGCTAGTTGATTTTCGCCTTACTGAAGTCCATTTCCGGATGTTGACTCTTGAACTTGTCCAACATCCCGAGCTTCTTCTGTTCATCACTAGTCGGCTGCCCCATCTCCTTCTGCCTCTGATCGTACATCATCTTCTCCACCATACTTCTCGTCTCGCCGTCCAAATCTCCAAGCTTGCTGTCCTCGGGTGTGATCTTTGTGACGTCTATCTTTGGTGCAGTAGTAACCACATGCTCCCACCACTGCATTTTGTTTACTTTATCAAGGTGCAGTTCCAGGATTTTGGTTCCTGATGGTGAAGTTGCGAGTGTCCAGGTTGATTCATCGACGCGGATTTCATAAGGGAGATCACCCTATGCAATTTATTAGTACTTCGACTTGGAACTTCTATCATGCCAATATCTAGCCATATGACATACATTTATGATAGCTTCTTGACCCTTGATTCCAAGGACAAGCTTCTTCTTTTTGATATCGACATTCAAATCCTTGCCTTTTAGATTTCCAGGGACCTCGAGAGTGATGTCTAGGTCACCGATCGTTTGGGTCCATTTGTATGGAAGAGCAGCTTGTTCTGCTGCTTCCATTGCGCGGGCTGCGGCCTCTTCTTCCTTCGTTGGTTCTAGTTCGCATGTTAGAGCTTGATCGATGGATAGGCAACAGTACATATTCCACAGATACGAGAAAATTTGGAGGATAATACACCACTTACCTTTGTCGGTCATCTTTGCTTGTGTTGAAAATAAGAGGTTTCGTGAAGTGGTGCATTCGAGAAACGACAAGGCTTTGAAATCCCCCACACTACACTAGCGCCACCCAGCCTCGTCAACTTCAACCACATATTCTACTCTTCTTCCCCTCTACGCCACAACCACTGTCTCTCCCTATCATCTGTCGCCATGATACGCAATGGAGCCTCGAAATCGCTCGAGTCCAATCCCTCCGACGACATTTGTCCCGTATGCAAGTCAAATCGCTACCTGACTCCTTCGCTACAGTTCCTCATCAACCCAGAATGTTACCACAAGATGTGCAGTACGTGCGTCGACCGCATCTTCACCAGTGGCCCTGCTTCTTGCCCTGTTCGGTACTGTGGAAAGACGCTACGAAAGAAAGGTTTTCATAAGGCATTCTTTGGGGATTTGAAAGTGGAAAGGGAATGCGATATTCGCAAAAGGGTGGGAGCTGTTTATAATAAGAGACAGGACGAGTTCGAGACCCTACTCGACTGGAATAATTATCTGGAGAATGTGGAGGGACTAGTATTCGACTTGGTGGAAGGAGGGAAGGAAGACAAGATGCGAGCCGAGGAGAAGTTAAGGGCATATAAGGAAAGAAATCTGGGAGAGATTGAGGCGAATAAGAGGGCAGGGTTGGAAGAAATAGAGATGGAGAAGAGAAGAGAAAGGGCAGAGAAGGAAGCTGCTAGACAGAGGCGATTGGCGGCGGTCAGAGAGGCGGAAGAGGAGAAGATGGACGTGGAGAAGTCGAGGCGAGAAGTTTTGGAGAAATTGGCAAGTGGAGAAGGTGATGCTAGGGAGATCACGGAGATGGCACAGAAGGTGGTCCTGAAGAAAAGTGGTGCGAGGAGAATTGCATCGGAAGCCATACTACAGAGTAATGGTAGTGCAAAAGATCCGAATCTCACGATCAGGGGACTTAAGAAGAGAGAGGCTCCAGTGGCAGAGAAGCCTTACGAACCGTTTGGTGGGGTGGACCTCGCTCCTTCACGCTATGTCCTTCAAGAAGATTATGATAGCGAATGGCTTGCCAATGCCAAGAAGGACCAAAGACATGCGGCAGGCGGATTTAGCCTTCACGAGTATTATGCTCGGACAATGTTCGAGGCTTTCTCTGGACTTGGGGTTTTCATAGAAGATGAGATGGGTAGCAAAGCTCTTCCAGCAGTACCTTCAAGTATCGGCACGGAGGCAGCAGCAGAGGCTTCAACGGGGAAGATAAAAGTTGAACACAAAATGGAGTTGGATGACGTCTTCTGATACGGGTAAGACAAATTGATTCTGGGAGAGAATCCGGCGGAGAAATGCATCGTTGGTCAAAAATGGAGTTCAAAGAATGCATAAACACAGACGTTCACACATGGGCATTACAGCGTGGTCGGGTCTTCTCATTAGACTCCAATATCGGTAGTCTGATCATCTATGGCTTAAGGCCATGTAATACCACATTAAGCATTTTGGTGCTTGCTGATCCATCTACCTAGCTCGCATTGTGAATCAAACTTATCTCCTAACGCCATGCTATGATCTTCATCACCCTAAAAAGACGCTCTTATTACCTCCACTTACTGTTGCCAAGCTTGTTGTTGCGCCGGCCTTGGAAAGACCGGCACTGTTTCTAAATTATCTAGACCACCGCCCATTGGTTGTTGTGCATGCTGCCAGCCCGTTCCCGTTGCAGTATTGACAAACTGACTCTGACGGAACGGATTCGTGCTTCCTGTTGGCTGGGGCGCCAGACCTGCACTTGTCTGGGGCCGTTGTGCAGAATTCATAGCTAAGTTCTTTGCGAATGGATTAGTGCCAGTTGCCATTGACCGCAAAGGTGCTGCAGTCTGTTGGGTTTGTTGCTGCTGTTGTTGGTACTGCTGATCAGGTGGTGGAGAGAATGGTTGAACTGGTGGAGATATTGACTTAGCAAAAGGATTCGTAGATTGGCGGGTTATGGGGGATGTGACAGGAGGCGATGCCGGGAATGACGGTCCTTGCATTCCCGTAGGACTTGCCATCATCATCGACTGGCGGAAAGGGTTCGTGGTCTGCTGTGCACCTGTCTGCACGGGTCCGAGTTGTTGTTGGGGCATTTGCTGTTGAAAATTGACCGCCGAATCCTGGGGGATGGAAGAAAGACCTCCTGGTTGGAATGCAGGTTGAGGAGTATAACCTCCAAAGCCAGCCCCGGTAAAGTTGGGCTGAACAGGTTGAGGTTGTTGTTGCTGGGGCTGGGGCTGCTGCTGTGGTTGCTGCATTCCGGCAAATCCATTGCTAAAAGCTTGTTGCTGATTGAACTGATTCGGATTGTGGAAACCAGTCGGTTGTGATACGAACCCGTTCTGCTGAAGCTGTTGAGGCTGTTGCATCTGGAAAGCATTGTTGAATTGAGGTGCCTGTTGCTGCATTCCGGGTTGAGTCGCCATAGTCTGCTGATTTTGCTCTATCGAATCAAAAAAGTCTATGAGATCAGGATCAGGTCCTTTCGCGGGTGCAGAGGTCTTCGTAGCTGATTGGTTGGAGGCGTCAGGAAATGCTCGTCCTGCAGCAGCTCGGGATTCCGCGTCGCTTTTAGCAGGAGTCGAAAATGCTTTGGTTCCTGCACCATTTGTCCGACTTCCTTTCGATTCTTGTTCCGCCAAGTACTGTCTTCTGTTGATTTCAAAATCCTCGTCCTTGAGATACTCCTGTAATTGTTTTCCAAGATTTACAGGAGCATGCTTCAATTTTGGAACCTCGACTCGGGTCTGATGCTCGTACTGGCGAGCGGTACTGAGATACTGAACGACAAAGTCCGTTTGCTTCGTAAAGTTGTTATAAATCTCCATAGCACGCTCAGCGTCCGGTTTTGACATCTCAAAGAAATGGCCTTCCTTGTAGTCAGTAGTGCAGCGCATTAGAAAGCCCACTGGAATCGTACCTAGAATATTGATCATAGCTTGGTTCATGACATGAAACATTGCTAATAGATCTAGCACCAACATACGAAAAACGGTAATGGTTATTTCGTTCTCTGGTTCGTTGTCCAAAACCTAATCCTTCAGCAAGCGTCTCTAAACATATAAGGGTCCACACCTACATCGCACTTCAATAGAGCCGTAATTTGATGTTGAACGGCTTCCGTCTCGCGGAGTAGGCCCTTGTCAACCGTCATCTTCTCTAACCTATTCTCTGCCCCGCGAACGAAATCGCATTTGGTATCTCTGTACGCTCTGGCTCGCTCCATGAGATAGTTGGTATAATGGCGAATGTTCCGACCTTGGGTTTGGACTTGACCATGATCAGTCAGTACAGCCTCTATGAAATTCCCTGTCGTCCTGAGCCATTTGCAGACTCATGAAATCTGAGGGAGGGCCGGGTGTGTACCTACCATCAGAAAAGCTTCCTATAGCCAACATGCTTCTATGCCGTGCCAGATATGCCAACGTAACATCCGGCGAGCCTTCCCGTATCATAAGGTGCACTGTGATCAAGCTTTTGAAAACAACGGTCCACGTTGAATCTCGCAACCGGTTCTGGAGCGCTCGGAACACCTCGGCCACTCCATTTTCCCCCGAATGTGTCGCAATTAGAATATGCTCGATGTATCTGTAGGACAAGCTGTGTCAGCTGGCATCCATCCTGCCTACTTTGAAAGGGAGAAGCGTTCATACTTGGACTTCGGAGGCGCCGCCTGGTAATTGTGCAAGTTAGCCAATCGCAAGTAGAAAAGCAACTTCATAAGATCTTGCTAAGACAGCAGACTCACCTTGATCTTCGTCGCGCCCTTCACAGACTTCTCGAAGGAGCTGGCCATCTCAAATCACGGCTGCCAGACCAGGCCAGGCTTGCGACAGCCTCTGGTCGTTGGGGAAACAGGCTCTTTCGGGTTGCGCAGATGCGGGGGAACCTGATGGCTTTTGTTTCGTTTCGTGGCTCACGTTGATCCGGAACAAGAGCTTGTTGGTTCGAATGTTGCAGGTGGAAGCAATGTTTGCTTTGGTCGAGCTTCGTTGTCGGAAGACTTGCTGGGTTGCTCGGCCTGCTGCGCAATCTGGGGACTTGGAAATGAAGATCGGGAATTTATTAGACGACGACACTAAGAGGGTTTGCGTGCGTCACAGGAACTCAAAGAACGGGGGCATAGTGGTGAATATCAAATTTCGAATCTCTCATGGCGTCTTGAATATGAACCCCGAGTTCGTTGGACTATGGCTGCAGGTTGAAGACAATGAGAGAGTCTGGAAGTGGCTTGTACTCTGAGTCTCTAGTGGCAAAGGTCCGTGGTCTGGCTGCGTTGTCACTTGCAGCGTCATTGGGTTTTTTCAGGGTCTTTACAGTAAGAGCAAGAGGATTCGCGCGAGCGCCCGCTTCGTATTTTGCAGAGAGACTCTCACATGCGTGAAGACCAATTCTAGAGTTGATCGTGTTGATTGCGATAATATTGAATTTTGTAGACGTCTTCCATCATGGATTGCATTCAAATACATGTTTACAAACCATCTCTATAACTCTGTCAATTGCAGACCTCCTCCATTATTGCGTTAATAGCAGTAATTCTCCCTCCTAATTATGTCTGTAAACAGCCTCCATGACACTGTCTCTGCCAAATCCATCAAAGCCAACAACACATTTCTCGGTGGATCCCCTACACTCCCAGGACAAAGCTCAGGCTGATATCATATCATGGCCGAGGTACATTGTCCCAACAGTACCTCCAGACGACCACTACCAGTAGCCATCTCTAATCCTGCCTGCAGTGTGAATACAGTTGATTGCATGTCGAGAAACATCCTGTGTCATGGTCCAACGAAAACGAAATTTAAGTGAAAGGGTAATACTCTTGACACTTCAAGGGAAGTATTGTATGTAAAACGCTGGACGATGCGAGAACCGAGCCACGGGAACAGACCCGGCCATGCAAACCACCAAGAGTGTACCTTCCAAGCTTCATGGTTCAGAGATGCCTTCATCGCGTCCGAAATTGAACAAGGTGTGTGTCGAACGCTTATTTCACTCTTCCAACCTTCTCTCACAAGCAGACCACTGAAGCCCGGTGAAGGGAGAGTTTGCAAGCTCGAGAAGGAGAAATCGTACTCATATAAACACGCTGGCTTTTCATCATCTGGAGGGCATATATTAGTCTCTGCGGGATTGAAGAGGGGAAGGGAGGTTGGGGGCTTACTTGTTTAAAACTTGGAAGGATGAAGAAGAAAGAAATCGCACGGCAGGCGAAAGCGCGTGCATATAAAATATTTCGGCCACGGGAGTTGCCGGTCACGCTAGCCGTAGTGGGATCCCTTCAAATATTTTTGATCCGCATCGAACGACAGTCGAACAACTACAGCATGAAACGCAATGAACATTGCTGCATCTCCTAGGATGCATGTTTGGAGACGGTTCTCACATAAATCTATACGAACCACGCTGTATCGCCAACGATTGAGCCTGCCAGGACAATCATTAACACGATGTTTTCACCATCACCATAGACTGGGTTCAGAAGTGTCTGGAGAGGGATCAACGAAGATAAATGTAGCTGACGCCCCATTCTGGAAGGAGTTTAGAGGATGCTGTAAGATCTGGTTTCTCTCGCTCTCCGACTGATTCTAATTCATAAATCTGCCTAGATCATAACCCTCTGCCGAACTTTAAATTCTCAAAGCAGTCGCCCATGCCCCTCTCGTGGATGGGCAATAGCGTGGTTGCTGTCGGGTTTCTTCAAAAAATAGCAAATCTGGGAGAGGCATTGGTGTTCGCCCATTTGCAAGGACCAGGAACATCAGACACGGTACAATTGGTGTGCCAAGATGCAAAATTGTGCAAGGAGCTGAGCAGCATTCGATTAGGCAGTCCCATAAATATCACCGGCAATTTGGCATTGAAACGGGCACCAAAGAGAGAAAAGACTGGGCTCGAGAAGACACCAGATGGATTTGCTTCTCTTCACCAAATAGAGATCAATCTTACTCGAGTCATACGTTTAAATACCTTTCCAGCCGATCTCCACCATGGTGCAGACCACGTTTTTTCTCCTCAAGACCGACATCTCCAGATTCGGTACGACTCTGAACTCAAGGAGCGGTTGTTGTTTCGTTCCGAGGTAGCAAAATATGTAAGACAAGAGCTGCATCAGTTTCAGGAAATTGAAACCCCTATTCTCTTCAAGTCGACGCCTGAAGGCGCGAAGGAGTTCCTAGTTCCAACAAGGAGACATGGCTATGCCTATGCACTTCCTCAGAGCCCGCAACAATACAAACAAATTCTAATGTCGAGTGGTGTATCTCGATATTTTCAATTTGCAAAATGCTTCCGAGATGAGGATCTTAGGGCAGACAGACAGCCCGAATTCACCCAGGTATTAGTGTTCGATCTACTATTCCATCTCTGGCTAAGCATCCATAGATAGATCTCGAGATGGCCTTTACAGATGGAATGGGTGTGATGAGAAGAGTTGAGCAGCTCATTAAGAATATCTACAAAAAATTTGCAAGGCCTGGTACACACCTGAGGTCCCCCTTGCCGCAGGCTCCCTTCCACCGTATCACATATGAAAAAGCCATGTCCAAATATGGTTCAGACAAGCCGGATCTTCGACTCAAAGGATTGGTAAGTGGCCACGACCATCCGACAAACATACAAGCTAACTCGGCAGATACACCGCATTGATCAAGCTGTTAACCCTGAGTTACATGGGATGATTACCTCGATCAAAAATCCAAAGTTTGAAGCATTCAAAATTAGACTAGGTACTTCTCCATCAGGGGTTCAAAAATTCATCAGTGCTTTCATGGACTCACCAGACGCGGAAATATTTCGTTCGAATCCCGATGGAGCACCAGGTATCTGCGTCTACGACCCTAGCAAGCCTTTGGAAGGTTTGTTGCCTTTTGGATTCGAGGGTGCCCAGAAGTTGAAAGAACTATTTTCCGAGATCTCTCAGCAACCATGGGAGAATGAAGAAACACATGAAGCAAATCGTACCTTCGACACAGGGGATCTTCTGGTCTTCCAAGCCCGTCCAGGACTACCACATTCAGGTGGCTCTACATTCATGGGAAAACTTCGACTTGCCATCGAGAAAGCTTCCCTTGCTGAGGGACTCATTGAGCAAGACTTGAATCACTTGTATCTTTGGGTGACAGACTTTCCCATGTTCACCCTCGAAAACGGCAGCGATCCTGGGCAAGGAGGTAAAGCAGGGTTCTCAGCCACGCACCATCCGTTCACTGCCCCAAAAACAGCCAAAGACGTCGATTTGTTACTATGGAAACCTCTCGAAGCAAAAGCCGACCATTACGATCTCGTTGTTAATGGTGTTGAGTTGGGCGGGGGCAGCCGACGTATCCATAACGCTGAGATGCAGGAGTTTATCATGCGCGATATTCTCAAGATGAGTGAAGAACGCATCAACGACTTTGCACATCTCATCGAGGCTCTGCGTGCAGGATGTCCTCCTCATGCAGGTTTAGCCATAGGATTCGATCGACTGATTGCGGTCATGACTGGCCGGGAATCAGTCAAGGATGTGATTGCATTCCCCAAAAGCTCTAAAGGCGAGGACATGATGGTCAAAAGTCCTGCAGTGATTAGACCCGAAGAATTGAAGCGATATGGTTTAGAACTGAGGGATGCCTCTACTGAAACCCTGTGAACGACAAGGTTGAGTATTTACAGACGTATTGTTGTATGAATAGTGTTAGAGATGAAAGGTGTATAACATTTGTATGTATTGCATGTCAGAGGCGTCCTGGATGATCTGACTTGGTGGGACATACCCCTCTCCGTTTTGTCATGTTGGGGTCTGTACATTCGAAGGAGTATATAGAAAGGACACATTCATGTATAGAATATCATGAGATTATGGCAATACATGTCACACTCAGACTTCTCAATTATTTGTCCCAAACCGGGTCTAAAGTATGTAGCATTTTCAAGACGCTGGCGACGAGACTTGAAGTGCCAGAGCATCTCGATGGCTTCGGACGAACCAGGTTGGTCAGCGACACGAAGCCATATTCCATCTACGCCGAGTAGACGGCAGTCTGGATTTCTTTTGGATTCGCACTTGCCAAACCCCAAATTTCAATACCGTTCAACGCCTCCAAAGTCTCCAAACATGAATGAGGTACTATTTAATTGTACACATGCAAAGGCAGCCATCTGAGCTGAGAGCAGAATGTCCTATTCCATAATCCACATCCAAATCCTCCGTCTTATAGTCTCGTCGCACACCGCCTCGACAGCTATCCTATGAAGACAAATGACAACCAAGACACAAAGCGTGAAGGAGCCACCCCAATCCTAAACATTAAGAGATGTTGAATGCTAAATTAAGCAACGGCATCTTCAGGTCTGTGATATAACATATGATATTCCTGTAATGAGAGGTACGCGCCAACAACTTGTCAATACCTCTTTCCAACCACGTCCCTTAGTCGTTCCTCGTGCTGTTTCCTCGCTGTGTCCCTGCACAAAAGTCAGTATACATTAATGACAAAGATCTAGAGGCCGAGGAGATCGTCCGAGTAGTTGCAAGTCATCTCCCTTGATGAGTAGCTCCCGATGATAAATTTAAAAATCTCGGCTTCTAGAGCAAGTACAAAGCAGGGGCAGAACTTGACATACTGGCATGGATCGTATTGGGTGACTGCGTAAGATTTATAGTCTCTCTCGTCTCGGACGAACCTCTCGATAGGTTCTCGGCTTGGTGAGGACTTTGGAGACTTGCTTGCATGAGCATGGGAAGTAGGAGCATGTGAGGAGGTTGCCTTCACAGACTTGGCGGAGCCTTGGTGGGCTTTGGTTGAGGAAGGGTTTTGAGCCATAGCAGTCGACTGACAGGTTGCCAAGCGTGTTGACGTGCTTTGAAGACGGATGTGCGTCGAGGCAGACCGTGTCTGCAGTGAAGCGAACCCTGTCGCCTCGGAGAGGATCCGGTCTTAAATAATGAGAACTGAGATTGTCGATGGGCAACCCTCAATACGAGGCTTAGGAGGAAGCAGGGAAAGAATTCTGGTATTGCGGAGTAACAGCAAGACGTAAAATGTAAATTGACTTGCTAAAGTATCGAGAGTACTTAAGAGTTTCAAAGTGAAATGACTCTTACGACTGTGCCGGGTCGTAGATTATCGGTCGCGAAGCCGACAAATATACTCACTTGAGCAATAGCTACACGAAATTAACAGAGCGACGTCCAACACTCAAAGCAGGCCCCGTCTTCATGATGATAGAGGGCGGTGAGATTCAGGTCCTCTTGATATCACCAGGAGCATCTTGACTTTCTCGGATCTGATCCCATAGGCCAATACTTACTATTTGAGTTGTTCTTCTTTTGTAGCACGACATCAAAGGACAGTCATTTCGTCACGACCCTTGTACAAAAAGCCACAGATTCTAGAAAGGTGATAAGAGGCGATCAAGTGCCAAGCCTCACAAACACACAGCCGTGCCCTGGTGCTATTTCCAAGAAGAATGACCGATCTTGATTCAGATCAGCGGGGTGCAGAAAGGTAATGTTGGAGCTAATTTCGTTTTCCTGGGGAGCATCTGAAATGTCCCGGAGGAAGAAGTCATGATGTGGAGTCGTCCTTATGATATCGTAGCTATGGGTTCCTGCTGGACTCAACGCATAATGAACGTGATATGCAGCGGAGAAGGTCCAATTGATGGACACGGCGAGGGGATCGTGGTGTGAAGCACGAGAAAGTGAGAAACAGTTCCTGTTGTGCTATCACGGAAGGCTTCCGGACTAGGGTTCACGCGGTGCTGAACACAACAGATGGTGAGGATGTGCTCTATCAAACGCAAGCTATCGAAACCGTTGTGTTTGCGAGACACAGAGGTCATCAGACTTAGACCTTATTAAAGTGTTCCTCCAGAAAGACACCGATGGGCATGGGAAAGGCGGGCCGGATCATGCCAACACCATGCGCATCGTTGCGATGTCGTTCATTGTATACCTCGCATTAATAAAAGAAATATTGAGGTTTTGCTTGAGGGTTTCCATGTATGACATCGTTCGACAAGCCGGCGGCCAGTGAAGCAACGGCTTTAGTGTCGTGGAATATGCTGAGGGGTCGGCTTAGCCTTGACATAGTACTATCAAAGACATTTCCGAGTCTAACCTCTCTTGATGTACACAGGTTCGTGATACAATCGCTATCTGTATTGAAAGGTACCCCGGATTGCATTGCATTCTTGAGTTGAATCTTAGAAGTGGTCGAAAGAAGTCTCATGCGGAAAGTATAGTTTATCACCACGATCGATCAATCCGTACTGTCCTCTGAGTTTACCAGGTCCGGGAAAGAGTTGGGGGCTTTCAAATCGGTGTTGTGCTATATTTGCGACTTGGAACAGCGTCTGGATCCATTTCGAGCCGGTGAGTAGAAAACAACCTCATCATCGTTCGTTCACCAGCGATGAGGCAAACAGAACACAAGCACTGTATAGAAAGGGAAGTCTGAGAACAAAAACTCATTCGCGTCAATCTTTGAACTTGTTACAAGTTCAGCCTCCGTGTTTTCCCTATTCTACACTCGGCTCGCTTCTCCAAGCCCCTAATCGGCCTCGCTAAGTTCGAGACTTGTTAAAATCACCCCCGCCACTTCTTCGCCCTGCCCCGCGACGATAATTTCAGCTATTTAACCCAGCTACATACAGTACTGCTGGAAAAAGCTCCAAAACAGAAAAAAATGAGGCATCCAAGCGAACCTGGGGTTATGAACTCATGAGAAGAACTCTCTGACGGGGAGTCGAACCCCGATCTCCCGCGCTTTGTCTAGTATGACAAGCGGAAATCATGACCGTTAGACCATCAAAGATTATGGTTGGAATGTGCTTATCTAATGTTATACAGAAAGCGGTCAAAAGTATGGAAACTACAGGGCATCGCCACTAAATTACAGGCTATGCCCACTAAACTCGCTGACAGGACAGCGCTCAGACGCTCAAATACAGGGCATGATAGGCCTCTTTAGCGAATGATACTTCACTAAAGCCTGCCCTTCAGGCAAAACGCCTATAAATATAGCGCTTTCAGTGGTAGCAGGTAGCATAGTGACTTTATAAAGGCATTATAGTGGATAATGCCCTGTAGTTTCCATACTTTGACCGCGACTTTCGTACTAGACTTTCAAAACTCTTAGACTAATGAACTTCACGCGAACTTAAATTGCATATGTGGTAGAGCTGAACTCTTCATATTATCAGGTCACGGGCTTTCATGAAGCCGTACCTGGCTCCATTGCTTCGTCAATGTATTTGCAGTTTGATGTAACGTTTCATGACTTCTACAAAGGAATAATACCTGCTCCTGGAATCTGGCACGTGACTGAGATTATATCCAATTTTCAACGATCATTGCGAAAGTCAAGGGCTAAGTACGGATATTAGATGCTGACGGTGCTCGTGGCAGTTTAAAGCCTTTGCAAAACTAGAAACAGTCTATCGATTTTCTTCTCTTCTGATGCAGGCCCAATTTCCTCCCATTCTCAACCAGAATCCATTCTCAACTCTTCCAAAGGGGGACATAGATTTCCGTGATCGCTAACGAGCCTAGCAAGATCTGTACTTCATTTGCAAACGAATGCTTTGAGTTAGTAGTGATTGTGACGTTTTTATTGCCGGGCTTTATCTAGCCGATTTCTCACACAAACACAATCGGAAGTAACTTCTCAAACGTTAAGGGAAAGTACTAATTGGGTTTAACCCAGGGAGGAAATGTTCCAGAAGCATTCGAAACTTTTTGGGTCTGCCGATAATTCAACTGTCTTTGATATTACAGACTTGCTACTAATTAATTGCTTTCAGGTGACTTAGAAACACGCTTTTGAAGTGTGCTAGTGTGCTCAACAATCACATGCTCGCCCCACTTCTGATCACGCATAGTCACACAGCATAATGTCTATCACAAACCTCAGCCCACCGCCTCTTTTGACTTCCTCAAAAACAAGATCCAGATACCTGATATTCACGAATCATGGAAGCTTGTGGCCAAAAGCTACCAAATGAAATCTGGATCAGAGTGCTTCAAAATCTCAACACAGACGATGACTTAAGCTTCCTCTGGATCACATGCCGCCAAGTTTGCACCGCGTTCAAAGATGCTACAGAGTCGATGTTTCGGGAAAGGCTCCTCCCAAAGCTGCGTCTCAACTTTCTGCTTGGTGAAAAGACACTCCCGCAGCTGGGTGAAAGATTTGCTGACGATAGACAAGGAGACTTTTATCTCCCCGAGAGGGACGATAGACGGTTTTCCGCAGTGCCTCTGAGTTGTGAGTTCGAATTCAACCATCTCTCGGAAGACAAAAAGACGGTCTTTCTGAGCGTGGACGAGGAATTGTCCGACGAGTTGAAACCCGTGACTCGGAAACGTATGCGGGAATTTGCGGCAGAGACGCACCTAGAGATACCCCACCATACAATCCAAATACGACGTGATGTGAACGATGGCCCTATACCTGGGCTCTCATTCGATTATGAGACGTTCGAAGTGTGCTGCGATTGGGAAGCGCTTTTCTCTGCTTTTTATGGTGAAGAGTTCCTTTATCATAAACTGTTGGGACAGGCAGTAGGGAAGAGAGAGACATGGCTAGAAGAGTTGAAAGCAAAGGTTGACCGAAAGGAGATGGACGCTCAGCAAGTGATTTTGAAAGCACTAAACGGTTTTGCTGAGGATAACACAATTGCACGGAAGATGGCAAGAAGAGCTCGGGTCAAAAGACAAATGCAAATGTTCGATGGGACGGAGTGGGATTTTGTACGAGACGGAGATGAGGAAGAAGAAGAGAGGATTTTGAAGAATGTTCAGCAATTACGCCAATTCTCGAGCTTCGAAGAATGGAGTGATGATGAAGACGATGAGGACGATGAGGACGATGAGGATGATGAGGATGATGAGGATAGTGAGGATAGTGAGGTTTCTGAAGAAGGTAGCCAGGAATGGGAGACTGAAGATGAAGAAAATGACGAAGCAGATGAGTAAAGGAGAAAGGAAGCACTGTATAAGCTTTTGAAAAGCTTGTGTCGAGAGAAATATGATGGTCACAAAACAACGAACGTGGTGTTCGAGGCAAATGCGACTGAAAGTGCTAGCTAGGCAAGTGTCACGGTTATGGAGTCACGTGCCCGCTACGAAATACTCACGTGACCGCTCGCCTGTATATATGCCCTGCCTTCCGGCGCTTCCTTCCTTTCTTTCCTCTTTACCTTTAGATTCTAAGAGATAGCCTAATCGATTCCTCGTCTACGTACTTGAGTCCAACCGTGCTGTCACAGCAAGCAAAATTCTCAGAAG